GACTTGGACGTTGGAGCCTGTACTTTATTGCAGGCGCTGATGCTCGCTCGCTCGCTCGCTCGTACGTCCAAGGTCGCAAGCCGACAACCGTCGAGGCGACGGCGGTGTTGTACTGGAAGGTTGCGTACAGAAACCCTGCGACGGGAAAAACCCCAAATGCGCGCACTTGCCAGTCGGGCGTTCCCTGTCTGCTGTTGCTGCCAGAGGTGGTGGTGCCAAGTGCGTTTCGTTTCGCGGCCCCTTTCCTGGCGGTACTTGGTGCCTCGAGCGACCTGAGGTAAGGTACCTGTTCAGGCAGGCACGCTTCTGTGGTGGCGTGCGCCGTGCAAGGAACAGGGCGTCGTAGTGTCAAGCCTCTGTCAGAGCGCCGCAGACGCTGGCTGCGCTGGGGACTCTTGCCGGGGCCCAGGTACTTTGCAAAGTTTCGCGAAGACGTCGCCTGCTGGGTGTTATTGGCGGCACGCCTGCCTGTCGCAGACGGCACAGTGCGTGCTGTTGCTTCTGGCTCGTCAAAGTCGCAGAAAGCCGCGTGGTGTGTGTCGCTTTCGAGTCACCGGACCCTGTTGCAAATGACGGGTAACCGCTGTGCCCAGTCGCAGCGTTTCATCCGGCTGCCGAACCAGGGTGGTGATCAACGGGCAGTGGCCGGGGTGGACTGCTGTTTTGCCTCAATGCCGACACCGTCGTCGACGAATACGGACCCAGACGGCAACGGGAACGGACGGATTTAGCATGTGCAAGCAGCTCGTCGCCCAGAGAGTAAATAGTTTTGCCAGGGGCGATGGCCGTGCGGATCCAGCGGTGTACAATTGGGATGGCTTCGCGTTTGCCGTTCTTTGGCGTCGTCCAGGGACGCGGCCGAATGGTGTTGGCTTCGGGGCACTGCGATACTGTCTGCTATGGGGGGCGGCCGGGAGGGCAGGTGGCATCCCATTACACACAGCCGGCAGATGTATGTAGGTACTCACGGAACTCAGAGACAATCCAGGGTTGCTTTGACGTGCTGACGTGCGTTTGTTTGTTTCTGCCGTGCAGGCGAGAAGGAGGAAGAGGAGAGAAAGACCAAGCGACGAGGCGGGAGGCTTGGCCGGCAGAAGCTGAATTCAGTCAGTTGGGGAGGAGTGGAGGGCGCGCCTGCCAAAGCAATGGCTGAGGTACTACGATGTACCTAACAGTGCTGTAGGTACCTTCCCCGAGTTATTTGGGGGCCAACACCTGTGACCTGGAGAGGAGACCGTGAACAGCACCAAGAGCGCAGACAGATCAGAAAGATGCTCAAAGTCATGCCTCAGCTTCAAGCAAACTCGAGAGCCTCACAGGGGCCACGAGAGCAAGGCAGCCGCCGTGCCGTGCCGATACTTCCAAGTGCCTACGTACTCGCCAGACAGGTCGATGACGATGACGACGATGCAGGAATAAAATCACCACCCAACGTTGGCACAAGCCGTCAGCGCCTAAATCGCGATGCTGGCTCTCGCCTCTGCGCGCGCTTGAAGACGTTCCTGTCCGTGCCCGGTGGCCCAGGGCTAGGCCACTGGGCTGGACTGGGCTGCGCTGGGCTGGATGGCTGAATGGCTGGCCGCCGGGATGGAGGCGCGCGGGACGAGGCGGGAGCTAATTGGGGCCCGCTGATCTGCGAATTCGAACGGGACGAACAGTGACTTGCAACACGGAGCACACCAAAGCGAGCATGGATGACGATGAGGTGAGGAACCGCCGTAGAGGAATGGGACGTGGGTTGCCTGGCTGCTTGCGAGCATCAAGTTGCCAGTCGCGATGCCCTTTGGCGAAGAGTCCAGGCAGAGCCTGCCAAGCAAGCCTCTTCCTCTGCTCCCCACGCTTCGTCGTGCCGCTGCTGCCCCTCCCCGCTCGGCACCCCTGGTCCCTCCACGACAACTCGAAGCCAGATTGTCTGCAGGTGAGAATTGCGTCAGGTCCCTGCCCTTGTAGCACCTTGCCGAACAACCTAGCTGCCTGCCTGCCTTGCTGCCTGCTTTGCTCGCCAGGCCCGCGCCCTGGCCGCCTGCAAGAGAGACGGCGCCATGCCGTGCATCGACCGTCACGGTCGTTTGATTGACCCGCCGTCACGGGGGCCATGTAAGTGGGTGGTGTGCGCGCCTGCGACGACGCGGGGATCGGTCGCGTTTGGTCCTGATGGTGGTCACTGGCCCCGATGATGGTGGGCACCAGAGACATGCCACACGATCAACGGCTCCTGCCGCAAGACAAGCATCCACGGACAGCGCCGCTGAAGATGGAGCTGCTGCTCGCGAGAGCTTTACTAAGGCCGTGGTCCTGCCCATGGCGTTGTTGGGCCTCGTTGGGCGTCCAGTTGCGTGTGCCCCCGTGACGGATCATGGTGTGGATGCGTTACCGAGACACCAGATTTACACATCCAGACATCCACTTGGCCGAGAGCAGAGAGGGGGCGGCGCCATTCTCTGGGCCTCCCAGGCTCAGCCACGGGCCCCGTATCATCATGCCATGCAGAGCTCGAGGTTGTATGAGTCCCTGACCTTGCAAGACGGCAAGCTGAGCAACCAGCTTGGCCACGCAGCAGATGGTTGCGCCACCCGCCCGCCATTTTCCTCACTCACGCACAATGGCTAAAAGCCCAGGCCCTTTTGCCGCACTTGAGACGCCATATCCCCGCATGCCGGCCGAATTTCCATGTTGTGCATCCCATCGGTGCGGCAGCATTGGAACGACATGGCGACGGCAGTCCAAGAACAGTGCGCTGAGACAGGGCCCTGAGACATCGACTTTGCCGAGGTGTCCTGGATGCCGTCTTCAGCGCCCTATTGGTCGAATCGGACTGCCAAAGGTTTCCGCAACTTGGCGGGCATCCAGGCGTTTGGGACTGGTCTCGTCGTGGGACTCGGAACAGTCTCGCAAGTGCTTCATTCCTGAGCTCAACAGTCAGCTGGTTGAGTGTTCCAGGATGAGGACCGAATCTTGGTGGGGCCAGACGTTCGTTGTTTGACAGTGCAGTGCCCGTTTGCCCTGCTGGCCCCGCTTTCAGGACCCCCTTATCGATAAGACTCGCGCTCATGTGACCCGCGCTTATCGTCCAACTTTTTTTTTTTCTTCGGCGGCGATAAGCCCGAGCGGCTTTGGCGGGCTCTCGATAGCTTCGATTTTTCGTTCGCCATAACAGCCTTTGACGCTCCGGAGTTCCCAGGCCCTGCTTTTACCCGGAACCACCAGATACCGGTGCCGTCTCAATTGGATATTGAGCGCCTACGGTTGACGTGTGGTTCAACTTCGACTCTGGCTCAACGGTGCCAGTGAAGCAGCTTCTCTACACCCGTCGGCAGGTCGCGGCGGCCGTGTCTTTACCGCCATGGCTCCCTCAGCCACGAATACAGAATGGGACCATGGGTTCAACACTCTCCGTCGCCAGGATCTCTTCCGCAATCCTCCGAAAGACCGCAGCGCGTACCCCGCGCTGCAACTGGCCGTCAATCCCCACATCGAGTCCTTCAATGGCATCTTTCGCGACGACGGCAAGCCTGGGCTGCTGGCGCACGGCCTCGCGGATATTGGGACCAAGACGTTCCTTGACGGCGACGATAGGACCGGGCCGGAAGGAAAGAACACACTCAGCATCCGCGTCAAGGATGTAACTCTGCAAAAGCCCCAGGTCCCGCCCTCGAATAAGTTGGCGCGCAACAGGGAGATTTTCCCGGCGGAGTGCAGGGAGAGGCACGTCTCATACAGAGGAAGACTTTCCGCGACTTTTGAGTACTCAATAAACGGAGGCGATCCCGTCGAGTTTGTTCGGGAGCTGGGCCAGATGCCGATTATGATCAAGGTACTATTCCCAAGTTTCCTCACGCCATCGCCCTCCTGCTAACCAGTGACAGTCTAACCGTTGCCATCTCGAAAACAACTCTCCCGCCTTGCTAGTCCAGCGCAAGGAAGAATCCGAAGAGCTTGGAGGTTACTTCATTGTCAATGGCATCGAAAAAGTCATTCGGTTGCTCCAGGTCAACAAAAGGAACTTTCCCATGGCCATCCAGCGACCGAGCTTCCAGAACCGCGGCGCGGGTTACACTCCTTACGGTATCATTCTTCGGTCCGTACGGCCGGATGAGACGTCGCAGACCAACGTTCTGCATTACCTCAATGACGGCAACGTCACGTTCCGATTCTCGTGGAGGAAAAACGAGTACCTGATTCCAGTCATGATGATCCTCAAGGCACTTGTGGAGACGAACGACCGCGAAGTCTTTGAGGGTCTCATCGGCCCCATTGGTTCCAAAGCGACCGAGAACACGTTCTTGACCGACCGAGTCGAACTGCTCCTGAGGACATACAAGGGCTATGGGCTGTACAGCAGAGCGGAGACGCGAGCCTATCTTGGGCAAAAGTTCCGAGTCGTCTTGGGTGTTCCCGAAAACATGTCTGACTACGATGTTGGCACCGAATTCTTGCGGCGCATCGTTCTGGTCCATCTCGGCAATGTGGACGTGACGGAACAGCAGGACCAGGACAAGTTCCGCATGTTGCTGTTCATGACCCGCAAGCTCTACGCGTTGGCTGCCGGAGAGTGCGCCGTGGACAACCCTGACGCGATTCAGAACCAAGAAATCCTGTTGGGCGGCTTCCTGTACGGGCAGATTCTCAAAGAGAGAATCGACGAATTCCTCAGCGTTGGCGTTCGTGCGTCGTTGAGAGACTACCTTCGCAGACACCCGACCATTCCCTTTACATCAGACGACTTCCGCAAAGATTTCCCGACGACAATCTTCAGAAAGGCCAACGAGAACCTTGGCAACGCGCTCGAATACTTCCTGTCTACCGGCAACCTACAGAGCCCCTCCGGATTGGACTTGCAGCAGACGGCTGGTTTCACCGTCGTTGCCGAGAAGCTCAACTTCCTCCGCTTCATCAGCCACTTCCGCATGGTGCATCGTGGCGCATTCTTCGCCCAGCTCAAGACAACGGCCGTGCGAAAGCTGTTGCCGGAGTCTTGGGGCTTCATGTGCCCGGTCCACACTCCCGATGGTGCGCCGTGCGGCCTGCTCAACCACATGGCCCACAAGTGCAAGGTAATGACGGACTCACTGGACGTCTCCAAGCTGCCTGCCCTGGCAAGGGAGCTCGGCATCGTCGAGACCTCTTCAGCTTCGACGGACGAAAGCGTGGTGGTCATGCTGGACGGCAAAATTCTCGGCTGGTGCACGCCAAAGGAGTCGCTACGCATTGCGGATTGCTTCAGATACTGGAAGGTCGAGGGCACCCACGGCGTCCCGCTGCACTTGGAGATTGGCTATGTGCCGCCGTCAAATTCAGGCTCGTACCCCGGAATCTACATGTGTTCGACGCCGTCCCGCATGGTCCGGCCGACCAAGTACTTGCCGCTGCAGAAGGAGGATTTTGTCGGGCCATACGAGCAACCGTACATGGCCATTGCGGTCGTGCCGCAGGAGATCGAATCTGGTGTCAGTACTCACGTCGAGTTTGAACCCACAAACATGCTCTCCATCCTGGCCAACATGACACCCTTCTCCGATTTCAACCAATCCCCGCGTAACATGTACCAGTGCCAGATGGGTAAGCAAACCATGGGTACCCCAGGCACAGCCATCAGGTACAGAACAGACAACAAGTCGTACCGACTGCAGACTGGACAAACGCCGATCGTACGCGCACCCTTGCACAACGCGTACGGCTTCGACAACTTCCCCAACGGCATGAACTGCGTCGTGGCCGTCATCTCATACACTGGCTACGACATGGACGACGCCATGATTATCAACAAGTCGGCACACGAGAGGGGGTTTGGCCACGGTACCATCTACAAGACCAAGAAGATCTCGCTCAAGGACGACTCGAGAACAAAGGCGAGCAAGAGCGTATCCAAAGCCTTTGGGTTCGCCCCGCACAGCTATGTCAGCGCCGCCTACCAAGGGATGCTGGACGACGACGGCTTGCCTCATGTTGGCCGCCTGGTGCAGGAGGGCGACGTCATCTGCGCGTGGCACACGGTGACGCAGGATTACAATGGCAACTTTGTGAACCTCGACGGCATCACACACTACGAAAAGTACAAGGATGCAGAGACGGGCTTCGTCGAAGAAGTGCGGCTGATTGGCGCAGAGACGGGATCCGAGCCTCTGCAGACTGTGTCGCTGAAGCTCCGCATCCCGCGTTCCCCCATCATCGGCGACAAGTTTTCGTCGCGTCACGGTCAAAAGGGTGTGTGCTCGCAAAAGTGGCCGGCGGTCGATATGCCGTTTTCCGAATCGGGCATCCAGCCGGACGTCATCATCAACCCGCACGCTTTCCCGTCTCGAATGACGATTGGCATGTTCGTGGAGTCGTTGGCGGGCAAGGCCGGCGCGCTGCATGGCCTCGCGCAAGACTCGACGCCGTTCAAGTTTGACGAACAGAACACGGCCGGGGATTACTTTGGACACCAGTTGATGAAGGCGGGCTACAGCTACCACGGGAACGAGCCCATGTATTCGGGCATCACAGGAGAGGAACTGGGCGCGGACATCTACGTCGGTGTCGTGTACTACCAGCGACTGCGACACATGGTCAACGACAAGTACCAGGTTCGCACGACGGGCCCCGTGGTGCCGACGACGGGCCAGCCGATCAAGGGCAGGAAGAGGGGTGGCGGTATCCGAGTCGGTGAGATGGAGCGCGACGCACTGTTGGCACACGGAACGGCTTTCCTGCTGCAAGACAGACTCCTCAACTGCTCGGACTACTCCAAGTCATGGATCTGCCGGCGCTGCGGCTCGTTCTTGTCGGTGCAGCCGACAGTGTCGCAGTTTGGGTCGTCGAAGAAGAAGGCGCCGAGCATGGTGCGGTGCCGCAGCTGCGCGACCAAGCTGGACGAGACGGAGGGCATCGACCTGACGGAGATTCAGGGCGAGATCTGGGAGGACGGGCAAGGCCACTGCTGGGTCGGCGGCGACCAGACGACGCAGGTGGTCGTGCCGGGCGCGCTCAAGTACCTGGACGTGGAGCTGGCGGCCATGGGCGTCAAGCTCAAGTACAGGATCGGGAAAGACGACGAGCCTCGCAAGGGGCCGATGCGGCCGATGGCGACGCCGAAGCTGATCAAGGCATAGATGTGCATGGGAGGGAGGCTGGAGGTGTTTCGGGGTTTACCATGCTTGTGGCTGCGTGTACATCCTTTTTGGCATATACCCCCTCACGAGGGGAATATCTTTGGCCCATGGGTACTCTTTTACGATTTGTGTATTCATCAATGCATGTTCAGTGGTTGTTGAATCTATGTACAGGTTTTCCCACTGGCTTATGATACCATGGTCAGCATAGGAGCGCTTCTGTCTCTTCCCCCCCCTTTTCCCGCATCCAAACCCGGGCTGGCCACCGCTGCTCACTTTGCATCCGCAACAGCGCGGCGACCAAACTTCTTGGTCCTGCTCGCGTCGCGGGGGTGCAGCTCGACGGCGCTCCTCTTGCGGCGCGCGCCGCCGTGGACGTTGGCGGGCTTGATGTCGCCGCAGTCGGGCCGCTTGAGCTCGCCGGCAAAGGTGTCGGCGGCCCAGATGAGGACGCCGTTGGTCCAGCCGAAGCCCTCGACGACCTCGTACTCGCCGCCGCCGCCGGCGACGTTTGTCGACTCGTCGCTGTACTTTTCGAACATGGCGCCGACGGCGTCCTTTGGCGCGCCCTCGAGCTTGGGCGTGGCCGACGTGGAGCCGCCGGTGGCGTACCAGGTGCAGAAGGTCGAGTCGAGGTAGCGCTGGGCCAGGCGCAGGGCGAGGTCGTGCAGGTCCCGGTGCGCGGGGTCGTCGCGGCCAAAGGTCGCCGGCGTGTTGAGCAGGCCCTGCATCAGGACGTGCATCAGGGGCGGCCACACGTTGGGCTGGTCCCACTGCTGGCCGGTGCGGATGTTGGTCGCGGGGATGCCGCCGGGCCGCAGGTCGAGGTAGCGGGCGACGCGGGCAAAGGCCGTCTGCACGGCGTACGGGTTGTCGCGCAGGTGTCGCGGCGCGGCGCCCATCCAGAAGGGGAAGAACTGCGCGACGTGGAACAGCACCTGCTGCCCCTTGGGCGCGGGTCCGTCCGCGGCGTCCACGTCGGCGTCGTCATCGGCGGGCACGTAGATGTGCTGCGACGACGACGAGATGTTGTAGTCGAAGTAGCTGTAGAGCGTCTCGTTCCACATGAGGGCGTGCATGGCCTCGCTGCGGCGGGCGGCGGCGTCGTGCCACTCGCGCCGCGCCGAGTCGTTGCCCCTCAGCGCGAAGAAGTCGCCGATGGCGCGCTCGTTGCCGTAGAGGATCGAGTTGAGGCACACGGGCACCACGTTGTGCGTGTTGAGCGACCGCAGCGGGAAGTAGACGTCGCGCGCCGAGTCGCCCGGCCGGGCGAGCCAGCGGCTGCTAAAGTCCCAGCCCGTCTCGGCGGCGGCGGCCAGGTCCGAGTAGAGCTGCGCGCGCTGCGAGTCGTTGAGCGGCGCGACCTGCGGGTAGATGATGCCCGACTCGGGGGAGTAGTACGACTCGTTGGTGGCCTGGACGTAGTCCTCGCGGAACGACTCGGGGCGCGGCTGGGTGTTTTCGACGGCGAAGCGGCTGAGCGTGTACGTCTTGGTCTTGGTCTTCTTGCCGTCGGGGCCGCCCGTCGAAGAAGGCGCGCGCACCTCGACGGAGCGGTTGCGCGTCCAGAACTCGTGCTCGCGGACGAGCAGCGGCAGCGCGCGGTCGAGGATGGACGTGTCGTTTGTGTGCGTCAGGTAGGCGCGCACCATCTGCGACAGCATGGGCGGCTGGGAGCGGTTGAGGTAGTAGACGCGCGCGCCGTTGGGCACGAAGCCGAAGCGCTCCACGAGGTCGAGGAAGTTGTCGATGGCGTTGCGCGCGATGCCGGTGAAGGCGCCGCGCGTGCGCAGCAGGCCCTCGATGACCCAGTACGTGTCCCAGTAGTAGGGCTCGCGGAAGCGCCCGCCGGGGATCACGAAGGTGCGGTTCACGGGGATGAAGCTGTTGGGGCAGTCGGCGCAGTCGCCGGTACCGTCGCTGCTGCCGGCGTAGGAGCGCGTCAGGTCGGGCCATATGTCCACCACCTTGGCGACGAACTCGCGGATGACGGCGTCGTCGATGCGCTTCAGGAACTGCGGGTCCGTGTTGAGCTGGTCCTTGGGCACCGCCTTGAGCTCGCCGCCGGCGTCGGCAAAGTACGTGTCGAGGAAGTCGTTGAGCGTGCTGTCGTTTTTGAGCGGCTTGGGCAGCTTGTCGAAGGCGGCCTGGATCTCGGCGAGGGGACGCCGCGCGGGCCTGGAATCGTGTAAGTCACTTGTGATGATATTTGGTTGTGGTCGTGTTGGGGGAAAGGAAAAGCCACCACTTACATGTCGACAAAGTGCTTCGAGTCGGCAAACGGCCGCGCCAGCTCAATCTCCTGCAGGATGTCGCCGTGGCAGTAGATGGGCGAGTCGCAGGGCGCGCTGACGGAGCCGTTGACGAAGAGCGCCGCGGCCGTCGACGCAGCGGCAGCAGCCGCCAGCACGGCGGCGAGGCGCCTCGCGGGAGCCATTGAGCGTGGCTTGGGGGTTCTTGTCGGAGCACGCGCGCTTCACGAGAGAGCAAAGGAGGTGCCCGGGCAACAACAGGTGCTACTAAATAGCTTGGGCAGTAAACAAGCTTTGGGCTTGAGTGAGAGCACGGGGCAAGGGGCACGACGGACGGGGAAGGGCGAGGGACACCCGCAAAGATATACTCGTAATGCACAGAGTACATACATCCCCACGGCACTAATTATCGACGAGGTGCGGCGCGTGCCCCGAGCGACGACGACGACGACGACATCTGCCGTATCCGGGCGCGCAACCAGGGGGGTGGAGGGGGGGCCGCCGGGCGGTCCAGGGAGGAAGGCTCACGATGCGGCCAAGGCAAGCTATGGGAGCCTAGCCTCGATGCAAAGCAGCGCGGCGGGTGGGCGGACGATCATCATTGAAGTGGCATGTTGGGGCCCTTGGGGGGCGCGCGCGCGCGCGTGGGTTGTGCCGAGATGACGGTGATATGCCTTGGCGAGGAGGGGCAGGCGATGAAAGCTGGCGCCGCCGCCGCCGAGGGCATGGGGAGGGAGTATTACTCGTTTGTTGTGTGTTGTGTGTCGTTTGTGTGGATGGCACGGCGCAGCCATGCATGCATAGGTAGGTGCAGAGGTGCATTATGGTTCGACTGACTGTACAGTTTCCTTCCCCGGACGCCGCGAGATACCGAGTCGTCGTCACACCATGGGCACTGACTCGCGCGCGACGGCGGCATTACCCAAGGGCTAACGGTAGTATGTACGTGATGAGGATAGGTCGCAGGCGAAGGCCTCGCGGAGGTTGCCATCCATGTGGGTTTTATGTCCAGCACCCCCAGGCACGAATGCGACGTTGAGGCTGCTGCCGCCGTGGTCCGGGGGAACCGTTCCATGCGCTGGAAGGGGGGACAGTTCACCAGCCCGTAAATAATAGGTACCCATTCCATTGGGCCAGTCAATTCAGCCAGAGTAGAGCATCCATCGCGTCCATACCACGGCGTGCTGTCGACAGCCCTCGACGAAGAAACCCAAGATACAGTACCTCCAAAAAACCAGTCCAGGAACGACCCTCAGCGCGGGATTGGAAAAGGCGTTCCGTCGTTTCCCCATCCATCCCAGCACCCACCCTTGCATCTCGGCTCCAGGTCCGTCTGCCGTTGGTTGGGGCCGCGGTAGAGCCGCTGCTTGCACGCTTCGGGACTGGCGGCGCCCCTGTGGCTACAGGGATCTGACGTCAAGAAAGCCGCCTGTATTTTGTCCGCGGTGCAGCGCAGGGCTTGGCTGCCGCTGAAGACGCCCCGAATTCCTGCTTGACAGCGGGCGCGCGTGCTGTAGGTTGTTGCTGCTGTTGCGCCCTCCAGTGCATTCCATCCCATGCACTTCGTACCTAGGTGTTCTCCCATTTCTAGCACGCCGATCGAAGCCCGCCTGCGACAGGGGCCGGCAGAGCAAGGCGCCATCGAGCACCCTCCATGGAATAAGCATAAACGCACCTGCAACACTACTGCAAGTAGCGGCTCGGTCACCCGACCCTCGGTGGAATACATCCATTGCATCACGTACAAAATCTGCATTGCCACGACCTCGTAATGAATCTCTTCACCACCGTTCCCGCAACCGGCGGCGAAGACACATCCTTTCACAATGGCATGAGGGAATCGAGCCCTGCCCCGTTCCCCCCGCCGTCTCCAGCTGCTGCTCACCTGGCGTGACTGCCTATTTCATGTTCCCTTCTCCCCGTCCCATGACCCCGGACCGCACTGGGGGGGGTCCAGATCCTACCGGCTGTGGTACCATTTTTCTCTGGCGTAATGGAAACCGCCACATCTGGGGCATGCAAGAAGGAAAAGAAATACTTGCTGTCGACCCGTCCCCTTTCCCCGGTGCAACCGCGGCGCACGCCAAGAACCCGCCGCCTCTAAATCGACAACAACAAGCCTTCGCGCCATCCACCAACCCCACCTGGCAGACACTTCGTCGTTACCAACACACAAGACGCACAGGCGCACGGCATCAGTCCGTCGCCTTGGTCTTTCCCCCTCCCCCCTCCTCGTCGTCTCCTCCCGGTAGCCTGACTGCGGGGCCCCTGCGGGGTGCTGGGGCAGACGGCATTGGGGATGTGCAAATTGAACCTGGGCACGAGACCGACGGGGAGGCATGCCCAGTATTAGCTGCGCCCCAAGGCCACCCGGTTCCTGGAGATGCAGGGATCGAGGACTGACTGCCGGCCCGAATTCGCTTTTCGCGATGGCGTCAGCAGACGAGTTCTGTCTGTCGCGAATATGCTTGATTCATCAGGCAGTGTACACGCACGCTCGTCAAGAATCTGCTCATACAAATTCCCCGTCTTCGGTCCAGCCATTCCGCAGCGCCCTCGGCCGAACAAGAGTCCGGGGTTACTCTTCGCCAGCCACCATTGACTTTTTTCTCCCTTCCCTCGCCTGAGCAAATCTGGTTCCCATGCGTCGGGATGCCGGCTGCCCCTCCTGTATCATGGTTACACAAGCTCCATCAGACCTTCGTGCTACCCTGCAATCCGGGTGCCTACTGGTTGAACCAAGGTATTTGCTCACTGCAGCCTATGATATACGAGTACTTGATTCATGCCAGGATCAAGGACGAGACTGTCCGGATGAACCTTCCGCGTGGCTTCTGCCTTCACGAGCACGCAGTGTGCTTTGGCGTCCTATCGGTACCACATGCAGCTGCGGCAGTTGCAGAACAAAGCCATCGACTTGCTCCCGATGGTACGCCTCACTTGCAACCAGCCCAACAGTTCAACGCATCGCTTCTCACTTCAGGCGTGCTGCTTCACATGTCCAACCGAAATTCGCCTCATACATACGGCGCCTAGCTCAATGTTACGAGGCGAGAGGAAGTGTGAATTGCAGGCGGGCGACACTGCCGTACCCAACACACCTATGCCGATCAGCTGTCTCAAATCTCAGCCTGTTGATTGCTGAGTTGCCACGGGGCAACATCACATTGCCTTATGAGAAGCACCCCTCCCTTGCTGTGAGGCAGGCCCCGAATGCCGGATAACCTGGGAGGTCTGAGCTACTCTCCTTCAGTCGGAAAAGGGCGCTGTGACCCGTTCCTGCAGGATGCGGCTCCGTTCGTCTCGACTTTGAGTGAGACATGCATGAAGAAAGCCATCTCGAGCACGTGACCTTGGCAGACACCACAGCACTGTGACACAGCACGGATGGCAGAACGCGGTGGGTGTTGGGACGCGGGTCGTCGTTTGAACAACTATACGCATCTGGTGTTTTTGTGCGTTACCATGTACGAATAGACGCCCACCTGTATTATGTAGACGTGTCCCAACTCGCCTGGGCGTTGATGTCAGAGGAATGCCGGTGTTGCGAGTTCCTAGAAGCACCCTCTACACGTGCGTGAGACTCCCGCTACCTGCCAACCCTAGAGCATCCCAGAGTATGGACCAGAAGTTGCCGCCCAGACAGTCACGAAATGTAAACAAACGTCAACCAAGCTTGCATCTTTTCATCCCATCCCCAAGCTTCGTTTGCGGTGCGGCTGGGCTGGCGGCTGGCGGTACGTACCCGCTCCCCCCTGACACGCACCTGATGACGTTGCACGTGCACCCACCCCGGCTAAGCTGCCACCTGCGCACCAGTGCTGCGGGGGCGGAATTTCCTTGTTCCGCTGCCCCGAGCGCTCGGATTGGGCAGCCGCGCAGCTCACCCTCCTGTGCAGCTGCCCTGTTGGCCCGCCAAGACCCAATCGCGGGAAGGGAACAGGTTGCCTGAAAGGAGAGACCTGCCTGGCCCGGCCTTTCTCCTGATTAAACCTCACAAACACCAACGCCCCATCCATCCTATCCATCCACCACCACATTGACCGACCACGCGTCTCAACTGCTCGCCATCAGCAGCTTGCGACGCCGAGTCATCCCCGCCTTCTCTTCATCCACCTCTTCCGGTCCTTTCCCCGCGCGTTGCCTTGTTGCTCCCCAGCGCGCTCGTTTCCCGCCCGTCCCGCACGGCGCATGGAAGCTTCCGCGAGCTTCTCCCTGAATCGTCACCAGAGTCCCCGCGGTGTGCCTCGCCATCCATCGGCCCCACGAACACGCTTGGCAGCTTCCCCCCGCGTCGCCTGACTGCGTTCGAGCTTCAGGGTCATCATCGGCCGCGCGCCCCTCAAGTCAAGCAACGCGAACCACCGGCGCCATGGCGCCCATACCCATCAAGTTCCATGAGCTGGTGCAGCTCGCCAATGTCGGCGTCGACACGCAATCCATTGGCTTCAACTCCTGCGTAAGCCTGACCTGCCTCAGCTGTGCCAGCACCGCGAGAAGCGTCCCCGTCGCCCGCTAACCGCGCCTTGGCTCTCCTGCAGACCCTCGAGTCCGACGCCTACGTTTGCATCCGAGAAAAGAAGAACGAAGCCGCTCAGCCCGAGGTCGTCATCGTCGAGCTCAAGAATGGCAACAACGTCACCCGCCGGCCCATCAAGGCCGACAGTGCCATCATGCACTGGAACCGACAAGTCATTGCCCTCAAGGCCCAGTCTCGGACATTGCAGATCTTCGACCTCGAGCAGAAGAAGAAGCTCAAGTCGTGCACTATGAACGAGGATGTCCAGTTCTGGAGGTGGATCAGCGATTCCACCCTGGGCCTGGTCACCACGAGCAGTGTGTACCACTGGGATGTGTACGATGCTTCCCAGGAGGCTCCGTCCAAGGTTTTCGAGCGCAATGCCAACCTTAATGTACACTCTACTCTAGTCTTCCCCGACCTCCCCGTTCCCCATGAGCTGACCGTTCCCTTTTTCTCTCAGGGCTGCCAAATCATTAATTACCGTGCCAACGAGGACGGCAAGTGGATGGTTGTCGTCGGCATCTCCTCCCAGCAGGGCCGCGTTGTCGGTGCCATGCAGCTGTACTCAAAGGACCGTGGCATTAGTCAAGCCATCGAGGGCCATGCCGCTGCATTCGGCTCCCTGCGGCTGGAGGGCGCCCCCCAGGATACGAAGCTCTTCAGTTTCGCCGTCCGCACCGCCACCGGCGCCAAGCTACACATCGTCGAGGTCGATCACGCAGAGTCGAATCCCGTCTTTCAGAAGAAGGCGGTCGATATCTACTTCCCCCCGGAGGCGACCAACGACTTCCCCGTGGCTCTTCAGATCTCCCAAAGATACGGCGTCATCTTCATGGTGACCAAGTATGGCTTCATCCACCTCTACGATCTGGAGTCCGGAAGCACCATCTTCATGAACCGCATCTCGAGCGAGACCATCTTCACCAGCTGCGCTGACAGTGACTCCTCCGGCCTCGTGGGTATCAACCGCAAGGGCCAGGTCCTCTTCGTGACTATTGATGACTCGACCATCATCCCGTATCTCCTCGAGAACCCTGCCAACACAGAAATCGCAATCAAGCTTGCCTCCAGAGCCGGACTGCCTGGTGCGGACAACCTCTACGCGAAGCAGTTCGACCAGTTGTTCAACTCCGGCAACTACATGGAGGCCGCCAAGATCGCGGCCAACTCGCCCCGAGGCTTTCTGCGAACGGCCGAGACGATCGAGAAGTTCAAGAGGCTGCCTGCCCAGCCCGGCCAAATGGCGTTCACGCTCCAATACTTTGGTCTGCTGCTGGACAAGGGCGCTCTGAACCAGCAGGAGACTATCGAGCTCGCTCAGCCGGTTCTCCAGCAGAATAGAAAGCACTTGCTTGAGAAGTGGCTCAAGGAGGGCAAGCTGGACTGCTCCGAGCGGCTCGGCGACATGGTTCGCCCTTACGACGTCAACATGGCCTTGTCCATCTACCTCAAGGCCAACGTGCCCCAGAAGGTCGTTGCAGGCTTCGCTGAGACTGGCCAATTCGACAAGATTTTGCCGTACGCCGCTCAAACCGGCTACCAGCCCGACTACATCCAGCTCCTTCAGCACATCATCCGCGTCAACCCCGAGAAAGGTGCTGAGTTTGCGACGGCATTGGCCAACAGCGAGCAGGGCCCGCTGGTCGACTTTGAGCGGGTCTGCGACATCTTCCAGTCCCAGGGTATGATCCAGCAGGCGACTGCCTTCCTGCTCGACGCACTCAAGGAGAACAAGCCCGAGCATGCGCGCCTGCAGACGCGTCTGCTGGAGATGAACCTCATGCACGCTCCCCAAGTTGCCGAGGCCATCCTCGGCAACGACATGTTCACCCACTTCGACAAGCCCCGGATCGCTCAGCTCTGCGAGCAGGCAGGCCTGGCTCAAAAGGCGCTGGAGCTGTACGAGGACCCCGAGTCCATTAAGCGTGTGATTGTCAACATTCCGGGCAGCTCCAACTTCAACCCGGAGTGGTTGACCAGCTTCTTCGGAAAGCTCTCCGTGGAGCAGTCGCTGGACTGCCTCGATGCCATGATGAAGCACAACATTCGGCAGAATCTTCAGTCAGTTGTTAACATCGCGACCAAGTACTCCGAGCTGCTGGGCCCGGTCCGTCTCATCGATCTCTTCGAGAAGTACAAGACTGCCGAGGGTCTCTTCTACTACCTGGGTAGCATTGTCAATCTGTCCGAGGACCCCGATGTGCACTTCAAGTACATCGAGGCCGCGACGCGTTCCAACCAGTTGAACGAGGTCGAGCGAATCTGCCGTGACAGCAGCTTCTATAACCCCGAGAAGGTCAAGAACTTCCTGAAGGAAGCGAAACTGCCCGAGCAGCTGCCTCTCATCATTGTGTGCGACAGGTTCAACTTTGTCCATGACCTGATCCTCTACCTCTACCAGAACCAGCAGTTCCAGGCCATCGAATCGTATGTTCAGCGCGTCAACCCTTCGCGAACTCCGGCCGTCATTGGTGGTCTTTTGGACGTCGATTGCGACGAGAACATCATCAAGCAGCTTCTTAGCACTGTCAATGCTCAGCAGATCAACATCGATGAGCTGGTCTCGGAAGTCGAGTCGCGCAACCGCCTCAAGCTGCTGCTTCCCTTCCTGGAGGCCACGCTTCAAGCCGGCAACCAGCAGCAGGCCGTCTACAACGCCTTGGCCAAGATTTACATTGACTCCAACAACAACCCAGAGAAGTTCCTCAAGGAGAACGACCAGTACGACACCCTGACTGTGGGCAAGTACTGCGAGAAGCGCGACCCCAACCTGGCCTACATTGCCTACTCCAAGGGCCAGAATGACCTGGAGCTGGTAAACATCACCAACGAGAATGCCATGTACCGTGCGCAGGCTCGCTACCTGCTTGAGCGTGCCGACGCAGAGCTGTGGCGATTCGTCCTCAGCGAGAACAACATTCACCGACGCTCGGTCGTGGACCAGGTCACGTCTACCGCCGTGCCCGAATCGACTGACCCAGCCAAGGTCTCGGTTGCCGTCTCTGCGCTCCTTGACAACGACATGCCTCTGGAGCTTATTGAGCTGCTCGAGAAGATTGTCCTGGAGCCTTCCCCCTTCAGCGACAACCAGAACCTCCAGAATCTTCTCCTTTTCACAGCTGCCAAGGCGGACAAGGCTCGCGTGATGGACTACATCCACAAGCTCGACGGCTACAATGCTGATGAGATTGCTTCGTCCTGCATTGATGTCGGGCTTTTCGAGGAGGCCTTTGAGATCTACAAGAAGGCCGACAACAAGGAGGCCGCCGTCAACGTTCTCGTTGAGCATGTTGTTAGCATCGACCGCTCGCAGGCCTACGCCGAGGAGGTTGACATCCCTGAGGTCTGGAGCAAGGTTGCCAAGGCTCAGCTTGACGGGCTGCGGGTAGCCGACTCCATCGAATCCTACATCAAGGCCGATGATCCTAAGAACTATCCCGAGGTGATCGAGATCGCCACTCACGCCGGGAAGAACGAGGAGCTTGTCAAGTACCTGCGCATGGCCCGCAAGACGCTGCGCGAGCCTGCCATCGATACCGCCTTGGCTTTCTGCTACGCTCGTCTGGACCAGCTGGCTGAGCTCGAGGACTTCCTGCGAGCTACTAACGTCGCCAACATCGAGGAGTCCGGTGACAAGGCCTATGAGGAGGGACTCTTTGAGGCCTCCAAGATCTTCTACAGCAGCATTTCCAACTGGGCCAAGCTTGCCACGACGCTTGTGCACCTCGGCGACTACCAGGCCGCCGTCGACTGCGCTCGCAAGGCGAATAACATCAAGGTCTGGAAACAGGTTCACGAGGCCTGCGTTGAGAAGAAGGAGTTCCGCCTGGCCCAGATCTGCGGCCTGAACCTGATTGTCGATGCCGAGCAGCTGCAGACGCTCGTCAAGGACTACGAGCGCAACGGGTACTTTGACGAGCTCATCAGCCTCTTGGAGCAAGGTCTCGGCCTTGAGCGTGCCCACATGGGCATGTTCACGGAGCTGGGCATCGCGCTCTCCAGGTACCATCCGGAGCGGTTGATGGAGCACATCAAGCTCTTCTGGTCCAGGATGAACATGCCGAAGATGATTCGCGCTTGCGAGGAAGCCAACCTGTGGCCGGAGCTGGTTTTCTGCTATTGCCATTACGACGAGTTTGACAACGCCGCCCTCGCGGTCATCGAGCGACCGGAGAACTCCTGGGAACACCAGCAGTTCAAGGAGATTGTTGTCAAGGTTGCCAACTTGGAGATCTACTACCGCGCGATCAAGTTCTACGTCGAGCAGCACCCCTCGCTGCTCACGGACCTGCTTGCAGCGTTGACTGCCCGCATCGATGTCAACCGCGTCGTCAAGATGTTCCAGAAGAACGACAGCTTGCCGCTGATCAAGCCATTCCTTCTGAATGTGCAGTCACAGAACAAGCGCGTCGTCAACGAGGCCGTCAACGACTTGCTCATCGAGGAAGAGGACTACAAGACGCTCCGCGACTCTGTCCAAAATTACGACAACTACGACGCTGTCGAGCTGGCTGGCCGCCTGGAGAAGCATGACCTGATCTTCTTCCGCCAGATCGCCGCCAACATTTACCGCAAGAATAAGCGTTGGGAGAAGTCGATCGCACTGTCGAAGCAGGACAAGCTGTTCAAGGATGCAATCGAGACCGCCGCCACGTCGGGTAAGACTGACATTGTCGAGGATCTCGTCCGATACGTGAGTTACCAAGCCTTCGTCACTGTTGCTGCTGCAGACGCTAACCATTCATAGTTTGTCGACATTGGACACCGCGAGTGCTATACTGGCATGCTTTACGCCTGCAACGAGCTCATCCGCCCGGATCTCGTTTTGGAGCTCTCGTGGCGTCATGGACTCACGGACTTCAGCATGCCTTACATGATCAACATGCTTGCCCAGCAGACCCGAGAGATCGCACTCCTCAAGTCCGATAACGAGGCTCGCAAGGCCAAGGAAAAGGAGCAGGAGAAGACAGATGACAACACTCCGATCCTCGGCGCTGGACGGCTGATGATCACGGCTGGACCTGGTGGCATGGGCGGAGCTTCGCCTGCGCCGTACGGCCAGACAAACGGTTTCGCGCCGCAACCCACTGGCTACGGATACTAGATGCAAGTGCCTGTGTGGGTCTGGTTCCCTGCGAACCACATGCAGGCGCCGGCTTACAGTGTCAACGGCGACGGACGATCGTTGTCGCGGGCCTGCTCCGCGCTGTCACGGACAATGGATGATTCAGGAATTTCACTTTAAGCTTACGACTGTACCCATTGATGCCGCCTTGATTTACTCTTGATTCTGTTGCGGAAAAGGAAGTTGCGGACACATGCTCTTGGGATGGCACAACAAGGGCGGCGGGGTCCGGATTTGCTATCGCGTTTCGGGATGAAGAAGAATGACGCCTAGTCGTCACTGGAAGGGGGGGGGGGGGNCATGGCTTTGCCTGGCATGAACTGCTCTAATGGTTCCTTGCTACGGGTAGACTAGAGGCGAGGCACATTGCGAGCCAGACGAGAAGAGGGGCATGTTGTATGATAGTAATCAAGTCTTGATTTGATTGTTCAATGACGCTCGACAAGCACTGTACGGTGCCTTTGCAAATGTACACGATGAAAGATCCATATACGCCTTGCCCAACTTCCCACTGGAATAATATCTTATGTATGATGCCGACGATCAACTTCTATGCGGTGCCTTCTGACACGGTCAACTGGCCTTCGCCCGCCCCAATGTCGCGTTTCCCCCGCTTTTCGTCGTTGGGCTTTGGATGCGAGATCTTGAGCCACTGGCCATTGAAGGCGTTGACGAGCCAGTTGCTGAGCTCTGCGGGAAACGAGGTTAGTTCCAGGCCTGTGTGTCCGCTGCTTGGCGCTCCCTATCCCAAGGAGGCGTCGCAGCAGTAGGAAAGGAAAAAAAGGGCGGGGAAAACATGGGGACTCACTGTCAAAGACGATGTGGTTTGCGCCGTGGAAAAAGATGCCGTGGTCGCTGTCGGGGAAGACGTGGACGTCGTAGTTTTCCACGCCGGCGAGGTCTAGGGCGTCGAGCAGGGTGAGGGAGTTTTGGAAGTGGACGTTGTCGTCGGAGGCGCCGTGCATGACGAGGAAGCGCTTGTTCTGGCCGAGGGCGGTGGCGTTGGAGACCTTGGAGGCGCGGTAGCCGTCGGCGTTGTCGGCGGGGAGGCGCATGTAGCGCTCCGTGTAGACGCTGTCGTAGAAGAGCCAGTCGGTGACGGGGGCGACGGCCATGCCGTAGGAAAAGGTGCGGCCGGCGTCCTGCTCGAGCGTCTTGAGGGTGGTGAAGCCGCCGTAGGACCAGCCCCAGATGGCGAGGCGGTCCGGGTCGACGTAGTCGAGCGAGGCGAAGTGGCGCGCGGCGGCGATGTGGTCGTGCGACTCGTGGATGCCGAGCTGCGAGCGGACCACGACGCGGTGCTTGCGGCCGAGGCCGCCGGTCCCGCGGGGGTCGACCGACACGACTAGGTAGCCGAGGTTGGAGGCGACGTAGGACTGGAAGTCGACGCCGAACTTCTTGGTCACCGTCTGCGAGTTGGGGCCCGAGTACTGCTGGAAGAGCACGGGGTACTTCTTCTTGGGGTTGAAGTGCGGCGGGCGGCGCTCCACGTAGTTGACCTCGACGCCGTCGGCGACCTTGATCTTGCCGTACTTGAGAACGGGGAGCTCGTGCTTCTTGGCGCGGTCGGCCAGCTCGTGGTTGTCCTCGATGACACGCTCGTACTTTGTGGTGCTCGAGGGCGTCGAGATGACCTTTTGATACGGGATCTTGGGGCCTCTGTACGAGAGCAGAGCGTAGCCAGCGCCCGACGAGAACGAGGCAGAGTAGTATCCTTCGGTAGACGTGTCCGTCAACGGCTTCAGGCCCGACCCGTCAAGTTTGACGACGTAGACGTGTCGCTGGATCGACGACTCCTTAGTGGCGACAAAGTACACGAGGTTGTTCTTGAGGTCGACAGCGGACGGCGCGCTCTCCACTTCCCATTCGCCTTTCGTCAGGAGGATGGGCTTGGGGTTGTCCACAGGCGTGTAGTACGCGAGGTGCTCAAAGTTGTCGTGGATAATGGTATCCACGTAACCGTCATGCTGTCGCCCGTTGGCAGGGTCGGCGGGTATATACGTCATCTTGTGCGAGATTTCAAACCAGCCGCCGTCAATATCGGCGATGTTAATGTCATTGATCGTCTTGGCTGAGCGAGTCCGGACATCGACGAGAATCACCTTGAGGTGGTCGCCAACGCGGTTCGTCTCCTTGACAATGACATTGCCGCCCGCCCAGAGAACGTTGTTAACGATGCGATTGTCGTCCGGAAAGTCGGAGTCGACGGGCGCAGAGAAGACCTCGGCCTTGGCGACGTCGTAAAATTGCAGGTCGACGACAGGGTTGTGTGACCCAGGCTTGGGGTACTTGATCTGCCGCACTTCGGGGTACGCCTCTTCTCCCTTTGGGGGCTTCTTGCCGCTTGGGCGCGAGACAAAGTACTCGATCGGGAACTCCTTGACTCCAGTCTCGTTGGTGCGGAGGAAAGAGAGATATTTGCCGTCCTCGGACCACCACGTGGCCTCGCGCCCGCTAAAGACCTCCTCCTCGTATACCCAGTCAGGGATGCCATAAAAGTACTCCGGGCCGCCGTCCTTGGTGATCTGAACAACATCCTTCTTGCCGTTGAGACGTCGGATGTACAGGTTGTTGTCGAGGGTAAAGGAAACGGCGTCGCTTCGCGGGCTCCAGGTCGCGAGCTGCACCTTTGCGTTTTCCTTGTCGGGATGCAGCGCCTCCACTTTGCCGGAGGCAACGTCGAGGATGTAGTAAGAAGCAGTGAATGAGTGTCGCCAGTTCTTCTCCTTGTCGACGCCAAGGAGGACCTTTGAGAGGTCAGGGCTCGGCTTGAGCCACTCTGGCCGGCGCGGCTTGCCTTTATACTCGAAGTACGCCGTCTTCATCAAGGTCATTGAATTCTCCGGCTTGGCGGTGCCATCTCGTGGCATGGAATCTTGGGCCAAGGTCCTGACGTCCTCGACGACGAGGTAGTCTTTGTCGGCGGCTCCCTGCTCCAGCAGGAGCCCGTCCTGGCCGTCGGGGTCCGCGATCCAGCTTATAGAATGTGAACTGGGTGACCAGAAGCCCGAGAGGACCTGATCCAGGGTCACGACCTTGCCGGAGCCGCGGCTGTTGGCATCGGGGTCGTGGTCCGAGTCGCTCGCATGCTTGTAGGACCCAGACACAAGGAAGACGCCGAGGGCGACGAACCAACCGCTGACGAAGACGACGCCGACTATCCAGAGGATCCTGCGCAAGCTGCGATCCATGGGCTTGCGCTGGAGGGACGCCCCAGACTCACCCAGGAACGGGCCCGTCTCGACAGCGTAGGGATCGTCCTCGAGGTCGGCTTCCTCCTTGTACCGGTCGCCATTGAGGCGATGCTTGCCGTTGGACTTTCGCTTTCCCGAGCTCTTTTCCATCTCTTCGTGCAGACGATCGAAGACGAGGCTCGTTGTCGACACGGAGGAGAGAGAGTCGCGGGACGAACGCGGCGCCTCGGGCGCAGGGTCTGGTCCGGATTGGGCCATCGTATTGCAGATGCGGACTGCCGGACGAGGCGTTCGTTGTTGCAGCGCGCGGTCGCTCAATCTGATCCGACGCTTTTCACGACATGCCCAGCAACATGGGCAGCAGAGAATGGGGACGCTTCGACGCTGGAACCCCTGACTGCGACAAAACGAAGAGCTTCGCGACGATGCGATGTCGACACGGTGGTGGTGGTGGTGGTGGTTGAGGCGCAGGGCTGATTCGGTGCTTCCGTCATTCACAGCGTCTCAATAGAGCTGAGCTCCCCCAATAGGGCAACCGCTGTCACGCAGGGGGCAGCGGGCGGACCCTCCATTTTCCACACCGCGGCCAAAGAAGCCACAGTGGAAGGTTTGCTACCCTGCACTAGCCATGTCTCCTGAACGGACAACCATGGGATGTTTGCTCAATGCTTGAAGAGCGGGATGAAGCTGGAGAAGCCGCATCTCGAATGTAGCTGCAGCTTGGCGGGCGTGGGATGCGTTCACAGAAAAGATGTTTGGTACTACACCATAGCCTACGACGTACGAATGACAGCCAGGTGCTGCTGGAAGGGCGTGCCGAAGTCGGGGTCCCTGCCATCGCCGGCCGCTGCCGAGTTGGGGATGCCCCAGCGAGCCCGACGGGAAGTCCGAGTGGGCCAGTCCACCCCCCAAAGGGCCCTGCCCCTGCCGCTGCCCATGTCGCCGAGCCCAGACTGGATCCAGGGCAGCGGCTCGCTGCTGGTTCCATGACGGCGACGAGACCCGAAGATGCCAGCACTAACCGAGGTCCTGTAGTCGAGACCGGCATCAGGTAAATTTATTCTGCCCGCTGGGCATTGGCAGCAGACCGCGATAAGACAATATCCGTCGCAGACTCGACTCCCGTATCCCCTCGTCGGATCGTCCGCCTCAGGCAATCCGCAACGCCCGTCCGCGGAGGGTCGGGCAGTGGACGAATCGAAATGGCCGATTCGGCCTATTGTCGTACATACGACAACCCGGGCTGCGGGCGCCGCGCGCCATTGGCGATGCTGCCCGGGGATGAGATAATCTGTTACCTCACTGGCCGACGCCTCGTCGCAGGCTTCGCACTGTAGCCCGGCTCCACGGGGAGCAGCCTCCGGACAGTGCCACGCGACACCCGCACAGTGGTCTCCTCACAAATGCATGACTTCACTCCCCGGCTTTTACAGCGGGGCCCCGGGGCGCTGTAGAGTCACGTGCACGCGCCGTTTCGCGGACTTTGTCGGCGATTTCTCTGCCTTGGGTGCGCTAAAAGCTGCACCAGTGCCAGTGCTCTTATCAATCTGGGAAAACGGGGGGACCCAGAAGTGCCGCCAACCCGTACACTTTCTCTCTCACACGCACCTCTTTCCTCACATCCATCGCCACCCTCGCACCCTCGCACCCTCGAACTTTCAATCAACCACGCTCGCCTCTACCGAAGAAACGGAAAACTCTGCATCCTACGCCAGATCAACGACAATAAACCACCGTCACCATGCTTCCCCTGCGCGCGTCTCTCCGCGCCGTTCGGGCCCTGCCGTCGCCCGCCGCCGCCGTCGTGCGCCGCAGCGCAGCCGTCACGTCCCGAGTACCGGCCGCCACCCGCTCCTACCACGACAAAGATATGTCCCTCACCCAACTCCCCCCATAGTCGCACGCACGGCAAAAGGTGGTCGCCCAGGCTGACATGCGCAGCACTCATTGATCACTACAGCCGGCCGCGGAATCCCGGGTCCATGGACAAGAAGGACCCGTCCGTCGGGACGGGCCTCGTCGGCGCGCCCGCCTGCGGCGACGTCATGAAGCTCCAGATCAAGGTCGACGAGAAGACGGGCACCATCACCGACGCCAAGTTCAAGACGTTCGGCTGCGGCTCTGCCATCGCCAGCTCCAGCTACCTGACGACGCTCGTCAAGGGCATGCGATGTTAGTAGTCTCTCCATCGTCCCGGCCGGCGGCGACCGCCGCTCACATTTCATACGCGCCTGTCCCACGATGCTAACGAATTCTGTTACACAGTGGATGATGCCGCCAAGATCCGCAACGTCGACATTTCCAAGGAGCTCTGCCTCCCTCCCGTCAAGCGTGAGTTGAAACCCCCATGCAGGCTGCACCACCCCTCGTCTTGATATCCCGTGAGCCCCAGCTGACAACCGACCGCCCGCCCGACAGTTCACTGCTCCATGCTCGCCGAGGACGCCATCAAGGCCGCCATCGCCGACTACCACGGCAAGAACCCCAAGGCCTCCATCTCCGACCTCGCCGGCACGGCGCGGACATTAGAGAAGGAGACGGCCGCGGCTTAGTTGAGGCAGAAGAGGATATGATGATGCGCGTCATCAGTTTCAGCAGCGAGAAGAGGACTTGTCACGATACACAGCAGTTTAGTGTGGGAAACGAACTCGGCGTGATGAGGGCGAGTTGCTTTTTTACAGAGCGGAGTGGATTTTGTTTTTCCAGGCATGTGCGGATTGACGACTGCACGCAACCACGCGCGGCACAGGGATACCGGGATTTGTTTGCTTGATATTGCGTCGGACGCGTGGCACTACGAAAAGCTGGAGGTCTTGAGAGAATCCCAGAATGGACATGCTTTGGATGGGAGTACGGATGGGTAGCATCGTCAGAAACCGAAACTCAATTCTGCAATCCCCGTTCAACAGCACACCTGCCAGCACTCGTGCTCGTGACATCCTACTGTCGTATATCGTGTCTCATTAATCATGTTGACACCACGGCCTGCCTGCCGTCTGCCTCCCAGTGGGCTCTTCCGCGGTGCGTCCCGACGTCCAGACTCCCCGCGACGCCCGTGGCATCACGCCAAGAATCGACTGCGTGTGTAACCAAGGCTCGCTGTAAGAAAGTACCAAGTGACCCAAACCCGCCGCAAGCGTACTCGGCGCTCTGCCTTTTCCGCGCGAGCATCCCCTAGTATTCTGCACATGAAGCGAACCATAACGTATCCCAACCATCCCACCTGTGTGCCGTAAGCCTAGTTCGTTACACCGGCCGTAAGTACGCGCCTCCCTGCGCAAAAGGGTTGATGGTGATCCTGCTGTGAAGCGTTGTCTGAATGAGGCAAAAGGGGATATCGAAAAGCCGCAGCCATGCCCAAAGAGAAAGAGACCCCCGAATTCGACTCCCAAGTGGAAGTTTGTAGTAACTCATGCGCAATGAGGGTAGACACCAGAAAACGGACAACGCCATGCGTACCATCCTAAGTAAATGTACATGAGCCAGATCAATCAATGCGAGAACAGGGTATCCAAGTAACAAGTCCGTCGTATAGTTGCACAAACTTCTGCCAAAGATCAAGCCATCCAAGCCTCGAACGACGCGTTTGTGAAGCCCTGTGGAAAAAGTGTTGGAGGGACATGAAGGGGTCGCATGGCCCTGACAGCCCACTCCTGTTTGCAGAAGTGGACGTTGGCTAGGTGCTGGCAGAGCTCCCAAAGACGGTTGCTGTCCACCTCGGTCCTCTCCCCGGTAGAGCTCTGCGAGCACTTACGATAGGCAAGGCGCATCATAAAAAGCCTCTGCTGTAGATAGTTCAGACCCCATATGGTTGAGGGGTCCTTGCCCTTCTGTTTCAGATTCTTTGACAGTGCAGAAAATATCTCAAATTCGATTTGCCGCCCAAGTATAAGGAAGAGGATAGCGCCGAGCCTGCTGAGCTGGGTTTGCGTACCCACTGACGATGCAGAGGCGTTGCTGAAGAGCTGGAACTGGAAGGAGGCGCCGGATGGATGCCCCTCGTCGTCGATCAGCGCATTCAGCTTGAAGTTGCTCAAGTTGAAACAATCTTCATCCAGTGATGGCATGCACGTCTGTAGACGAGCTCTGATACTCTCGTGAGGAACGACATGATCCATGACATCCCGGAACGTGGGAAATCGAGCGAACTCGGTACCAATATGACGAAAGAGGCTGAGGCACGTGTTGAGGTCGAAGGTGCATTCAGCGTGCGCCTGCATCCCTGTGCGGTACAGCTTGATGTGCGTACAGCCGTTGCTGACATAGTCAGTGATATCGGTCGTTATCTGTGAAATCGTGTAGCTCTTTAAGGACTGGTAGTTGACCAAGGTGTAGATGCAATGATGTTCTGGGACACTGGGGTTAGTTGTCGAGGCCCGTGGTTGGCGAGAAAATGTGACGTACCTGTGAATTGGGTAGCGCCACCCTGCTCTACCAGGGGTAGAAAGTGATGCCTCGTACAGACACATGCGTTGGAGCGACCTGAGCTGCATGTGGTGCATCGTGTGATGCCCTCATCGCCACAATCGCACTGTAGGAAAACAAGTCAGACCAAGCGGGCTTCGGCTTGCGGAAATCCGATCAGCTTCTTACCTTACGGTTCTTCCATTTGCATCGGGCACAAACGGTGAGGTTCTCCTTTCTATTCCTGGCGTCCTCCCTTTGTCTCTCCGATAGGGGCCCCGTGCGATGCCCTCTGGTTCTCTGGCTTGATGAGGGGTCTGCCGGCCCCGGCTGGCCCTGTTCATCGCCGCCTTGTAGCGTTTCGTGGGGTGCCAGCGGGTCAGGTGTGTTTGCTGCCAAGGTCGGCAGACCGGGCTGCGCAGATGTACCAGCCTCAGCTGGGTTATTGACATTTATCGGAAACGGCAAGTTCGCATTGACGGATAAATCGGTTTCAGTGGTGAACGACGATTGCGTCGTGTTCGATATTGATCGTGTGCCAAGCGTGGTATGCAGTGCCGGAGGTACGAACTGGCCGTATGAGTTGTATGTGCTCGGTGATGTACCCGTTTGAGGGCCATTCGTGTTGTTTGGGTTTGAGGAGTGGCTTGCTTGGGAGATACTGGCAATCTGCCGAACAGGGATGGCCCTGGGCCACGTGGGGGTTGCACGAACTTGAGGGGCCCTGCGTTGCGAAATGGAGAGGGGCGGCTGGGTTTGGGCTGGCTGGCCTTGGCCCTGCTGATACTGTTGGTACTGGCCCTGCTGGTACTGGGCTTGCTGTAATGGGCCTTGCTGGAATTGGGCCTGCTGGAATTGGGCCTGCTGGCCTAGGTCTTGCTGGTGTTGACCTTGCCGGCAGTGGCCTTGGCCATGCTGATACTGGAGTTGCTGGGCTTGGGCGCTGTGATATTGGCCCTGCTGATAGTATTGGCCTTGCCGGTACAGGTGTGGGTTCGCTGGGTAAGGTGAATTCCCAAAAGACATCCCTTGGGCGGCCGGATATACCATTTGAGACGGCACCCCGGGAGGGTCAACGTCCATCATTGGTGGATCAAACCCCTGAGGATTGTTCTGGAAGGCCATGCCAGGATCATGCGTGTCGCCCTGAGGATTGTTGGCAAACTCATGGTAGGACGATTGGGCATTGACGTGGAGGGATGGCACACTGAAATCCCCCATTGGTTGCGCGATGGTGCCCATGGACTGGCTACCACGTTGATATGTGTTCTCGTGGACATATGATTCGAGCTGGTGTTGGGAGACGAGGAGGGATGGAGCGAAAAAGGCGGACTCCTCGTTTCGTGGGAAGAAAAGTTCCTCTGGACTTTGGTCATAGTTGCTGTCAAACCCCTGAAGGTAAAGCTCGATCTCCTCAGGCCGACTAGACGCGGTCGCACTTCCCTGAGACTCGTCGAGTTCAAAATCCGTCCTGGTCGTATACGTGAGCTTCTATCGGCTTTACTAGAAGAGCTGGCAGACCAGCGTCATACTTACGCTAACGGGGGTGTAGAATTGCTGTCGAAGCGGCCATCGTTCCTGTCGGCATCCGGGAACCCGGGCATCATGCCGTAATCATAGCCAAGCTCCTCCCCAGCCATGGCGACGGCGAAGCAATTCTTCTTATGAGATTGGCTCGAAGGAACGGCAATCGCGAGGCGTGTAGGGTAAAAGCCCGTTGTGGGTGTAAGTCGCTTGCACACGGTGTGGTGGCCGCGTGTGGGATGGCAAGCGGGGCGGTGATGGACGGGCACAAGCAGCGACTGCAAAAGGTACTGGCAAGAGCACTTGAGCGAGCAAGACCTTTGTCGCGATAGGAAAGCGGCCACCAGAGGGCAGCAAACGACTGGGCAGCCGGGGTGCCGTCAGACTGTGTTGGAGATAAGGGAGGTATTCGAATGGCTGGCTCGTTGTCGTGCCCTTTCGTCGTGTCGGTCGGGATTTGGCCGTCTAAGTCCGCGAGCGGTCGAGGGCGGCGACGGGGAACGACGTCCGAGGCGACGACGATGGCCGCTGGAGGGTTGCTGTTGAAGCCGTGTGTCTGTTGTCGATGTACAGGCACTGTATCCTCTAATGACGCAATGTAGGTAGGTAACGTAGTTGGTCGATGCCCGAATCCCAGTGGTGCGGTGCGGTGTGGTCGCAGATTCGCCGGCCAAGCAGAGTGCAAGACTGCTGTGATCTGGTGCAGCGACGAAACGGAGAGATTTCGCGGGGCCAGCGGCCTTTAAATTTGGTCGCTGCTGCTGCGGCCGCCGGGTGGTGTGGTGCAGGCGTGGTGGAGGAGCAGGATGTACGGAGTATGCGCGGACAGGGACCTTATGAACCGGTTGGGCGAAGAAAGGTGGTGGTTCTGGGTCCAGAAAAAAAGAGGCGACCAGACAGACACCAGGGAAGGAGCGAAGGAGCACACGCGGGAAAGCGGTATAAAGCGATATGAGTGGCGGGGCGCCACGGGCAAGTATGAGGAAGGAAGGAAGGAAGAAGGCAAGGAAGAAAGGAAGGAAGGAGGGAGGGAGGGAGGCAAGGCGGTTAGCAGCTCAAGCAGTGGACGTGACAGCGCGCGGGTGTGTGATGAAGATGATGAAGCGTCACGACGGAAAAGTCTGGGTGCATGCAATCACACAGGCAAGTTGACGTTGGGAGTCTGGAGAGCAACTGGAGAGGACCCCACCAGGGAAGAGAGAGAGCGGGAGGATGGGATGGGCGAGAGGAGAGATACCATATAACTTGAGATGTACCTGGGGTGGATGGAGGGAGGGTGTCGGCACTAAAAGGTCCAGCACAGTATCAGACAAGACGATGGCCTCGCCTCGGACAGACCGCCGCCTCTCCAACGCCGTGTGCTCTTTGCTCTGGGTCGACCACCCCAGCAGCCGCTCCATGAGAAGGTCGAGGGACGCGCCGTTGACTGTGCCGGGCCAGCCATCACCCCGTACTTGGTACGCAGCCAAATGTGCATTAATAAGTGGGTTGCTGCTCGTTGTCGACCGAACTTCCCTCGCCATCTCTGCTAACCGGGCTTGGGATTGGAGGCATCTGGGGTTCCTCGGTGACTGGGGGAGGGATGTGGCCCTCTGCGCCCAGTGGATTGCCGATCTGCAGCGCCAGCGAGATGCGGCCAGAGTACATGGACGGCCCCGGCGGTGACAGCAGCATGGCCACACACACGTACAACCTGCGCCGTGTGTCGTTACTGAATGGCCAGGCTCGGGACGGGCCTGGTGCCGCTGGGCCATGCCACCGCTTGGGGCCCCAGAGGCGGAGAGAGAGGCGGGAGGAGGGGATGGATGGGAGGGAGGGGTGCCAACCGTGACAGCCGGCCGGCCGACAGGGGTGCCCCGAGCGAAAGAGCCGCTTCCTTTCGGTAGTGTCAGGTGCGTTGGCTCTTGAAGCCCAAGGGCTCGAAAGCCCAAAAGATTGCTGGCATCAGCTGACGTATTGATGGAGGGACACAGATTCTCGTTAGTTGGCGAAAATCCTAGATCTACTCGGGAGGCCCAGCCACACATTTCGAGCTAAGATTTCACCCGGCCATGAATCTTCACGGCGAGGCGATGCTGCCCAGTGCTGCACTTGACCAGACAGACCTCTGCTGGCTTGGTGCGGTGCTGGGAGACGGGCATCGTGGACGCCGTGACGGCTCGGCTCGGCTCGACCGCCTTCGGCCACGAGTTTAAGCCTCTTTATTACCTGCCTGCCTACCTGCCGCCCAAAGACGTAATCAGCGTCCACGACCGAACCGGCTTCATTTCCCTCCGTGACCGCCAGAGCGTCACATAAAGGGTCAAAGAGTCGGTGTCGCAGGGGAAGGGGCGGTGCGGTACCGTCAAACACTGGGACACCAGGCGGGAAGGAGGCGATGCACACCTGGCTTCAGGTTCACCCGCTTCGACGAGGCCAAATCTCGGTATGAGACCCATTGGCTCACAATGTTCCGCCGGCCGCACGCGTGCTCACTCGCTCACTTGAGAAACGGGCTTCTTTGATTGCAATTCACTTTATTGTGTGCGTCTGCTGGCGGCCGCGTTGGCGTCGCCGCCAAGAGAACGGCGCTTCTGCTTATCTTATCTCATGATGCCCGGCGCCAGGTGGTGGATGGGATGCCATTCTCGGCCCAAGGTACCAGAGGTAGGTGACTACCCAACCTTCGGCTTCAAGAGAAGAGCGCTGAGAGGGCAGGTAAGTTAGGGGATGGCACACCCTCCCCATTGACCCCCGGCAGGCGGCGCGCTACCCGTGCGACAAGTGCAACAACAGGCAGGCGGGAGGAGGACGTGGAGGAGCAGAGCAGCCCGACCGGAGCGGCGCCAACACGCTCTGCGTCCCGTCCCCATCGCCGCCGCGTTGCAGCCGGATCCAGAGAAGGTGGTGGCTCGTTCCCTCATTCTCTCGCCATTGCTGGCCGGCTGGCTTGCTGGCTGGCTGGCTGGTCGGCCGGCTGGCGGCGAGTGAAAACCCCTCACTGAGCTTCGGTGAGGTGAAGTGGAATAAGCCGGCGCAGGTGCTCGTCCTTGGCCCTCATTCTGCAACGATTGGACGCGGATGGTGGCCCACACGGTATACCGAACAATTGAAACAAAGCGCAAACAAACAAAACGCACCAGAGGCGATGACGACGACAACGACGATGACGCTCGGGGGGGCAGGGGAGGGGAAGAGGGGAGAACAAGCGTGGGGACCTCGACTCAACTCAGACGCTGGCGCGTGGCATTGCCGACGGGACGAGACCCAACTTGCAGTTTGGTCCCTGGATCAGGACGGCAGCCCCGGCTGAAAGGAGTTTACGCTCATTCTCCCCTCTCCCTTCCCCCCTCCCTCTCCCTCTCCTATCCCTCTGTCCGGCTCTCTGGCGAGGGTTGGGGGATGGATGAATTCTGAATGGGTGGTGGTGTGCGTGTGCGGGCGCCGCCTGCGAGTCTTCGGGCCTCCGAGAGTGGCATGGCGGCCTCGTTGTGCATGAGGTTTGGGGGCCGGGTCGGGAGCGGTTCCTGCTCTGGTGAGACTCGCAGAAAGCCATCGAACCACGAAGACCACACTAAAACATCGACCCTCGGAAAAAAAACCCCCCCAAAAGTAAACAATATGAACGATTGATGCGCTGTCAGGGCGGGCAGGGCTGTCGTCGCGAGAAGCCATCGTGGGCGAATCGATGTGTTGTCTCGACGCTTTAGTACTCGTTCGTCCATCGGGCCCCAAAAAGGCGTGACGGCCGTTTTTTTTCTGTGCCAGCAGCAACTCCGCTAGCTCCGACACAGCCGGGCTCTCGGGTTGCCGTTGGGGGCAACAAGTATTTAGCACGATTGCCTCGCGTCGCCTCGCGGGCGTGATGCTGCGACGAGCGAGTGATGGCCCGGCGGTCTCGACGCCCGAGGGATGCCCCTAAGTCACTCTGTCTGTCGCCTGTCGCGGGCGCGCGCTCCGCATCGCCTGTCAGTGGCCAGAACGAGTACTTGAACGTGGCCGTTCGCCCTTTCCCCCGTCCCATCGGAGCGCGCTGCCGATTGTTTGTTAGCGGGGAGGCGTGATGCGTGATGCGTGACGAGCCCGCCCGCCCCCGAAGACCCTGGGGCAGATCACTCTCCCTCCCGCCACGAGTGGCCTCCAGGACGTGGCACGTGTCGTTGTCGTCGTTGTCGTCGTCGTCGATGATGAGTCCTGCGTTCCGAATGACGGATGACCGGGCGGGCGGCTCTGCGTCTCGGGGTGTCCATGCCGAACGCCGACGACGCTCAGCTCGCCGCCCCAGCCCGACCTCTGACTCCTTCGACTTGACCTGACCTGACTTGACTTGCTGGCGACGATGCCCGAGGGGTGAAGCGGTTCATACCGAGAACGACGCGCATGGCGACACGACATGTCGTCGACATCTGTTGTCCGTCGCAGGACGACGTTAATCAGGTTAGTCAGGGAGTCCCGGTGGTCAGTGGTCACGGTCCCCACGGGGCACAGCCCCAGTTGTCCTGCCCTGAGGCGTCCAAGGCTCGAAACAAGGCCGGCCAAAAGCCAATTCAATGGGGCAGTGCAGCGTTGGCTTAGCCTTCAGTGGTCACCTCAGTCAGTTGTGCCCCGCGTGCTCCTACCGCCTGGCTGGCTCCCTCTCCTTCCAAGCTTCCAAGCTTTGTTTGCTCGTCTCCTCTTCCCCTCTAGCCAACCAAGCCATGGAACCGNCCACAAGAGCACCTCTTCAGCGCCCCTCCCTCGCCCGTTGCCCCTCCTCTCCCGCCGCCCGCCGCCGCCACAACGGCCCCGCGATTTCGTCGTCTTCACTCAGATACGAAATACGCGCTGCCAGCTCACTGGCCCCAGCACCCCGTTGCCCACCACAGGCCCGCACCGGGCGCCGGCGCCGGCCAACCGGCCGCTGATGAAGCCCACCACGGCTGGGCGGCCGTGGCGCATCCAGCCATCTTTTGACTGCCTGTCCCGGGCGAAATCCAGCCACAGAATGTTACGGGGCCCCGGCTGTCATGAGGGCCGGGACGTGGGCAGACGGAACAGACGTGCCGATCAGCGGCTGTCGAGTGTATATAAAGTCTGGCGCGGTGGCCTGTTTGGATAGAGTAGAGATAGTAGCTCAATTGGAAGACTCGTCATTGCCGGCCACTCTTCAATCTTCACGTCGCTCGAGAAAGACTAAACGACAGTAAACGCAACTACGAGTTCGTGGCTCGCTTGCACAACACCACAACACCACAACAACACAACAACACAACACCACAAGCACTCCACGCATAATGGGTTTCGGCGCCAAAGAAAAGACCCCCGAGGAGGTCGCACACATCCCGCCTCAGCTCTCCGACCTGCACTGCTTCACAGAGACAGAAGGAGTCATTACAACCAGTAAACCCGCCTCGACGCCCCTTTGCGCCCGCGCGCTGTAGTTTTACTGACGGGGCACTGCTGCCATGTAGCCATGATGGACCTGCCAGGGTACCGCGTCGAAAAGGTCCTCGGCACCGGTAAGCCGTCCTCTAGTACCACACCACACACCGTGACATCCGCGCCACTAACACCCCTCGCCAAAAAGTCTACGGCATCAGCGTGCGGTCGCGCAACATCGCCGCGAGCCTGGGCATGGTGATGAAGAGCTTCGCGGGCGGGGAGCTGCGCTGGTTCACCTCGATGCTGTACTCGTGCCGCAACGACTCCATCAGCCGCGTCGTCGACGAGTGCAAGCGCCGCGGCGGCAACGCCATCATATGCCTGCGCTTCGACGCCGGCGACATGGGCGGCTTCGCCCAGACCGCCGCGTACGGCACCGCCTGCATCGTCCGGCGCATCGACGAGTCTGTTGAGGTGCCGCCGCAGCTCGCCGCGGCTTGAGTGCAGTGAGCGGCCGGTGATGATTGGGCGTCCGTCGCGGGACACTGGCGGGAGAGGGGGGTTGCTTGATCGATTACCTAGAATGTTAGTTTGGATATACCCTTCTCGTATGGTTGGAATAGAACTGCTTTCGTGTCAGTCAGCGCTGTCACCCGCGGGTGGCGAGGCCATGCCCACCCCGCCGCCGCCCGTGACCGTGTTTCTCAGCGAGCGAGTGAAATGCCCCTCGGCATCGACTCGGGCAAGGCTATGCGATTCGACGAGCGCAGCGCAACCAACCATGCCATTGTCCCGCCCAGCATTGCCGGTGCCCGTTCGGTCACAACAGGCCAGGCTGTGTCTCGCATGCTGTACCGCCCCAACCGTCCCATCGAGTGTCACCAGACGCATGTCGGGCATTTGTTTTGACAGGAGCTGCAACACCAGGCCACCGTGAATACGAAACACAATGTAACCGATACACAAACAAGCAAGTCAACGTTTCTAGTGGGGTTTTCGCTGCCACGCCAGGGCCGTGGGTGCGTGGTTGGCTACGGCGTTTCTGGAGGCGTCAGGGAGAGCGCCCTGGAGTTCGCGCCGGGATGATGTCATCCACACATGCGCATCAGACCCCAATCCCAATCTTTTTGCTGAACCTGTCAAACGTGCATTCGCGCACAGCATGCAGGCCAAACAGTTGTTCCAATCATGGAGATATACGCGGTAGGTGCTCTCTACGTTTTCAAATGTTACGTTCCAAATGCAAGGACTCGGACTGACCCCTCGCAGGCCGGCGCCGTCGCGGCCTTCACGGTGGACGTCCTCGTCTATCCGCTCGATACCCTGAAGACGCGTTACCAAAGCCAGGACTACATCAAGACGTACGCCCCGGGTTCGAGCAACAAGGCCCTGGCGATTCGTGGCCTGTACCAGGGCATTGGCAGCGTGGTGCTGGCGACTCTCCCAGCAGGTGAGTAGATGCGGCGGGTAGCTCGGCTGACCACGAGTGAGGCGGGCCGCATGGGACCGCGGATGAACTGCCAGTCTTGTCACATAGAGTCATCGCGCTGACAAACCTCTCGCGCACAGCCGGCTTGTTCTTCTCGACGTACGAGCATGCCAAGGAAGTCATCGGGAGGACGGTCCCCGTTCACGACGCCCTCGTCCACTCGTCCGCCTCAGCAGTCGCTGAAATGGCCTCGTGCCTCGTCCTCGCCCCGGCCGAGGTCATCAAGCAAAACGCCCAGATGCTGCGAGAAGACCCCAGCAGCCGCAATGCCAACAAGTCCACGTCGCTGCAAGCTTTCCGCCAAATTGCTGGTCCTGGAGCCCCGGGGCGCATGTTCTCGGGTTACACGGCGCTCGTCGCGCGCAATCTGCCATTCACTGCTCTTCAATTCCCAGTGTTTGAGCATATGCGTTCGCACCTATGGGAGTCCAGGCTCAGGGACCGCGCCGACCAGAGCAAAGGCGTAGGGGAGACGGGCCTGGTTGCCGGCGCCAGTGCCGGGTCTGCGGGAGCCTTTGCGGCGTTTGTAACGACGCCCAGTGACGTGGTCAAGACGCGAATGATGCTGATGGGCCCGGACGACACCATAGAACGGTCCAAGAAGGGTGCGTGGAGCGTGACGAAGCAGATATACCACGAGCGAGGGCTCAAAGGCTTCTTCCGAGGAGGGCTGTTTCGCTCTGCGTGGACCGCGTTGGGAAGCTCGTTGTATCTCGGGACGTACGACATGGCCAAGCTCTGGCTGAAGCGCAGGAGGCCAGAGATAGACGACTCAATTGGACTGTGACCCCACATGGTGTCGTCTTACGGGAGCGGCGGGTTGACGTGCGCAAGCAGGGTCGCCCGTTATCGCTGCACCATACATTCCAAGTATGGTACGAATGCGATTTGATGCTTCCGTCAGCACCTTTTTCTCGCTCTACAGGCAAGGTCGCGGCGAGGGTGCGGGCTGCCCCGCGTGGCTGCGCGGGATCGTCCGACAATGATCGGGCTCGTTATGCTTCAAGAGCCCCATTGCCTTGCAAGTGTCAAAGCTTCCCGGAGGTGACGGACATGGCAAAGGGCGGGCGGTCGAGACGATCCCCAACTGCCGACGACCAATAGGCAAGGAGCCGAGCTTGACGTCTGCAAGGGTCCTGCAACATTCTCGAAAGCCCCATCCGTTGCCATCGAGGGATTGACTCGGGTGGCGCGCCACAGGGCCGATGTCGCCATTGCGGCTCAAACTTTGCCTGTGTTGGTCGCTAAGGTGGTGTGATGCGATGGTGCAATCAGGGGGTTAGCGCACAAGCGCACCGCCGCCCATGCCCGCCCTCACAGCATGCGTAGACGTCGATCTGGGGAATGTCCAACCCCTTGATGCCCTCTCGCGTCTTTGGACGAAGGCAGGCAATAGCACGACCGTCGTAAAGCTGAAACCCTGCCAATTCCACACCAGATTGGATTCGACGCAGTTCCGCGCAACCGCCAATGCACACCGCCACGGATTTGCCCGGTAGACACCCCGACGCCCGTCCGACTCGATGGCTCGACGTTGCTGATCCTGGATTGCGAAATTCGGGCCCCGGACTGCCTCATCGCTGCTAAAATTGCTCTGACTGGCCCGCTCCCACCAACAAGCCCCTCCCCCGGAATCCTGCCATGCAGTACTTCGTACAGCAGTATCTGTCCTCTGCCGTGCGTTGCGCTTGGTATCGGATGACCATGTAAAAGGTTGCCGTGTCCGTGTGGCGGTGTGCCGTAGCCTGCTGAATTTCCTCCATCCCATTGCCGCCCTTTATTTGGCCCTGACTCGCTCCCGGACCGTCCGTACCTGTCGTAGTTCTTCCTCGACCAGACCAGCCCGGCAGACAATTTTTCCTCCCAGAAACATCGTCGTCCTTTGTGTTGCTGCGTTGCCTCGCCGCCCGAGTCCCCGCGCACCAGTCCACCCGCCATCATGGCAGCCCGAACCCAGACAGCGCTGCCTGTTGACGTCCCCGCCTTCTCCAGGGAGAAGGAGGCCATTTCCGCACTCCAGAACGACCTCCTGCCACAAGATCGCTTCATCGTCCAGTCGCCGTACTCGGACCCGGACCATCTGCTGGATCTCGACACGCTGAATAACGAGAACGCGCTCCTCGCTCAGGCGCTCGCTCGCCTCCGGGCAACCCGCGACGACTATGCCACGGCGCCGTACACCGAGTCTTTCAACTGGTCCGAGGTGATCGGCGAGCTGAGGCAGCTTGCCAAGTCGTCCGGCAAGGGCTTCAAGCAGACGTCGTTTTACATCGTCGCATTCCGCTCGCAGATCAAGCCGAGCACCGAGTACAGCCATCTTGGTGAGCTGGACAAAGCGGCCCACGCCGAGGCCGTAGCCAGCGGCGGCTTTCTCAAGTGAGCATCCCGCGTCGATGCCTGAAGCCCCGCTCTGCATATGCTGACATGGCGCAGGTACTGGTTCGGGTCGCCGGATGCCGAGTTGCGCAATCTTGCAACCTGCATTTGGAGGTCGCGCGAGGATGCGGTGGAGGGCGGAAGGGGTCCTGCCCATCGGAAAGCCGCAGGTTCTACGCGGGCTTTGTATGCGTTCTGGAAGATCGACCAACATCGCCTCGTCGTGCGAGACAATGTCGACAGCTGGGAAATCGTTCCTTGGAGTGAGTGAGGCTGCGATTCGGCCTCTCTGCGAGGCGAACAGGCGAGTTTCAGCGAAAGCTCCCATCCGTGATTGCCGCCGGGTAGACACATGGCATCGCGGCAACTTTTTGATGAAAATTGCGCAAAGACGGTCTCATATTAGCGACAAATAGCGTTTTAGAAGGTATAGAACCTTGATGGTATTGAAGAGACAGCATTGCTGCCACGCTATTTGTACTCTCGAGTGATCTCAAACGCGGATGAAAACAAATTCACGCACTTGCGTGAAGCTTCAACGAACTGATTCGTTCATTGTGATACCTACGGCTTGTGACACTTGGCGGCGGCGGCAAGTGAGCTAGGAAAACGCGTCAATCGTAGGCTGACAGGCTGACGTCGCAGACTGCGACGAGGGCGACTCGGGCATCGATGGAGTTGAGAGGTCAAGATGCCCCAGCATCCGCGAGCTCCAGGGGGCGCCGCCTTCACCCCACCAATTCTGCCGCGTCTCACCGCCTCAACCCACAACGCCCACAAATCGGCACGCGAAAAGTTCGATATTCCATCAATCGAGACGATCTCGCATCTTCACCGACCCCGAACCTTCGCGCCAGCTCCTCTCTGTGCGTCCACGCCGGTATCCAGAGCTTCACGAACGACACGGACAATATGAGCGACTCTCTCAAGGATGCGCCTTTCCAGGCGGTGCAGGTCGAGGCTCTGGTCAGTCTGCGATGCCCCACCTCGACGTTCGAATGCCACAATGGGGGGTACTGACATCGGCATAGGTGATCATGAAGATTGCTAGGCACTGCTCTTCGGCCTTCCCCACGACCGCGACGGGATCTATCGTCGGCATGGACCAGAACGGTCTCCTCGAGATCACCAACACGTTCCCTTTCCCCACAGTCGATGGCACCACCGCCGACAGCCACCAGAACGACGCCTCGCAGATCGCCGCGGCTGCTCCCCGGCAAAAGGCCAACGTCGCGTACCAGAACGAGATGATTAGACACCTCAAGGAGGTCAACGTCGATGCCAACAACGTCGGCTGGTATACTAGCGCCACTATGGGCAACTTTGTCAACATGAGCTTCATCGAGAACCAGTATCACTATCAGAAGGACAACAGCCGGACTGTGGCCCTCGTCTACGATGCCAGCAAGAGCTCCCAAGGCAACCTTACCCTGCGGGCATTCCGCTTGACGACCACCTTCATGAACGCCTACAAGGAGGGCAAGTTCACCACGGAGAAGTGAGTTCACGTGCGCGACCTTTCGGATATAGCTCGTTGCTGACCCGTCGTGTAGCCTGCAAAAGACGAAGCTGTCCTTCCGCGACATCTTGGCCGAGCTGCCCATTACCGTTCACAACTCGCACCTCCTCACCACTTTCCTGCACCAGATGCCCACACGTCCCTCCTCGGACGAGATCGAGCAGCCCAACTCGCTCGCCGACCTCAAGGATGCCGATTCCAGGGTGCCGCTGTACCCTTCCGTCGACACCCTCGACCTCTCCATCGACCCGTTCCTCGAGAAGACGTGCGACCTGCTCCTTGAGAGCATCGAGTCCCACTACACGGACCTCAACAACTTCCAGTTCTATCAAAGACAACTCGGCCGCGAGCAGGCCAAGATCACGCAGTGGCAGGCGAAGCGCAAGGCCGAGAACGCCCAGCGTACGGTCGCCAAGCAGCCGCTCCTGCCCGAGGACGAGTGGCAGCGACTGTTCAAGCTGCCCCAGGAGCCTAGCCGGCTGGAGGGCATGCTCAACGCGAAGCAGGTGGATCAGTATAGCAAGCAGGTGGATGGTTTCACTGCCAACGTCAGCGCCAAGATGTTCGCCGTGAGGGAGAACCTGCTGCCCCAGTAAAGGGCCTGCCATCGAGGGCCAAGGTTAGGGATCAAGGCACCAGCTGGCGGGTTGCATTGACGGCGTTCCGGATGGAGGGATTTAATGAGTGCTTGTCTAGATTTAGCGACAAGAGTTGTGCTTGAATGCACTCGTGAATACCCAAATCGGGGCCATGATGAACCACCGCTTGTGAGGAGATTCGACTACGATGCCGGGGGGGTGCTGTGCCGCTGCAGAGGAGCAATGTATGTCACGAAGGCCCCCGAATTGGGGCGCGCCTTTTCGCCCGTCGTGCTTCGAAGGAGCCCTGGAACACATCATGTACCGGGCCAGCCAGCCAGTGCTGCGTTTGTGCGCAACCTAAGTACCTAGGTCGAACGGTCACTACAGGAGAGTGCCCCCCAAACCAACGGGCCAGCTCTACAACGTCCAGTGGCACCAGAGCCCAGAGCCGTTGCTTACGACAACCGCCGGCGATGTTGGCGTTGAGGAGCTCCAGGGCTGACATAATACCTCGCGCTCAGGAACGGCGGGCTGGCGTGGGTGCTAGGCACGCTGTGGGTGCGGCCACATTGCTGCCAAGTCATGCTCTGGTGGGCAGAGGCGTGCGGGCGCTTTCTGTTACTCCGGGAGAAACCGATCGCCCGAGCCGCCCAGACGGCGTTACCGTTACCACAGGTACAGAACCTTCCTCGCAAGCGCTGTCGGTTTGGCGGTGCTGCCCCGCCCGCAAGCAAATTTTGCCCCTCAATCTTCACCGCCCAATCCCACCTCGACAATCTGCCATCCCCCCTCCTCCTCCCCGCCCCCCTCGCTGTGAAACTACTTGAACCCTTCTGTCTTCCTTCATAACACCTCAATTGCCTCGCCCTCATCCATCTTCCTCCCCTCTACCGTCCTCTCCCCTTCACAACACAGCCACAATGTCTGCTCCCGCCCAGAAGTTCAAGGTCGCCGACCTGTCCCTTGCCGCCTTTGGCCGCAAGGAGATTGAGCTCGCCGAGAACGAGATGCCTGGTCTCATGTCGACGCGCGAGAAATATGCCGCCGACCAGCCCCTCAAGGGCGCCCGCATCGCTGGCTGCCTGCACATGACCATCCAGACCGCCGTCCTCATCGAGACCCTGACTGCTCTCGGCGCCGAGGTCACCTGGACGAGCTGCAACATCTTCTCCACCCAGGACCACGCCGCTGCCGCCATTGCTGCCGCTGGCGTCCCCGTCTTCGCCTGGAAGGGTGAGACCGAGGAGGAGTACAACTGGTGCCTCGAGCAGCAGCTCCTTGCCTTCAAGGATGGCAACAAGCTCAACCTGATCCTCGACGACGGCGGTGACCTCACCCAGCTCGTCCACTCCAAGTACCCCGAGATGCTCAAGGGCTGCTTCGGTGTCTCGGAGGAGACCACCACTGGTGTCCACCACCTGTACCGCATGCTCAAGGACAACAAGCTCCTCGTCCCCGCCATCAACGTCAACGACTCCGTCACCAAGTCCAAGTTCGACAACCTGTACGGCTGCCGCGAGTCCCTCGTTGACGGCATCAAGCGTGCTACCGATGTCATGATTGCTGGCAAGGTCGCCGTCGTCGCCGGCTTCGGTGATGTCGGCAAGGGCTGCGCCATGGCCCTGCACGGCATGGGCGCCCGCGTCCTGGTCACTGAGATTGACCCCATCAACGCTCTCCAGGCCGCCATGGCCGGCTACCAGGTCACCACCATGGAGAAGGCTGCCGCCATCGGCCAGATCTTCGTCACCACCACTGGCTGCCGTGACATCCTGACTGGCGTTCACTTCGAGGCCATGCCCAACGACGCCATTGTCTGCAGTGAGTACCACCACAACCCATCGACCCTGAAACGTAATCTGACACTTGCGTAGACATTGGCCACTTCGACATTGAGATCGACGTTGCCTGGCTCAAGAAGAACGCCAAGTCCGTCCAGAACATCAAGCCCCAGGTTGACCGCTTCCTGATGCCCTCTGGCCGCCACATCATCCTCCTCGCTGAGGGCCGCCTGGTCAACCTGGGCTGCGCCACTGGCCACTCCTCCTTCGTCATGTCCTGCTCCTTCACCAACCAGGTCCTTGCCCAGATCATGCTGTACAAGGCCAACGACGAGGCTTTCGGCAAGAAGTACGTCGAGTTCGCCAAGACTGAGAAGCTCGAGGTCGGCGTCTACGTCCTGCCCAAGATCCTGGACGAGGAGGTCGCTCGTCTCCACCTGAACCACGTCCAGGCCGAGCTCAGCTCCCTGTCCAAGGTCCAGGCCGAGTACCTCGGCCTCACCGTCGAGGGCCCCTTCAAGAGCGACATCTACCGCTACTAATTTCCCCCTCTGTAATACATACCCAAGAGTCCTTCAACTGGACTCGTACGTGTAACGACTTTCTGCCGGTGTCCCGGACCCGGAATTGGGCAAACTTGTGGATTCAACAGCATGAAAATTGCATGGCATCGGGGCTGGGAGACTAAAAGACATGAGACTTATTGAATTTCTTGTTTTGTTTGCGTTATATGGACGGGCATCTCGCTGGGTGGACGAAGGCGGAACACATCTGCTTTTTCAACAAAACGGCGTTGGCTTTGACAAGACATGATTCCCCCACTGGCGAGATACAAAAGACACATGATGGATGGCAAGATGAGACGGAGCTTGATGAGCTCGAACCGCGACGGCCCGTCAACCGCGGCCATGGATAGATGGATGGCTTAGTCTACCTGAATAGACATTTCTCGCTTGAGATTTCATGCTCCTCGTCCTCTTTACGCTGTGGCCCCATTACGGCTGCTTCACTCAGTTCTCATTGCATGGCCGTTTGCTCTGGCACAATGCTCTTGAGCTTGCCTTCTGTGACGGCCATGCGCACGTTGTCAATTGCCCACTCCTCCATCTTTGTCTCCGTCTCCAGCGTCCATGTGCCCATGTGCGGCACCAGCAGGACATTTGGGTTTGCGAGTAGTCCGGGGTGGATTTGGGGCTCGTTCTCATAGACGTCGAGCCCCGCGCTGGTGACCCGTCCGGACGCGAGAGCGTCAACGAGCGCAGCCTCGTCCATGACGGCGCCACGAGCTGTGTTTACGATGACGATACCGGACTTCATGATGGCGAACTGGGGCGTCGAAATAACGTGACGGGTGCGCGGCTGACGAGTGTTAGCTCTTACTACATGGCCGCCCACAACATCACGAGCGTAGCCTGTGTTGGGCGGACTCACATTCAGGGGCAAGTTCAAACTAAGAACGTCACTCTCCCTCAACAGCGTCTCAAAGTCGACATACTCGGCACCGTCCTCCGCATCGGCGCTCAGCCGTGACCGGTTGTGGTAGCGGATGCGCATGCCGAACGCGCGCGCCTTGGCGGCCAGGTTGCGCCCGATGCCGCCCATGCCCAGGATGCCGAGGACCTTGCCCTGGGGGTCGTGGCCGAGGGCGAGGGGCCGGCCGTCGGGTCCGTTGCGCCACGTGCCGGCACGCAGGGCGGCCATGGACGCGGGCAGGTTGCGCAGGGCGCCGAGGAGCAGCCAGATGGCCGTGTCGGCGGTGGCGTCGTCGACGGCCGTGGGGGTGTTGGAGACGCGGACGTTGCGCTGCGTGCATGCCGGGACGTCGATTTGGTCGTATCCGGCGCCTGGTTACACGACACCCATGTAAGTAAGATACGTACTCTGGAAAGAGGAGGCCTTCGTGCGAACGAAGGAGTATGCGACGTGCGGAGCGGGCGGGCAGGGGGGTCAATCACCGTTGTGGCAGAGGTAGCGAAACGACGAGGGCAGAGCGTCGAGCAGCTCCCCGTCAATGCGGCCCGTTACCTGGGCGGACGCAAAGGTGCGGTAGGCGGCGACCACGCCGTCGAGCGCGCCCGACTTGCATTCTGCGATGAAGTCGGCGCGGTTGCTGGACTGGGGCCGCAGGACGTGAGCGATGTCGGCGATGGATACCCAGGCGTCGTGGGCGCTGGGAGGGGCGCGGGAGGTGTCAGTCAAAATGCTGCTTTGGAAAGCCAATTGATGGCGTTCGGGGCGCTTCATGACATACTGTTCAATCTCGCCCAAGAGGAGGACCTTGGGCTTGTCCGCCATGGTGGTCGTCGAACGGAACGATCCCGGTCGTCGGACTTGACGTGGCGGTCGTGGCGGGGGCGGGGTGAGCTTTGGGTGAAGCGATCGCGATGATAATTTTCAGGTAAAGTCGCCTCGCGGACCTGGCCGTTGTGCAAAGTAATTGAATACGTTGATGAGGACCTATTGGCTTGTTGAATTGAAGGTTTCAGACAAGAATCAAGGAGGGGGAGTTTATCGGCGGGGTTGATTCCTGTCCGTCGCATCATACAAGGAAGACATGGAGCGTTGAGAGGGCGCAACATGCTCGGCGGGCCATCTGCCATATTGAGGCTTGGCCTCCACAATGGGGTGGATGTCTTCAAAACCCTCACAAGTCACAGCTCTTCAGTGCGATACTGCTCAGTCCTAAAGTCTAGATCGCTATGTCTTAAAGCAAGTCTAATATACATTTGTGTCTTTGCCAGACCGGTTGTCCTTGTTGTTCTCAGCTGCATGTGTCGTCGGACGATATCCGGTATCGCGTTGACGCATACACCTCTGACCATGCATGAGCAAGGGACGCGGGGCGCGGCGCATGCCTGCATCTGGCCGGGGACTCTAAACGGAAATTCCGAGACCCAGGCAGTTGTGCTTAGGCTTCTTCGTTCCGACGTTGTTCTGCAAGAATCGCGAGTTGAAGCCAATGACGGACCTGGCCTTCTTGAATGTGCTGAGCTGGATGGCCAGCTTCTGCGTCGACACGAGCCACCGGACGCCTTCGCTGCACGGAGGCGTGGTGAGTGAGCCCTCGTACCTGTGAAGAGAAGAAGTGATGTTAGCGCCGCGGAGAAACCATCACGACATTGAAGGGTCGCTTACGTCTGGAACGAGCCTGCGGAGAGAACATTGACCAGCTCGCTCATCTTCAGAGCCCCGGTCTTGGTCTTCGTCCCGGGACGGGCAATCTTCTCAACAGATCCAAGAACGTCTTCGAGGATGGCCGTGTTCTTGGTTCCGGCGGCGTCGTTGACGTCAATGAAGGATCCAATGACGGCAATCTGCCCGGCGGGACCCTGCCACACCATGTGCATCTCCATGGCCATGCTGGTGCCGTTGTCCAGGTGCTCGCTGGGCAGGTGGAAGTGGAACTGCTGCAGCGTGTATTGCACATTTCCGAATGTCATGTTGCCGCCCTTGGCGACGACCTCGACCGTGGTGCCCAGGTTCTCAAACTCAGTCCCCGGTGCCCTATCGGCGATGCTGAGAGACAGGTTCCGGCCGGGGACCACGGTGAAGGACCCAGCGGTCATGTCGATGGGAGACTGCTTCGTGCCGTAGGTGCAGAGGGCGTTCTTGGTAGGGTCCAAGTTAATCCATCTCGCAGGACCCTGCAGTACTTCCGTTAGCCGAACTGAATGACGGACGGGCGGTATAAGAAGATGTCTTGGGATTATGGGTGAATGGGCTCCGTGATTTACCTTTTCCCCTGCATATCCAAATGTGTTCACCTTGACTGTGCCGCCCTCTGCTCTGGGCTGCAAGATTGTGCCATAGGCACACGACGCGCTTGCCTGGTTGGCAAAGGTCAGGAGCACCAGACCTGCTACTGCTTTGAAATGCATCTTAAAGGGTGATGGAATGCCCGTATCGTATTAGATTTGGACAAGAGATCTGACTTGCGGGAGAAGAACACCAAGCTTCAGATCACAGAGGGTTAAGCAGATGGAAACAGGATAGTTGGCCAAGAAAGAGAACAAGATCTTAATAAACAGGCATGATTCCTTGCAGCACAGATGTGGACGCCGTTGGGCATATAAGTTTGCGTTCTGCACGGTAGGGCAGGTACTACGGAGTGCATAGGCAAGAGCGTCTGCCTGTCTGAAAGAGTGGAAACGGGGCAAACATTTGGTCAGTGCACAAGGGCAGCTCCTCCCCGTATCACGTAGGACATCGCTTCGCAATCTGAGGAGGAGCCGCCTCGGGAGGAGTGTCACCGGCGGTGCAGAACCATAGCCCCATCAGGCCATATTGCTGGCCCATAACTGGGCCATTGCCGAGGTGATACGTACGCAAGACAAAGGATACCAGAGAACTCCGTGCTATTTTTATTCTGGTGTAATGTTAAGCTTAAAATCTTGTTTGCCGTCTACCGGGCGGGAAGCAAGACGCCCCTCCGGGGATGTGGGAGGAGGCCCCGTAGCCCTTACAAGCCATGTTAACGGTGAGGAACCCGCGGATAAGAGACTCCAGTCCCTGCTCTGGCGGCTTAGGCGAGTTAGCCCCAACACCTCCTTGGAAGCCCCGTGTCTACTGTGGCTGCCTTGTGTAAATCATGCTCTAGGCTCTACATGGAAAGAGGGCTGGGCCGCATGTATCCATCATCCAACGGCTGAAAGCAACTGCGGACCACCAATTACGACGGAACTGGGTCCAAATCGTGGAATCGCCCAGCAACAGTGACGTTCCACTATGCCCTTGTGATCTCAGTCAGTCTCCGCTGTCTGTGCTTTTCCCATTGAGAGATCCTCCCATTCACTGAGGCCTATTTCCGTGGCAGTTGGCGCGATCGGATGAGATTGCCGGATGTTGCTGGCGTGCCTGGATTCTAAGAGCACAGCTCCGCCGCTGCCCCGGGCCAACGCCACTACCGTCAAGCCCCCCCAGTGGTACCTTTCTTGGCGCGGGGCGTGGCGGTCTGATATTTCTGCCACAAAGGACGAACCAACCGGGGGCGTCACGTAAAGGACTGGCATCCTATCGTGGCCAGGGTCAAGCGGAGGTCCGGCCACTTGGAAAAGTCTTTGGTCTTGGCCGCCGTGCATACGCTGCCGAGTTCGCCGTCTTGGCAGCGCAGTGTGCCGCGCCGTCAACTGCATTCGGGTCTTCCCGCATGGAAAGTGATGATTTCCTGCGCGCGCCGTGCCCATCTGCCACGATTTTTGGTTCTATTTGGCGCCACTGACTTACACGCGGTCGAATAAGGGCATAGGAACCACAAGATGCCCTGCAAACGCCCGCCTCTCCCACCATCAACTTACGGCACAGACCAGCGCAACTCGTGGACCAATGAGCATGCCCATGTTCTAGACCAGCCCACGCGTTCTTTGCAATACACACTGCAGTGCATTTCTCGCAGTTGTCCTTCGTGCCGCTGCGAAGGCTGGCGATGGCTGAAACGCTAGCTGCCCCCTCCGACCCATCTGACACGGACACTCTTGAATGTCAGCCCATATTGTGAGGCCAACGATCCAGTCGTCGTCAACGTGAGTAGCTCGCGGGAGCGCTTTGCAGGCCCTCCCAAAATCTGCCGCGCCAGGAACTCTGCAGGGAGCATGCAGGGGAAACGCTGTGAGGGACTGGAGGTTGAGGTTGACGGGGAGCGTGAAGCACTGGTGCCGCCGCTCGCATTTACCCAGTGACTGGAACTGCCTTGCCAGTCTCGTTGTCGCCCAATGGGAAAGCCAACTACGTACTCCGTGGGGTATTATATAGTCGGTGTTCATGCTCAATCAAGCATCTGGCAACTAGACGTCCCGTCTTGGCAAGGGGTTTTGAGCGCCAGGTTGCGCGTTGTGGGCAACCATGTCCAAACTGACTTACACGATGAGCTGCGCCCAGTGAGCTGTCCCAACGCGCAGCCTTCGAGTCCCTCGAGTGTTGTCAGGCTGGCTAGTGAGCCAGTGTGATTACAGAGCCAAAACCTGTGCAGCGACGTGTCGATGGGGTGGCTCCGGTTCCCTTCCTCAATCGGACTTGAGTCCTTTCTGACTTCGGCACACAATAATCACGCAGTAATGGGCTTGATGTGCAGCCCATCAAATGGTTTCCCAAGGTCTGGTTAACCCGCTACGCGCTGCGAAATTGACCAACAGACCCCAGCTTCAGCTCTGCTCGAGCTGACCTGCCCGCATGCATTAGCCCCGGGGGCAGTCGGACAAAGTTGGACAATGCACGCTTGACTGGTGAAAAAAGAGAGTCTAAGCCATTGAATGAGGCATCAGGATTATCAGAGAAACCATGTGATCACCACCGCCTTCCCTTGCAACAGAGCCAGACAGGTGTCGGTTATGCCTAATGTCCCGTGTGTGCAGAGAGCGTTATGCTACGCTGACATGCTGTAGCTCCGGAAAATAGCCCTGCCAGCTGCTTATTCCGTCGAAAGCTTCGTAAATTATAACCACGTTGTGAGCAGCTCGCTGCCAGACTCACGTCAGCTTACAGCTCTAGACATTTGATGGTCGCCAACAAATGCCCTGATATACCGTCCTGCGCGTAGAAGACCCAACGTCTGTATCACCTTCATCACAGAGAGGAGCGTTGCTCTGTACCCAACATACTGGGTTGGCAGTCCTTATGGCCAACTGATTCATTGCAATAGAGAAAGCGGGCGCTTGTAGCTCCATGTCTACACTATGGCATCGCCTAGGAACCAGCGCCTTCACGAGAGGTCTGGCACAAGGCCAGCAGATCATGTTCCCACGAGCGGCGAAACAATGGCCTACTTGGGGATTGAGACGAGGAGTCCAACAACAAGACATGAGCGTCTTTCGTCGAACACAGAGCCGCTAAATCAGGAAGAAGATGTTTTACCGATAGCCAGCAAAGACATACAACCACGACAGAGCGCAACACCCAAGAGCAACACGATTACTTCCACGGGGAGCAAAGAGCCTGCTCCTATGAGGAGCGAACCCGTCGCTCCTCAGAAGTTCATACCCACCCCGTTGGAGAAGAGCAACCCGCTGGGTGCAGGCAATGACGAAGATGGCACGACAGAGGGCACACAACGATCGCATTCTACAATCGTCACCAAAGCCCCCTCACCAGTACTATCGCCAGCCTTCTCCGGGACCGACAAGACCGTTCTGAAGAGCGGCCTAGCTCATGACGCAGCCTCCGAGGACGACTCTGCTTGTTGCTGCTGCCTCCAGTTCGTTGACGATCCGTCACGGAAGCTGGAGCTCTACGGCTTACAGTTTTGGTTCAACCCGCGCGGATGCTCGACGAGGTTCAAGAAGGCCATAATCGATATCCTGCTGGTGATTCAGCTGGCCATTGGTGCCGCCTTGACCGCGCTGTCGAGCCAGGGCAACCAGACCAGTAGGCCGTCCAACGAAAACCGTCTGTTGACTGCTGTGACGGTCTTGAGCGCCATAAACACTGCCGTGTCGGGCTTGATAGCGCTGCTGAGAGGGAGGGATATAATAGGTAATCTCAAGTTCTGAACAGGGGGATCGGTGGTCAAGATTATATATAATGATACATATCAACTGCGTGTGGCGTGCTTTGGCTGAGCTGGGCGTGTCAGTTAATTGGTGTAGTAGCAGACACGGACAGGAGCTCGGCCGTGGCACTTGACATGATGCTGGATAAAATCTGTCTTGTGTATAAATGGAAGCTATGCGGGTATACAAGTCCAGCCCTGCTGCCTTCAAAGGAAAATCATCCCTATATGAGAGACCAACTTCTACTCTGTATCGCATATTCTGCACCACTACATTAGCAAGCGCCAGGCACCAAGAAGCAGCGCAGCGAAACCGGTGCAAACACCCATCAGCCACTGGAGCGTCTGGAACTTGACCTGCTCCAGCTTCTCCCGCAGCGCCGCCACCTCCTGCTCGATCTTCGTCTCCGTCTCCTTGATCTTGAGCTCCTGGGACACGGCCTCCTCGCGGATGCGGCCCTTTTCGAGATTCAGGTCGAGGCGCACGCTGGCCTGGGTGCGGCCGATCTCGTCGCGCAGGCGGCTGCTCAGCTTGGTGATGTCGTTGGTCAGGCGCTCGTGGGCGCTGCGGGTCGTGTTGGACTCGGTGCTGTCGGCGGAGAGGAGCTCGGAGCGCAGCTTGGCGAAGTCGACCTTTTGCGTGTAGGTGGCCTTGGCGGCATCCTCGCGAAGGACCATGGTGCGGGTGAGGTTTTGGATGCTGGGAGTTGGAGGATTAGCAAGGCGTCCATGTGCGTACGCGCGATAGGGCGGGGGACGGCGACGGTACCTCTCCTCGATGACGTCGTTCAGGACCTTCATCATGGCGACGGACTGCTCCTCGGTGAACCCCTCGCTCTGTAGCCGCTTGACAAACTTGAGCGTGTCAAAGTGGTGATCGCGCTGTCGCAGCGCCGTCGCGTGGAACGCGCGCCGCAATATCGGGCTCCTGCGCGCGAGCGCGCCGGCGGATGAGGGTCTCGCGGGCGACTGTCCATGGTGAAACGAGCGTCTGCTGGAGGGCTTGTCCTGGAAAGCGACAGCCCAAGGTCGTGATGTCGATGCGACTGATCGCGAGACTGCGTGCGGTGCGCCCCAGCTCAGGCGGGGGAGCAGGAACCGGGGAAGCATCTCGGCAGCTATGAGGCTCGGTGCTGCCATGGCGGGTGAGGGATTGCGGCGTTACGTGCGGGCAGAGCAGGAGAGTTGGCGACGTCGGGCTGAGGGCATGAACGAACGAATTTCGGAGACCATCGGCCCAAGGGTTATGGCGGCGCCGCGACGGAGCTCCATGATTGGCGGGCTCTTATGTAACAGCTGCCGCTGCCCGCGGGCCCGCGACGTGAGCGTGCGCTCCCCCAAGACGCACTGGGCTACCCTGAATCATCTGCGGAATGTTCGAGGAATTTGTTCTCTTTATTCCTCAGGCCGAGTGTGGCGATATGGTGTCGTCAAAACGCATCGGCGAATGAAGTCTTTTTAAGCTGTCGGGGGGTACACAAGGTCGGATAATGTCGACACATGATAGTCCTTTGCGTAAAGGGTACCCGCAGCTGGTGGTAGAGCTTTGTATAAGATAAAATTCCAGTGTCGAGCAGAAGAGACCGCCATGAGCCCTGTCGGATTTCGATGCGCAGGGCCGACATGGACGCGACCCCAGATATGTCACGTAAATTGTAATTCTCGACAAATCAACCCCGGGCGGAATCACGAGCACCACGGCCAGCGGATCGCCATCCCTGGATCTCCGCCGAAGGATCCGCTCCATCCATGCTGGAGTGGAGGTATCAGAGCCTCATCATAGATACGGATACGCTGTTAGACAGGAAGAAGCAAGAGCATGCCCTGCCGCAGCAACTGTCCCTTCATCGACACTGTTCGTTCCAGCTCGGTGCCTACTGGGCGGTGCCATCAGCCGTCGGAGCTGCCTGGCCCGACTCGGCATCAGTATCGGCCCTTGGAGCAGGGAAGGCCATCCATGGCTCGTCGAAAGTGACCACTCGCCGGCTGATCTGACAAATTAAACTTCGACTTTCATTCGTTCGTTGTTTGTTCCATGCGTTGCACAGGGCGCTGCTGGGCGGGCGAACACGCAATGGCGGGATTCAGGACCGGAGTTCGGAATTGGTATGAACCCGATGCTCGAATGGAGGCAGGAAACGGGCAATTAGCGGGGCAATTCCTGGCGCGGCACGGCATTCACGACAACTAGCCGAGTGCGAACCCCGACATACAAGTCGACGCCGCCGCCAGCTGCTCATCGTCAAACCCGTTTTCCTATTGTGCATGGGTTTCAATGCCTTTTACCCCCCTTGGAGTTTATTGCTGAAACCCGAGTATTGAGGCTCTTGTGCCAACATCAGCCGCCACACCCGCCATGGCACCGACCAGCGGGGTCACGACCGACGGCGCCGCAGCCAACGGCCTCGGGTCGAACAACGGCCTGCCCGCGGGCTATGGCCGTTCGTGCACGAACTGCTCCAAGGCCAAGTGTAGGTGCATACTGCGGCCCGAGGGCGGGAGCTGTGAGCGTTGCCACCGGCTCGGCAAGGAGTGCCACCAGATCGCCGCCACCCGCAAGCGCACCTCCAAGAGATCCACCAGCTCCCGGACGGCGCAGCTTGAGGAGAAGCTCGAGGATCTCGTCTCGATACTGCGGGCGACGCAAAAGGGCGACCAGAAAGCCCTAGATGCATACGCCTCGACGAAGCCGTCGACGGGGGTTCACCCGTCTTCTCTGCCACATCTGTTCCCTACCAGCCGCCTCGACTCCCTGGCCGCCGCCGCAACGGCAGACACACCACCCCGTCCGGAGCCCGCCAAGTCTTTCTGTATTACCCAGTCTTCCTGCATCGATTCTGCGATACCAAACATCAGCAGCGATGCGTATGTGCGACCTGAACCGACGCCGGAGGAGGCAGAGATATACATTGGCAAGTTCCGTGACTGGCTCAAGAACTTTCCATTTATGCATCTCCCCTCCAATATCACAGCAGATGCGCTTCGTAAAGAGCGGCCGTTCCTGTGGATAGCTATCATGAACATGACGTCAATGTCCCTGCCGCAGCAGCAGATACTCAGGGACAAGGTCCGCCAGGAGCTTGCAGATCGCATGATCTTCAACAATGACCGGAGTATGGACATTTTACTGGGTCTGATTGCATACATCAGCTGGTAAGTCATTTTGGGATGCATCGGGTGGCGCAAATCCGGGGCTGTAGCTTCTGACACCATGCAGGGCCACCATGAATACCGGACCGGGAACGAAACCCTTTCTCATCCTGTATTGCCAACTGGCAACCACAATTATATATGACATGGGATTGACGCGAAACCCGAACGAAGAGCAACAATCCGGCCTGTACCTGAAGGTTTGGAGTCTGCGGCCAGCCCCACCGCCGAAGGTCCGGACAATGGAGGAGCGGAGGGCAGCTCTGGCACTCTGGTTTCTCACCTCCGTGTAAGTGCTGTGCCAGCCACACCTTCTATTACGGAGCTGACTTGTACCTGCAGGTGTACTTCGTTCATTGGCAAGATGGAGACGCTCCACTGGACGTCGCACATGGAAGAGTCCTTGGAGACGCTGGATCGTGACAAGGACCAGCCTCTCGACGAGGTTCTGGTGGCGCTCGTCCGGTCACAGCTGATCAACGAAGAGGCGCAGAAGCTTCTGCGCCTCCAGGGGTCAGGCGACAGCAGCCAGGGCCCAACTCACATCTACAAGCCGGGGCTGCTCATGCGTCTCGAGGAGCTCCGTCGGCGGCTCCCGGCAGCACTGCATTCGCACTGTAAGTCTGGTTTCTTCCTGTCCCTTTAGCCGACAGGCCCCATGCTGACATGCCACAGATGTCGTGCAGCTGCAGCTCTACGCCACCGAGGCTGAGGTTCACTCAGTAGGGCTCTTCACGGAGCAAGAGATCCCAGAAGCCACGAGGATAAGCAGCATGTTCTCATGCACCAAGGCGTCAGCAGCCTGGTTTGAGTGGTTCTTTAGTGTGCCGCTCATGGAGGTGCCAAGCTTGCCCTTTGTCGTCTACGTCAGCATGTCCCACATACAGGCTATGCTGTACCGGCTCACTACCTCGGAAGATCCGGCGTGGGACAAACAGGTCCTCCGGAACACAGCGGATCTGCTCGTGCTCCTAGACAAGACCATCGATGTCTTCTGCAAGGTCGGAGAAGTATACTGCCTGCGAACCGACGACAGCGATGGGACCGTCTTTCTCAAGGGCGCCAGAATTCTACGAAATGTGAGGAATTTCTGGGAGCCGGCGCTGACCCAGATCCTGAACAACAACCTGCCGACTCCGAATAGCCAAACGAGTCAGCCGCTGAACACCATGCCGCCGTTGGAGCCGAAGATGATGATGGACACCAATCCCGTACTTGGGCCGGGATTCGATCTCAACGATATGACGTGGATGACGGACATTTTTGGACCTTGGGACACATGAATGCATTGTTTTCATTTCATGTATTCGACACCATGAAATGCAGCACCAAGCGATCATGGTCTGGCACGGCCATTGCGAGCGTCGCTCCGCCAGGGTCCGGATGGTGATCCTTCGCGCCCGCCGTTGGTGGGGCAGGATGACCACCAGCATGCAGCCAACCCTCTACAACCAGGTTACGCAATCTGAAGGATCGCCGTTGGCAATGAGTTTGCAGGCGTCTAACAAATTGAGTACATCCGAATTCCTATGCAACGGAGCACCTCCGTAGGATTGCCGCCGTTCATGGCGTCTGCCGTGGCAAGCGCCTTATATACGGCAACGCCCATAGGACAACCTGCGCGACCTGTTGAATTGATTCACTGGTCGCAATAGGGCTGTCTCACCGGGTGACGAGTCCACCGCCAATCGAGCAACAGCCTTTCGAGCTGTGGCCAGGGTGCCAAAAGCATGACACCGATCATTCTCGAGGACGAGCTGGCCGCGAAGCGATACTCGTACTTCCAGCAGCGATTTCGGCTCGAAGGTTTCGGAAGCACGCCGGACCTTACACTGAGAGAGCCTCCGCCGGCATACGTCGAGAACCCAGCCGACGATGTTGGGATCACTTTCGGGGACGACAAGCCCGCCGAGGGCGATGAGGAGCACTATGTTACCGGGTGGAAGCTATTTGGTCTGATGCTCGCCATCACGATGGCTTGCTTTCTGGTGCTCTTGGACATGTCTGTCATAGTCACTGTACGCAGGCGTCACTCCATTGCTGTAGGGCTGCGATGCTTAGAGTCTATTAGGCAATCCCGAAAATTACAACGCACTTCCACTCGCTTTCTGATGTTGGGTGGTACGGGGCCGCGTACAATCTGTGCAGGTGCGATATGCGTCTCTCAAGTCCTCGTCGGTGCTCTAACTAATATCTGGCCGCAGCGCGGCTCTTCAACCCATATCGGGAAAATTCTACACTTACTTCAAGTCAAAGGTAATGACTTCCTGGGTATAGCGCGAGGGGCCTGGAAAGCTGACTGACCCTGCAGTGGACTTTCCTGTCCTTTTTACTCGTCTTCTTGCTCGGATCGCTGGTCTGCGGCATGGCGACTTCGTCCTTAATGTTCATCGTCGGCCGCGCCGTCGCAGGCATGGGAAGCTCAGGGCTGCAAAACGGAGCCATGACCATAATTGCCGCGTCGGCACCGATGGAAAAGCGGCCAGCATTGATGGGCATGATGCTGGGAGGTTGCCAGATCGGGCTCGCTGCCGGGCCGCTGGTCGGAGGCGCGTTGACGCAGTACACGTCGTGGAGATGGTGTATGTCATGACTGCCGTTGGATGACCTACGGGGAGCGCTGACCATGAGTATAGGCTTCTACATCAATTTCCCCATCGGCGGCGTCGCCGCAGCCGTGATCATGGCCGTGACTATTCCCGACCGCCGCATCCGCAAGAAGGGGTCCGTGTTGGAGACAATCAAGCAGAACTTTGACCTCACTGGCTTTGCCCTGTTTGTCCCCTGGGCGATCATGATACTGCTCGCGCTCGAGTACGGCGGCAACCAGTATCCATGGAACTCGTCTCACGTCATTGGTCTCTTCATAGGCGGCGCGCTCACGTTTGCGGGCTGGTTCTGGTGGGAGAAGCGCAAGGGCGAAGGGGCCATGATTCCGTTTCCCATCGTCAAGAAGAAGGAGATTTGGACGTCTTGCCTGAGCATGCTGTTCCTCTTCACGACGATATTTGCGGCGTCGTACTTTTTGCCGATTTACTTTCAGTCTGTCAAAGGGGCGACGCCATTTAAGAGCGGGCTATACATGCTGCCGAGTATACTGAGCCAGCTTGTGTTTGCGGTGGCATCTGGCTTTCTGAGTGAGTCTTCTCATGCCGAATCTCTACTGGGCTACTGCGGGACTGACCGGAAGCAGGCCAAAAGGTTGGCTACTACATGCCCTTTGCGCTCCTCAGCGGCGTCGTCCTCGCCATCGGATACGGCCTCATGACGACGTTTTCGCCGCACACGACCGCGGCCGAATGGATAGGGTACCAGATATTCGTCGGCTTCGGGCGCGGCATGAGCATGCAGATACCGCTCATCGCGATCCAGGCCAACACGGCGCCCGAGTTCACGGCCATTGCGACGGCGACGCTCGTCTTCTCGCAGACGTTTGGCTGCGCCGTCTTCATCGCCATCGCCAACGCGCTCTTCAACAACACGCTCAAGACGGAGCTGGGGCGGTGGGCGCCGGGGACGGACGCGCGGGCGGTCATTGAGGCGGGCGCGACGGGCATCCGGAGCGTGGTGAGGGACGAGGGCGACGTGCCGGGCGTGCTGATGGCGTACTCCAAGGGCGTGGATGCGGTGTTTTACCTCGTCGTGGGTATGGCGGTGTGCATGTTTGCGGTGTCGTGGGGGATGGGGTGGAAGGATATTCGGAGTAAGGAGGTTGTGCCGGCGAAGCGTGGTGATGGTGAGGCGGGTGTAAGACGAAGTCGGGTTGACCGGACGTCCGTAGTATGGTGAGTTGATTCATGACATCTGGGAACACGAAATACTCCGCGCTCTTTCATGGACAGGGATTTTAATGGCCGACTGAGGCCACGCAAGAGCTCGCATGGCACAATGAATTATAAAACGAATGATTGTGTCTGCGGTGCCTGAAGTGCAGTAAATGGGCGAGTTGCCGTTGTCGCGTCTGACTAAAACTTACAGTGAGGTCTACTACCGCTGGACCGCTGGGGCGCTCCCACTAAAACCTTGATCGGGCACCTTCGGGCTTTCGTTCTGACCTCATCATCAACACAGCACCACTTCCTCACCACCAACCCGCCGCGCCCTAATCAGCTGGACCCAAGCGCGCGCCCGCTATGAACAGGCCACGCAACCGCCAGCCGCGGCCGAACCGCAACGGCGGCAGCAACAAGCCCGCCAACCACGCCCCTGGCGCGAGCACGCAGCAGCGCGACGCCAGCTCCCGTTCCCGCCCCGGCGGCGGCGGCGGTGGCCGGCCGTACTCCCCCGCGACGCCACAGCAGGCCACCGGCACGGTACCTACCGTCCAGCAGGTCGTCCCCGGCGCGTCCGTCTTCATCGTGCACAAAGAGGACCAGCCCACGGGGCGCGAGACGGCCGGCGTCGTGGCCGAGCTGCTCACGCGCGGGAACCACCCGCGCGGCATCAAGGTGCGCCTGCGGAGCGGGCAGGTCGGCCGCGTGCAGCGCATGAACGGCGATGGGGCTGGCGCTGCTGGCCCGTCTTCCTCCGGGAGCACTGAGGTGATGGCTGCGACGGCGGCGGCCGGCAACCCCGTCGTGGCTCCTTCAGCGGGCAGGTTCCCCCATCGCTACACGGATGTGAGGCGCGAGATGGACGAGTTTCCCGAAGGCCCGCCGGCGAGGAGCCTGGCGGACTTTATGCCTTCGGTTCCGAATGACGATGGCTACGCGTCAGATGGAGGGCGAGGTGGACCTGTCGCTCGATGCCCCGTCTGTGACGCGTTCGAAGGCGACGAGTCGGCGGTAACACATCACATCGAACGCGAGCACTTTGGCTGAAGAGATCGGGCTTGACCACGGACAGGGTTCGTATAGCGACCCTCGACAGCGGCACGTCTGCTTGGAGCTGCGACATGGTTGAGAAGCTCTGGCTTACTGAGGGAAGGCAGCCACATAGGCACAATGGTGAAGCTCGAGCGACGCGTTGCTGTGCGCCTATAGGAAGCGCTTGGCATGAAGTGTTGGCCAACTCGTCGTGGCCAACTCTCGTCTCTGGGAGAACCTAGGACGAGCCGCGACTTCAACCGCCTGCTTGCCGGTCTCGAAAATGCATGCACTGCGAGGAACACCACCGCGCCTCGACTGGCCACACAACACTCAGGCAGTCTTCAACGAGCCGGCGCCAGCTCATCGCCTTCGGATCAACACCCGGTCTTAGGCATATGGAGCTGGTGCCTCGAGTCCCATGCTCACATTTATTCGAAAACAACAAGCTTCTTATGCAGCGTCTGGGCGCTAGCAGATGAGGTACGGCTTGTTGGTGACGAATACTGCGCGCCGCGTGAGGCAGCACTGCACCTAGGCTCTTGGGCGCAAGCGTGTCACACAAATAGGATTCGGGGGTTTTCATTGGAATACATTGCAGCTGAAACATTTGATCATGTGGACATTCGTTGGCATTGGCTATGCCGGTGACTCTTGGGCTCTTCGTCCGGGTCAGGGGTACAAACGGGACACCATAGCACGATAGAGGCATCAGTTGGACCCCCAACCACCATGAACGAAGAAGCAGTCCCGGCGCTCGTTGCATATCCTTGAAGAACCTGAGCCATCCAAGGAGTCTTCTTTGGGACATAGCGGACCGACTATGAAGAACGGACGCCAGCCTGACCTGGTTGGTCGTTCAGTGCGCAGCACGACGTAATGCTGTCGTCCACACCGCGCACAGAGGCACGGCTGTTCCATATCAAAATGTCTGATACCTACGGAGCATTAATTATGCCTGTATAGAAAGATACTGGTCATAGTATCATGCAGTGTAACTTATCAGCCGCTTCATCGGGTCCATCATCTGGCTTCACCGGTCTCTGTCAATCCCCTGCATCCTGGTCGGAGCTGGAAGAAGTTTTTGCTTCTGCGGCCCAACGACGAAAATTTGATGCTGCAGTCCAAAGATCTTGGATATATGGGCCATGTAGTAATGAGAGCAACAGATAGTTAAGTTGAGCAAGTAGCTGGATTAGTAGACGGGCCCGAGAGTCAGTTTGCCGGCGACTTCGTACACTTCCACAACTACGAGAGCACACACGCCGTTTTCTTCCAACTCTCACGTCTCGCATTGGACTGACATCAGTCCGCCAGCGGAATTTCCCCCTTTTCACTGTGCCTAGTGTTCTGAGTCTTTGCATCTGACGGGGTCTTCAACAGCTTGCATACTCGGGATCCTCAACGTTTCGCAGGGCACCATCTCCAATGGCGCTTTCTTCTCAACTCCCTCCTACGCAGGACGCGGGGAGCGACGAGCACACCGAAAATCTCGATCAGGAGCCGACGGAAGAGACCCCGCTAGTCGGGGGCTCCGACTCTTGCAATACTTCGAAATGGCCTTATTGCGTGTCCGAGCGCTCCATGGAAGCCAATACGGAACAGAGCGAAGCAGACCCTCATGACCGAGATTCCTGGCAACATGAAAGCAAGACAATAATTTGCTACGCCGCGCCACTTGTCATTACGTTTCTGCTTCAGTACTCGATCGATGTATCAAGCATATTTGTCGCCGGTAGATTGGGAAAAGTCGAACTCGGGGCTGTTTCCTGTCGGTTCTGGTTTCCCGCCTGCCCTATTTCGCCTTGATGCTGACCACAAGTGATTCTAGTGGCCAACATGTCGGCATCGATCACATGCTTTGCGGCTTTTCAGGGACTCGCAACGAGCCTGGACACGCTATGCGCTCAAGCGTTCGGATCCGGACAGAGGCAACTGGTCGGGCTGTATTGCCAACGCATGATGATGTTCCTTCTCTGTCTATCGGTTCCGATAGCGATCCTATGGTACGCGTCCGAGCCGGTTCTTCTCAAGATCGTCCCCGACACCAATACTGCGCACCTGTGTAGCTTGTACCTCAGAGTCCTGGTCTTTGCAATTCCGGGCTACGCCGCGTTCGAAACAGGCAAGCGGTTTCTCCAGGCTCAGGGGTTGTTCAGCGCAACCACATACATTCTGCTCATTGGCGCGCCTTTCAATGCAATACTCATGTGGCTTCTCGTCTGGAAGCTCGAGCTTGGCTTTGTTGGCGCTCCAATATCTGTTGCTATGACAAGGACGTTGCTGCCCGTACTCCTTGTTCTCTATGTCAGATACTCTAAAGGCTCGCAGTGCTGGGGAGGGTTTACCAAGCGAGCTTTTGCCAACTTTCGGAGTATGATCAGACTTTCTCTACCAGGAATGGTCATGGTAGAAGCCGAGTGGCTCGTTTTTGAGATTATTACTCTCCTTTCTACCCGATTCGGTATCGAGTACCTTGCGGCGCAGAGCATAATTTTCACCCTTACCACTCTGTCGTATCAGATCCTCTTTTCTCTGTCTATCGCCGCGTCTACTAGGGTTGCTCGCCTTATCGGGGCTGGCAGAGTCAAAGATGCAAGGCTCGCAGCGAAAGTGGTGAGTCTTACAAACACACATCCTCGACCAGCGCGGCCCTAGTGGCATCAAAAGCTGAGCATCTGCAGGCCGTCATCACGTCTTGTTTGTCAACGCTGCCCATTTCTCTGGCTTGGCTTACGTTGCGGCATAAGCTCCCGTACATGTTCACGGAGGATGAAGGGGTTGCTGGCCTCGTCACGCAGACTTTACCCGTCATTGCCGTAATGGTACATTTCGACGGCCTCGGGTCAGTGGCACACGGTCTACTACGCGGGATTGGCAGACAGTCAATCGGAGGGCCCGCAAGTCTTGTGGCCTACTATGCTGTATCATTGCCCCTCGCCTTGGGTATTGGCATTGGACTGGACTGGAGAATTGAAGGCTTATGGCTCGGGTGCACTATCGGCCTTGTGGTGTAAGTGTCATCTCAAACGGCTTGACCATCATGAAAAGGCTAACGCAGTGTGTAGGGTCTCATTCATAGAGTATGCCTACTTGCTCATGGCGGACTGGGAGAAGGCTGTTTTGGAGGCGGCTTCCAGAAACTCGGCAGGCTAAGGGATCCTGAACAACCAAATACATTTCTCAAGCCATGTCTATCCATAGACATGCAATAAAGGACGTATGGAGCTAGGAAGTTCACGATTGTGATCCTGCGGCAACACCAACATACGAGGGCTTGTAGATGCAAAAAGTGTAATGAGAGAAGTACAAGAACGTGTACAAACTTGCTCAACGGCATACCCCGTCTGCTTGTGCACAATCGCTAATCGGAGACGACGCCGCAAGTGCATCAGACTGCTCCTTTCGCGATGATTTGATCTGCTTCACGTAGCGGCGAACGGTCTGCTCGTTGATCAAGGGCACCGGATAATCATTGTCTCCAAGGACATGCTCTCCGACAGGCATGCCGCCCTGTATCATTGAGGCGGCAGTCTCGCTAGCATATCCATCCAGAATGGACGCGATGCGGGCTAGCGGGCTTGTCGGATGTGCAGCGGCGTATTTCAGGGCCCTGGCCTTCCACGTCTGGAACGGAACAATTTCCTGACCGCCATCGATAGCAATCATGGCCTTGAAGAAGTCGTTGAAGCGCGGCGCACGAGTATTAACAAAGTCAAAGTCCTGCCCAATCCGGTGAATGTCGTGTATCATGATTGACACGATGGTCCTACTGATGTAGTCAATGGGCAGCACGGCGGAGAGGTCGCCGTCTAAAGAAGGGAAAGACCCCAACTCTAGACTTCCGGCAATCAGGTTGTGCAAGAAGTCTCCCTGATCGCGACGGAAGTGGCCCGTGGTCGATGAGGCGGTGACGAACGGCAAGCGATATATAGAGGCGCATACGCCTCGCCAACGGGCCGCTGCCAGCATCCGCTCGGCCAAGTACTTGGAGGTACCGTATCCGTACTCGCGATCATCGGGAGCCAGCATGCAGCCCATGTGTCTTGGCAAAGTCGAAATGGTAGACACTAGATGAACCGCCTTCCTCTGACCAGTGGAAGCGAGTCGAAGAATCTCATGCGTGCTGACGATGTTAGGACCAACGTAGTCTTCCAAGGGGCGCATCCAGTCGACAAGAGCTCCCGAGTGACAGATGGCGTCAACTTGATCTGCAAGGTCTGCAAATCCATCTGGGCTCTGGCCGAGAAGGGGCTGCGCCATATCGCCGACCACCACCTTTACCAGTGGCACGAAGCTGGAATCCCAAAGGTCGTAAAACTCCAGTGTTTCGAGTAATCTTCGCTGTGCCTCCTCCACGCAGGTGGCGCGGACTAAACAATGCACGGCAGCGCCTTGTGACAGAAGCTCGTACACAATGAATGCACCGACAAAGCCGGTGGCGCCAGTGACGAGCACAGACGTGGGGCGCGGCGCGACAGGTGATACAGGTTCTGCAGTTGCGCTGTTGAAGGTGAAGCTAGGATCCAGACATCCCTGTCGGATGGCAGTCATGTCCAGGTAAGGCGAGCTTTGCGCTGTCGTTGTAGCCGGCGACGAGTTCTCAGGCGGTGTAGACACCGACTTTTCTTGGATGTCTTCGAGCTGGGACAGCAGAGAGCGGCTCAGCTCCTTCAGGTTGGGATAAATAAAGGCAATATTGGCAGACAGCACCAGACCTGTAAGGGACGACAGGTGGTTACGTATCAATACCGCAGTCAAGGAGTCTATCCCAATGCCTTGCAATGGCTCGGTGACACCCACCTGCTCCGGATGCTCGAACCCCAATGCTTGAGCCACCGTCTGTCTGACTTTGCGCAACACGAGCACACCACGCTTCTCCGGCGGCGCACTTGCTACTGTCTTGCGCAAGTTTGATGTTCGGCGCTCCTCCGCATTGTGCTGGTGTAGTAGTGGGCCGAGGAGCGGTGGTATACCCCCATTCTGTCCATAGTATTGCTGAAGTCGCCCGAGGTCGAGTGCAGCAGCAATGGTGAGGGGCCGGCCACTGCGCACAGCCCGTTCAAGGCCTTTCAAACCGTCTTCCGGATTGAGGAAGTCAAGGCCGAATTGAATGAGGTGAGTTCGAGTCGTCTTGGCCAACGATGCTACCATGCCCTGACTGTCCCAGGTGCCATAGGCCACTGATGTGGCTGGCAGGTGCTGGGCATGGCGCAAGTAAGCTAGAGCGTCGAGAAAGGTATTGGCAGCAGCGTAGTTTGCGAGGCCCGGCATACCCAATACGCCGGATATGGATGAAAGCATCACGAAGATGTCTAGGTTCATGTTCCGAGTGACCTGGTGTAGGTTCCAAGCGCCATGCACTTTGGGACCACAGGTCGCCTCGAACTGCTGCTGAGTGAGGGTCGAGATGACACCTGAATCCAACACGCCGGCCGCATGAACCACGCCCCGTAGTGGCCGCTTCTCGGTAAAGTTTGCCATGATCGACTTTACACTGTTTAGGTCAGAGATGTCACCAGCAACAACAGTTGCTTTGGCACCAAGTCTGGCAAGCTCGGCCACCAGTGAGTCCGCCCCAGGAGCTTGTTTGCCGTGGCGCGAGGTCAGCACGACGTCGGTGACACCATGACATGTCGCTAGCCAGCGAGCTATCCTACTTCCTATATCGCCGAGCCCACCCGTGATCAGGACGGCACCGTCAGATCGCACGAGTCGCTCCTTAGGTGGCGGCCTGACAGACTCGGCAACGCGATGCATTCGTGGCACAAGCACTGTTCCCCGGCGTACGGCGCATTCTGCTTCATTGTCCAGCATTAGTGCCGAGACGATCCCGGACCCCTCCGGATCATCGCAAACGTCGATTAGGCGAAAGCGCAAATCCGGATGCTCGCTCCGGGCGGTTCGCATGAGGCCCCACAACAGCGCCGCTCCGAGCCCTGTGGGTCCCGCTCCGGCGCCGGCTTCAACTCCGACGGCACAGCGGGTCACCCACACCAACGGCCGCGTAAACCCAGACCGGACGGCTGTCTGCAGTTGCAGCAGCGCCTTCGAAGTGAGATTGCGCGCCTGGAATAGAGTCTCTGCATCGAGATCCCACAGACACAGCAGCCCTTTCATACCGTTGGCGTCCTGCAGGCCCCCGACTCGAACGAGTTGTATGCCAGCCAAAGATAGGGCGGATTCTATCTTCCTCTCCCATGGCACGGTACCAAATGGGAGTAACAGGCCCCATGTCTCATCGCAAGTGGCGCGATTGGCCGGCTTGACGAGGTGCCATTTGACCTCGAATAGCCATCTGCAGTCACCCTGAAGAGTTGAGTCTCCGCCGGAGTGGATCTCCTCAGTAGGGGCAGCAGTAGGAAGAGGCGGCCTGCTATCGCTCTTGCCTGGATGCGTCTCAGGACGAGACCTCTCCCGACAAAAGGCGTAAGTTGGTAACTCCACACGACGGCAACCAAAGGGCTTGAAGTAGGCCTCCCAGTCGATCGGTACATGCTGCACATGCAAACTTCCGACGCTGCGCTGGATGGCTGATGTTTCCTTCTTTCCTGGAATCAGGGAAGGAAGCCAAGCGTGAGACTTGAAATCCTTATCATCGAGACATTCCACGCCGAGCCCGCAAAGCACTGGTCGAGGACCTAGCTCCAAGAAGATCTTAACGCCTTCGCTCGTAGCCTCCTGGATGCTGTCGTTGAAGCGGATCGGCTGCCGCATCTGTTTTACCCAGTACTCTGCGACCTCAAGCTCACCGGGCATGGCTGACTTTCCCGTCAAGCCACTGATGACTGCCAATTTGGCTGGCTTGAAGTGTATCGTGTGAGCCGTCGCTTGAAACTCCTCCAGAATGGCGTCCATATTGCGAGAGTGGAATGCGCGGTCGACCTTGAGATATTTGGTCTTGTGACTGTTTTTCTCGAAATGGGCCACTACTCTCTCAACGGCGTCGATGTCACCGGTAATGACCGTTTGTCTTGGGGTGTTGTATCCTGCTATTTCCACCGAGCCGGTATGTCCCAAATGAGCGATTACTGCGGCAGCCTCTGACGCACTGACTTCTAAAGACGCCATCCTCCCTTGACTGGGGAGTGATTGCATCAAGGAAGCGCGCGTCGCAACCAACCGGCAGGCGTCGTGAAGGTCTAAGATGCCTGTGACGTACGCAACCACGAGCTCGCCGAGGCTATGCCCTATGACGAAGTCTGGTATAACTCCCCAACTTTGCCACAGTTGCCACAGTGCTACCTCCAACGCGAACAGGGCCGGTTGTGCAAAATCCGTACGGTCCAGCAATGCTGCGGCGGCGCTGCCCGGCGCAGCCCACATGACATCGAGTAAGCAGGGTTCCAGCTCGGTAAACTCTGCGGCGACCTCTTCGAGTGCGTTGCGGAAGACGGGATACGTGTCATATAGGCCTTTACCCATCCCGGGGTACTGACTGCCTTGGCCTGTAAAAAGCATAGCTAGGACTGGCTTTCCGGAGTGACCATCGTCGAGCGAGATTGGAGAAAGGTTTATGCCGGGGACCAGCTGCTTCGATAGCTCTGACTTGTTAGATGCAGTTAATACAGCCCGTCGGCGAAAATGAGTGCGGGTGGTGGCCAAGGAGAACGCAACATCCCATAGGGGACGTTGGCCGTTCATCTCGCTGATGAACTGATGGAGTTTTTCCCCCTGTCGGCTTAGAGCCTGCTTGTCATATGCCGACAGAAGGAATGGCATAGTGGTCGATATTGAAGCCCCCGAGTTCACCTCGTCGGGTTCATCGGTCTGCTTCGGGGCCTCTTCGACGATGACATGGGCGTTCGTACCACCAATACCAAATGCGCTGACTCCGGCCCGACGCGGCCTACTCACATCAGTTGGCCATGCTTGGCTCTTCTGTACCAGTGCCATGTTTGCCCCCTGCCAGTCCACCGCCGGGGTAGGCTCAGCTGCGTGTAAGGTCCGTGGCAGGGTGCTGTATCCCATGGCTAACACGACTTTTAGCAAGCCGACGAGACCAGCCGCGGCTTGCGTGTGACCAAGATTGGACTTGACAGAGCCAATGAGCAATGGAATCTTGTCTGTACGAGCATTGCCAAAGACCTCAGCGAGCGCCGTGGCTTCGATGGGGTCACCCAGTCTCGTCCCGGTGCCATGAGCCTCGACATAGTCGATGTCCCCTGGCTGCAGCTTCGCCGCCGCAAGAGCTGTGCGGATCAGTTGCTGCTGGGCGGCCCCATTGGGGATCGTTAGACCGGCACTGCGACCGCCATGGTTGACTGCAGTGCTGCGAAGCACGGCGTGGATAAAATCGCCATCACGATGCGCGTCAGTCAGTCGCTTCAAGAGTACCACGGCGCACCCCTCTCCCCAACCCGTGCCCCGCGAATCAGCTGCAAAGGCCTTGCAGTGGCCGTCTGGAGACATGGCGCGCAAGCGACTAAACTCTACATGCAAAGCTGGGTTGAGCAACAGGCTCACACCCGCGGACACGGCCAAATCGCACTCTCTTCGACGGAGGGCCGTGCAGGCGAGGTGCGATGTCACAAGTGACGAGGAGCAGGCCGTATCTATAGTCATGGTTGGGCCCCGGAGATCCAAAAAGTACGAAATCCGCCCGGACATGGTACTACCTGCGGAGCCCGTCGCTGTGTAACCGTCGAGTTTCTGCAGAGTCTCCGAAGTGGCAGCGTCGAAACGGTGGTACCCTGAGACATCGCTGACGCCAATAAATACACCTGTCTGGCTGCCTTTTAGCCGGTCCATGGTATAACCTGCACGTTCAAAACCTTCCCAGCAGACCTCGAGTGCCAGTCGATGTGATGGGTCTATAGCTCGTGCTTCCCGAGGCGTGATGCCAAAGAATGGGGCATCAAGCTCGTCAATGGTGGACAGAAAGCCGCCTCGCCGACAGTACGACTTTCCAGGAGAATCTGGGTTTGCATCATAAATAGTTTCCGCGTCCCAACGAGATTTGGGTACGTCAGTGATGGCATCACCGCCGCGGTCGAGTAAAGCCCAAAGCTCGTCTGGTGTGCTGATGCCGCCTGGTAGCCGACATGCCATAGAAATTATGACAATATCTTCGTCAATAGGCGAATCGATAGGGTTCGAGTGTGACGCAGAGATCTTGGACATGTTTGTGTTTGTGCCAGCCAGGTATGCTGCTAGTGTCCTAGCTGTATGGTGCTCGAACAGCTTGGCTGTGGACACTGCTTGGCCGAGCATTGTCTCCAATTCGCGCTGTACCCGGACCGCTCGAAGAGAATCGCCACCAATTTGAAAGAAATTGTCGTCCAGGTTTATATTGTCATGGCCAAGGACTTTGGACCAGACGCTGAGAATATGACGTTCCAGTTGCCCAGCAGGCGTCAGCAAGACTCGGCCATGTAAGCTTGGTGCTACTGGGTCTGGAAGGGCTTTGCGGTCCACCTTCCCGTTCAGAGTCACCGGAATGGCCTCCAAACTTATAAAGAGTGCCGGTATCATATATCCCGGAAGCCGGTCGGCTAACCAAGGACGAAGGAGACCATCCAGAACAACCTTTGCCAGTGGTTCCAGCACAGGAACTGCGGCGTCACGTACGCAGTACGCAATCAATCGGTCATCCCGGCCCACGACAGCGGCGCTAGAGATGTACCAGTGATCGGTTATTGTTGCTTCTACCTCGTGAGGTTCGATTCGAAAGCCTCGAACCTTGACTTGACTGTCGATGCGGCCGAGCACGCGAAGTTTCTTAGGAGCGCAGAACTGGGCTAAATCACCGGTTCGGTAAAGCTTGCCCTCGCGAAATGGATTCGTAACGAAACGAGACTCGGTCAGCTCGGGCTTGTTTCGATACCCTCGGGCAACATTGGCACCGCCAATATATAGCTCGCCTGGACAACCGAACGGCATCAGCGACATGTCTTCGCCGAGTACGTACAAGCGGCCGTTGGCAATCGGATGGCCGATGATGACTTCTTGCCCTCGGCGCACCCTCCAAACAGCCGAGTACGAAGTCTCGGTTGGCCCATACATGTTCCATAGCGAGTCGCCGCAGGAGAGCAGTCGATCCGCAAGGCGTCGGGATAGAGCATCGCCGCCGCAGAGCATCTTGGTGAGCCGAGCCTGCCCTTGCCATCCAGACTCAAGCAGCATCTGCCACGTCACAGGCGTTCCTTGCATCATGTTGATGCCATATCGTGTCATTGACTTGACCAATTCTTTCGGATCTCGGATCTCATGCGCCCCTGCAACCACTACCGTCGCGCCGCTTATCAACGGCAGGAACAACTCCGGCAGCGCCATGTCGAACGAAACAGTGGTGATGGCCAACATTCTGTCTGTCGGATTGCAATCTACCTCCTGCTTCAATGCCAAGAGGATATTTGACAGTGAGCCGTGGCTCATTTCCACGCCCTTTGGCTTTCCTGTCGTTCCAGAGGTGTATATCACGCACGCCAGATCGTCCGGCTGAACGGCGACAGCGACATTTTTGTCTCCTGCTGCCCACGTGCGCTTGGTGCATCCATCGTTTGTCGGCAGCTCGTCCACAATGAAACAAATATCCTCCCACGCGGACAGTGACTCAAGGGTGTTGCCGCCAACGAGTATAAGACTTGGCGAAGCGTCAACTAGCATCTGCTTGATTCGAACTGCAGGAAAGTCGGGGTCGATCGGAACGTAAGCAGCTCCGACCTTCAGTACGGCGAAGAGTGCCACAACCAGCTCAATGGAGCGACTGAGGGCGATGCCTACGATGTCCCCGCGTCCAACGCCTCGACATAGTAAGCGCCGAGCCAAGCAATTAGCAAGAGCATTGAGGCCTCGGAATGTGAGCTCATTTTCGGCAAACCTCAGTGCGGTGTTGTCACTGTGGCGGTCTGCCGCGCTCTCGAGAAGACCGTGAATGCAATGCCCCAGTATAGCAGGATTGTCGGTATCATTAAACTCCGCGACCAAATTTTTGTGATCTTGAGGAGTGAAAGACGACATCTTGCTGTGGCGGAAGCTTCGAGTATGTGATGGGATCGAGTGAAACCGTATCCAAACGCAATACACTGCTCATGCACACAGGCAGAGCCCCTTAACACTCAGCGAAGTACAAGTTCGAGTTCAGGCGTATCTCAAGTCTCGCATGAGGCTCCTCAATGAGAACATACAGGCACACGAATGTTCTCCTGCGCTATTGCATGTCCGGGGTATCTGATGTTCGGTCGAGTAACTATTCCTCAGTCCGTGTTGCCACGGAACTCCGTTACCCTTGGACGTTGACTTCTTTGTTCTAGTGTACATACGCAGTAGTACGCACTAGCCGCTGCATGACTTTGCAATTTGCGACGCATGCCACTACTGCTGTGTCTAGATGCAAAACACCGGCTTTGGCGAGAGAGGTACTTTGGGGATATGTGATGCTGACATATTCCACCTGTGCCTAAGGTTGTGCTGTGTTGTTAATTCACACAGCACATGTCAAGTACAATTACATTATCAAATAGCATGAGAAACGGGATGTTTTAGGGATTTCGTGCTTCACTGATAATGCGCGCGATCCAATGTGGCGGATTCGCGTTGCATTTCTTGCCGTGTCAGAGTACTGCGGCCTCCTGAGCCGGCCCGGTGCGGATAGTTATGCGGCTCTGTCAACTCGATGCTGCAAAGCGACCATGCCTTCTAGAAAAGAGCACGTCGCAGCTTATCCGCGGGGAATCAAATTCATTGTCATGTTTCGTGGCCCATTCCATATCAATCCAATGCCATGTGTCCACGTATATGGTACTGCGACTCAATCTATGCATGCATGCACAGTTTGCCTTCGAATTCCGCGTAACAAGATTACAGGCCGCTTCGGTATTGACTCAATGACGCGCGGAATAGAGAGTCCTCCTGGGCAGGAAGACCAGCGGAGATAGCGGTGCATATCCTTGGACGGAAAACAATTTATAGACGGAGCATGTGGTCAAGTCTTATTGCGTGATGCCGGGCTCAACCAAGCTCAGTCTCATCTGTTACCTTGTGCACCTTCGTTGACACAATGCACGTAATACTCGCCGGTTCGGGTGACTTAGCTCGCTATATCTGCGAGGAATTCACCAAAGCTGGGCACACGCTCACCGTCCTGACTCGAAGTCACAAGCCGCAGTTCGAGCAACCAGGGGTTAGCCAATGCATTACAGATTATAGTCTCTCGTCGTTGGAGCAGCCTCTCGCGGATGGCGAGGTTCTCATATCGGTAATTTCGGATCTTACGGACGCCTTCATCGACGTGCATCGCGCCCTCATCCAAGCCTGCCAACAAAGCCTGAAGTGCAAACGCTTAATAGCGTCGGAGTTTGCGGGCGATATTGAGACATACCCGGACCAGCCGGGGTTCTACTATCGCACGCGAGGACCTGTCCGTAAGATGCTGCAAGACCAGACAGATATTGAGTGGACTTGCGTCTCGAATGGCTGGTTGGCCGACTATCTCCTGCCAGCAAAGAACCGATACATCAAGGACATTGGCGACGAGCACCCTGTCAATCTTGTCGAGAGTGCCCTGGTGATCCCCGGTACTGGGAACGAGCCGGTGGACTTCACCTGGGCACGGGACGTCGCGAAGGCCCTGGCTCAACTTGTCAATGCTACACTCTGGGAGCCATATACTTACATGTCCGGGGAACGCGCATGCTGGAACAGCATTGCAACGCTCTTGAAAGACAAGTACAATCGAGATTTCAAGACAAGCTACGTGTCGCTTGACGATATCACGAAGAGCATTAGGACAGCCAAGGACGAGAATGCGCTCTTCCTGGCCGACCATCACCTCTTTTCGGCCAGCCACGCCAGTTCTCTGCCGAAGGACACAGTGCAAGCCCACAGAGAGAAATATTTTCCGGGAATTCATTTTCGGACACTGGAAGAGGGGTTTTCCGAGCTTGATTGTACGCCGGAGATAATCTTGTGAAAGGTTCAGAGGTAGTACAACTGGAGAACCGGGGGTCATGCTGCTGAGGGGAGGGGCACCATTACGTTGCACTTCACCTGGGGTTTGACATCATACGGGATCTATGGCACAGCTATCAGTGGCACGAGTGCGGGGGGGTTATGCAGGCTGCCAAAAATTGCCTGGAGAAAAGAGCATTCCCGGTCTCATCATGTTGTCTCTGTTGTAGTTGTTTCCGCTTTGCCATCGCAAAACTGTTGCATTGTCTCGTATACAAGCCCCTCCTTCACCAGTGCAAGTTAATATGCATTCACTGCAGACAACTGACGAAATCTGCATCCATCAACATACGGAACAGATACGGCAGAGCAGGAGCATCACTTACCTTACACATAAAATTCGGTAATAAGAACTAATACCATGCGCGTTTTGCGATATGTACACGAAGTACGACCTGTTAAGACGCAGTCAGCTCCGGCAGAACGTCTATCCATGTGACAACGCGAATGCCAGTCCCATGATCCGCAGCGGCTGGTATCTCTAAGCCGTGTCTGGTTCGGAGCGCATGAGGAGGTGGAAATACTCAAGTGCTACACGATTAGGCCTACCATAACACTTTCTGGACAACATATATGGCACTCTAGATTGACAAATCCCGCCAGTGGATCAAACACCGTCTCAGTAACTCCCTGCTCCTGGCCCTCCATGCAACGGGGACCATATACGTACCCACAGAGCATCTTTGTCGGCCATCTACCTCCATGCCCGCAACAACGTCCCCCGCGCAGCTACGACGGGTCGGCGCCACGGAGGACTGCGAAGCAATTCTCAAGATACTCCGTCAGGATGGTGGTGTCATCATCGAGGGCCTCGTCACTGGCGGCAAGGTTCATCAAATAAACCAAGAGATGCAGTCCGCCATGGATGAGCTCGCAGAAGGCTCTCGTGTGCCAGATGACTTTGTGAAGGAGTTCCATGGATACAACACCAAGAGATTAACGAACCTGGTGATGCACAGCAAGAGCTTCCGGGAGGATCTCCTGAACAACGAATTGATCCATCAGCTATGCGAGGGGGTCTTCAAGGAGGACGCTGGCTCCTACTGGATGAACTCGGCGCAGGTAATAGAAGTCGGACCCGGAAGCAGGGCTCAGTACCTGCACCGCGATCAGCTGCAGTACCCGATCTTCATAACCGCCGGCCCCAACGCGCCGGAGGCTGTCATCAACTTTATGGTGGCCATGACTGACTTTACTGTCGAGAACGGCGCGACGCGAGTCATCCCGGGGAGCCATAAATGGAACGACATGACGTATCATGGCACCCCAGAGGAGAGTGTGCCAGCGGAAATGAAGGCGGGCGACGCTTGCTTCATGAGTGGAAAGGTGGTCCACTGCGCCGGCGCCAACATGACCAAAGACTTCAAGAGAAGGGGGATTGCCATGACGTTCCTACCTTCGTACCTCACGCCTGAAGAGGCATACCCTTTTCTCGTGAAGAAGGAGATTGTTGAAACGCTCAGCAAGAGGGCGCAGAGTGTACTGGGGTTCCGCACCCAATTTGTGAAGGACAGCCCTGGGGTGTGGAAGTGCAACTATAGCGACTCGGACGATACCTTGCATAGTGCGAGGTGGGAAGCCGATGGCCACTAGTTCTATCATCATGCTTCAATATCCCATTTCCTGTGCGATAGAATTATCGTCGTATTCTCATTCCCTGTGCTCGAAAGGCTCGGATACAGACGCCCCCGTATCTCGTATTCCCACAGACATCCCGGAGGACTAATACATAAAACTTGCGTGATGCTTTCTATATGCTAATGTGATGATTCGTGGCGCCACTGCTGACGGCAGTGAGAGTCCCGCCTGGGCAAACCCATTAGAGTTTACTCTTGGCTCCAGCCGATTCTTCAGAGACGACCGCGACGACGACACATATGTCGTCGACCTTGCCGCCGCGCCATTGTTCGTGGGGATAGTACTTTTGCACCTCCTTGGCGAAAGGACCGTCTATTTTGGTGTTGACACTGGCGCTCTTTGCGGCTCCGACGAGCTCCGTGGCCAGTAGGCTCTGGAGCGTCACTGTGCGCTCGGGGCTCCCCTCGCTGGGGCTATCGCCGGTTCGTGTGCGGGTGAGGGTATCTATCGAGTCGGCGCAGCGGACGCCACCGGCGTTCGTCATCTGCCAGGCGCCACTCGAGACCATGACGCGACTGGCGATGCGGAGAATGTCCTGATTGAACAGGTTATCCAAGACGCCGTCTGTAGCGAAGATGAGGACGTCTCCGTGGCGCAGGTAGTGCTGCGTCACGTCGGCGTCGCGAGGCAGGTCGCTGAGCTGCGTTCCCCCGAAGGCGGCCATTCGAGCGGCCAGCCGGGGAGGAATGAGGGAAAGCTGAAACGGTGTGTTGAAGGCGTGGGTCTGCGGCTCCGAGTATGCGTTGACGCCATTGAGCCGGAGATGGAGGAACCCAGAGTCGCCAAGGTTGGCTACGTCAAGAGTCCCGTCTGGTGCGGCGATGGCGACACACGCTGTGCTTCCACCCGCGTGTAGGCTTCTGTCGTTGCACACGGCGTCGTAGCCCTTTTGCATCAACCGTCGCGCCGTCAAGGGCGGGTTCTCGGCACCGTCGTGCTCGTAGGCCACCGCGGCCATGTAGTCGCAGAAGCCGTGTGAGAAGTCTGCAGGGTCGACGCCCGAGTCTACCCATCCTCCAACGCCGTCCGCAACACCAAACGCCACGGCGCCGGAATCATTTACGCGCGAGACGAAGAATGCATCGTGGCCCGAGTCTGGACGGGAGGAGCGGCGTCGCTGCCGTGGGGGTTGGATGCGGTTATAGGGGTTGAAGTGGAAGACGTGGGTGGAAGGGTCATACGGGCGGTCTTTGGCGATGAAGGAGGCGGCGATGTTGTAGGAGAATCGGGGGTTTGTCGCGAAGGACGAGGATGAGGACGGTCGTGACGGCGTCCACGGAGCACCGGCGTTGCGGGCGGAGGGAGCGGACGGGGCCATGTTCGCGCGATGTAGTAACGGAACTGTCGAAATGATCATCAGCCTGCTTGCTCCGTCAGAAACGGCCCGAGAAGAGAGCTTACCTCTAACGGCGGAAGCTCGCCATGTTGTTGAGGCGGCCACCCTGGCGCTCGACGCAGCCATGGGTAGCTCGGGCGAGACGCGATGCGCCGCCGGGTCGCTGTGTCACCAGAACGATAACTGCGCTCCAAGCAAGTGTCTCCTGGCTCGAACGGACGCTCAGCAAGGCACTCGGGCAGTTACGTACGGCGCAGACGCTTGGACATGTTGGGTCTGGGTCTCAGAGGAAGCCAGCTGGTGAGAAAATCTGGGGTTTGGTTCCCATTACCTAGCGGTATCTCCGGGCGGCCATCCACAGGCGGCCAGGGAGCCAGTTACAGCGAGCCATCCCACTGTAAGCAGCCCCCTGTTGGGTCAGGTCGTCCCCCAACCCTGCGGCGGCGGCGGCGGCGGCGCGCTACGGCAGGCAGGCCGGGCCGGCACAAGCCGTGCTAGAAATAAATTTCCAGCCCACCGGCCCTCCGGGCGCCGATCGTCTGACATAAGCAGCTCGCGGCGTCACGGGACCTCAAGCCCCAAAATTGTTATCCGGGGTTGCTCCGCATCTTCACAAGCATCGGACCCGGCTTTCTCCTTCCTAGCCGAATTGACAATGTCGCGCCTCTGATTGGCCGCCGGAAGAGAGCTGCTCCAGTCTTCCAATAACCGAGGATGGCTACTTGTGCTCTGCTCCCCCAAATTCATGACGATACGACCTCACGCCACCCTGTCAGTGTCGCCTTGCTCTCCCGACGAGACAATTCAGAGGTAGTCTCAGTCAGCGCGCCGCGTGCGTCGGAATCTCAGCAAGCACCTCGATCCTCTGCTCGACTCCTCCATATCAGCTAGCTTGCCACTTCGCCGTGCAGCTGGTTCCCTTCGGCACACGTGGAAACGCCTCTCCTCCCGCGCCGCCGCATCCTCCCAAAACAACGCGCTCACAATGGCCGCTCTCCGCTCTACCTCGACCCGAGTTCTCGGCTCGTCCGTCCGGACGATGGCCATGCGCCCCGGCGCCGTCTTCACCCGCTCAATGGCTTCGGTCAGTGACGCGCCGGCCGAGCAGCAGCCGCGCATGAAGACCTTCTCCATCTACCGATGGAACCCCGACACGCCGAGCGAGAAGCCGCGCATGCAGTCGTACACGCTCGACCTCAACAAGACGGGACCCATGATTCTGGACGCCCTGGTCCGCATCAAGAACGAGCTCGACCCAACCCTGACCTTCAGACGCAGCTGCCGCGAGGGTATTTGCGGCTCCTGCGCCATGAACATCAACGGCCAAAACACCCTGGCCTGCCTGTGTAAGTCTCCGAGCCTAAGCGCCGGGTACACCTGCGCGCCGTCTGATGCCGAGAGTTTCGACTAATGCCCGCCTCTGCAGGCCGAATCCCCGCCGAGTCCGCCTCCGAAGTCAAGCTCTACCCCCTGCCGCACACCTACGTCGTCAAGGACCTCGTCCCCGACTTGACGCACTTCTACAAGCAGTACAAGTCGATCAAGCCGTACCTGCAGCGCGACACGCCTGCGCCTGATGTACGTAAAACACCCACACGGATTTTGCTTGTGTATGGGAGACTGACCTCAAGCAGGGCAAGGAGTACCGCCAGAGCAAGGAGGACCGCAAGAAGCTGGACGGCCTCTACGAGTGCATTCTGTGCGCCTGCTGCTCGACGTCTTGCCCCTCGTACTGGTGGAACGCGGAGGAGTACCTCGGCCCCGCCATCCTGCTGCAGTCCTACCGATGGCTCGCCGACTCGCGAGACGAGCGCAAGGCCGAGCGTAAGAGCAACCTCGAGAACAACATGAGCCTGTACCGGTGCCACACCATTCTCAACTGCACGCGCGCCTGCCCCAAGGGCCTGAACCCTGGCAAGGCCATCGCCGAGATCAAGAAGCAGATGGCCCTGGGTGCATAGAGAGGGCCAGTAGTTGGGGCGTGGAGGTTCTTTTTTCTCTTAGTGGCGAAGACGGGCGGCATTAGATGTCCTTTTGGGTTGTCCTTTTTGCTGCGGGACGGACGGTTATGGTATACAAAACCGCGGGATGGGACGGAGCAACGGTCCTAGGACGGGACAGACGGGACTACGGTCCCAGTGTATAAGCATGGACGGTGTTGTACGTCGAATGTCTGATGCAGAATAGCAAAAATTTTTCTATGTTACTCCAGGGGTTGCTGCGGTCGCGAGGACGGTCGGGAAAGTCTGGCGCGAGGAACGGAGTCGGCTCTTGGCCAGTCGTTTGCCTCACATGTCAGTCGATACATCAGTCGATGAAGAACGTACGGCGAGTTCTCGAGCGTCTCCGACGCGCAATGCCGCGTCTAAGCCGCCGATAGCCAAGAGCACGTCGCGACTGCTGGGTACGGAGCACTCCGATCCTTTGGAAGTCATGACGAGAGCGAGATTTTCAGGGTGCAGGTAGCCCGCAGGTTCTATGCAGCGCGGCTCGGAGACCAGACAGACCCTACCCTGCCTCCCGCGCAGAGTAACATTGAAGGCTTGCAGCAGACACAATGTGCGCCTCGATCATGGCACTGCACTGCACTGCACATCCGGTACTGCCTCTCCGGCTCCCGACGATCCGGCTGACTCCCCTCGGAGCCACCGTTTGTCCTCGTCGGTTCCATGTTTAGTCGATGGGAAAGAATCCAAGACATTGCGGTCGGGCAATCTTCCGTGCGTGTGGAAGCCCTGCCGGGCAGATCCCAATTCACCCGCCGTCCCGATCCTCCGCAAGAAGAGGAACTCATAGCCGTGTCAGCCGGGGCTCAAGAGTTATGCGTGTACATACATGACTAAGTGATCGATTCACAAGACGGCGCTCGCTGGGCGTCTCAATCGCTGCCGGGTTGAGCTTGATTCGCCACGATGCAACGCTGGGGCTTGGAGGTTGGAACCGGGCATCGGGCTTAGGCGCAGCCACAGGCAAACGTTCCTGCAGGCGCGGCACATCCTATAAGTTAGCACTTTATGCCGCAGGGGTATGTTCCGCGAAAAAGTCCATCAACGTTCTAATCTGACGCTCTGCAGTTGGCTGGCCCTGGGCCAAGGGGCTGTCGCCCGCCGCCGCCGGCTCTGCAGAGTTGGCGTCGGCGGCAGAGAGGCGGGTGTAAGCGGTGCTCTCCCCGGAAGGCAAGGGAACCTGGTCGGCCGCTTCGATCTGAGGACGTGCATACGAGGTAGCAGCATGACTTGAATGCACAGAGTGTCGAGTCTACATGTATGGAGCAGCGAAGCAGGGGTGATTTGCTCTGCATACACATGTCGAGAGCAGCACGACCGGAGCATGTGCGCCCGCGATGGTTTCAGTTGGGAGAATCTCAAAATAGTGTCCTATCGCCCCGCGATTTTGGCACACGTCACATTTGCCTCTGCGATTCAATTCGGATCGGCGAGGACGAGTTTGCTACAGCCTCTGAGTTACCGTTTGTTCTGTGGTACTCACAGACAGCACTTGTGCCTGGGAATAAACGGAGCAAGCGAGTGTGTTGCCCGGCATTTGCGCGGCGATCCTTGACCGGCTTCACAGAATCACCACCGTGTGTCTAACAAAGTTTTCCGGCTCGTCGGTACTAGGGGCGGGCCAACACCAAGCGAATATACAGTAGCACCTAAGACGTAAAAACAAACATGTATGCTTCCTACAGGGTCCCCATGTGGTTGCATTGCATGTGCGATGCACGGCCGACTGGGCGGGCAGCATCGCCGCTTCCTCAACGGCGGGCAGCGTCGGATCTACACTTCGGCAAGGGCGAGGAGGACGGCGGTCCGCAAAGCCTGGGCCTGTCAGTATCACGGGAGGTCTCAGTAAGGCTTCCATTCTTAGACTTTGTAAGAAAAAAAAAACTTGTCGGTGCCGTGAGGGTGCAACCAGATATAAAAGCGCGGCATGCCGCCGTGTCCAATACCTCAGACTTGGAGACAGCATCAGCACTTACAGCCTCGACTCCTTTGATCAACTCGACGAACAGATCATTCACAAGCCCTAGTCTCCTTGAGCCAGCCGTCGCTTTCTCTTCTCAGCATTCTTTCTTCTCGAAACCATGAAGACCGCAGCAGGACTTGTCTTCGCCCTCGCTGGCATTGCCAGCGCGGCGCCTCGACCTACTGAATCCACCTGCCTCGACGAGTCCCTCTGCATTGACGGCATGAGCGAGTGCGGCGTGGCCTGGGGCGGGTACGTTTCTGTCTCCCGTGCCCGGATTCATCAGTGACCGTTGTGATACTTACGACTCGTTCTCAGGTGCTACAACCCGTGCTCCCAGCCAGCTCCTACTCCGGCGCCGTGCCCCGCCACGTCCTCTGACAAGTCGACGATAACGGCTGCTCCGACGCCAACGGCTTCCCCTGAGGATGACTGCCACACCCGGACCGTCTGTGTTGATGCCATCAACTCATGCGGCATCCGCTATGGCGGGTACGTGCAATAACCCCTGCTGCCATTGCGACGGAATGGGGCGTTGAGAATGGTGCTGACTTTGCACACAGCTGCATCCCGGACTGCAAGCCCTGGGCACTCAGCGTTCCTCCCTGCCCGAGCTCAACGACAAAGAGTGTCTCTGTCGATGGGTACATGACTGCGTGGAAGCGCGAAGATGGCAAAATGACCGCCTGGAAGAGCGACGACGGCAAGATGACCGCTTGGAAGAGCGACGATGGCAAGATGACCGCCTGGAAGCGAGACGAGCAAAACATGACGCCAGCTTACAAGTCCGGCTTCATGACTGCCTGGAGGCGCGATGAGGGTAGAATGACCGCCTGGAAGGACGATGACGGCAAGATGACTGCCTGGAAGTCCGACGATGGCAAGATGACCGCTTGGAAGTCCGACGATGGCAAGATGACCGCTTGGAAGTCCGATGATGGCAAGATGACCGCTTGGAAGGACGATGACGGCAAGATGACTGCTTGGAAGCGTGACGAGGGCCGCATGACAGCCTGGAAGTCCGACGATGGCAAGATGACGGCCTGGAAGCGCGACGATGGTAAGATGACTGCTTGGAAAGACGACGACGGCAAGATGACTGCCTGGAAGGGTGACGACGGCAAGATGACGGCATACACGTACAAGTCTGGCTTCATGACTGCGTGGGCTCCTCAGCCGACTCAGTAGTCACGGGGACCATTCGTCGCGGGGCTTTTCAAAGCGGCAGCCAAAAACTGATGCATCACGAACATGGGGAAAGGAACGCGCTCAAAAGTTTGTTGATTTCTTTTCTGCGCTTTGTTTCGTTGGCTTGCACCAACCTGACCTGCCCGCTTGGAGCGGGATACGCCTAATAATCCATAATGAGTAGACCTTGACTTAGACTACATAATAGCACGCTTTGATTTCCCAATTCCTTCATCTGAAATACCTTTTTTAATAATATGCACTGCTCCCAGGCGTGGAACTTGTCCGCCCGTAGTCCACCGACGTTCCAGGGTAGGCACCAACGGGCATGGCCGGGCTGGCATGTGCCTCGTCGTCGGAGCTCAGCTCGTGGCCTAATTCATCGTCGCCGTCTGGAGGAGCTCGCATAGACTCTAGGACATCTCTGTCCAGCACTGGGGGTTGATACGGCCGCAAGATACAAATCTCGCGCCCCGAGGGCATCTTGGCGAGGAGAGAGTTGACGGGTGGTATCAACTGGGTATTCATCTGCAACCTCAGTCAGCCGATGCACCTTGTAACTCAGCCCAGGTCGCGAAAGCAAGCTTACAGTGTCATTGATCTTGTTCCACTTGTCGTCCAGCAGTTCGAGAATCCTCGTCTCCTCTAGCCGGCCCGCGTCGGCGCCCCAGGCTGTCTCCTTTTCGACGCGTCGATCTTCCCTCTTCTCAGTCAGGTCCTTTTTGAAGCGGCTGAAACTCAAGCCTTTCTTGCTTTCCCTGTCCTTGGGTTCGACACCGAGCGCGGCGAAGCCGGCGCGGAGCCAGCCGATGCCCTCGGCGGTGTTGCCGTCAATCTCCGCATGGATGCCGAAGAACCTGCATGCCTTGGCTCGACTTGTCCGTCGAAGGTCCTCAACATATCTGGTAAGCCCCTGACTCATCTTGGTAGTACCGGCCCCGGCGGACTGACACAGGGAGGCCGCTTTTGCTGCGTGGTCGGACGCCGCCAGACAGAGACGGGCGTTCAAGTGGGCCTTTGTCTTGGGAATGTCCGGGGATTTGAACATCCACTCCTTGTCGCTTTTATTCCTACCTTGCGCAACGGCGGCGGGATATGGATCATCTTTCGTGACTGCCAGCAGAGTTGCCTCGGCCAGCGCCAGAGACGCCAGGGCGCGAGCCGTGGCCGGAGAAACGTCCACGCAGGGCGGGGTGCTGGAGATTTGCTCGCTTCTGGTTGCAAGATAGTCATACAGAGACGCGGCATCTAGAAGGTGCTTGTTTGCTGTTTGGACTGCCGCCGTCCTCTCCGTCGAGCCGATGAACTCCCCGTTGATGACGTACAACGGCTGAAGTATTGATCTTGCGGTAGAGACGTAGGCAAACGCGAGTGTGGACAGGACAAAGAATATTTCGTACTCCAGGGAGTTGATCTTGACCCGCGGTCGTTCCTTTCCCGGAACGATGTCGCCGGACAGCGTTGGCCTCCAGCTGATGGACGGGGCAGTCTTCAAGACGACATTGATACTCTCCCCGCCAACGAGCGCATGAGGGCTCACACCGGCATCCACTGCCAGAAGATAAGGGATGTATGCATCCAGGCTGGCTATGACGATGGCAAGGTCTCCGGACCGAGAGGCTGCGGGTAAGCGCTTGTGTTTCTTGAGGGCATCGCGCATGACCCCACGCTGCGTGCTGGCGTGGATGGGCAGCGACGGATGGGAGTCGCAGCCGAAGCAGGATGAGAAGGAAAATGCCGACGTGGTCGGCAGAACAAATGGGAAAGGCATACTGGAAGCACTAAAGGTGCCGTGTATACTTAGCAGAAGTGAGGATGGGCCATGTTGGAATGGCTGGAGAGACGTTTTGACGGGATAGAAGTCTTGGCTATTTGAAGGTTGGCAGCCAGTGGCATCATAGGCTTACGGTCCAGCGACGACGCAGTCACACTGTGTAATTACGTGTCTTTTGGCAGGAGTCTACAGTGCGGTTTGACAGTGCATACGCGTCCCCATGAGGACCCCACGTCCCTTCCAACAGGACACTTATTAGTGCGCGTCGTCCAGGGAGCTCCAGCTCCAAGCAGTGGGTTCGCACCTCCTCGAGCCACTTCAACCCACGGCTGCATTTCCGGCCGCTCCATGAGCTCCCGCAGTCTGCAATCGACCCCATCGATGCGGTGACACCATGGCAATGGCCAGTCCCTCGCCGCACAAGCCCCGGCGCAAGCCCAAGAAGCCTGGCAATGGCGCCGACGTGATCGCGCGAACGCGCTCCGAGGCGCTGGTCCGGACACCCACCTTCCCCCTGTCGGCGTTCCTGTGGCCCGCGCGCAGCTCGTCGTCACAATGGGAGGTGCTCCCGCTCATCCTGATGGTCGTCGGGCTCTTCCGATGGGCTGCCGGCCTCTGGGGTTACTCTGGTACGGTCCAAGGCCATCGCGTCGTCGCGGACGGAAGCTAACTTGCATGCTGCACAGGCTTCCAACGGCCGCCCATGTTCGGAGACTACGAAGCACAGCGGCACTGGATGGAGATCACCACACACCTCCCGATTTCGCAATGGTACTTTCATGACCTGCAATGGTGGGGTCTTGACTACCCGCCGCTCACGGCCTACCACAGTTGGGTCATGGGCAAGATTGGTGCCCTGATCGACCCGGCTTGGTTCGCCCTGTTCACGTCTCGCGGCTCCGACGACCCGACCTTGAAGATCTTCATGAGGGCAACGGTCATTGTGTCGGAATACCTCACCTACATCCCGGCCGTCGTCGTCTTTGTGCGTCGCTTCAGCCGTCTTAACGGTGTGGCCTCGTGGACTAGCTCTGTCGCCCTGGTCGCGATTCTGATGCAGCCGTCTACCATACTCGTCGACCACGTCCACTTCCAATACAACACGGTCATGCTAGGCCTCGTTCTTGCCAGTATGTCGAGTATGCTTGCCGACCGATACTTGTGGGCGGCAGTCTTCTTCGTCGCGGCGCTGGGCTTCAAGCAGATGGCCCTATACTATGCCTTCAGCGTTTTCGCCTACCTCCTAGGGAAATGTGTCTTTCCCACCATCAACATTACCCGGCTGCTCGCTATTGCTCTCGTCACACTCATCTCATTTGCTATACTTGTGCTCCCCTTGGTCTTGGGGACCCTATACGACAGACATCGTGGCCTCGATCCGCGACCAGATTTGGATGGCCCTCCGCCGCCCCTTCCTCTTTTCCCTTTCCTGAATCAGTACTTCGATACCCATACCCATACCGTTTACTATGCGGTTGTTCAGCAGATGGTGCAGATGGTGCATAGGATATTCCCATTTTCCAGGGGCCTGTTTGAGGACAAGGTAGCCAACTTCTGGTGCGCCGCCAACGTCGTCTTCAAACTTCGGAATCTTCCTCCCGCGCTTTTGCAAAAGACGGCGCTTGGAGCAACGCTCGCCGCAATCATCCCACCCAACATCATCTTGTTCTTGCGACCGCGGAAGACAACAATGCCGCTCGCCTTTGCGGCAACGGCCTGGGGCTTCTTCCTGTTCAGCTACCAGGTCCACGAGAAGAGTGTCCTTCTGCCCCTGATGCCGATGACCCTATTGCTCTCGGGAAAGCAAGGCATGAATGGGAACACTCGATCCTGGGTCGGGTTTGCGAATCTGCTGGGTGCTTGGACAATGTACCCACTGCTGCGTCGCGTGGACCTTCGAGTTCCCTACGCGGTCCTGTCGCTGCTATGGGCATATCTGCTGGGACTTCCTCCCACCTCATGGAGCGCGCCTTTCGAGGTTCAGGATGGCCGCTCCAAGAAGATGCAGTGGGCAACAGCGTTGCTCCACGGGCTGTTCTACGTCACCATGGGCGTTTGGCACGTTGCTGATGCATTCGTCAAACCGCCAGCGAGCAAGCCTGATCTCTGGGTTGTGGCAAATGTTGGCGTCGGCGCCGCTGGCTTTGCGCTTTGCTACCTGTGGTGCCTCTGGAGGCTTCTCGTGGAAAGTGGCCTTCTGCCTTCTAGCAAAGTAGCCAAGGCCAAGACGCAATAGGATGTCAATAATCATGGAGGTCGCGGTAGAGGGAGATTAGATGTGGACAAGTCCACCAGCGATACAATAGGCAAGGCCACTCGATTGAGTGCCAGTTCACACGACGCGGTCATTCTGACAGCCTTCTGACAAGCACCTTTAGTCACATGCGATTTTTGAAGGTCACGGTCACCGCAGATGACGGCGGATTCTCAGGTCGGGGATCCAAGCGAAAGGTTTGCCTTCGAAAAAGCTCGAGTTGTCATTTCCATGAACAAGCCTAAAATGCCGGCCGTATTCCCGCCCGCAAACCTGTCCACGAGCAGCCAATCCTCCCACGCCAGAGACATGCAAGAACAGCCGCGTAACCCGCTCGAAACATTCCCGAAAGTTGTCGTTGGGTGTCATAACCGTGCGAAATCCTCGTGAGGAAGCGCTTAGTCGAACAGACCGAAACCCATATCCTCGTCGGACTCCTCCTTCTCCTCCTCCTTCTCCTCGGCAGGGGCGTCGGCAGCAGCGCCACCAGCGGCAGCACCGCCAGCGGCGGGGGCACCACCGGCACCGCCAGAGGGGACGGAGGCCAGCTTCTCGGTACCAGCGGCGATGAGCTACGTAGTCTGTCAGTATCCATTCTTGTCTTGAACCGCGAGCGCACGGATGATCCGCCTGCCGTAGAGTGTCGTACCTCGTTGATGTCCTTGCCCTCGAGCTCAGAGATGAGCTTGTTCAGGCGCTCGTCATCGGCCTCGATACCGACGCACGAGAGGACCTTCTTGACGTCGGCAGCGGAGGGGGAGGCGTTGCCGCCAAGGCCGAGGAGGAGGTAAGCTGCGAGGTGCTTCATTTTGAATGTGGTGACTGCACGTCAAGTCTTGTCAGCTTTGAGGCTCGTCGACGAAGCAGACCCGCGGGACGCGGATGCGACCGACGGGTGGTCGGCCGCGACATGCGCAATTGGGCGAGACGGGCCAGCAGGGTGCGGACTCACAGTTGGAGTGATCGAGAGGAACACGAGAAATCAATCAATTTAACCGCAAGTTGGGCGGAGACTGAAGCCTTCGAGTTCTGGTTGACTCTTGGTGGTTGGGGAGACAAGATCGAGGTTGAAAAGTTGCCGCCGGGCTGGCTGTAGACAATTTTACATCCTGTGGGCGCCAAAAATGTGATTAGGCGAGCAAATTGTTAGGGCGCGTGGGGCAGGCCGGTACGTACCCATGCCCTGCATTTGGGCCTGCGAAAAAGTCACGCCCGCGTTTGGGTTGCCCCTCACTGACCACCCCCCCTTCCATTGCTGCGTGTGGCGCTCTCTCCGAATGCCGCGCACCGCCACATCCCCTCGGGATCTTCTTGCGTGGGCATCACGTGGACCTCAGCCTCGGGGGAGGCTGTGGCGCAAACTTTCCTTCGGCTTCACGCCTGGTGGCCGTCGTTGGCCTGAATCATTGGACTCTTCCTGTCCTGCGCCTTTTGCTTTGACCATTCTTGGCACTTTCTTTCTCCCGTCATCTATTAAGGCCGTTCAAAGCCTCTGTCTTGTCATTTTGGGCGCCCGCAGCTGTCTCACGCGATCACACCAGCATTTCCCCGGGATACGAAACGATCGTCGCCCTGAACCACCACTTCATGAGGGGGTCGGCCTGAGCACGCCACGTTGCCCAGTGCTCCGGTGGAGAGCGTCGTGGATTCTCCCGACTGACATATTTATCTCTTTCTAATTCACGACATCGGTCTGGCTCTGGTCACGCCTCTTCAAGGGCAGGGCAGTCACGATGCCGGTATGTTTTGCTTGTCCCCGCGATGTTTGCGGATGTCAGAGTGGGAGACTGACCGCGTGCCCCCATCCCACAGATCGGAGACCTCTTGGCTCAGATTACTGGCGACCAGTCGACTGCCGGCTCGGCCCGAACACCAACGCTCCCACGAGGGAGCCAAGTGCCGACGAAGCGCAAACCCGACGATGACTTGCGTGGGAATGCCGCCAAGGCGGTTCGCCACGTCCCGCCTTCGCAAAGACCGAGCCAAGGCTCGCGCCCAACAAGCGACAAGCCCAGCCCATCGCAACGACCGGCCACGAACGACTTGAAAGTCGGCGTGGTCGACAGAAGCAAGCCGACAAACGCAGCTTCGAAGCCGGTCAAGCCCCTGGGCTCCGGGGCCCGACCAACGGTAAACAAAGCACCGGCGCCAGCCCCGGCGGCCCCGAGGGTACCACCAAAGAAGGGATCCTTTGCTGAGATCCTCGCGCGGGGCCAACGGGCTCAGGCCGTAATGGGTCAGGTCGGCAAGATCCAGCACAAGAAGGTTGAAAAGGGAGCAGCGCGGAGCAAGGATGATGCGAAGGCTGCACCACCTGTCAAAAGTCAACCCGCGCAAGCCAAGAGCAAGCCAGCGACTGGGTACTCTGGGACGTCGAAGGCCGCGCCTCGAAACGGCGTGAATGGTCACGGTACGGCTGGAAAGAAGGACTCCCGTAACACTCCGCCTGCCCGACCAAAGGCCGGAACTTCTCGACGTGAAGCGGAAGAAGAAGCCGCCAAGAAGGTCAAGAAGGCCGCCCTCGTCAACACCGGCTACTCCGGCACCGCGCGGCCTAAGCCCGCGGAGACGGGTCACCGCAAGAAGGAGACGCCTCGCGGTGGAGCGCTGCTCAACGCGCCCATGTCCCGTGGCTCCTCGAAGCGGTCACGCTACGAAGAGGATTACGACGAGGAGTTGGACGACTTTATCGAGTACGACGACGAGGAAGACGAGGGCCCGAGATACGGCTACGAGTCCGACGGTTCGTCTGACATGGAGGCCGGCCTGGACGAGCTCGACGTTGAAGAACGCCGGGCCGAGTACCTCGCTCGAAAGGAAGACATCGAGGAGGAGCGCCTTGAGAAGACCCTCAAGGCGGCCAAGGAGGATCGCAAGCGCAAGGCTATGGAGCAGCTGCGAGCGCGCCGCCGCTGACGCGGGGGAGCTAGGAAGGCGACCGGATACCACGAGGCTTGATTACTTGTCCGTTTTGGGCATCACCTGGGGCGTTGGGAAGATTGGCCATGGCATTGCTACCGTATCTTTACCTCGATTCATTAGCGGCGGAGTTTGATCGTTTCATCCCTCTCACTTGGATTCCTTTCCTTTGCGAGCCACATGCGGAAGAGGTGTCGAGGAGGGTCCCGGTTGAGATAGCATGTGGGGGATTTGGGTGCTGGGCACGGAGCAGCGATGTATTTTCATACTGAGACTGGCATTTGAATGAGTAAACATGTCAAGAAGATGCACATTTTATTCTCCATTACCATGTGCCGTGCATGAGCTATGCATCGACCTGCAATATATCTACTGCTCCGGGAAAGAAATGAATATTCAATTACAATCTTACACCTCCAACGACTCCTTCCAACTGTCTCGCTCCAAAACTCATGGACATGGTCTGCCACTGAGCAGACTCCATTTCCTTCGGCACGAACACTGTCGCGCCTCTTTTTGTTCCCTTCATCTCAAGGCAAGTCATCGCTCCCAGACGCCTTGCCATTTCCGCTGCCATATGGCTGCAGGAGCCAGCCTTGGTAGTGCTCAGCCCCTTGGCTGCTGACGACCTTCGCAGATGGGAGGGCCGGCGGCTGCGGGTTACGGCGACTCGAGTTGGCCTCCTTCTTGATGGGGGGTTCAGGCAACGATGCTGGGGCGGCCGGCAAAAGACTCGATCCGTTAGGCTTCTTGTTCTTGTCCTTTTCTTCTTTCACGTCCACATCCATGGCGTCGGCGCCTCCTTGGCCCTTAGGGACAGCCTTCATAGCGCCCTTTTCGCGAAGGTACTGGATGGACTGCAGAATAGTCAAATCTTCTTGTTCCTTATCGTTGAGAATCAAGCGTTGCTGGATGGTCATGCGACCATCGTTGGCCTCGCGCTCCTTCATGGCTGCTTCTCTTACTTCGGGGTCGTGGACGAAGCGGCACTTGCCCTTCTTACCACAAGTTCCACCGGTGGCGTAATACTTGCAATGCTTCGAAACATCGGCCTTCTTGGCCGGGGGTGGGGGAGGCGGCGCGGCGGACTCGGTACGAGAAGACATGACTTCGGGCTTCTCGTCGTCCGAAGAGTCTGGAGACACGTCGCGCATCTCGTCGCCTTCATCTCCCTGCTCTCGCTTTCGCTTGATAGAAGACTCGACCTTGCGCAGCTGCTTCCGCAACTTGTCGGCTTGCTTCTCCAGAGAGGCGGCCTTGTCCTCATCCTTTCGTGCCACCTCGGCAGCCTTCTTGGCTTCCACTCGTGCGCGCGTGGGGAAATTCTTGCGGCGCTCCGCCAAGAAAGCGGCGACGTCAGAGATTCTAGAACATGTTAGGGTTCCTCATACCAGGACAGCCTTGGGGTCAAGGCGACATACTGTAGGGTCTCGGCGCCAATAAGGTCTAAGAGAGCCTTCTCCTCTCCTTCGTCGTCCTCAGACTCAGACTCCATGCCGGGGGTCAAACCTAGTGTGTTCGTCTTGCGCTTCTTCTTCTTGCCAGCTGACTGCGATTCCACCTTGACTTTGGCATCGTTGCCGTGGTTCTGGTGGTTCTGGTGGTTCTGCTTTGGGTGACCGTGGTGGCGAGCCTTGTCCCCTCCGTGATGGTGACCACCACGCCCGCGAACCCCGTCTCTATGTCCTCCACCTCGGCCACGACGATGGTACTGACCACCGTGATGGCTTTCCTGGCGATGAACAGGCGCAGGAGGAGGCGGTGGGCCCGAGTAAGGGTATTGGGCTGGGGGATAGTGGGCAGTGCGAGGATCATGTGGATATGGCTGGCCGTAAACTGGCGCCACCTGCTCGTGGTCGTAGCCCTGCCGAACCGGTGCCCCCATATGCGAATGCTTAGGGACACCACGGTCACCGTAACCGCCTCGACCTCGGTTGTTAGAGTAATGCCCCTGCTGGGGCGAGCCCCAATGAGAGGCGGCCGGCTGGGGAGGAGCCTGGTACGGGTGGCCGTATTGTTGCGGCGCCCCGTAGGCAGGCTGCTGGGAGTATTGGGTGGGGGCATATGACTGAGGGGCGTAGTTTGGATGATAGTTTGATGGAGAGATGGGTGAGGGAGCATGGGGATGATGAGCGTTCTGCGGAGCGGGCGCGTGGCCGTGTTCCGGAGCCCACTGCTGCGGATGAGGCTGGTGATAGTTCGCCGCAGCGGAGGGTGCGCCGTATGCAGTCATGCCATGGGCCGAATATGGCTGGGGAGGATACTCGTAGTGAGTTGGAACCGCGGCGCCGGCGGCCTGATAGTCGCCTCTGCCCCGGGAGTACTGACCCCCGCGGCCGCGGCCACCAGATGCCCCCCCTCCCCGGTGGTGAGCGTAGGAAGGCGTCGGTTGCCCATACCCGGGATGGCCGCCCGAGGCGGACGGAGGTGGAGGCGGCGGAGCGTAGCCGTAGCCGGACATGGTTTCTGTCCCGGCCCGAGCCCGTTGTATCGCAGCAGAACACTTGTCTGCGGGTATAAAATTCGAATCAAACGGTCGGCGACTGCTTTCGGTGCTCTCTAGTCTAGAGTCGGTCGGTGTGACAACTTATTCGATCAAGCAAAATGCGACAACGGCCAAAAACAGGTGTGAGCGGCAAATATGACAAAGGCGACATGGGCGTTGACGAAAGACAAACTCGTAAGGACGACACGCCGTGAAGCAGGTTGGTGGACAGTTGGGGAGGTTTGACGGCCCAAGAAAAGAGTTGAGGCAGTCGCGGCGCGTCTTGCGGCCTAGTCCAAAAGTGGCGGGCGGTGAAGCGTGGCTGCACGAGGGTCCGGCAGAATTTTGACCTTTGGTGCAGAGCTTCCTGATTTCACCAACTCAAATCGACAGCGACTCATCCTGCCCTTGATTCCAGATCGACAGGACAGCGAAATTACCGTCGCTCTGTCATGGGAGATTCGATTCCGCATATTGTCCTAAAATATTAACCGAATCGGGCCTCTTAGGCGGAGCAGACACAACCATGTTCATCTTGGTATGCCCCGGCCACTCATTCTCCAGAAATTCGACGCCGGCAGCTAACTGGAGCAACACCGTCAGACCAAGATCTCAGATCTTGTCCAGATCCATCCGGAGGACTTTTCAAAGCATAGCATAGTCGCCCTGGAAGACAACATCAACGCCAAATACGCTAACAAGGTCTGTCATTCCGTTGCATTCTCGTGTCGGCCCAGTCGACTGACCCAAACCCTCAGGTCATTCAAAAGATCGGGCTGTGCATATGTCTGTATGACATTCTGTGGACGTCCGAGGGTTTGATCGGCCACGGCACCGGCCTTGTGAACGTCAATGGTATGAGCCCTCCCCCCTGACTGACTTCCAATGCGAAGTCATCGGCGTAGTAGGCTGACAGAAACGCAGTCGAGTTTCGAATGGTTGTCTTTCGGCCCTTCAAAAATGAGATTATGCTCGGCAGGATACGAAGCTCCACGCCTGCAGGGATCAACATAAGAACAGAATTCTTCGACGACATCTTTGTTCCGTTCGATGAACTGCCAGAAGGCGCAGAATAGTGAGTACCGTTGCATGCCGGAACTCAGTGAGAGGCGGAGAATACTGACCCGTCACAGCAACCACAGCGAGCAGCTCTGGATCTGGAATGTTGAGGATTCGAGACTCTTTTACGACAATCACGAGATGGTGCGGTTCCAGGTCTTGGACGAGGAGTGGCACGACCAGACGCCTGCAGGACCGTCGCAGGGCGAGGACGCGCCGGCGAAGTCACCATACAGGATCAAGGGAAGCATGGTCCGGGACGGACTGGGCGTGTGCCTGTGGTGGGACGAAGCCTGAAGGGCGACATGATCCGCGTGCGAGACGCCAGCCTTTTTATTGTATTGTACACGGTCTATACCTGGCCAGTACCATGAATCTACGATTTGATACCCTCCAGCAGGCGTTCCTCGACATCGTCCAAGACGGAGTAGTGCTCGACGACAGCCAGGTTCTCGGCCTCGGCCTTGAACTGCTTGTCCGGGTCTTGCCCGGGGCCTCCCATACCGCCCATGGGCATCTGCTGCGCAGCCATCTGCTGGGCCATCTGACTGGCGGCTGGCGAGGGATAGTTAGTCTCATTGGATGATTGAGGAAGACGGAGAGGACGCTCACCATTGTCGCTGCCGAGCAGGAAGACGTAGACGAATTGCAGACCAAAGATGCAGAGAAAGTACCAACTGATGCTGGACATCCACCGGGGGTCCATGTCCTTGGTCTGCACACCCGCCTGCAGCATGCTCTTGAACTTGATGGTGATGGGAAACGGCAGCTTCACTAGGAGGGAGTTAGCGCGCAGGCACGCGGGAGGCTCGAGATTCCTCCAGCAGCTGGGGAACTGGACGCACTGATGACGTATCCGCTGAAGAAGGCATTGATCCAGCTCATGATGAGCGTGTTTGGGATAATCATGGCCATGTTGTTCTTCATCATGCCCATCATTCCGTCCATCTGGCTCGGGTCGGTGAGCGGGTTGGCGGGGGGCTGGCCCTTGCGCTCAGGCTCCTTGAGGAATGCGCCCGACTCGTAGCCCGCGGTGAGGCCCTCGCGGCGGGCCTCGAAGGCGCGCTGCGACAGCGCGTGGTAGTTGGAGCGGAGGGCGACGCCGCGGGCGAGGGCGCGCTGCTCCCGGAGCGCGCGGGCCTCGAGCTTCTTGGGCGCCGTGGCCATGAGCACCGAGGCGTAGTGGCGGAGCACGCCGGTGAGGACCATGACGACGGTGATGGGGATGAGGATCCAGTAGCTGCGACGGGGCATCGGGGCGCCATGGTCAGCGGGACTCGTCTGCGGCTCAGGGAAGGATACCAGAGGACTGGAGAGGCAAGGACGGGGGTCGTGCGCACAAGAGCTGGGGGTCCCTGTGGAGGGTCTGGACGGGAATTTGCGCCATCGTGAGGGTGTCGATTATCGATGCGCTCGCGGGAGATGGGGATTGATGGCAGCGGGCAGACGGACAGACGGAGGTGCGTCTGCGGTGGTGTCTGACGGAGGGATGATGGTGGTGGTGCACTGGTGGAGGTGGAGGCTTGCTGCTCGGAGCTTTGATTCTGCCGCAGACAGACGCATTGATGGCAAGCTGTGCCGCATGTGGGGCCGGTCTCAGCACCTCCAGGCACAAGCTGCTGGAAGGCCACCTAGCTCTCCGTGGCAGGCCAGCGCCAACCCCACGCCTCAACTTACATCCATCGCGACAACACGACACCCTCCTTCCTCGAGCTCGCCCTCCAACGCAGCAACCCCCCACGGCCTGCCCTCGTGCACTCCACATCTGCCACCATGGCGACCGAAAAGATTAGCCTGTACAATCTCGCCGGTAAGATTTCCACCCTCGAAGACGCCCCAATTGGCGAACTTCTCTCCGCCCAGTGACCCGCCCGCCCTGCATGCAGTCGCATTCGTGTCCTCCAGAGCCTCCTCGTCACTGACGTCGTCGTCTCTCTCTTTCTCTCTGCAGACCTCAAGAACACCTCCGACGACGCCATCCCCAACTACCTCAACTCCCTCAAGTTCAAGCAGTCCCACTTCCTCACCGACGTGCGCCTCGCGCTCGGCTACACGGGCTTCGCCCTCGCCGCCGCCTGCTTCCTGTGGGACTACAAGCTGGGCTTCGAGAGCACCAAGACGTACACGGCCGTCGCCGTCGCCGTCTACACCCTCATCAATGGCGCCCTGACGTTCTGGATGTCCGAGGTGGAGAAGGGCACCGTCTACCAGGGCGCCGCGCCGTCAGGCGAAAAGGTACAGAGTGCAGTGCTTCTTTCTCCTAGCTCCCCGTTCGCGAGACTGCCTGTCATGGCTATCTGCTCCTGGAATCTAGGGCATGCTGACAGCCGCAACACAGGTCACCATCAAGAGCGCGACAAAGAAAAACGACCCCACGTACCGCCTCACCATCACCGTCGAGCCCAAGAACGCCACCCCCGAGGTCGTCGAGCTGAGCAAGCCCTTCGCGACCTTCTTCGACGAGACGGGCCGCTTCGTTGCGCAGCCCTTCCAGGAGGCCCTCGCCTCGGCAGTGCCCGCCATCGGCCGCCGGGACCCCAAGCGCGTCAAGCTCGCCTCCCAAGCCATGCTCGACGCGAACCCGGACCTGCTGGACGCGGTGCTGGCAGCCAACAGCGCCCAGGCGGAGGGCGAGAAGTCGGGTGCTGCGACAGGCGCCGAGCCCGCAGAGAAGAAGGGCGGAAAGAGGCGCAAGGCTTAAGCATCATAGGTGGTGCCGTGAGGTGGCTACAGGTTGCCGTGTAAAAATGAAGTAGAGGGAAGCGTGCACGAAGCGGGATAGCAAAGGAGGGCCGGCATTATATCCGGATCGGTTTTCTTAGGACAGTTTGGCAGCGTTATGACATTTCCCGATCGAGACCCAACTTTTTCTCGGCCTCTACTCCGTACATGATCGCCCAATGCAAAGGGGCATCTGGCTGCAGTGATCTATTTATGCCTCCGGCAAGTCGTCCAGTCCCACGAACTCCAGACTTGTCCAATGCCGCACGCCACATCCATGATCCATCACAACCACTCACTTCATATCTACCCACGCAGCCCGTGCCAATCTAGCCGTCTTCCTGAGGTCCCGGACGCGGTGTCCACACGCCGTTGCCAGCTCCCGCTGCACCTGTGCGGCAAAGGGCACAACATGCCTCGACTCAAAGAGACGAGGCAGGCCGCCCACAATCTCCAACGCGATCTTCCCACTCTCAGCCTGGACTGCAGAATCCGCAGCTGGACCGCCCGCGTAGTCTGCTGGCATCCACTCTGGTCGGGTGCGCACCACAGTTGACCGACTCGAGAACAAGGCAACGCAGACATTGATGAGGCTGCGAATGTGACCTTGAAGAGTCTCCGGTGCCTTGGTAATAATTTGCTTCAACACGTCCATTGCTGCCTTGGCGTCTGGGCCGGTTCCCAGGTTCTGGGCAACGGAGATGGCCACGCGCACTACCTTGCCCGAGTCATCTTCATACACCTCGAAAGGCATTTCGCGAACCATCAGCAATGTGGCAATGGCGTAGTTGGTTTTGATGAGGGGCTCCTGGATGCCGGGTGATCCGCCGACAGCAATGGCCATCATAGGCTGGACAAGGTCGAAGTAGAGCTTCTGTTTCCACAGGGGCTTCATGGCGCCACCACGGCCGAAGTATGCGTTGCTGAAGCCAGCGATGATGTCCAAGCCCCGCGCAAGACGGTACCCGGAGATCCTGCTACCAGGAGCTTCCCGCAACAGCTGGAGTAAGCCTTTTGTCTGCTTGCCAGTGCATCGTAGTACCAAAGCCCCAACAACCACATAAATGGTCAGGGCTCGTTCGACTCCGTTGCTTTGCTGTTGCTGGTTTGACTCTATAGAAGCCTGCTCCAAGGCCCCAGCCAAATGCTGCTCTAGTGTCGCGATCGTCTCGGGCAATGTCTCGAGCTTATACTTGTTTGCCAAGTAGCCGAGGATAGACCTGGTAGACGGCAGCACAGTCGGATCACTCGACTCCACGGCGGAGGAGGTGCATCTGACCAAGACACGCTGTGCAACCCCAATCTCGTACTGCAAAGCCTTGTTAGCTGCAATTATGCCTGCGGCAATACGGCGAAGATGACTTACAAGTTGAGCAATGAAAGCCGGTGGCATATTCCGCAGCAGTCCCGCGGAAAGAATGCTCAGAGGGCTTAAAATAAGCCAATCCACCAGCTCATCTGTGGACGAGTCCACTCCCGGAGCAAGCGACACGTCTTCGTCCCGGAACAAAGTCAGAACCCAAGTTTCCATGCCGCGGCACGAAATCTTCTTGCTGCTCATCTTGTCGATGACATGAGAGGCAAGGTTTGACAGCTGATGCAGGTAGCGAACCTCTGCACCTCTATCCGTCCTGGCGAGTGCATCACTCAAGTTAAGCCCGTTGTTCCCACTCGAGAGATGTTGCGCCTTGGTTGCGCGACGGTAGAGCTGTCGGCAAACACCAAGGATGATGAGGAGCCCATCGTCGTTCACCTTGGAAATGTTTTCCCGGTTTGGGATAATGTCCTCTCGAGCATTAGGAGCCACAAACTCTTGACCTTCTTGACTTGTCCATGTCCGACCGCTGTCGAAGGACTCGAGTTCGGGATATCTTGCGGTGAAGTCGGGGGACCAAGGATCTTCTGATGTCCTTTCGGACCAGATATGATCGCCCAAGAGGCCACTGCAAGCTTCGTCAAAGTACTCCAACGCCACCAACAGTGCGTCGACCAGGCTGCCCCAAAACTCGGGATCTGGCTTAGCAGCCATGGCGGCAACGAGTTCATTGTATACGGTGCCTACAAGGGCAAGGAAATGCCTCATGGCATTTGAATGCGACGGCCTCATGTCCGAGAATCCGACGACGGAGAGTATAGAACAAAGCCTCTGCGCGGAAAATGGGGTTTCCATACTCGTCGTAGAGTCGCTTTGTCGAATAGGGGCCGCGACCCGTGCAGTCAGCGGCTGATATCCTTCTGGGTAACCCTGTATGGCGCGCTGAAGCGCCTTGATACTCTCGTTGACGAGCTCATCGGATGCCGCCTTCTGTGACTGGTCATGACGAGGCAGAGAGATGATGTCAAACAATGAGTCGCAGATCTCTGCACAAGTTGTCCCAGGCAGCAACAAGTGCGCGTTTGGCTGAGTCGAGTCTGGGGCCTCCCGCTTTGTGAGTACCGACTGGCGAGCAAGCGCTCCGATTCCCTGGACAGCCTCGGTTGCCAGCTTGATGTCATCGTATGATGCATTTGCATCCCTGCCAAGTTTGATGGGGCTTCCATAGACATCAGCGTAGAGTGATTTGAAGACTGAATCCACTGCTGCAAAGTCGGACCTTTCAGCATCCGTCATTTCCACGTCGGTCAGGAGTAGTCTGGTTTCGAGAATAATGTGTAAAATCTTGTGCAAGTCCCGCGAGTGCGCCGGCACCTTTGGGTGACGCAGGTTGTCTTTGATATGCGTGATGGCGGGTGCTACAATCAGAACAAACGCAGTCGTGCTTGCGCTCAGAACGCTGACCAGCAGTCGTCCAGACGCCGCAGTATATGTCGGGTTTGATAGGTCTTCGACGCAGTCGCGAGTGACGTTGAGGCTGAAATCGCGCAGCTCATCGCCCTTCAATCTCGTGGTAAGGGTCCTCATCACTTCGAGGGTCGCGTTGATGGTATCCTCAACCTCTCCATTGCGAACCTCATACTTGAGACTACTCCAGATCCGGTTGACGTATGGTAGGATTGACTGATCTGGCCTCGTATACTTTTCAAGGCACATGTCAATAGTTTGGAGGATGTCCACCTGACGAAAGGTTAGCCAGTACCTTCGAAACAAAGAACAGCATGTCGGCGTACCTTGACATTGACAGTGACCCCATCCCCTTGGTCCAGCTTTCCTAACAGAAACGGGAAAGCCAGGGGGGCAAGACTGTCATTGGACGCAAAGCACTGCCGCAGCTCTCGCTTGAGCTCTGCTGGTTGAACCTTGCTCTGCGCGGTACGCGGCAAGGTGATGGGGAAGTAGGCTTTGAACGTGCCGTACACTTCCTCCGCCATTTCCTTCGAAGGCGCATAGTTTGATAGGAAGTGGCTGAGAATTCCAAACCAGACCATCAGACAGTCGGGGTCCCGCTCGTTCTGGCATAGTTGTAAAAGATCATTCATGAATCCGCAAGATGAGTCGCGATGCTGCAAGTCGCTGGCGATTGCGGGATCCACGACAAGCTGATGCAGCAACTCGTATACTGCCAAACGCGTCTTTGCGACCTGGCGGGGAAAATCGTCCTTGAGAGTGCAAACTTTGGAAATGATGTCGCGAGCGCTCTGTGGTTGGAAGGACTTCATGCGGGCGATCTGCGACAAGGCGGTGGCGGACGGCTTGATGCCTGCTTTGTGGTCGACGTCAAACATGGCGCCGAAGAAAGCCACGAGAAGTTTGACTGCATAATAGTGAGCACGAGATCGAGGTCTCGAGATGGCTTGCTTACCTTGACTTGGCTTCAAGACGTCGGGCTTCAGGAAGTCGATCGTCTCCGACAAGAACTCGAGCGCTGGATGAATTAGCCTTCACTGTGCATAACGTTTTCCAGACAATACTTACCTTTTGCTCTGGCGGTCCAGTCGGTTGAGTCTTGGCCGTTTTGCATCTCGTCGTCGTCGCCGCCGGGCATCCATGGCTGGACGGACTCTACCCACCGCGCGACGGGATTCGAGGCTGGCGGTGCGCTTGAGATTTCTTCGTGCACAGCATTAGCGCCTGCAACTACTTGGTGGTTGAAGATCGACTGACCTGTGGCAGCTTTTTGAGCGATGCTGTTGCGCTTGGCAGCATCGTCCTCGAGCACAAACTCGAGGGCGAGCTGGCGAAAGTCGGCCATGACGCAGGTCCCCAAGGCGACCAAGGGTGTAGTTCTAAGAGAAAGTCCTCAAAGGTGCAAGGCCATGTACCTGAGCACGTGCGACTGCGATGTCGTGTGAGGTGAGATGAGCCTGGGATATCCCGTGATGGCGGGGCAGCGGCCGCTGCAGTTGGACGAGGGGCAGTGACACAGGCCAGGTTCTGCTGTACTGCTTCTGGCCCCTGGGTCCTGGATATTCTTCGTCTGGATGACCTTGTCTGATAGCAGGCCAGGTTTCAATGGCGTCGTCGAGTGCCCGTGTCAACGATTCCAGGGGGGCAGATGGCGGTTGAAATATCGTGCGGCGTGCCGACGTCGGCTTTGGTGGGGGAGGTTTTGGCAGCCGCAATCAACGGACGGAATTTCCAGCACCCCAGGCGTTGCCGCCCCACTTTTCCGCCCATGACGGCATATCAATGATTCGAGCTTCGCCATTTCGTCTCGTCTTGCAATTCTTTCCCCCGTCAACTACGAATTGGGCTCGTCTGCGCAATTCCCCCCAACACAATGGCGTCGATACGGATACCGGCTCTGCGGCATCTCGCGTCATGCCCCCTGCGCACGGCCCGCATCGCGAACCAGCGGCGCTGGGCCCAGGTCCATGACGTGCGCTTCCTCACCCAGCAGCCTCCCCAGGCCGTGCTCGACAAGTACCGCTCCAAGCTCGAGCAAAAGGCCAAGCAAGAAGGCCACGACGGTATCGACGGATTGAAGACCGCGTATGCAGACAAGATCCAGGCGCAGCGCAGGCAAGACGGAGTCGAGTTCCCGGCGACCAACTACATACCACAGGCCGGCGACACGCCCGTCGCGCAACCGAATCGGGGCCCTTTACCATCCGACACGACCTCTTCCCCCGATGCTACAGCCTCCAAGCCCCCGGCGGCTTCGAAAGTCCCTGCGGCAGGGGGCGAGAAACCCGCCGTCAAGACGCTAGACGAGATCCTCGACCTCGAAAAGGTGCGCGAACTGCCCGAGCAGGAGTTGACGGCCATCTGGCGCCTGCGACACGCCAACTCGCCGCAGAACATTTGCGCAGTCATCCCCACGGCGACATACCAGGCCATGGAAGACGTCGCCCGCAAGTCGCCCCAGTTCGTCCTGCCCGTGCCTCACGAGAGCCAAGGCGCCGAGATCCATTTCCTTCAATGGACCTTTGATGCCGCCTCCAAGACGAGCACCGTGCTCTTCACGCAGCTCGCCGAGTACAAGTCGAGGGGCGAGTTCGCGCAACCCCACACTACCGTCACGCACCACCTCGACCTCGCGGGCGACAAGGGCCTGGTGCTGATGCAAGGCCAGGTCATGGACGGCCGCGGCATCCAGCCCGAGCACGCCAAGTGGCTCGTCATGTGCCTCCAGAGATTTTACGGCGGCTGGGAGACCGGAGAGGCGGAGCTGACGGGCGACCGCAAGGAAAGGGCAGATGAGAGGAAGAAACTACTCGAATGGTTCGCCAACGGCGACTCCAGATTCAGCGTTGAGAAGCTGTTGGAGGAGGCTGAGCGAATGGGTTAAACATACAACGGTGGTGCATATACGATAGAGGCATACACGGCGGCCCATTTTGTACTACAACATAAAATATGTACATCTACATCTATCATGATCCCAAGCAGCGCCCCTACAGCTTAGCCTTGGGCCCCTCGTCCTCTTTCCTGGCCTGGTCCCTCAGCAGTCTCCGCAGGATCTTGCCGGCTTGCGACTTGGGCACCTCCTTGATGAAGCGCACGCCACCGCGCAACTTCTTGGGCGGCGCGACGCGCTCGTTCAGCCAGGCGACAATGTCATTTGCCAACGCCTCGCTCTCCTCCACGCCCTGGCGGACAACCACATACGCGCGAGGGATCTCGGTGTGCTGCTCCTTGTCCCAGACGCCGACGACGCAGACATCGGCGATGTCCTCGCGGCCGATGAGCTTGGCCTCGAGCTCGGCGGGCGGGACCTGAAAGCCCTCTGTTCTTGCAGTCAGCTACTGGAACATATCGTTCAGGGATCGGAGGAAAAGCACGTACTGTACTTGATGAGCTCCTTCATGCGGTCGGTGATGTAGTAGTTGCCCTTGGGGCAGACGTAGAAGACGTCACCCGTCTTGTACCAGCCGTCCTCGGTAAAGGTGTCCTTGTTGAGCTCCGGCTTGTTCCAGTAGCCCTGGAAGATGTTGGGGCCCTTGACCAGCAGCTCGCCAGACTATTTCCACGATTAGCACGTCGCCAGCGTCGCACAGCAGACCAAGCACGCCATCAACTTACCTCACCGGCGGGTACTTCTTTGCCCTCCTCGTCGACAATCTTGGCCTGCATATTGGGCAGCAGACGGCCAACAGAGCCCTGGAAGCGCCACCACTCGTCCTGCAGCTGGGTGTGGACAGAGGGACTCGTCTCGGACAGTCCATAGCCCTGCTTGACGCCAATCTTGAGACGCTCCCACACGGCCACAACGAGGTCCCGACTGAGGGGCGCAGCGGCGGAGTTGATCCATCGGACGGAGGAGAGGTCGTACTGGCTGACGACGGGGGCCTTGCCGAAGGCGAGGACGATCGGGGGCGGGACGTAGAGGAAGGTGATTCTGTGGTCCTGGATGATGCGGCACGCCTTTTGCAGGTCAAACTTGGGCATGATGACGCACTTGGCGCCGCTGATGAGGGTGACGTTGAGGACAACGCCAAGGCCGTAGATGTGGAAGAACGGAAGGACGCCGATCTGCGCGTCAATGTCCCAGTTGAGCGTCTTGATGTCGAAGCGCCGTGACTGGTGCGAGTTGGCGACGACATTGTAGTGCGACAGCATGACGCCCTTGGGGAGGCCAGTCGTTCCCTGAGGTTTGTGTAAGCGCGCCGAAGCACAGGACTAGACAGTCTCCTCTCATTGCGATTGAACGCCAGGGTTGGATATGGTGAGACAAAACCTACCGAGCTATAAACCAGATACGCCAAGTCCTTCTTCGGGTCTACGGACGGCTTGGAGGGCTGCAGCCATGCGCCATTGGCGTTGATGTCGGTCCAGTGGCGGTGAATGCCAGTCTCGTCGCGCCCATCACCCATGAGGATGATGTGGTCGCGCGGAATGCCAGCCTTGGCGGCCGCATCGCATGCCGTCTTGAGGAAAGGCTTCTGAGTGACGACGACCCTGGCGCGCGAGTCTTCAAGCTGGCGCGCAAACTCGTCGACCGTGTAGGTCGGGTTCGCGGGGCTGGCGATGCCGGCCGCCCAGTGCAGGCCGAGGTTGACAACGGGGGTGTCGATGTTGTTGGGGGAGAAGAAGGCGAGGACATCGCCCTTTTGCCACTTGAAGACGTGCCTCAGGCCCCTGCCGAAGGCGATGGAATGGGCCTTGATGTCCGCGAAGGTGTAGGAGCGGTTGGTGTCGCAATCGACGAGGAGAGCTGCGCTTTTGGTCAGTATCAATAGTGAGAAGTGAGAGGGTCGGGTCAGCAGCTGGTCCGTACTGTGGTTGTCTGGGTACTCCTTGGGCTGTTCCATGTACATGGTCCAGATGTCGATGTTGGGGATGGCGACATCCGTCCAGGCAGATGTGTGTACCATCTTTGCGACTTTGTGTGTGCAGCTTCGAGGCGAACGCTAACAGGCTTGGTTCTATCGGCGACGGTCTGGGTTTCTATACAGATCTAATAAACGCAACGAAGGCGGCCGTCGTCAACAACAAGGCCAGGCAGGCAATACAATGTCCAGGATTCACAACAGAGAGGGAAAAAAAGGACGTTCAGGACAGGTCCAGCGGTGACGACAATGGAGAGTGAGGAGGAGTAGGCGGGTGAAAAAGGCCGACGAGCGGCAAATTGGAGATGCCCCGAGAGCCTCGGGCTCGCCTCCGGTCCGGGCGCGCGCGTACGTACCAGCTAGCTACTACCTCAGACTGGAGGAGTTCCAAGGCGCGTCCGGGGTTAACTAACTAGTCGCTCCCATCCGCGGGCCATCGTCGCTGGTGCGGCGGCGGGGGGGAGCGGCGGCCGACTTTCGTCGTCTGCATTGACGCAGCTTCGAACCTCCCCATCCCTCCATGGCTCGCACTGCTAGCACGGAATTGTGCCCGCCACGTCAACCGGGGGGGTTTGCCCGGGTGGGTTGTGAGTGGTTGGCGCGCCCTCCGTCCGTGGAGTCGTTGGGAAGTTGGACCTCGGCGCAGGACGGGGCGGGACCTGGTGGTGGCGGCGCGGTGGGGGTGGGCGCGGCCAGGCCAACTCGGTCCCGTGCCCGCTATTGCGGGGGATGGACGGAATTTGGAGGTGAACGCTGGAGGCTCTAAAGCGGCGAGGCGGTCCCTCACCTCGGTCTTCATTTGGACGCACGTCACTTAGTATTGGGCTGGCGAACGATCCAGTTGACCCTGATGGACTTGCCCAATGCAAGATTTCGACATGGTGGAGGCTTTGCGCTTTAACTCTGGCCTCATTTCTGCAAGTTCCTTTCGCCCTGGATGTCTTTCGGGAAAGCCACCCGCATCGTTCTGATTATCATCCAAAGTGGGTTTGATCTGAGCTGAGCGTCTCCTCCAGCACGACCCGCTCCAGACCGAAGTATCGCGAAAGTACAGCAAAGTACAGCCACAACAGGACCGCCGACTTAATCCGACGAGAGCGTTACAAAGCAAACAAAGATGCGCCACAGTCCGGGGTACGGCAGCGAAGCGCTCACTCTGTGTCTCGTAGCCGGCACGGCCGGGCCGGAATGTGGATCCTGCGCGTAAAGCTCCGGGGGCGAACTGCCGACAAGCCAGCTGCGCCCGATCCAACCCGCCGAGTCCTGGCTCCACTGTCGAGCCGCGGTCTGATACATGTTCTTTTCTGCAAGGGCATACGTTCTTCGAAATACCCGAGCCGCCACGTGGCTGTTGCCGATACATGGAAGTCCGATTTCACTCGTTGTTCATGACTACCCTACACCATACCATGAGCCTGGTAGATGGGCTTATCACCGTTCACAAGGGCTTATAACTGCACTTAAAGCTTTGGTTCACGCGACATAGTTATGATCGGTCCTGTTGGTGTCTTCTGATTTTGGCCCATGCTGTGATTGACACTCTTGTGAGCAGCAATGCGTGGCAGGGCTGCGTATCAGGACCCAAGCATTATGTTCCTAACGTCTTGTCTCCCAAAACCCCCCACGACGGCGGAATACAGTCGTCCGTTAATTGCTCGTCAGGCAACAATATGCTCTCATTGCCGCGGCAAAGCTCGGGCCTTGGCAGAATGAGCAGAGCTACATTACAGGATCTAAGTTTGAGGGCGCAGATGAAACGCGACTGCTCTTCTCGTCGTCCACGTCAAGCTCTACCGAGGCACTACCTGGTTGTGTGAGAGCGAATGGCTACGGCATCGTGTCATGCTTCAATTGACTATCACGCCGGTACCAAAAAACTAACAGTCCATGTCGGAGCACATTGATTCAACAGACTCACTTACAGTGATGCCTGTTCCCTGCAGTGCCAAGCGGGAACCTTGTACATGAGAATCTTCTTCCTCATCGTGTCCAGCACCTCCTCTCGCGTGAACGGCGAGAGATTCGTAATGTCTCTTGGCTCCGCCCTCACCCCCTTGGCATGGACGAAGAATGCGCTAGACCGCGGCTTCTCCTGCTTGCCGAAAGAGACAATCGCCTTGGCCCAATCATCCAAACACTTGCGCGTCTGTGGCGCCTGGCGAAAGATCAACGGGAACGTGTGCGGCATCCCCTGGTATTCGTAAAAGGTGACCGACACGCCTTGGCTGTGTACTCTCTGGGCCAGGAACGCAGCCGCGTCGATGCACTGCTCCTCGCCGGACGCTATCCACATTGGGCAGGACCCGGACCAGTCCTCTGCCGCCGCCGGGCTCACCAGCGGGTGGATAAACATCTCGTGGTGGCAGTAGAGATTCACGCGGGGAGGGTTGGCCGGCCATGCTGCGCAGGTTGGGAATTCCTTCCTGAGGTAGGGAAGGTCTTCGACGGGCGGGAACTGGTAAATGTCGTTGAGTGGGTTTCTGTCGTGCGAGGGCAGCGAGTTGCTCAGGTCCCCCCACGGGCTGAGCAGAGTTATACCCGCGGGAATCTCAACCTGAACTTCCTGGCCGTGGAAGTTTGCCGTCGTGTTCCGCCGGTTCAGCCGGAGGATGACTTGAAGAAGTGACAGAGCGAGAGCGGCGCCGGAGCTGTCTGCGGCGATGACGATGGAGGACGCCGGCACTGGGCCGTGCGGCGCTTTGAAAGGCGGCGCCAGAAGCGTCAGATACGCTTGGAACACATCGAGTAGGGCCGCTGGGAAGGGGTTCTGCGGCGCAAGACGCTGATGGACCATCAAGACCTTGGCGCCAGTCTTCTGAGCTAGCTGGCCTACCAGCCTACGATACCCAGGAGGGGAGTTGAATCTGCAATCATGAACCATTAGCCTCTCATAGGTGTTTCCCAGGGGTTCAGTATGCACTGACGAGCCTAGTCCGCCAAAAATATACAGCACAGTGAGTGGACTCGTAGTCTCGTCGTCCAGCCTGTCAAACTTGTCCAGCTCGCTCATCGATGGCTCTGGCGCATCCTTGGCCACGTTGGCACGATGCCCTACCCACTCGAAGCGAAGCGCCTCCGCCTCTGGTCGCTGGTATGGAACATTGCCGTCGTTTGCCTCGTCGACGAGATTGAGGACCAAGTCTTGTGAGTTGTTCTCTTTCACTTTGGGCAAGGCAAACTTGCTGACCCAGATGGGGCCTGTGACAGGGCGGTCTTTTGTCGTTGCGGCTTGCGTCGCTGAGATCGAGACTGTCAGGACGCTGTCTAGATACGCCTTCCTTGCCAGCTTGTTTGCGATAAGGAGCTGCTGAGGGTCCTCGAAGTCCATCGTGTAGATGGCTGAAGTCGCAGTGACGTATTGTTTACTTGCTAGGGAGAAAAGGTTGAGTGTATAGCAATTGATAAAGACCTGATGCTGTGCCAATTGATCCATGCCTTTAGACAATGATGCGCAATTGCTCGAATTATGTACGAAGTCGCGATCCTCAGATTCCAAATTACCTCGGCATCTATCTCTATCGTCTGGGGAAGTTCTCAAGAGGCTCAAAATTGCCCCCCCGTATGGGCCCTGTGGCAGGGCTGGCGCGGCGTCAGGATCTCCGCAGCTTACATCCGTCATGTTAGATTGCCAAATTGGGTTGTGGTCAGCTCGAGGCGTGGAGCGACATCCGGACCCCGTCTTGACTAGTGGAGCTTCCATAGCGACTTCTACACAATAGGCGTTTCTTAGCGAGGAGGAACACGAAGGAAGTTGAGCACTCTGCCCAACGGCTTCGGAGCGGCCGCGACTGGTGAGCAGCTCTCACGTCAGGTTCGTCTGTTTCCAAACCAACTGGTCATTGGGGAGGGGGATAGATCGTCCCTGTCCGGACGCGATCTTGCCGGCAGGCAGTGCAAGGTGCCGACGAAGCGTAGAAGGTGCTCTTAACGAAGAAGAGGAAGAGCTGCGAAAAGCCCGGAGCTAACAACAGACAAACGGACATTTTGGTTGCCATTGCATTGTGTGCGGACGAAGCGTAGCTAGTGCTGACAGGCAAAGCCTTGATCTGGCTCCCAGACCAAGTGGGTGTAAGCCAATAGTGTAGCCAGTTGAGCCGGAACACTCTGGAAGCGCAAGTGTCCTGGCATCATTAATTCAAGCCAATGATTTCTTGGCAAACAGCGGTATACGGCCTTGCCTTAAATACTGCGTTCGCGTAATAGGCAGTCTGCGCAAAATTGCGCGAACTTTAACTAATTCTCCCATACAGCTGGTGCTGGCTGGCCCACGCGAGAAGTCGACGTTCGCGCCGTGGACCTGGGTAACGTCCGACCGGCGGCTGATTCGATGTGGAATCATGGCGGGCAACGCGGCAGGAAGGCCATACATAGACATAACTAAGAGGGGTCTGTTAGGAAAGATTAACCCCGTCGGACTTCTGCCTTTAAGTCCTCAACGTCCGACGGACTTTTGCTTCAGATACTATTCAGGAACCATTTCTGGGCATGTCAGCTTGAGAACGCCGACCCCGGCGCTGCGCGTTGCTCAAACTCCGGCCCATGCCGGATCGTGGTACGTGTACGCAATACAACACGCAAGAGCGAGATTGAACTCCCAACGCTTTCCATCAGCGCTTCAGGTATGGATGGTCAGCCAGCGACGCGCATCATGCAGCTGCGTAGCCAAGCTCGCCGTCACACGTGGCACTCTTGATGCCCAGTCGCTCATGTTGCAGCAAGGTACCTTTGCTGCGGTCGATCCCTACCACTTTGCTCCTTCTCTCAGCCATTGAGGTATTTGACTGCGAGCACGGAGTCCTGCGCCGTGCACATGGCGTCGTAATGCGCTGCCAGAGCTTTCCACGTGCAGTGGAGTACTGTCCTGTACAAGCTTGGCACGGAACGACATGACGAGCGACCAACTGCGGAGCCGTGTCGTCGACTGCAGGCAGCATTGAGCCTCGGAGCCGGCAAACCATGGACATGAAACGTCTGTAGAAGTTCGGGAAACGGGGAATCTGTGCCGCTCGGCGGCCAATTTGCAACGGTTTCCCCGCGATCGACCTGGATCTTGCGGGTCACAGACTCGGCCGGGGGCCTGGTCGGGCACCTGGGCCCTGCACGCACGGCACGGCAGTTGCTGTGCTCGGGGCCGGCCGGCCGGCCTGCATGAAGCTGTGCGACCCTCGCCGGCCAACAGCACACCGTGCGCCCAAGGCGAGTTTCCTCGTGCGGTTCGCGTTTCTGCTTCGTGCTTTCGAGGGCGGGGCGTATATGTCCTATAGTGTACAAGCAGTACATAGGATCCGGCACTCACACTCTTCTGCACTCCATACATACGGGGCGGACATGCAAGGGACGCCTTGGCATGCATGCACCCGTCGTCTCCATGCGTAATGCTTTGTATCGAATGCATGGCGGAGGTGACAGGGTCTGGTAGGATCGATTGAAGGAGAGGGAGCAAGCATTCATGGCCTTGATGGTTTACCTTGTTGAAAGGTTCAGAAAGTCCCGTGACCCGACACATGGCAACATGGCAAGCACCCATGCAAGGTCTTTGTCCGGGCCCACCAGTTGTGAGTCGTGACTTCCCCCAAGCTAGTTAGTAGACCTCTGAGCACAACAAGCTGCTGGCCTCGCTGCCTCGAACGCGCGCCTGCTTTGTGCTTCCAATATTTTGCCTCGCCGCCGCCTCTCTTCTACCGATACGAACGGCCAAAGCTCCAGAGCTTCATCGACGCGACAGCAACGCCACACCGATGCAAGCTTTGGTGAGGCATTAACAGTGATGATCGACTTGGAGCAAAAGCGAATCGGACTGACTCGGACGCATCGACGGCCGCCGCCCTCACCGGATTACGCGTCTTGTATTGAAGCATTCGTCCGCGTCCGTACGCCATCCGCAACGAGACGACGATGGCATCACTCAAGGCCAATAACGCGGCTCGGCCGATCTTTCCGGTCCCTACGCTATGTACATTCTGTACAATACGAAGCTGAAACATTATCGACAGAGCCAAGCATCCGCTCGGTGTATCATGGCCAGACACGTCATCGTCAGGGCCCGTGGTTCGAGCATACCTGTAGATCTCTTCTATGGGTCACGTAAGCTGTCTTGGGCCTCATGACTTTGTCAGCGCGGGTTCACCGCGGCAGGCCAGAGCTCTCAAGATGTCTTCTCCCCCGTGGCTTACCTTCAGAGTGGCTGCTCGAACCCATAGTCCGATACCACGAACACGGGCTGCCAGCCTCTTTGCTGAGACGATCGGCACCAGTTCCAGCACCAGGATGGTACCATTCACCTAGCACGTGTCGGTTCGAGATCATTTCTGATGATTCCGTGCGGCACGGGCCAGATGAGCCGTCAGAAAACGAGGCGGTCTCCAGGAGCACACGGACGTCCAGTAGGCCTGAGGAGAGCTCGCGCCATACACGGACGATTGTCGGAACGACGAAACTCGTCATCGACTATGCTCGCGACGCCCGAAGGGCAGCGCCATAGGCAGTCGAAGCGTGTAGACGAAGGCGTGGCTGCAGCCCGGCGGGCGCCTCTCTCTCGCCTGCTGCCCGAAAGACTGCCAACACAGATCTCCGACTTCATGAGGCTCAGTCCAAGCTCGCAAGCATGATGCTCGCGTATAAAGAGAGAGCATTCCTCCAGCCATGGAATCGTTTTCTCATCATCAGCAGCATCATCATCAGATTCAGAACCCGATCCTAGTTTCAAGCAATCAGCAGGGCCATCACCATGCAGTTGACCCAGGTCGCGCTCTGCGTCACCAGCCTTCTGGGCTCCCTTGCCCTGGCTGAGCCGGCTGAGGCCGCCAACTCCAAGGGCGTCGTTTCCAGCGCCGTCCACTCGCACTCGGCCAAGAACCCCCACCACCCCAAGACCACGGCTCACACTCACGTCACCACGACTGCGAAGGCTGTGCCCACCAAGACGCCCGTGAAGCATAAGAGCCGCACCCAGAAGCATCGCAGTTCCGGTGCTGCTAAGCACACGCACTCTTCCGTCAAGCACACGCACTCCGCCAAGCACACGCACTCTGCTGTCAAGCACACGCAGTCTGCCAAGCACACGCGGTCTGCTAAGCACACGCAGTCCGCTGTCAAGACCACCCATGCCAAGACCACTCAGGCGAAGACCACCCACGCCAAGGCGACTCCCACCAAGGCTGTCCATGCCCGCGACGAGGTCGACGAGGTGCTCGACTCCGAGGTCGACGAGGAGCTCGACTCCGAGGTCGAGAAGAACCGCAACGACGGTGACCACCGCCACGGCCACGGCCGCCCCCACGGCGGCCGCCCCACGGGTATAGGGGCCGGCCACAAGCACCACCGCCCCACTGGCACCGGTGCTGCCCCTTCCCCCACCAACGACATCGTCGCTCGCGATGAGGTCGATATGGACGTCGAGAACCACGGTGACGAGCATAAGCACGGCAAGCACGGTGGCGAGCACGGTGGCGAGCACGGTGGCGAGCACGGTGGCGAGCACAAGCACGGCAAGCACGGCGGCGAGCACAAGCAAGGCGGCGAGCACAAGGATGGAAAGCCTACTAACACTGAGAGCGAGGGCGAAGCCAATGAGATCGTTACCCGCGACGAGGTCGATATGGACGTTGAGAACCACGATAGCGAGCACAAGCACGGCAAGCACGGCGACAAGAAGCACAAGCACGGCAAGCCTACTAACACCGACGCTGCTCCTGCGCCTACTGGCGAGGCTAGCGAGATCGTTGCCCGTGATGAGGTTGATATGGATGTTGAGAATCACGGTGACGAGCATAAGCACGGCAAGCACGGTGGCGAGCACAAGCACGGCAAGCACGGCGGCGAGCATAAGCACGGCGACAAGAAGCACAAGCACGGCAAGCCCACGAACACTGAGGCCGCCCCCGCTCCTACTGGCGAGGCTAGCGAGATCGTTGCCCGCGATGAGGTCGATATGGACGTCGAGAACCACGGTGACGACCATAAGCACGGCAAGCACGGTGGCGAGCACAAGCATGGCAAGCACGGCGGCGAGCACAAGCACGGCGACAAGAAGCACAAGCACGGCAAGCCCACCCAGACTGAGGCCGCTCCCGCTCCCACTGGCGAGGTCGACGAGATTGTTGCCCGCGATGAGGTCAAGCAGGACAAGCACCACCGTCCGACGCCCACGCATTCGCGCCACCACCACGACGGCCAGGCCGTTCCCACGACTCTCAAGAAGGTGGTCCGCCCGCCCGTCATGACCTACCTGCCCATCGGCCCCCGCGCTGAGGTCGCGAATCACGGTGGCCACAAGCCCACCGACGGTGCTCAGGTCATCCCCAGCCTCACCCGCCCTGGCGGCAAGCACCCCAAGGCCACTGACCTCCCCAAGCACCCCAAGGGCAAGAACCCCCACCACTCCAAGCCCAGCCCGTCTGCGGCGCCCGTCAAGCCCCTGTAAGTGTCTCCTTGGGTCCACTGCGTGCGGTACAAGTATTTCCAGGCTGACGAGCTCGCAGCGCATAAATCATGAATCCTCGACAAGGAAGTGGCGGTCGCAAGAGCCGGCCTGTGTGCCGCTTGAGCCGTCGCCATCTGGCCTCGTGCCAGCCATGTACACCTAATACCTGTACAATGACCGCTCCGGTTTTCCCGTCATTACCTCACCGTATAAATAGAGCATAGAGCTAGATAGAGTTTTACAATTAACCTTCGCGCGCGACTGGCCATCGCATAAAGGAATACTTTTGGTTTCTCCTGATGCAGTTCAGAGTGTCTTGTATGTGTGTGTGTGCATGCTGCATTCGGTGACGAAGCAGAGACGTTATTATACACGAGCGGGAAGAGTGCAGGAGTTGTCGTCTGGAAGGCTAAACTCGATGTAAATGAACATCAACTGCCAGACATTCAGCTGACTGCTTTGTTTCACCAACTCGCTGCGACGCTGGGCATGCACGCGGACGGCATCACGGCAGCGTCCAAGTCGTAGCCGTCGAGCCCCGACCGACCTTGCCCTTTCTTCCCCATGTCACATTCGCTTACCGAAGCACCAACAGGGTCAAGAGACTCGAGCCCCAGCCATCAGCCGGCGGAGCCCGACTGCCGATCGTGCAGATCTGGCCAGATGCCATGCGACCACATGCGCGCCATCATTGGCCCCGGGCCGCAGATTTCAGGAACCTTTTTTGTTTTCCAGCGCGCGTACCCGCCCCCGTCGCGGGACCTTCTGTCAGGAGTCGCTGCGGGCCTGCGTGCACCACCTAACAAACCCCCTGGTCCCTCCTCGATCTGTCAATCGCTTCCCCCTTCCTTCACGTTCCCGCTGCAGTGCCCCCCCTTTCATTCCCTATCGGCCGAATGGGCTTGCACGATCCCACGCAGGTTCATGCTGCTATTTCGAGTCACCGAGCCCGTTCCCAGCCTGCCACCTACCGCTTTTGGTGCGTTGCTCCTTGGATGGTGCCGGGAGACCCCGACCAATGGCCGTCGCGGTGGTGCCTCGTTTGGGCGGATTGGGATGGATGGATGGATGGATCATGGATCATGCGAAACGAGGCGAGGCGAGCTGTCCTGTTCGTCTTGTCTTACTCCGGTGATCGTCGCCCCCCCGGGACTGCCCGCCTCGGCGGGATTCGTCTGTGATTGATTGATTGATTGATCGGATGGTTGATTGATTTGCTCTGCTCGTACCGCACGGAGGGTCGCTTACCGCTTACTACCTGTGCACGCGGGTGTTGGTACTGGTGTAGGACGACGCCGGTAGGTGTCTTCGGCCAAAGCCCGTCGGCGCCGCCGCCGCCGATGATAAATAGAGTAGAAGAGCCGCACACTCACTTTCCGAGGACGACGTGACCGTGCTTCTTACAGACGCCGAGAAAAAAGACACAGAAAAACGAAACGAAGAGGCCCATCCAGCCATGGCCTCGCTCCTTCGCACGCTCGCCCCCTTCGTGGCGCTGCTGCCGGCCACCGCCCTCGCCGGCTCCAAGAGCTGCCCGGGCAACCTCCCGCTGTCGTGCCACAACAACACAGCCGTCGAGGACACGTGCTGCTTCATCCCCGCGGGCCAGCTGCTGCAGACGCAGTTCTGGGACACGCAGCCCGCGACCGGGCCGGCGGGTATGTGATTTTGACTACTGACACCCGCGCCCAATCCCTCCATTGCACTGCATATGAACCCCTTAAACCCAGAGAGCAGAGGGACAGAGAAGATATATACAGATATATATATATATATATAGAGAGAGAGAGAGAGTGTGTGTGTGTGTGTAATGCTAATCATGTGTCTGCAGACTCGTGGACCATCCACGGCCTCTGGCCCGACAACTGCGACGGCTCGTACCCCAAGCAGTGCGACAGCTCGCGCGCCTACACCAACATCAGCGACATCCTGACGGCCAACGGCGCGGGCGCGACGCTCGACTACATGCAGAAGTTCTGGAAGGACTACAAGGGCGACGACGAGACCTTCTGGGAGCACGAATGGGGCAAGCACGGCACCTGCATCAGCACGCTCGCCCCCTCGTGCTACGACGGCTACAAGCCGACCGAGGAGGCGGCCGCGTACTTCTCGCGCACCGTCGAGCTCTTCAAGTCCCTGCCGACGTACCAGTGGCTCGCTGACGCGGGCATCACCCCCTCGGGCAGCAAGACGTACGCGCTCGACCAGATCCAGAGCGTGCTGCAGGCCAAGCACGGCGCCAAGGTGACGCTCGGCTGCAAGGGCAAGGTGCTCAACGAGGTGTGGTACCACTACAACGTGCAGGGCTCGCTGCAGAGCGGCAAGTTTGTCGCCGCGGAGCCGGACGGCGCGAAGGGCAAGTGTCCCAGCAAGGTGCAGTACAAGGTCAAGAGCAACTCGACGTCGCAGCGCGGCTATAGCTTTGCGGCGTGAGCTCCCTCTAGACCTTTGTTAGGGTTTTGATTCATGGAGGTTTCACGGGGGTTTGACCAACGTTAACCCAATAGATTCGGATCAGGATCTCTCATGACTGTTCATATATACATAAGTTAAGCTCATGTACATAACGACTGCCTGGGGGAGCCATTACTCGCTCGACCATGGGCATATACATAAAAGACACAAACAGCATGACTACACAACCTCACTTGGAGAGGTGATTTCGCTACATAGACGAATACGGTATTTCCCAAGCCTCGGCGCTCGATCAGTGACGGACGGAGCACGGAAACAGTAGCACTTCCTCATCTGGATTGTAACGGACGGGCCTCAGGGCGGCACCGCCGCTAGACCACATTCGTGTCCGCCGACCGCGACCCTCCCCACGGCACCGGCATGATGACGAAAAAAGCTGGGGTAGTACTAGTAGCCACGGCGGCGCGAATTCCGCTCGCTCCTTTGGGGGGAACCCGCGCGGCCGTTATCGCAGGCAAGGGGAGTTACACCGCAGGCGCCAACTGGCAGAAAACCTGGTTGCATTGCCGAGCCGTCATCTCGTGTGTTCATCAAATCGTTGGCCGTGGGGCCGGGCCGTCTTCCCTCACCGTATCTTGCGTGGATCTCGGAAAGGGGACTCGTCACATATGCTGCACGGGACTCGCAGAGCGGGCGATACAATAGACGTCCATGGACTCCATGCAGTCCGTGACTCTCCATTCAGAAGATCCTTCCAAATACTTTGTCTAGAGAACGCGAAAGTTGTGAGAATTGTCTTTGTACAACCGCATGTCTATGAACCAACTCTTACGCTATGCAATCCCAATCCCATCCAGCAACTCCATCGCTGCCCATCAAAACCTGAACAAGATACGTTGCCCTTCTAGAACCACCATATATGTGCCGCTGACACCATCGCCGCATCAGTGGCGTTCCTATCCCTCCTTGCTAGCCGACGGCTCTCCCTCCACACCCGACTCAGGGCGCCGCCACGCCTCTACCGCCTCGCAGCCCACCGGCACGCGACAGGCGTGGCGCGCGTGGCACGTCTTCCACAGCACCTCGCGAATCTCGGTGAAGATGCGGTCCGGCGCGTCCATGGCCCAGAGCACGTCGAGGTGCTCGTACTCGTCCACCACCTTGCTGTGCACGAGCTTGACGTGCGGCTCCCGTCCGTTGCGGAACCGCTTGAGCAGCTTTCTGCCGTCCACGAGCTGATCGTTGCCGCAGACCCAGAGCGCAAACGGCGGAACCTGCTCGTTGTACCACGCCGTGCCGCCGTTGCCAGGTTGAGAGTCGGCAGTTTGCTGGGATTCGGGCGGATCTGCCGCCTCAGCCTGGCCGTCATCGTATGCGTCCATGGCTTCTTCCTCTCTGGTCGTCTCCTTGGTCGCGAGGATGCACTTGTGCTTTGCAAAACACTCGCGGCCGAGCCACCAGCGCATCGACTCAGCGCTGACATACACGGGCGCGAACTGGAACATGCGGTCGCGCAGGCCGCGGTCCCACCGCGTGTCCGTCCAGTCGAAGAGGTACGAAAACACCTTGTAGCCCATCCATCCGAAGAAGCGCGGGTGCAGCAGCTCGTGCATCTGCATCATGATGGGCATGAAGGAATGGATCCCGAATACCATTCTGAACATGCCTGGCGAGATGAGACGCATGAACTTGAAGTATACCTTGCCGATCAGGGGGCCTGCGTAGGCTGCGGGAGCCAGCGCACAGAAGACGGTCAGCTTCTCGCCCAAGTCTGGCCGCTGCTCCTTGGCGAGCGCCACAAACGTCTCCGTCGTGCCTTGCGAATGGCATATCAGGCCAATCTTCTCGAAGCCCGTCTCCGAGAGCACCCGCGATGCGAGCGCGGGCAGGTCAAAGACACCCATCTGTCGAATGTTCCAACACCACATCCGCGGGTCCCCGTACTCGAGAACAGTGTGACGCGGCTTGAACCCGCACCGGTTGTTGCCCAGCCAGACGTCGAAGCCCGATTTGCACAGCCAAAAGGCCAGCGACTCGTCGTCGTTGCAGCAGTAGGCCCCGGAGCTCTGCAGAAGCCCGTGCATCAGGAGCACGGGAAACTTGGGTTTCTTTTCCGTGTCCTTGAGCTTCTTCGTCGAGCCCTGAAAGACAGTTGGGCCCATGTGATCGCGGCTTGTCGCGTCCAGCTTCGTGTACTCTTTCGGGTCGAACACGTGCCAGAGATCGATGACGAAGCCATCTTCGGTCTGAACCTTGAACTCTTCGACGTCCAGTCCGACTCTCCTTGCGTAGTATCCAACGTCGCAAACAATGGGGTCTTTGCCGCCCTCAGTCGGGGGATACTCGTCAGCTGCGCTCTCCTGATCTCCTTGCAGTCCGTCCACAGATGGCCTCCGCCCCCACGCGTCTTGCTTCTTCTTCCTCAGCTCTGCTCGCCGTTTCTCCTCCTCGTAAAAGGGCCTCTTTTCGTCCAATTTGCGAAGCGTCAATCTGTGGAACACTTTGTTTGTAGCGCGGGGTATGCTAGTGAAAACCGCTCCGAGAACGATGACGCAGAGGAATGCCAGGCTCAGGAAAAAGGAAGATATCCGGAAGAAGAGGCACTGGACTTTGCGTAGCAGCGAAGGCGGCCCGTATAGCGGTAGCGGAGGGAATAGCGGGTGGGTGTGCGACGGTGGCATGGAACGCTTCAACGTCCCGCCCGCCGACGGTTGTGGCGACTCGCCATCCTGGCCATTGGGCATGCGGACGACCTTGTGTTCCTCGCTCCCATTGGCATTGGTGTTGGATATCTTCTCTTTGGTCTCGTCGCCCTGCTTGATCTCGACCGTCTTGGGCGGGCCCTCGAGTTCCTCGCGGAGGACATTGAGCCTGTGCGCTTCTTGGAGCGGGACGCCGGGCAATCGGCTTCCATCGGATTCGACTATGACGGGGTCCTGAGGCGTCACGAAATCGGCCTTGATGGCAACAGAGGGAGCCTCGCCAGTCGGTTGTCGCAGGGAGAGCTTCTCGGCCTGATGTGTGAACTCGACGGCGTGCTGGGCGAGTTGCGTACTCGATCCAGACGCTTGCTGGCAGCCTCTTGATGACGCACCCATATTCTTCCAGACGAGCCTGTCAATTGACGGCACGACATCAAGGTGAGATTGTTTCGTCCAGGGGCGTCCTGAGTAGAGGTGTGAGAGGGAGATGAGTCGACGAGATTGGCAAACAAGATCAATTGATGGATGCAATCTCGCGATGACGCAGTGGTTCGGCTAGTTCAGCCGTCAACGGCGCAGAGCCGGCGCCATGGCTTGCCGGGCTTGGTCGATGAAGATCACACCACGCCTGTTGCGAAGCTTGTTAGTAGTATGGGAGAGACTGAAGCCGGCGGCGGCGGTCAGAGCTGGAAAGACGGCCCATGTTCCAGCCTCCTCCCAATGCATGTTTCCCAGTGGGCGGGTATGCCGCTGCACCAGGGCCTGCATCGACCATCAGCCATCAGGGGGCCCAGAAGGGGCCTCCGACTTGGCGTCATCGTGGGTTCGTGGGGGCAATCGGGCCACTGTGGTTGGCGCATCCACGGCCCTGTGCCGCTGCACTGGGGCGCATTTCTTTAGCGGGCGCTGAAGATTGGACGCAAGCAACAGGGCATGGACTAACTTGGTAGCCATTCCTCCAGCATGTGAAGATGGATCGGCGTGTCACCGTGACGCCCCCCACCATAGGTGCCTCCAAACAACCACCATCACTATGGGCGAACGGCTGCGACGAGCACAAATTTCTTGGCTTAGAGAACCCACGCGATCCATTGGCGTTCCGCAGCGTCTCTGCACTCAGCGTCCGCCTGTTGCCTGTTCGCCTGACCGACGACGCGCGCGACATGTTCAATGGGCGAGGACCCTCCATTGGCACGACGCCTCATCACTCTGCCACGGGCCGAATACCCTACCCGGCTCCATACCTGGAGAAAAAGGTCAGCCCATCATGCTTTGTTCATGCTGCAGGGCAAGGGCTGGAACATCGCCCGTCCACCGCTGTTCCTTCACCGTAGTGTATCACGAGACTTGGTCGTTCACTTCGCTCATGCACCATGTCGTGACTCGTGAGAGACGGGAGTGAATGTCGCGCGCCGATGATGACGCCGCGGTCTGCTGCACGACGTGATTATTGAATGGTGTTTTTCCTGTTATGCCCAGGTCGCGCCCACGCAATCGCCTCCGTGTGATGTGACGACAGGAAATGCTGTTGCTGCTGCTCTCCGAGTGCACGAGTGATCGGCTTCGTCATATGAATGGGTGGCCGTCAAGAGCTCCATGTCACTGGGTTCAAGGACAATGACAGCCTCAATTTGAACGTCAAAAGGCAGATGTCAGCTGCTAAGACAGCCGTCTCGTTTTCGCTCCTTGGTCTTTAGCCACGCTGCGTCATGCACAGGTTTTTGCAGCTTTGTCCGTGTCGGCGCAGATACGTAGGCGGAATCGAGTTAACACAAGCGAACTGCTGTGCTCCGAACTGGTGGCAGTTGCCGGGGTCGTTGCAACGAATAACGGGCAGCCCTTGGATCCGACCACAAAGTGCCTGGGGATTATGGTGCCTTGATGCCTTGATTCCTGACTCCATGCTCGCTAGGTACAATCGGCAGGCACCCGAGTCGCACCTGGCTTGTTGTATTACAACAGGCAGTGCCCGTCAATGTCCTTCAAATTCGCAGGAATCTCCGTGCCGTCTTCGCCTCCTGCTTCCCCAAAATCCTCCCGACTGCCGACGGGTCGCCCGTGACTGAATCGCGCGGACCGGATCAATAACGCCAGGCGCCGACAGGGGCTGGGGCGCTCGCTCGCTCGCCCGCGCCCGTCGGTGTGGGGAACTGGGGGCGGCTGCCATTTGCGGCGCGCCGGACCCCGAAGCCGAGGCTGGAGGCGCCCGTCGACTCTCGAGCCGAGCGACCAACCCCATCCTTGCCATTCCGTCGACGAGATTCGACAACCTTCAGCAGAGCTCCCTCCCACTCGCGGCATCGTCGACTCGCCACGGGCCTGAATCGCATTCCCTCAACGCCATGGTCTTGTCGCTCGCATAGACTCTCGCCCGCCTGTTCCACCTCCCGCCCCCAGCTTCCCCAGCTCCCGCCGCGGCTCCGCACTCCCGACTCCTCCCACTGCGCACTGCGCATCATGGCCGCCTCAAGCGCCCGAGCGGCTTTGTCGCACAAGAGAAACGGCCGCAGGCGGAGGCAAGACAAGCCTGCTATCTCTGCCAGGCTGGTTCTCGACGATCATATCAAGGGCGACGTTGGCATCCTGTCCCAGGACCTGTTTGCGGACCTCTTCCCCCAGCTCGGCGACGGTACGTCTAGCACCCCTCCCCTGCGTCATGCGCGCGCCCATGAACGTGCCTCTAACAGGCAGCATTCTATAGACGCAGACGATGAACAGCCGGGCCAGGTGTACCATGTCGCCGTCTCGCCCTGGGCACCGAATGCCGCACCTTCCGAGACGGCCTGGTCCATAGTCCCCGTTGTGCGATCTGCCGCGCTCGCCCACTCGACTGTTCAGTTCTCCCCCTCGTCGCCGGCCCTTCAGAGCTTTGCCGTCACTCTGCAGCAAGTCGCGCCTTCGAAATTGTCCAGCCATAGTCGGAGCGGCATTGAGATTCTTGTCCTCGACGTCGCTCCGATACCGCTCGAGACCGTCTTCGTCAGCCTGGAAAGCGAATCCACCAAGCGCATCGAAAACGGCGAGGGCACATTCTACCGTGATCACTCCACGCATCCACAAGGCAAGGTCACGGCGAGCCAAACCGCCCAGGAGCGGCTCACGGCGGCGATCAGAACATCGCTTGGCAGCCTCAAGGTTGTCCACGCGGGAGACATGTTCGCCCTGCCCCTCGCGCCGCATCCCGTCACGCATCAACCGCCGAACCCAGGCAAAATTATGCTTTGCGAGCCTGTCGCCCAAGGCGTGCTGACCAGCACAACGAAAATCGTGCTCATGCGCGGGCGCGTCCACGCGAGGCACGCCCGGCGACAGGCCTCCATGGAGGCGAGCCACCGACTCAACGGCGTCACTGAAGACGACGAAGATGGCAACACCGACCAGTTTTTCTCCGCAGCAGAAGAACGATACCGGACCGATGCACGACCTGACGAGACCGAGACCGAGACCGCTACGGAGACGGAGACGGAGTTGTCAGAGCTCGAGCAAGACGATGAGCTATCCGACGACTCCATGGACGACATGCTCTCACTGCACGCCCCTGCGCTCCCACCAACCAATGTTAGCGGGCTGGGTACGATGCAGCCTGGAACGCCCATGACAATGGGAACCCTCCGCGGGCGGAAGACCAACGGCGCTGCTACCCCAGGATCCGTCTTCTCCAATTTTACATCTGCCACGGCCCGACCGGACCGACCGCGTGGCCGCCTATTCAAGGCGCAGGGCCTCCTCAAGCCGATGCCGTCGGACCTCCTACACCCGAAACCCTCCGCCGACGAGGATGAAGAAGCCAGGATATATGTCGAAATGTCGTCGCTGCCCAAGATTGGCTGCTTTTCGGGCGACTGGGCCCGCATCGAGGTAGCAGAAGAGCCACCACTGAACGGATTCGGCGCATTTGGGCTTGGCAGCTTTGGGCAGCCCGAGGTCGAGGGAAACTGGCGCCCGGTCCGGGTGTACGGACTCCCAGAGGGCTACTCCCAGCGACCGGTCAGCAGGATTCCGACCTCCAGATCCGGAGAGCGGAAGACTTCTTTCTTCGACTCTCAGGTCCAACGGCCGTCAAGTCCGACCGCTTATGCGTCTCCTGTCCTCATCGCCAATCTCGAAAACGCTACGCACCTTCGCATCTCCGCCCTCAAGAAACAGTCATATCAAGGAAAGGGCACATTGCCTCGTTTCACGAGCGCCTCCCATCCACCATACGCCAAGGATATTGCGATCCACCATATCCGTACACCAATCTCGGCCGAACGAGCCTATCAGACCGCGGTCTTGGGCGGGCTCAAGCGATACTTTGCGCAAAAGACTCGCCTCGTCCGAACGGGCGACCTGATCGCTGTACCGGTTGATGCTCAGCTAGGTCGGGTGCTCCAGGAAGGGCCGGCTACGGGAGGCTCAGAAGTCGACGATGTCGTGGCGCTGACCGCAGGCAACAACAAGGATCAGGCGCCGTCTCACGTCGACAACGTCGCGTGGTTCAAGGTCGGACATATACAAATCCAGAAGGCGGACGAGGATGAGGACAGTACCGCCGAGGCGTTTTGGGGCTCGGTGGCATGCATCGACAGCTCCACCGTCGGCATGCACGGTTCGGGCTTCGAGACGAGCAAGATACCGGGCAGCAACCAGAGCACCTGGCCGTACTACTTGGGTTTGAAGAAGGTGCCCCGACGCACGTCCGACGTTTCCCCTCCTGCGTTGGCAGAACAGAAGCCTCAGTATGTGTCTCCACTCCGACGGCAGCTCAGAGAGCTTCTCGCAGCTGCGACAAGCCAGAGGGCTATCCATCTCAAAATGCCGCCCGTCGCCATCCTCCTCACTTCCACGCACCGAAACATTGGAAAGTCGACCCTTGCGACAGCGGCCTGCGCCGACATGGGCTTGCACACCTACTCCATTGATGCGTATGACATCTTGAGCGAAGGAGGTGGCAGCGGTGGCGATGTCAAGACAGAGGGGTTTCTAAGAACGCGAGCCGAGAGGGCCATGAGCTGCGGTCCGGACTGCTGTGCGCTGCTGATACAGCATGTCGAGGCCCTCACGGCGGATCGAATCGAATCTACCATGAAGGAGATCCTGGAAGACGCCAGAGTGCTCATCGCTACCACCAACGAGGTAGACCAAGTGCCAGATGGCGTCCGCGGCCTCTTCACGCATGAACTGGAGATGGGGGCTCCGGATGAGGCCGAGAGAGAGACGATTCTCCGAGCGGTCGTAGAGGATCGCGGAGTCAGCCTCGAGCCCTCGATCGACCTGAACTCTATCGCACTCAAGACTGCGGCGCTTGTGGCGGGCGACCTGGTGGACGTTGTGGAGCGCGCGTCCATTGCCCAGCAGGCACGACTTGAGCAGCTGTCGCGGAAAACTAGCGGCGACGGAGCCACAGTGACGGTCAGGGACCTGCAGGTCGCTGGTGGGCCGCTCGCACGATGCCTCACCGCGGCCGACTTTGACGTGGCCGTGGAAGCTGCTCGGAAGAATTTCTCCGACTCGATTGGTGCCCCCAAGATTCCCAACGTGACGTGGGACGACGTTGGTGGCCTCAGCAACGTCAAGGAGGCCGTCACGGAGACCATTCAGTTGCCTCTGGAGCGACCGGAGCTGTTCGCCAAGGGTATGAAGAAGCGCTCTGGCATCCTCTTCTACGGACCTCCCGGCACTGGCAAGACGCTTTTGGCAAAGGCCATTGCGACCGAGTACAGTCTCAACTTTTTCAGTGTCAAGGGACCCGAGCTGCTCAACATGTACATTGGTGAGTCGGAAGCCAATGTGCGACGAGTCTTCCAGCGAGCGCGCGACGCACGGCCCTGCGTCGTCTTCTTCGATGAGTTGGACTCGGTAGCACCGAAGCGAGGAAACCAGGGCGATAGCGGTGGCGTGATGGACCGTATCGTGTCTCAGCTTCTCGCAGAGTTGGACGGCATGTCTGGAGGTGAGGACGCCGGGGGCGTCTTCGTGATCGGTGCGACGAACCGACCTGATCTGCTGGACCCTGCACTACTGCGCCCTGGTCGGTTCGACAAGATGTTGTATCTTGGTGTATCCGACACACATGACAAGCAGCTCACCATCATGGAAGCGCTCACCCGAAAGTACGTTACACCCGTCCACTTTTTCGCGGACAAGTTATCTAACGGTTTACAGATTCACCTTGCACCCGTCAGTGTCTCTCAAGGCGGTGGCCGATCGCCTCCCCTTTACATACACAGGCGCCGACTTCTACGCCCTCTGCAGCGACGCCATGCTCAAAGCTGTCACGAGACAAGCGGCATCAGTGGATGCCAAAGTCAAGGCCATCAACAGCGAGCGCGGCGGCAAGCACGAGATATCGACGGCGTACTACTTTGACCACTACGCCACGCCCGAAGACATTGCTGTCATGGTCACCGAGGCGGACTTCATGGCCGCTCACGAAGAGCTCATTCCTAGTGTCAGCGCCGGAGAGCTGGCGCATTATGAAAAGGTCCGCGCCACGTTTGAAGGGGTTAGCGACAAGCAGAGCGATGCCTCTGGGGCTCCGCCTGGGGCGACTAATGGATCTGCCCACACGCTGCCGCAGAGGAATAAGATCAGCAGCTCCGGGCACACGGTCAAGTCCAGCAAGGGCAAGGGCAAGGGCAAGGCCGCGGCCTTGACCAGTGACGATGAGTTCGACGACAGCGACCATGGGAGCGTGATTGGGCCGACGAATGGAAATTCCAAGGGCAAAGGCAAGGCGGTTATGGGGTTCCTGGATGGGACGGCGAGCGACGATGACGGACTGTATTAAAAACTCGCAGAGTGGTTAGCGAAGGATGGCGCGTTGTGCGATATACCATTGTGGGGATTATGGGACATGCAGCATGGCGGGCGCGCACGTGTACATCACGGATGAGCATGGCGAGTGTATATTGTGCAGTGTCGATACTTGACTTGATGAGTTCAAGGTCCCAGAACGGGTGTATATCGTGTGGCCTCCAAGATGCAAACACGCTGTATAATGACTTGTGACAGGCCCGGCTGTCGCCGACTACTTGGTCGCCGGCGCCGCCTTTTTGGCCCCTTGCTCCTTCTTGGGCTCCTCATCGGACGACTCTTCGTCTTCATCGTCATCGTCGTCATCATCTTCTGACTCTTCCTTGTTTGCGGCTGGCTTGGCCTCAGGTTTGTCCTTTGTCGCGGACTCCTGTTTGGGCTTTACCTCCTCCTTAGGCTTCGCTTCCTCCTTAGGCTTCGCTGCCTCCTTGGGCTTGGCCTTCTCCGCGTCCTCTTCCTCCTCGTCATCCTCATCTTCGTCGTCATCATCGTCATCCTCGTCTTCCAGCTCCGGCTCCTCCTTGATCGCCGCCTCGGCCTCAATCTTCCTAATCTCCTCTGGGGACGCCTCCGCCAGGCGAGCACCCAAGGCGTCCACGCCGTCAGACCCAGACCCGCGCCTCCACCGCCCAGTCGTGGGGCTCTGCACCGTCTCCCTCAAGAACTCCACGTCACTGTCGGCTGCGGAACCGCGCAGCGAGAGGTCTTTCCAGGCGCCGCTGGTGGGGGACTGCAGGCCCGCGGCGCCCGCGGCGACGCTCGTAGCGGCTTTGTTGTCTCCAGAGGACGACAAGGTGGTCAGGTTTGTGGGCGTGGTAGGCCTGGCGTCGGCGGCCTTCTTGCCGTGGACCTTTTCGCGCAGAGTCCGCAGGCGAAGCTCCTTAGCCTTCTGCGCTGCCTCGTCTGCGACGCTGCGCATGGGGAGGATGGTGGTCGCCGCGGCTGTCGCTGCGGCGGAGGTGGTGGCCCCCTTGACGCCGTCCGTCTTCTTCGCCTCGGCGGCGGCGGCGCTGGCGGCCACGGCGGCGGCTTTCTGCTCGGCTGTCGGAGCCGGCGGCGCGGGTGGCGGCGAAGGTGTTGTCGCCGCCTTTGTGCTGGCCGTCGACGCGGCGGAGGCAGCCGCGGGTGCGGGTTTCACGGGCTGTTTCAGCTTGGGCGGCTCGGGGGGCTTGTCGTTGATGGAGGGGATGGTGTGTTCGTCGTAGTAGATCTTGACGTGCTGCTTGAGCTCGCCATATTCGTTCCAGTCTTCAATCTCGACGAGGTCCTGCGAACGGTATCTGTCAGTAACTACTCAGCGAGCACGCAACGGGAGCAGCAAGGGCAAGGTGGGAGAAGGGGGTCAGCAACTTACGCCCAGGACGAAACCCTCCTGCACCAGGCCGGGCAGCTTCCTCAGGCGACCGCCCTCGTCCTTGCCGGCACGGCGGCCCCAGAGCATGCGCGCCTTTTCATCGGTGGCAATGTCGACGGCCTTGAAGGGGACGCGGTTGGCGCGGAGGATGGTCTCGAGGCGCGAGGTGGCGGTGACGATGTGCGAGGAGCCGGCGGTGAGGGAGGTGAAGATGTAGAGGGCCGGGTCGGTCGAGTACGTCGTCATGTTGTGCTACGTGCGTGCGTGCCTGCGGGCGGGCGCTGCTGCACCGCTCGCTCGCTGCAAGAGGGGGATGATGATGATGACGATGGGGAGGTTGAAGCGCTGCCCCGCTGCGATGGGAAACCTAAAGGGGCGGCGGTCGCGTTCGTCGGGCTCCCCCTGGGGCTCGCTTGTTGGCGGGTCCTCCTCGTTCGACAGCGGTTTGCGGTGCCGGCGCGCGTCGCCTGACTGACTGCGGCGGTGCGGGCTGGATGTTCTTGTGGGCGTACGTTTGACGTTTCAGGTCAGGACGTCGTCAAGGCCTCGGTCGCGCGAGAGGTGGACGAGGTTGTTCGTGACGGCAAAAAGAAGTCGTCGCCTGGGAGCTGCTGAGCTGCGACGCGTGGTGTGGTGAGGGGAGAGAGAGGCAGCAGCCCAACTGCGGGGGCGGGGCAGGATTCCCTTGGAAACGGCCGCCGAGGCAGGAGGCCATTCCTGGGATGGCGTCACAGGCGACGGCCATGTTTGAGCTGTCGATGCAATGCAGCAGCATCTGCTGCCGAGACGAACGAGGAGATTGTGGTGTTTACGACGAAGGAGCTATCGTGCCGTGGATGCTGCACTCAGTGCACTGTATCGTACTGCTATTTGCACTTGCGTGGGCATCTCGAGTTGGGAGGCGTTGCATCCGCCCGTGTCTTGGTGCAAGCTGCTGCGCCCACTGCGGTACCCACAGGTAGTATTACTTATCTCAGGCAGCCATTTCATTTCCTCAGCGGGACGCCGATGCCCCAAGAATAGCCTGAGCCGTTGGTTACTGTAGTTGCGGTGGAGAGCACAGTATTATTGGCGTCGGGAGAGGCGCTGCACCTGATTACCTCTAGCAAGTCCGTGTCGTATAGGCTGAGGCTTAAGGGAATCGGGCCAACAACCAACATCATGAAATGCCGGGTACGATGGCAGCACATATACGATATAGCCCATGCGTATGTACTGCTAGGGAGTCCAGACTCCTCCGTGCAGCACTGTAATTATAGCCTCTTCTCTTATCTGATACTCCACCAGCTGCGTCGTGTGTATCTTGTCCCAGCGCCTGGCCAGCCTGCGAGGCACGACTGGGCCTGGCCGTGTATTAGAGGGTTGCGCCTCGAACCGAGCATGGACGGACACATCGTTGCAGTCGTAACGGCCCCCTCAACGGCCCCCCTCCAATGTCACGCGGAGTCGGGGCGCGAATGGAGCTGTGGTTCTGCTTGGCGCTTGGGACAACGCATCGTATTGCAGTCTTGCATTCATCAGCGAACGGGGGCAGTCAAGCCGGCCAGTCAGTGTGTGTTGCGTGCATGTGCATGTGTGTCGACACAGTACGACTCCGATCGTGTTCATTGCGTGCTTGAAACGCAACATCTTACTGAGTGCTTCGCGAAATGGATTGCCTTCCTCCTTCCTTTGGCTCGCACCTTCCTTATCTTCAACAGTGCTGCCCCGTCTTGTACTTGAGACGAATGACTAAGCCTGCTGAGGCAGTCACTAACCATGGAGCCGTCCCCCGGGCTAGGTCACAACTTGAAGCCATTCGCCCACTCCTCCTGTCTCCAGTTTGCACGCCTGCAATCACGAGTCGCAAAGGGGGCGCGTCCACGGCCAACAGGCACATTCCGATTCGAGGCCGGACTTCCGAACGAAACGCCTCAAATCTCGTATGCTGCCGCATCATCCGCGTGCGAGATGGAGCTCCCCGCACGAACGGCCCGTACGCGGCTCCCCGTTTGTGTGACCAACCCTGCCCGTCGTCCAGGATGATGAATCCTCGGGTGCACCGTCGGGACATGGCATGTTCCACCCGTCCTGCATCTCGGGGACATGTTTGGACTGCCTGTCTCGGTCGCGTGCCTTGGGGTGCGAAGCGCATGGGCCGCGCTGATCGATAATGCTGCGACTCCTCGCACGTCTCGCTCCCGGACAGCATCGCAGCCCAAGGGGACGTCGTCGCCATCCTTTCGCCGCACCACACTGGGCACTGACAGTAGTGCACAGAAAATACCAGCTATTATGCAGGATACAGCGCCATGTATCTGGCGACGCCCGCAACTCTATTCGCGGCCGCCTGGCCGACCCTTCATTATCCCACAGACTCGGTGGCGTGGTTTCACAGCCTTGCAAGCTGGCCCGGGCCCTCACATTGAGCGCCGGCTAATAACAGCAGCGTATTGGCAGGCGGGGATGTCTGTCATCGCACACGGTCCCGCGCTCGACTGGGCTCCATGGTCCGTCCAGGTGTGCCCAATGCGACAGCCTCGCGACCAACGGGCAATGTGAACAGACGATACGAGAATTTCATGGCAGCCTCGACGACTCCAGTTGAAGACGCGGCAGCACACCCCAAAAACGTGGCGAACCCAACCGCCATCGCTGCCGGCGTGGAGCCCAACCAGGTGGCGTCGCCAGCGAGTGGAGGACTGTGTGGCTGCTGTGTGGACGCAACAGTGGCATGGATGGATGGCGTGGATGGCCCGATGGAAAGAAAAAACAGGCACAAGGGCCAAGGCGAGTCGGTCCCGAGCCCGTCCTGCAAGGTACGCCCAGTCAGAGGCGCATCTGACGATCCACCACGGCCTGCCGCCGTCGCCATGCCCAATCACGACATGCGCGGCCCTGGCATCTGGGCGCCAACGCACCATCTGTGTCCACCGTGTATCCACCATACCCGCGGGTCCATCGAGCTCACGGCCAACGGCGAGGCGACGCCAACGGACGGGAGGGGGGGGAGGGGGCGATGGGGGCCCTGGCAAGGCTTGCCCGGCCCAGGCACCGCACCGCACCGCGCAGACGAGATGTGAGGCCTTTTGCGATCCGACTCGGTCAGCCTGCCCCCACGACCGCTCTCGGCTGTCAGATTTTTCTGGCCCCGGCAGTCAGAAGGAATAACAGCGACTCACTTTAAGTTCAGGTGGCCCGCCTGTCTCGCCTGCGCCTCGCCCTCCCGCTTGCACCATCGCAACCCACGCTCATTGATCCCGGCATCTGTCTTGACGACAAGAGTCTTCTTTCGTTCCCTTCTCACGCGCGTTGCAAGTCAACCCACGCTTTCATTCATTCAGCACCGACCCGACCTCGTCGCGCCGTCCATCCACCAACCCAAGACCACCGTCAGTCAGTCACTCAGTCAGTCACTCAGAAACACCACCAGTCGCAAACATGTACGCCGCCGGACTTGTCGCTCTCTTCGCCGCCGTCGTCGCGGCCCAGGAGCCCACGACCACCACCACCCAGACGTCCACCACGACGCGCACCATCACCATCACCTCGTGCAACCCGACCGTCACCAACTGCCCGGCCAAGTCTTCCTCGGCCCCGGTCACCACCTCCGAGGTCCCCACCACGTCGTCCGTCGTCGCCCCGACCTCCATCAACTCGACCTCGTCGGTCCCCGTCGTCTCCTCGTCGTCGGCCCCCTGGTCCGTCTCCAACGCGACCAGCACCGTCGGTCCTACCGGCACCGCCCCCGGCACCACCGTCGTCACGGTCCGTCCCTCGGGCTCGACCACGGTTCAGGTCGTTACCTCGTCCACCACTGGCCCCGCGACCGTGCCCACGGGCGCTGCCAGCGGTCTCCAGGCCCAGGGTCTCGTTGCCGCCGCGCTGGCCGCTGCCGTTGCCGCTGCCGCCTTCTAAGCTGCTCCGGCTCTCATTCACGGCCATGGCCGGCCTGGACCTGCCTTGAGCCGTGGCGAGATGGTCCTTCTCCGTCTCGCCTAAACTTTTCATTCTCAACCTAGATCAACTTATTCTCCGGGGAAGGACGATTGGTGCAATTTACCAGTGACGGCTCTGCTTCCTTGAAATGGGACAGACCGTCCTGGCTTTTTATTTATTTGGGAATTGCTAAATGTAGAGAGAATATCTCTATGTATGGAGTTGTTACATAGGCCAGCTACCAGCTCGTGCCACCCGACCTACATGATAGGTGCAATGACGTATATACCATGCCATAGGATGACCATAACGCACGTATATGAAACGTTTTAAAAAGTATGTATGTCTCTTGGCATCTTGTAACTGCATTTAGACACACTCGCAACATCGCCACTGTATCCCCTCAGCTTTCCAACATGGAAGCGTCGCTGCTGAACTCGGGATTCACCCATGTAGGCGTGCCCGACTTTTCTCTCAGCCAAGGGCCGAATCGATGCACCGCCGCCATAATCGGAATGCAAAAGAAGACAGTGATGATGGCATGGCCCGCGAACGTCCAGGTAAACCCGACATTCTCCACCCAAGGGACAATGAAGAAGGGGTCGATGAAAGCCGAGAGATTGAGCATCACCGCGTAAAACGTCATGGTCGACATGCTCTGCATCGGGTACGCGTCGAAGATGTATGAGCAGACTGCCGTGTTGCCCATCTGGATCCCGGCCCCGACTGTTTCGCCTGTCAGTGAACAGTGCCTTGAAGTGGCAGCGCGACACGGGTTTGACTTACACAGCGCGAGGGCTACTTGACCGACCATCCAGTGATAGCCTTGGTCGACGCTCACGCCCCAGACAATCATGCCCACGGCCGTCAGGACCGCAGCCGGGTAGGCGAACCAGAGGCGCATCTCTGGCGTCTTTGCGTGGTTGCCGCGCTTGGCGAGCTTGACGATGAGCCAGTCGCTCAGGGTGCCCGAGCAGAGGACCTCTGAGACGAGCGTGCCGACGATGAGCCCGATGTAAAGCAGCCTATCATCACGTTAGGATCTCTGGGACATGTAAGCAGCAGCAGCGAAAGGGTATGGACACGCACCCTTGGCTCTGAGGCGAGAATGTCGCGTAGGCTATGGGCAGGACGGTGACCACCGACAGCACCCACCAGTACCACCCGAAGCAGTATGTCATGACCGAGATGGGCACGACGGCGTACTTGAACGTCTTGACGAAGCGGATGATGGTGTCGTACGGCTTCGGGTGCATGATGCCCGGCAAGGGCTTGACGTTTGCAAACGAAAGGCCCTTGGTACGGGCGACGCCGACTTGCCTGCTCCCCGCTTGGACAGACGGCGTCTTCTCCCCTCCATCACCCTCGACGGACGGCACATGACGCACCGCCCTCGTCTGCGACAGCATCAAGTCGCGCGGGTACAGCGTCTCCGGCAGAAACGCCACCTCCGCAAGCAATATCACGCCAAACAATATAGCCGAAAGCCACTGTATCCACGCATCACCCGCCAAGCTCACGAACCCGCCCACGAGCGGCCCAAAGAGCAGGCCCAGGTCGATGGCGAGCACCCACAGGCCGACCTTTTGGCCGCGCTCGTGCTCGAAGAAGACGTCGTTGATGATGGCGAGCCCGACGTTGGAGGCCGGGCTGACGCCGAGGCCCTGGAAGAAGCGCGCGGCCATGTACGACGGGTAGTCGGGCGCGAGGGCGGCGCCGACGGTCGCGGCGAGGGCCATGACGGTGCCGAGCACGAAGATGGGCCGCCGCCCGATGATGTCGGCGGGGGAGGCGCAGAGCAGGGGCCCGAGGGATAGGCCGAGCGCGGGGATGGCGACGGTCCAGTTGACTTGCGCGAGGGAGGCGGCGTATTTGTCCTGCAGCAGGGGGAAGGAGGGGACGGTGGTTGTGGTGATGTATGTGAACATGAAGTACCTGCCGCGTTGCAGCGCCAAAAGTTAGGTTATGTTTCTTTGTTCTTCCTGAGGGTGTGAGACACAACTTACAGAGCCATGATGATGCCTAGGATGGAGTGTTTCTGCACCCAGGACCAGTTGAGGGGGTCGAGGGGGTCGCTCGGGACGGGTTGCGGGAAGAGCTTGAAGCCATCTTTGCTGAGGACGACTTCGTGCGTCGTGTCGCCGATGTGGCTCTCCGTGCTGTCGCTGAGCTCAGGGCGGGACGCCCCTTGCTCCGTTGTCTTTTCGTTCATGGCGACGACGAACAATGGGCACTACTACGTACTGACAACCTGAACACTCAATGCCGCGGCGGCCTCTGGCGTCCAGCGGGTAGCCCTCATTATTATGGCCGGGCTCACGAAAGGCCATCATTGTATCACCAGCAGTCATACATAAATATTGAATATACCCAGTCGCACGGCAGCTCGACGTCATGGACATGATTGGTCTCCCTACGCGGTTAAGCTGCCAGCAAAGGCTGCATGGAACGAGGTCGCTTATCATGGCACATTGATTGAGCACTCGTATGTTCCCGGGCAAGGATATCTCTCACATGTTGTTGGCCAGGTGAGCCGTTGCGCGGGCGCGCTCTCTACTCGAGTCCCCTTATCATACACATCGAATGCCCCCTGGGCCCTAACCACAACGCACCCCGCGATGCCAAGCCGTGCTCTACCGAAGAGCAACTGTCCAGGGTGTGAGAAAGGAGAGAGGGGAATAGAACACGTTGATCCGGGCCCGAATCCGGATGGCCGGATACAGTGACGTTTCCGCCCTTATCTCGACCCCGGCTTGCCTGCTTGCTTGCTTGCCCGCCGGGCGCGGACCTGTCGTGGAGGGTGGAGGTGGTGGTCGTGCCGTTATCTATGTTGCCCGCAGCCACGCGAGGTGGGTGCGGGGATGGCGGTAGTCCGGGGCTGACTTCGATGGTGGACATCGACGCCGCCGCCACCGCCGCCATTTCCGTCGGAGAAAGTCGGTTTATTGTTTCGCTAATTGGGGCTCTATGTCTGCGTGTGTGTGTGTGCTGTTGTGTGGGCTGAGAGTTTGGGCGGAATGGCTTGTCGCAGGTTGGTGCCCCCTAGTTGATGCCCGCCAACACGACTTACACGGCTGGAATCTTGGTTCGGGAGTTCAACCTGCACAGCGAAATGACTGCCGACTTCATCTCTGTTCCTAAGATGCTAGTTGGCTTCTATGTATGGTCTTCAGAGCTCTAGTAATGGTAATCCCCAGCCACATAGTCGCCGCCGACTTCAACCTCTCTTAGTCTCTCCGCCGCCTTGCGGACCTCGGAGTCCCAGTCACTCAAGCCGACTATGATCCATTCCAACGCTCCAACAAGAGACAAAGCGACGCACTGCCCCATCCACAGCCCAGCCAGACCCCATCCATGGAAGGCCAGGTATATCCCTCCCGGAAGCGCAGCCCCGTAGTAGCTGACGCAGTTCACCAGAGCGCCAACCCACTGCCGTCCCATGCCTCGCAGCGCGCCGCCGCAACTGCCGTTCAGCCCGTCGGCAATCTGAAAGAGCGCAACGTAGGGGATGACGTCGGCGACGAGTGCGATAACGCGCTTGTCGTCGTTGAACAGGCCGCCAATGACGTTGCGCGTGGAGAGTAAGACGGTGAGGATTAGGGTCCCCAGTAAGACGGACAATATCGCGGCGCAGTGCGCGGAGCGCCGGGCGCCGCGCTGGTCCTTTGCCCCGAGGAGGTTGCCAAGGCGGGCGGACTCTGCCACGCCGAGTCCAAAGGGGATGGTGTTGATGATTTGGTCGGCGGTCATGATGACGGACTGGGCGGCGAGAGGGATGGTCCCCAGTCGTCCGGCCGCGAGGGCGACAATCTCAAATGCCCACCATTCCGTGCCGACGTGGATGACGCCCAAGAAGGCGAGCTTGGCAAATGGTAAGCAGTTGGAGAGAGCCTGCCTCGGCTTGAAGCCGCCCCAGCACTCTTTCCCCTGGATAAAGGCAGAGTAGGCGACCAAGAGCAGGAAGGAGAGCCAGTACGATATTCCGGTCGCCACCGGAGCTCCATATAGTCCAAAATCCAGTGTGTAGATGAAGACATAGTTTAGCACCGCGTTCAGCGGTGAGGTGATCATCAGCGCGTAGGTCCCCGGCCGGTAGATGCCCTGCGCCTGGAGAAACTTCTTCATGCATTCGAACCAGACGTACCCCAGGCCACCCGGGATCAGCAGCTGCAGAAACCTCGCGCTGTGGCCGCATATCGCCTCCGGCTGTCCCAGGGCCCGAAACAGATGCTCTGAGAAGGCCCAGATAACGGCAACCACGAGATAGAATGCCGTCAGCACAAAGAGACCTCGTTGCAGGAGGACGCCCAAGTTGCTCTTGTCTTTGGAGCTCGTGAAGCTGCTGGACGCGAGAGTGTCAAGGGCGCTCGTCCCGCCGAGGGCAATAAGCCACGCCGTCGCCATGGCGAACATGTACGAAAATGCGGCGACGGCGAGGGCTTCGGACGAGAGGCGGCCGGCGACGAGGACGGAGACGGTCTGCAGGCTGTTTTGCAGCACGTAGGCCAGGATGATCGGTATGGAAGCCTTTGTCAGGAACCATGATTCCTTCAGCCACGCGGTGTACTCTGATCGTGACTTGGAGCCGCTGGATGACAGACGACGTAGCAGCGGCGACGATTCATCCGCAAGAAGATGGTCCTCTTCGTCGATTCGAGGCGTTGGGAACTTGGACACCGAGATGCTTGCCATGTTGCCTCTCTGTGGTGATCGGTTTCGAGGCGGCAACTTGGAAGAGCAAATGGAAATGGTACTGAAGAGCTGAAAGGGCTGAGCACAGTCGGTTGCATCAAGAAGCGATGGGCATGCTGGTCCGGCCAACAGAAAGGAAGAACGCAAGACATTTCATGATCAGCTTCAGAGGCACGTCAACCACCATTGATCGCAACCACCCCTCATTCGGTTCACGAAAAAGACACGGCGAGTATTCTTGATTTCGCTATCATCTTCACAACCCACCTTGCGTTCGCTTATCGACGTTTCGCAAGCCCGGATCCGAGCTGCAGACACGATCGTAGGACGCCCACCACGAAACCAATATTTCGATAACACGCACGTTCAGCCGATTCGGAAAAGTAGGCGCCCCGACTTGCAGAATGTCTCGGCCTCAGCCATACGTAGCTATCGGACCATACAGATCCATCCATCTCCTCATAGCAGGCATGCCCAGTGCCGACGTCGGGGTCGTCCTTCATTGTTGACAATCCGGGGCTTGCAGCAAACTAACCCCGAACAGGCAAAATAGCCACCCACGGCGATCTGATATCGGGGTTGCGGGCTGGGGGTTAGTGCTGCTAACTGCATCTGGCAATGTAGACGCCCGGCATCGAGACTGGCATCGTATCGCTTCACGATCGGGAACATAATCGTGGGGTTTGAAATCCAATGAATCAATCATGTGAAGGATCTTGATTTTACTCATTGTAATAGAAACTCACTACATGTACATCATGTTATCTTCGAGGCGTTTGCTCAGTATAAGAGCTGATTGATTGCAGCATACTGGGCTGCATGCACGCGAATTTCCCCCGGCTGTAACTTCAGTCAGATATTTTGATATTCGCAGACATCATGATCCCCGAGGTTCTCTTTGCGCTGGCCTGGGCAGGCACCGCGGCGGCTCACGCCGGGCACGAGCAAAAGTCACTCTCAGGGCCTCACCAGAGCTTGTGGTACAACACACTGCCTGGAGACGGCGGCACGCAGGTGAGTTTTGCAGCTGCATAGACAGCATACGTCTCATCTGGAGACGGGATATCACTGACAGTCCCATGTCAAGGCCGACTCTGTATTTTCTGGCATCTCAACCTTTGGACGCCTGCCGTACCAGCCTTGTCTTCGCTCGCAGGATGTCAAATACGACATTGCCTTTCTCGGTACGAACTACAGTTCCTTGTTGTCCAATACGCTCATCTGAAGCTCATCATCATACAGGTGCTCCGTTTGACACGGGCACTTCTTACCGCCCTGGCGCTAGGTTCGGACCTTCTGGCATCCGCCAAGGATCCCGCAGACTGAATCTCTAGTAAGTACAGGGCATCTCCGCCGGCGGGCGAACGCACGACTGACGACGACTCGCAGCGGAGGATACAACGTGCCCCTGAAGACCAACCCGTTCAACAGCTGGGCGACTGTTCTGGATTGTGGCGATATCCCAGTCACTTCGTAAGTTTGACCAAATCGCATCAACAAAGGAGGGTTGCCTGACACTTGCCAAGATATGACAACACCTTTGCCCTCCGTCAGATTGAGGAGGGACACTTCAACATCCTCACCCGCTCCCCCGTCACGGACGCGGACAAGAGGGGCCCCGCGATCAAGGGCAAGACTCTTCCTCGCGTCATCACCCTCGGCGGAGACCACACCATCACCCTGCCGCTGCTCCGTTCCATCAACCGCGCATACGGCCCCGTGTCCGTGATTCACTTTGACAGCCACCTCGACACCTGTAAGCCCTCTCCCCAGATTTTCCCCTTTCTGAGTAATGCGACAGAAATGCAACAGAGCTGCAGTTGACCCATCTCATCTCCGCAGGGCGACCCAAGGTCTTTGGCGGCTCCCCCTCCGAGGTAGCCAGCATCAACCACGGCACCTACTTCTACCACGCCGCCATGGAGGGCCTGCTCGCCAACGACACCAACATCCACGCGGGCATCCGCACGACGCTCAGCGGGCCCAGCGACTACGACAACGACGGCTACTGCGGCTTCGAGATTGTCGAGGCGCGCGAGATCGACAAGATCGGCACCGACGGCATCATCAAGCGCATCGTCGAGCGCGTCGGCACCACCCGGCCCGTCTACCTCTCCATCGACATCGACACCCTGGATCCCGCGTTTGCGCCCGCTACGGGCACCCCGGAGACGGGCGGCTGGTCGACGCGCGAGCTGAGGACGATTCTGCGCGGGCTGGAGGAGCTGAACCTCATTGCGGCGGATATTGTCGAGGTTGCGGTACGTCCCCACTCCACTGGCTCATTTCGCCGTGTTCTTTCATACTAACTGGATGGTCCAGCCTGCGTATGACACCAACGCCGAGCACACCACCATGGCCGCCGCCGATGTATTGTACGAAGTCATGAGCATCATGGTCAAGAAGGGTCCTCTTAGCAAGATGATCACTGATCAGGAGAGCTCTGAGCTTTAAAAGTGACGGTCACTGGAGAATATCATGTCAAATTCATCAGGACAGACGCTACCTAACACGGTGTACGGATGGGAACCTGGCGCCTGCTGCTATGCATATCCGGATGATTTTATTGGGGCGTAATGTGAAAGCCACTAAAACAATATGATGTTATACTGTAGTGTATCTGAGTGCAAGAAGCGTGTCAGCTAGGAGCTCAAGACAGAATGCTTTGAAAAGGAGAAAGATTTGCTCACCGAGTAACTGGCTCGCGCACAAGTCACCATCCCCATCCCCCAAGGTCTCCCTAGCCTGCCATATATCTTCCAGCGCCTGGCGAATGATCCTCACGTGGAGCGACCCCAGACACGCCTCAAACTTGTCAATCTTGTCGAGAATAAAGCTCCTCTGGGCCGGCGCAAACGCCTCGCAGCCAAGGGTAAATAGCGGCATGGCCATGGCGACCCACGTGTGGCACGGCCGCCCCTGCGTCATCTCGCTCACCATATCCTCAATCTCCGCGATGGCGGCTTGGATGGGGGGCGACCCGGACGGCATGCGGTAGAGGCGCCGGTAGAGGTGCACGAGCGTCGCCTGCTGGAACGTCTTGTGGCAGAGGAGGAACTCGCGGCCGTGCTGGGTGGAGAGCGAGGTGCAGATGGAGATCTCTGGTGGCGTGCTGGCGTCGCGCCGGATCATGCCTGCTAGTTTCCCGAGGAGGATGTCGGATTGGGGGATCGAGCAGGAGGCGGACTCCGCGTCGCTGGTGCTCGAGATGGCGTTGATCTGCTGCAGTACGTGTAGTAGCTCTTCGCTGTAGCCGAGAAATCCATCGATGCTTTGGTGCGCTGCCGATGGTGTGTCCGTCTCGTGCGGAGGTGGGAGTGCTACAGCTCCTCCATGTCCTCCATCAAAACCCAGGTGATCAAGTGGCGGGACGTACGGCAACGTCTGCAGCGAGAGGTACAAGAGGTAGAGATGCCTCATCGACGTCCGGGACACGCCCGAGCCGGTGCCAAACTTCTGATACGTCCGGTTGCCGTCAATGAGCGCCTTGATGCCCTGTAAATGGATCCTCCAGGACGATCCCCCCTGGCCGCAGGCAAAGACATCAGCCAGGCACCAGATAAGACACGTCACCAGCAGCGTCTCGTTCGACTGCCGGCTATCCAAGGCCGACCGTAGCAACGCGAGCCCCGAGTGCTGCAAGTGTCCTAGCACCCGGGATATTTCAATTCCCTCAACCTCGGAGAGACCTCGCGAGAGAAAGCCGGCGGCGGAGAGCGCGAGGCACGCGGATAGCAGGTGCGGAGAGTCGAGCGCGACCGGGATCAGGCCGCGACAGAGGTCCTCGTGTATGGCGGGGTGGCAGGAGAGAGACGCGAGGATATCCTCAGTGAAGTAGCTAAGCAGCTTCTGGTATCGCGGTGGGAGGGGCACGCCGTTGGGTAGACTCTGCGGTAGGGAAAGGAACTGCTGTGATGAGGCATTCGCGGGTCCATCGTTTCCATGCTCAGGTCCTGCCACTTGTAAATTCGTCAGCGGAGACTCCAGTGGCAGAGTCGAGGACGGACAGAATCGTACCAGTTGCCTCCGTTGACGTCGTCGAGTGCGCTCGCCATTGCCCAATGCTCGAGCGCCTGGGCTTGGAGGCTCCCCAGACAAGTTTCAGTGTATACTTGCAAGGCCGACCAAAGGCACTGCATGGTCCGCAGTTGGGCTTCTGCTCGTCGCACTTTCGCCTTCTCCTTCTACACTCCTCGCATCCTTGGCGAGATCTTTCCCCGGGCATGGGCGGAGGCCATCCCAGCAGACGGTGCTAAAGGCCTAGATTGTAGAGGCGGCATGCACTGAGGCGGAGAAACAAAGGCTTCTTATAACGGTATGGTACCAAGGTTACAGCTTTTGTGTAAAGTGATCGAGGGAGGCAGGGTTCAAGGGGTTGACAGCCTCAGTCTCTGGGCATTTACACGCAGCAGTTCCAACCGTACAAGTACAGAGCTAGGAATAGGACACCAGCAATGAAAGCACCATGTCTGTGCTCCAATGGCGGGGTGAAGACGGCTATACACAGCCATTGGACTTATCTCCGTCATCGAGAGATAAGGGGGAGTGAGTGTCAAGATAAGAGATAAGGAGCTCGGCAAGTTGGCAATTATACCGCAACCGACAGCACTTTCGTTTGGGCAATGAAGCCGCTTGCCGACCATAAAGACTTGCGTTTCTGTCTTTATGTCCAATTGTTCAAGAAGCCGAGGCCGCCAAACACGTGTAGTTTCACCTGAGGCGCCGCGATGTTGCGGACGCCTTCATGTTTCGAGCGGGGCGCAACTTGCAAGGAGAAGAGCTGAACTCTTCAGCGCGTTGCGGGCGCTGCGGCCTTTCGGCTTTTCGAGGTTAACCATACCACTGAAGCGCGAGGCAAAAGGAAAACGCACCTGAGCTGACGTGTAAGTGGCTTTGAATGCCAAGAAGTTTACTCGCATTGCATTTACGAGAACAGGCGCGCGCAGGCAAGCAGGCAGTTGCGCGCGTGGGCTGAGACGGCGAATTCCTTCCTTTTCCGCCGCCGGACATGGACCTGCACTGTTAATCTCGGATGAATCAACATGGCCAACGACACGGCGCATCAAAGCAGGAAACTCGAAAGCGAGCGCACACAAAACTCCACGTTTGGAAGGTGTGCTCTGGGCAGCGACTGATTATGACGTTGTTGCGGCTCGGTGGTCCAGTGGCGAGGCGGATGAATGATGCCTGCTTGCTTTTGCTGGGGACCTTGTCTCACTCTCAATCGCCTTTCTTCAGCTGCCGTCGCGCGCGTTCGCCGTTGCGACTGGGTGTCGGGTGTTCCACGTATCCTGTCACGTGCCCGCTGCCATTTCTTCCCTCCGTGTCCTTGTCCGTCGTCATCGTCGTCTCGGCCGCCCCAATTCCTCGCTGATGCGGTCCTGCATGTCAGACTGAGTGCTCGACGTGCATATCTGTGTGCGTGCGTGTGTGTCTGATAGACGGGTGTCGGCCAGCCAAAGTGAGCCTGTGTTGCAAAGGAGGTGCTGCTGCATTTCCCATGTCGCCCGTGTGGTTGCTCAACGCGTCTCTCGCTCTCGCTTTCTTCCCCGTTCTAGATGCTGCAGCTGTGCTTGCTTCTGTCTGGTCCCGTCCGCGCCTTATTCGATGGGGCGAACGCATGGTATGCGCTCCCCGGTGCTCGGGATTCCTCCAGACACACCCACTACACCCACTCCAGTGGGTTGAGCCGATCACAGAGACAGGTCGCCAGCCTTGCCTCTCGCCCGCCCTGCCTTTGGAGGCGCCGACAAGTCGACGATTGGAGACGCGCCGTAGCGTCAGACGGCGGATCGGCAGCGCCCGGGTCCGACCAGCGGCCTCGCATCTCGATAGCGACGAAAATGCAGGGGCCCGGCGTTGATTCCGTCTGGCCAGAGGACCCCAAACGGCCTCGAGACACGAGACATGCGATCGGTTGTTTCCCCGCCCGCCAACCCGGCAGCAGTGCACAATGTTTCGTCCCATCAGCCAGGGTGTGCCAAGTAGGTGGTGGGCCACCAGTCCACGACAGTCTCGCAGGCCCAGCTCAGCAGGCCACCGAGGCGTGCAGTTCGTGACTGCGACGCTTGCCCGTGCCGTGTTTCTCTCTTCCTGGACGCCCCCTCTCAACTGCCGGCATCGCGGAACCGAGGTGGCTTGTGTCGTCTACAGCACCTCCGCTTCTCCCGAGTCCCGTGCATGACCATTGACGAGTCGACGACTCCAGCCCTGATGAGCGGAACCCACATGCCCGCTCGTCTGCTTGCAGCTTGCATCATCTGCGCCGAGGCCACAGCGAGATCCGCTCCACCTGCAATGATACTGTCAATGGACGGGGCCTGGAACGCCTTCATCCCAATTACAACGCCGCCCAAGACCAAGATATCCTCTGATATTCGGTTCTCGCCAAAGACTCCAGTCTTGCCCGTACGCAACCGTCTGCAATCAAGTCCAACAAAGTGCAAGGAGGAAGGATTTAGGTATAAAATATGGAGGCCGTCGTGTTCTCTAACTGAAGTCATTGCTCGCTTCGTGTATGAAAAAAAGCTTTGCAAGAAACAGGAACGCCAGTAATGTTTTGAGATGTATAATGTGATGTCGAGCCCCAGTGATGAAAGCAAATCCTGCGTTGACAACCCTTCCGTTGCTCTTCTCGTTGCTGGCTCCGCATGCTATCAAATGTGGTAATCAGATGCGCAAGTAAGTGCTCTGCCGGACTCGCGCCCTTGGGTTTTCGCCTTCTAGTCGGTGTAACGCAATGTTTGTTGCGTATGATTTTGCCAAATAAATCCTAGCCTTCGCCATGTAGACCCGTATGATGTACACCGTGTACCGCAGGCTCAGATCGCGTCGCAACGGGCGTTTTCATGGCCCTGCAGCCGATGTTGAATATCCCTTTCCGTCCAAACTTGGGGGGAATGTCGCAACAGGTACAGACAGCAGTAAAACGCCCCCTTGTGGGTTCCGGCTGGATTATAATGCTTCGGTTCGATGCCAAGTTGTGCATGACAAGTTGCACCGCCCTCGTCGATTCGTATCGACGCGCGGGCGCGATCAGTGACTCCCGATAGGTCAAGTTAACCCAAGCTGGGAGGGCCTACCGAGGTTGAGAGAGCCTGGCCTCTCGAGACCGAATGGTGAATATGAGGTGAGTAGCTAAGAGCATGGCTGCCCGCTGGCAGCAGCCACGGCACACGGTGTGCAAAGAGTCGAGTTAGAGTCGGCGAGATAAGGACACTGATGCGTGACAGCGTGGGCACATTTTTTGTTGGACAGGTATAGAAGACCAGACGGATCACTCTGTGTGGGTTGGCCGGGGAGAGCCCCATCGCAGAACGGCCTACTGTTGAGTACATCGCCATAGACAAGATCCGGAGACCCGGGGACAACGAGCGAGCGTGCTCTGTGCCTCTCTGTCGCCGCCCTCATGGCCGCCCTTTTATACGATGTGGTGTTGCCTCAAGGTGCCAAGCTATCGTCGGAGGGGGCGCAGTCTTCGCAGAGTGAATTGGTGCTGATTGACAAAGTCTAGTCGGTGCCGCAAGCGTTTAATCCTGAACGTCTCGTTCGACAGGATATCGCATCCAGAAGAAGGGCAGTGCCTCGGAGGTATATATACGTGGATACAAGGCCAAGACCCAGGACCCGGGACCCAGGCAGTTGCAGCTCGCGGCCCGGGGCCGTCCGCCTCCCTCCCGCCAGGCGATTGAAGTTAATCGACGCGGAGTGGTAGGGGATGAGCCGGGAATGGCGGGCGCATGTTTCGGAGTCGTCAGCTACCAACTGCCGCGAGAAGGGGGGGCAGCCATGTCGTAGGAAGAGGCGCAAACACAAGACAGAAGGAATCAAGGAAAGCAGAAAAAGGCAAGAGCAGCGACGAGCGAAGAAGAATGAGCTGCCCCATTCCAGCTTCCCAGGCCATCCATGATATGGGCCCTGGGGTATTCGGTCCACTGGCCGAGAAGGGAAGGGGACCACCGGGCTGAGTCTGCTTGATTGCTCGATTGCCCTGCTTGGACTTGCGGCTTGCTCGTGGCGGATCCCCTTGGGGTATCCGTGGTCTGGTGCTCTGGTGCGCGGTGCATGGTGTGCGGGACTTGGGTGCATATGTCGTGGTTGGTGGGTGTGTAGGGCGTGTGCCGGCGAGACAGGCGTGCACAGAGCCGCCGCATCGCAAAGCCACGGCATCGGCCCGCGAGAATGGGGAGCGAAGAAACAATTGTTCTCCGTGACCCGGAGCCCACACACTCCTTGTGAGACCAGAACCAGGGCAAGCTCCGTGCCATTGAGTCGGCGTGGGTTGGTGGCCAACAACGCAACATCCTTGGACTAGCCAGCCCTGCCCGGTCCCGACAAAGCCCTGCAGGTTGTGCGGAGTGTAAGCCAAGGCCGCCATCCCACCCCGGCGGGCGAGAGAGAAGGATTGACGCCGTTTGTCCCGACATGGCGCGTACCCGCGGCGCGGGTCAAACCTTGTCTCACGCTACCCTTCTAGAAGCTGGCCAGGCCAGCTGAAAAGCGACAACGGCCGCCGCTGGAGCGAGAGACCCTTTTAGCCGGCCGAGGTCGAAGTGTTGCTTCTGTTGGACCCGAAGGATTCTCCATGTCTTCGGCTGTGCCTGCTTGTTGCCCGACAGAGACAAGGATCCAAGGCGCACGCTGGCTTGCCTCGGCCTGGCCTGCTTGGGCTATTAACTCGCGGTCCCACTGCCTCGTCAATAGGAACACCGTGGCGGTTGTCCAGAGGGGGGTCAGGTAACCACCCCCGGCGATGTGTGTTGCAACGTAGGTCGGTGCTGTCGTCGCCCCGCCTGCCCGGTCCGCCAGCCGCGACCCCAAATGCCTCGTACTCCCGGTCTACCGCCTATTTCTCTGCAACTCCACGTGGTCTCGATCCCAGGGAGCGAAGGGAGATCCTGGGCATGGGCGATGCCGGTTAAAGAAATCCCCGTCGGCAAATGGCTGACGCCCCGTTCTGCTAGTAGCCGTTGCCATCCAGCCCGCCGGTCTCTCTCATCAAGGTTCTTCTGACCACTTGGCATGCGTCGCAAACAAGATATCTCAGCAGATGCTGCACCATACCTTGTGGGCCACATGTTTGCCAGCTCGGAGGGACAGCGTTGTAAGTAGTGTACGTTCAGTGTTCGCAAAATTCTTCAATGCCTCGTGCACCCGAGGAGGATGCCCACGTGTGTGCACAGTCCTTCTCTCCTTCAAGGCTACCCAAGCGACCTGTGCTGTGCTTGCTGTAGGGTTGCGTTTCTGCTGCGCGCGGTGACACCAACGTTCACATAGCCCAAGCCGCCCTTGTCTCCGGGTGACCGAAAACTGACAGATGACGGTTTCAACCAGCGGCTTGTAGAATGATTGGATCGGCCATACCCAGGCAGGGGCGAGGTGGGCACGACGGCGCATTGTCCTACGTACCACCATCAAGGATGGCCGTGGGCTTTTTCCATGGCGCGAGGTTGGACTTTTCACGTCAGCTTTGACGGGCCGACAAAATCGATATACATGCATGGCAATGGAGCATGTCCCTGAAACTGCGACGTGTCCGAGTTGATGCAACGCGCGCCCGCACCAGTTGACGCGTGCAACAGCAGATCGGTTCGTTGGCGCCTCATTGAGCTGCGGCGTATCGCACGCAACAACGGCGAAGAGGCTTAGCGGCGTCAGCGTCTCCCCGCTCCTGCTCGCTCGAGGCCGATCTGGGTCCCAGAGGCACACATTGTTCGATTGTGTGCTTGTCAGACTGTTTCCGATCTGGCGAAACTCATGGGCGGCGATTGCGCCTCCACAACCGGAGTAGTTTCCCCATTGCCACCCTCGATCCCGCAGTCCAATCGCCAGATTGCCACGCGGGTGTCTTCAGCCGTGCCCTGACCTGCCGGGATCGCGTCCAGTGACTAGGCCTTCACGTGCGGCTGATGCGCGGAGATCCGCTTGTCATGCATGTCTCGCTCTGGGTGGGTGTCGTGGTCTCGCTTCAACGTTGGTGCACCAAATGCGACGGCTGGATCGAACCCAGAAGAGGCGACAAGGTGGCAGGGGAGACGCGAAACTTGCGAAGTACGTTATAACCCGGCTGGCCGGCAGCGAAACAGCTGTCGGTCGCTTCGGCCATTGCCATTATGGAGAGACATCAGCGCTTGCGCAGACCCGAAGAGGCGACTCGCCTGCGGAGTCCCCCACGGGTGCCCATGCCCTGGTTTGTTAGTGAGGTGGTACTGGGCGCAATAACAGTGGCAGCTATACATGAACGCAAGACAGCGTGACCATTTCGATGACACCTTGCTGATTGCAAGGCAAAACACCATGGACGCCACTTTGCTCGTCAGTTGGGCCTCTGCTGAGGATTATCCAGAGGCTTTCGCTAGACGGGACCCGGTGGTACTCACGCGGGCAGACCTATCCAATCATGGAAAATTGCCCGATATGCAAGGCTCCAATGGCTCGGAGCGTCGTCTCGAGGCCGATACACTCGTCGTGTGGTGCGCTAGCCAGATGCCACTCCGCTGGGCTGGGATAGTTGTCAGAAGTGGCCCCATTTGATCGGCAGGCCCGGCACGTTGGAGACACTAGGCGAAGCTGAAGCGACAGCCGGTGCCAGCCTGTCAACCGCCTCTGAGATGGTTGCCCATCGAAATCCGAGGTCGATGCAATCAGATTTCGCTTGGCTCCGCTCCAATTGGCCAGCTCTGTGCGTCGACAGTCCATGCGTAGCGTTTCAGGATCAAGGGCCGTTGCATTCAATATCGCCTCTCGTCGTTGAATCAATTCTGGCTCGAATTGGCGGGTGTTGGCCAACAGACCCCTCGGGGGTCCTATTGTTGCCGACGGAGGGATGCAAGAAGCGCGCCAGTCCCCAACATCGACAGGGGAGGGGTGATCGCGGGCGGCAAACCCAATCAAATACCATGAGTGACTGCTAGTATTGGATTCGTTCGAAGCCTAGCAAGTACTTGCAAATGGGAAACGGCTGCAATGTTGCATTGTCCGTCGTTGGTTTGTAACCCCGCCGCCGCCAACACGGAGACCGCCAGGTTCCTATTGTGGTGATTGGATTCCCGGTTTCGTTCTGCGGGCAGCGAACTGCTTTAGGCCCAATCCTCTCGCTGCATCCTCATGTTGGGCTCACCGACATCGACGTGGCGAAGCAACGGCCTACGTTATTGAGTTGAATGAAGAGTGAAAGCGATCTCGGATATCGGACCGAGGAGTGACACTGCGATTCGAGGTTTCGGCGTGGAGTTGTCGTGCCAGGCTATAGTATCTGGCGGGGGCAATGCCTGTGGCGTATACAAGACGCGTATTTATCCAGAAGCCAAGTTCCGCGACGTCGTTTTCGAAAGTCTTGTAGTGGATGGCTATACGACGCGCTTCCGGGCGTACGTGACAAGCAGGAGAGCAAGTGCGACACAGAAAGGACCTAAGCCAGTGATTTGCAACGTCAAGGACGGCCGTCTCCATGGGCCTTGGCGTAGCAGGTGTCCTGTCGGGTAGGAACAGAAGCAGCTTGGGTGCGGCTACTATGACGGGCAGGGTGGCGACGATGGGTATGATTGTTGGGCCAGGCGACGAGGAGGCTGGTGGTTGCTGAGCGCTGTCTGCGGCCGGGTAGGGAGTTCTGGAAAGGTGGCGGGTGAAGTCGCCCAAATTAACATCTCATGCAGCGAGATTTCAGACGTCGCACAAAACGGACCATTGCGACTTCTGAAAGACCGGGGGCTGGCCGCCGGCGAAAACCCCGGACGGATAGAGCGGGACGTGATGATGTAGGGGAGGATATGAAATTACGAAGTAGCAGTCGTGATTTCTTTGGGGGAGGCGGTGGTGAAGGGCCAGGGCTTGCTCGTGATCTGCGAAGCCGTGAGGTTCGCTCCTTCCTTCGGTCCAGAATTCCAACACAAGTAGGTTTCGCGAGGTAGGCGCGGAGGCCGGCCTGTAAATGAACCTCAAGAAACTGTGCCCTTCAAGCTCCATGAATATCGTCATGCTGGTGCAAGTCTTGTTTAATGGGTTCTGTTGAGAATGCAAGGGGCAAAATTCAGTTTACGGTCAGGGCGTGAGATGTCATGCATCGCATGGGCGTCATGGACAACCTAGTTCCGGGCAGGCGAGCACTATAGCTGCTGAGACAGCCTTTTCAGAAGCGAATGAACCATGGCGACTACAGGAATTCAAGGTGAGGCGGGCTGGGCGTCCAGAGGACTCCCAAGGCTGGACGATCGACGAAGGCCACATAGCTATCCATATTGCTCGCACTGCGGACATAGTAGGGGCAAAGCAGACAAGCGGAACCTCAGGGACAGGCATGAAATTATTTCACTTGCACAAGGGCTTGCAAACGTTCCCCCAAAGTATGAATACCAAATGGAACGCGGGCCAGGTCCACATCTGGGGCTCGCGCACCGACCATCAGCAGACCTGAGCGCGCAGCTTGGCTTTTCTTCAGGCTGCTGGTCCCCGCGATGCCACCGTCTCCCCTCGCTCACGCCTCTTGCACAAACGAAACCAGAGGCCAGGACTACGACTCTGCGCTCACAAACACCAGCATCTCGATGACAGTCGTATTGATGGAGCATTCGGCCCTGTCATGAGAGCATGTTTCGGCTAATTGATGCCCACAGCTCCACGAACTCTTGGGCTAGGCCCCACCTCCTGGCCGGCCAAATGTCCCTCCCAGAGTCCTTTACATTTTGATGCCGTGCATGGCAGGGGGCAGAGACCAGAAGCTAGAAACCGTTGAGTGGATGCCCAGATCACGACCCACCGCCCAGGAACAGGCGGCTCAGAAGCTTGGCCCGCGCTAATGAGCATCTGGGCGATCCCAACCCCGGTGCGCGCTAGGCTGAGGCACCTTATTTCGGGGCATGGAATCAAGACGGCCAACAGTGCGTGCTGTGCGATGCGAAGCAGTGTACTTGTGCCCCCAAGAACGGACGGATGATGCACGTTTGTCGCTACGATGCTGCAGGCCATGAGCCCGGCGTCGTTTGGCAAGTGGCGCGCTAGAGACCTGACGGCCAGGCTGTCGTGCAGAAGCAGGGGCCTGGCCTCTGGGATGCTGCCGCATGGATGTGCGCCACACGCACACTATATTTGTCGTGCTGGTGTGAGGCTGCGTTAGGGCCTGCCAGAAGCAGAATGCCATGTGCAGTCTCCCCTGATGCTGCTAGTCCATCAGCACCTACCTTAACTACCAGTACCTTAGGAGCTCACCTGCGCTTCGTTCCTCGCAGGTGGATGTCGCCTCGCAGTCGGGGCCACACTGAATGGTCATATCGCCCCTATCGTGGAAATACAACCAGCTGCGAAGTACGAATGCCTGAGGCAATCGGGTCGAGCCCGCCCTGTGATACGATCTCGACGTTGCTCAGCCGACACCAACGGATGGCACCATTGAAGGCATGATTGCAGTGTCGTGGCACGACTCCGTACTGCCGTGTCTTGTCATGCGAAGCGGGGGCCGGCTATGCTGGCATCGCGGGTGGAGAGCCGAGCCCTGTGCCTGCCAGCATAGGTGGTGCAGCTCTCCGCACATCGCCTGGCACCCGCTATCAGGCCCCCAAACCCCGACGGGAGGGATTTCCAGGGCTCCATCCACTAACAACCATACCTAGCACTGCCGTCGCCGGCATGCAGCATGCCCCTGGCGGGCAGATGGGAAGCTTCCGCACAGGCCCCGTGCAACAGGCCGCGATGATACAGGTCACCTCCCGCCAGAATTGCAGAAGCAAATTGTCCGACTGCAGCACAAAGTAACGCAAGCTTCTGGATGCCCGAGCTTCCATTGGCGTGGGACCCTCCGTTTTGTGGCGGCCCACCACCACGGCGAAGCTCAACGCTCTCCGCACGTGGTGGTCGGTCCAGGTCCCCTGTTCTCGGGCTCGCTCCCCTTTTCCCTGCCGTGCCTTTCTCTCCTAGCCCCTCTCCTCCCCTTCCACCTCCACCAGGACCTCGTGTGCTGCCACCTTGTCTGCCCTTACATTAGTAGACGACGTTTGGGGGCCGTTCGCAACGAACGCCCATCCATCGCCCGGCACCATGTCCAAGTCGACGAGCCTCAACGGCAGCGACAGCGAGTTCGAATTCGTCGAGACGCCCAAGGCCACGCCCCCCTCCTTTGACAAGGAAGAGGACTGCGGCGTCCGCACGACAAAGGTATGCCTGCTCATTGGGCTCGCCCAGTCTCCAATTGTGCTTGGCTACGCCAGCGGTAGCGCTGCAGCGTCCATCTCCAGCAGCATTCGGCGCATGCTAACGGCCCCTCCTGCTGCAGTCTCCGTCCATCAAGAATGCGCCCCTGCCCGCCGACGGCCCGGGCTCCGACAGCTTCAACAACACGGCCCTCTTCTCCCTCCTCATCGGTGCTCCCCTTTATGTGACATGGAAGCTCGGCGGCGGCTGCAAGACCTTCATCTTCTTCGCCCTGATCCTCGACGTCCCTCTTCTTGCTGGGTACTGGCTCGTCATCTCGTCCATCAGTCCCCGTCGCAATGAAAAGGCCAAGCTGCCGGGGCGCCCCGTCGAGTTCTACCTCGATTTCAAGAAGGAGGCCGACCGTGCCAAGTACCGTGGCTTCCACAAGATTCCCATGGAGACCTTCCATGAGATGTACTTTGACGGCGACGTCGACTTCAAGGGCGACTGCCTCGAGGTCCTCGAGTACCGCCATGACTGGGCCAGCTTCCGGTTCACCATTGGCCTCATTCGCTTCTTCCTCCTGGGCATGATTCCCGAGCTGATCATGCACACTCGTTCTCAAGGTGAGCTATGGCTTCTGTTGCCCGCGCTAGTCGGTAATCGTCCCATGACTGACCCGTGACCCCTTTAGACGAAGAGCAGGTCCGTGACCACTACGACCGCGGCGACGACTTCTACGGCTGGTTCCTCGGCCCTCGCATGATTTACACTTCCGGCATCATTTCCGACACGGACAAGGAGGAGACTCTGGAGCAGCTCCAGGACAACAAGCTGGCCATTGTCTGCGAGAAGATTGGCCTCAAGGCCAACGAGAAGATGCTGGACATTGGCTGCGGCTGGGGCACCCTCGCCCGCTTTGCCAGCGAGAACTACGGCGCTCACGTCACGGGCGTCACCCTGGGCCGCAATCAGACTGCGTGGGGCAACAGCGCCATGCGCAAGGTTGGCATTCCCGAGGAGCAGAGCAAGATTCTGTGCATGGACTACCGCGACATCCCCGTCCCCGAGGGTGGCTACAACAAGATCACCTGCCTGGAGATGGCGGAGCATGTTGGTGTCCGCCACTTCTCGGGCTTCCTGACTCAGGTCTACAACATGCTCGACGACGACGGTGTCTTCTTCCTCCAGATTGCTGGCCTCCGCAAGCCCTGGCAGTACGAGGATCTCATCTGGGGTCTCTTCATGAACAAGTACATTTTCCCCGGTGCCGACGCCTCCACTCCTCTCGGTTGGGTTGTCGACAAGCTCGAGGGCTCCGGTTTCGAAATTAAGGGCATCGACACCATCGGCGTGCACTACTCGGCCACCCTCTGGAGATGGTACCGCAACTGGATGGCCAACCGCGACAAGGTCGAGGCCAAGTACGGCAAGCGCTGGTTCCGCGTAAGTTTCATGTCCCGGGCCGTACCGTGCATTCACTGGGGCTTGATGCTGACTTGAGCCACCATAGATCTGGGAGTACTTCCTTGCCTACTCGACCATCATCTCCCGCCAGGGCTCGGCCACATGCTTCCAGCTCACGCTGGTCAAGAACATCAACTCGACCCACCGCGTCGAGGGTATTGAGTCGCAATTCGCCTTGGCGGGAGGCCTCAAGAGCTTCAAGGGCGATCTGCAGGCCTGGGCCGCCAAGAACAATGTGATATCCTCGACCGAGTTCACGTCGTAAGCGGCGCTGTACCGGGAATTGCGTTGCTCGCTTTTCGACGTGGATGCAAGGACGTTCGAGGCCAGCGATTAGCACGGTTCGCCGCTCAAACTGTTGAGAATCATGTCCATTCTGGGATGGTCCGGTTTGACAGCCAGGGCGCAAGTGGGCAAGCGAGCGCGACATGGACAAGAACGTGACCTGAGTCTCGTGCCATTCCTGCCCATGAATGACACTGTGGGTGCTTAGACGGATGGGAAAAGTTGTCGGAACGGTATCAAAATGTCTCGCCTCGGTCGCGAGCTGGGTAATGTAGTACAAAAAGCGACGTTTGCCAATGCGACGCAAATTCTTGGCCGTCTTCACGAGGGACAATTAATCTTGGAGTAGTCGCAGCTAAAGATGGATTGTATTTTGCCATGATTCGTCTGTTGCGACTCGGCGTGAATGTATCGTGAAATGGCGTGGTGTTGAGATGCGGCGAAGCTCATCAGCAATTACGTAGAGCCCACGACCTCGGAGCTTGAGCAGTTCTCCACTTCTTCAACCGCCAACCGCCGACCTCCAGGGGTCCAACCTCACCAACACCGACACGGAACGGGCAAGTCACAAACAACCGCAAACCATCACCGGCTCAGGCTCGCAAACTCAACAGCCCCGCCATCATCATATCTCTCAAGGCCTCGCGCATTGGGGGGCCAGTCCGGCCGCAGCCTTTCCCTCCAGCGACCTGGTCAAGATCCCGGCCACATGCCACGAGCCTCGCCGAGGCGGCCAGCTCATCGCATCGCGCTTCGGGGGTTCTCAACATGGAACGGGGAGTGGTGAGCCCGGGGCTCGCCCTGCTCGGCACCGCGTGCCGTACGTGCCGCACCTTCAGGACCACGCGGCGCGTCGTCGCGACGTCGAGTCGCCGACACGGTAGCAGCACCGCCGCGGCCGAAGCACTCGCTGCTGGCGTGGACGGCCTCCCGCGCCGGCCCGCCAAGTTCATACCCGACTACCTCGTGCCCATGCCGTCGCACCTCCTCACCACGACGCTCTCCGATCTGCTCACACCGTCCTCAGCACCGCCGTCACCACCACCATCATCATCCTCCCCCATCATCCAGCACCCCCCTCCGCCCCTCCCCCAGGGCCACCACCTCGTCTACTTCCCCATCCAGACCCCTCCCTCGCGCCTCGCCGCCGACGGCGCGGACCCGGACCACGGCCCCGGCGGGCCCTTCGCGCGCCGCATGTGGGCCGGCGGCGAGGTGGTCTTTTCGCCGAGGTGGCGCGAGAGGCTGCTGCTGGACGGGCGGGCGTGGGCGTGCGAGGAGCGCGTCGAGCGCGTGGACGTCAAGGGCGTGGCGGGCGCGGAGAAGGTGTTTGTGGATGTGTGGCGGCGGTATGGGCTTGGTCATGAGGGAGGGGCTCGCGAGTGGGATATTGAGGAGCGGAGGACGTTGGTGTTTATGCGCAATGAGGAGGAGGGCGCGGGAACACAAGCAGCGGCGGCGCCGCGACGGCCGATCAAGTGTGCGTACTCACGTTCCCCTTCCTTATCCCCCCTTCTTCCATCCTCGCAACCTCTTACTTGTCCATCCAACCGCACGCCACGCGGTGATGCGAGGAGATGAGAAAAGAAACCGTGCAGGATGAGCAAGACACTGATACAACGCTCACCTGGTTCTAACATCTCCTCTCACAGTCCCCCATCCCGCGAGCTACTCCATCTCCCTCACCCCCACGCCCACGCACCTCTTCCACTTCTCCGCCCTGACGTTCAACGCGCACGCCATCCACCTCGACACGGGGTACGCGCGCGGCACGGACGGCCACCGCGGCCTGCTCGTCCACGGGCCCCTCACGCTCGCGCTCATGCTGCGCGCGCTGGCTGAGCAGAGCGCCAGCGACGGCAGCGGTGACAATAGCAGTCCGCTCAACAGCAGTGGTGGTAGTAGAAGCGGCGGCGGCAGTGCACCGGTCGGCAAGGTGCGGCGCATCGCGTACAGAAACTACGCGCCGCTGTACGTCGACGAGCGGATGACGGTGTGTGTGCGTCGGCCTGCCGATGCCGCTGGCAGTTGGGACGTGTGGGTGGAGGGGCCGGATGGGGGGCTGGCAGTCAAGGGGACGGCGGAGATGGAGAGGGAGTGACATGTCCTCATACACACAGACGGGGACGTATAGTAGGCACCTCGTACATTTTAGAAGTGCTCAATTAAAGCACAAGACGGATATCCAAGTCTATCAGAACATACAAAGCATGCCTCCTCCTCCTCCTCTCCCACCAACGCGGCAGCTCTCGCCGCCCCATCCATATCGCACACTCCCCAACGCCAAAACAGAGCACATTATACACGCGAGGTCTAAACGGACAGCCAGGCACGCGCCCGCTAATCCGCCCAGCCAAACACCTCGCTAATGGAAAGCGTGTTGCTCCGCACGCCCGTCAGCGTCACCACAATGACCACGAGGTCGAGCACAAGGAGCAGCACCGCCGCGAGCATGAACCTCGGGTTGAAGACGCGGTACAGCATGAGGTGGCGCCGCAGCCAACCGGCCCAGCTCATGGTGGCGAGGGCCTCGACGGCAAAGTACGCGACGAAGACGCCCGCCGCGCGCGCCACCGTCTCGAGCACGCCCTTTTGCTTGGGCCCCGTCTTCCACAGGGCGATGAGCGGGACGCATGCCGCGGCGAGGATCTGGCCTGCAAACGTGTTGAGCACGACGACGAGCGGCGTCCAGGGGTAGCGGATGGTGAAGAGAGGGATGAAGGCGCTGTCCCACTGTATGCTCGACAGGACGGCCTGGTGGCCCGTCTTGAAGAAGTAAAAGTTGCCCAGCACGGCTAGCATGATAGGGCCGATGGTTTCAGTCTTTAGGCCGTTGAGGTCGAGAACCTCGACGAGCGAGAGCACCTGCCAGAGCATGAGCGCCAAGGCGCCGGAGCCCATTGGCTTGGAGAGCAGGAGACAGGCGCCGAGGATGTTAAGCGGCAGCATGAGGTATCGCGCGCCCATGGCGTTGGCATACCCCAGGATGGCGACGCGCGCCTGGCCTGTTCGTGATGTAGTCGACACGATCGAAACGCAGGGCGGCGCCCACACGAAAGCGGTGGTACCGGCGACGAGGGCGAGCGCCAGGCCCAGCTGAGCAGTATAGACGCCAATCGTCTTGAGCGTCTTCTCGGGGAGCTTGCCGGCCAGCCAGTCACCATTGTCGGCGGCATCGATGACCCAGTACACCGCCGACATCAAGAGCCCGACTCTGAACACGTAGCCGATCCACGTCGGTGCCAGGCCCTCATACGACCGTGTGGGCACGAGAAAAGACTTGATGATGGAAGGGAGGGCGATGAAAACAAGAAAAGGGATGGCGAGCTGCCAAGTTGCAGAGGTGGATGATGTGACGGAAGCGTAGTAGGTAGACGTGCAGTATGGCATCTGCTCCTCGCGGCAGAGCTTGGAGTAGGAGGCCAGCCGGCCAAGCACGATAAAAGCAATCGAGTGGTAGATGGCCATGGTGCGGTTCACCTTGGACTCGATGCGGAACGAGGCGATTATAGAAGCCACACCAAACGTGGCGATGAAGAAGAGGAGAATCGAGTCTTCCCAAATGGTATATGAGTTGGACGCGAACCCGATCGAGTGGCTGAGAGTAAAGACCACCGACAGCCAGCCCCAAAAGTTGCGCGGCAGGAGGTTGATGAGAGTCTTCCCGCAGTCGTGTATGGATGCCCCAACCGACGTCACCATGAGGAGCATGACTAGAGCCGCAAGCCCGTCCATCGGCTGTTGGCGGTACACGGCCGCGAAAATGAGCGTGCCGATAATGAGCAGGAAGCGAGCACTCCACAGACCACGCAGCATATCCCGGTGGTAGTACTGATCGACGTGAGGCTCAACCTGGCCCTTGAAGTCAATCAACTCGAGCTGCTTCTCCGCGTAGTCGAGCTCCACGTCGTTCATGACGATGTATTCATCGTCGTCGCTTCGAGAGGCGTACATGACGAGCAGCAGCACGCCGGCCGCGGTGACGACGACGCCAGCAACCATGCGCGGGACATCGAATCGCGCCCAGAGGTCCTTGCACACATGTAGGGTCTCTTCCTGGAACCTGGCAAACGCCCTGTACGTGTCCTGAGGGGACATGCCGCCCGCGTTGGCGCTTGTCCACAGAGCATTAGGGGACCCAGGGGCAGAGCCCTGCGAGATGCCGCGAGCGTCAAAGTACTTCTTCTGGTACCGCTCGATGCCGGCAGATGCCATGCGTGAGACGGCGGCCAGGTTGGACCAGTCGTTGCCCTTGGGGCCTGCAAATGCCTCCTCGATGGGGTGGCCGAGGTTGTTGTACGGGATCGGGATGCCGAGCAGCAGAGCCAGCGTCGGCACAAGGTCGATCTGGTTGACGGAGCGAATCTTGGCCGTAGCCGGAGGCGTCGCGTACTCTGGGAGCGTCCGGCCAAAGACGGGTCTCTTCGAGTACATCCACAGCGCCGCCTCGACCTCATCGTCGCTTTCTCCGCCATGGTCACCCTTGCCGTCCATGCCATGGTCGCCCATAACCACCAAGAGCGTGTCGTCGTCGATTGATGCAACGAGCTTGCGGACAAAGTCGTCCATCTGTCGCAGCTTGGCGTTCATGGCCGGATGGTCCGGCCCGTATCGGTGTCCGGCATGATCGACGCCCAGGCAGTGGCCGATAAGCAAATCCCAGTCGCCCTTGGCCTTTGTCTCTAGCAGCGGAAAGATGTTGTCGATGACGCCATTGTCGACGGTGTGCAGGTCCCAGACGTTGAAGCTGTCGTACGCCTTGGAAATGTTAGGCTCAAAGTAGTCCGGGAACAGCGCCCACCACGTGTCGTCGCCTAGATGCGCAATCTTCTTGCCAGAATTGCGCAGCTGCAGAAGCAGGTTATCCTCGTCGATGGCCGTGCCAGCAAAGTTGCTGCCCGCGTCGATAAATGTCGGCAGCGTCCCCGTGGTCAGGCCCTTGAGCCGCTGCAGCGTCGTGGTCGGCGGGTCGGCGATGAAGGGCCGCAGGAACGCGTTGCGCGGCGACGCCACGGCCGTCTCGTGGAGGAAGGGAAACGCGTTATGGAACTCGTGCACCTTGCTCGCGTCGCGCTCGGGGACCGTAAAGTCGTATCGCAGGGCATCGATTATGACGACGACGGCTCGGTCGAACGTCTTGGGGTGCCAGCATCCGCCGTCGGCGCTCAGCGGCGCGAGCTTGCTGTCGATGGGCGGCGCTGTGCAATTGGACTTGTCCTCGAGCACGAGCCGCGTCAGGAGGAAGCCGCCGGTGAAGAGCCAGACGCCGACCGCATGGATCACCAGCAGCCACACCCAAAAGGCAACCGTCCAGCGCCAGCGCCGCTCGTACGACTTGCGTCGCTGCACGTTGAGCTCCTCGCGACGCCTCTCCAGCGCGGCGGCCCGCTCCCGCTCTGTCGGAAGGCCGGCCGCTGCGGCCTCAGCGTCTGCCTCCTCCTTCGCCCGCTTCGCCTGGGCCCATTGCTCGGCTATGGCCTTGTAGTCTGTGGCGGGCTGCGCTTGCGGCGTCGAGTCTCGCGTCTTGCCCTTGGGCTTGGGGCTGTTGCGCGGCGGCATCGTTTATCGGCGGGTGGCGGTCGAGCCCAGAGCCATTGGTCGCTCTGGGGCTCGCAGATTGAGGAAATGGTGGGAGAATATGACAAAAAGAACAGAAGAGAAAGGTGCACTTGGAAAAAAGAGTGTGTTGGCTGGACGTGAATGTCGAGGCCAGAAGTTTGTGTGGCCTGTGGACCTGCTGGCCTTTGGGGAAGCTTGGTCCAGCGAGGGAGTGGGGGAGGTGGAACTTGGGATGTTGGCGGCAGAGTTTAGTGTCGGCCGGACGTTGGAATTCTGGTGACATGCTCGCTCCGGCGAACATCTCCATTCTTTCCTGCACCACCACGCAGCGCAACATACTACACCTTTCCCTACAGCTAGAGTGTCGTGAACATATGAATTGCATCACAAATTTAGGAAAATAGGTCAAGGCCTCGTCTTCACATCATCAATTCCGTTCAATTGTACACTTTTGTCGCGTCCATACATGATCGTCCTCGTTCGCGTCATAATCCTCCCGACAGTCCCGCTCCGTTTCCACGTCCCTCCCTCTGATGTGGCTCTGTGATGTATGTACACCGGGCCGTCACAGAGCCATCCTTCGCAAAAGCATCGCCTCGAACGCCAAGTCGTCATGCGCAACGCAAGCTTCCGCAAATCCAACCACTTTGGATCCAGGGAGTTGCTCATCAGTTGCTCCATTAACCCAACCCAAATTGCTAGTCAAACATGTCCACACCCGACGGCCGCGTCGTGCTGCTCGCCGCGCGCCTTTCCTGTCTTCGTCGCCGTCTCCTATCGTCGGCGGCTACAGACTCGGGCCCCTTGTCCGGGCCGCCCGGAGACATACTCATGGCGCTCCATGTACCGTGGCTCTCCGGGCTGCCCAAGCTCGACACAGTCTGCCCAGCGACCGGCGCTGTCCCCGATGGGCCTGGCTGTCCAGAGTAGTACGCGGAGTCCTTGGTCTTCCTGCCGCCCTTCGCGAATGCCGGGTTCGGCGGTGAAAGGGGTGCCAGCTTGTCGTCTGATGCTGCTGCCGCTGCTGCCCTCCTCTCTGCCGCCCGCTCGGCTGCCCGTTCCATCCTTCGCTGGCTCGAATCTCTCCGGTAGCCCCTTCCATAGCTTGGCGACTCAAGCCCCGAAAGGCTGCTCTCCGAATCTCCACGGCTTCTTGGGCCCCGCGCTGCCGCGGCCTCCTCCTCCGTCAGTCGCCGCAACGTCACGTTCCTGTCGCGATCGTCGTGGACCTTCAGCTTGACGCTGACCGGCTGACTTTGCGGCGAGCCATATCTTTGCCGCTCGTCAAGATGCGAATGCCCCTCGTCCGCGGCGAGACTTCCGGCTCGTGCTGCTGCCGCTGCTGCAGCCCTATCGCCGGCTCTCCGCCGACGGGATGATGCTCGTCGTTGTGGTGGGCGGCTATCCCCTCCGGAAGACAGGAAGGATCCCTCTGCCTCCGAGTGCAAGACTCCGTGGGGATCTGGGGGCATTGCAGGCATCGACACTGGCTCCACGTGCTGTCTCGAATGGCTGCCAGGGCCCCCAGGAGGCGCTGGCGGGTAGCCGGCTGCTGGCGGCATGGGCGCACCGTACGTCCCAGCAGCTGGCCGCGAGTCTATTGACGACTCGGTGACATCTGAGATTTCGGTCCCGCCTCTGGCGTAACCGGTCGGCCGCCTGACGGGTGCGGGACGGCGCGAGCTTTTTCGCGTGGGTGACGGATACCCGTCCCCGGTGAAGCGTGAGACCTGCGTTCCGGAGCGCATGTCCTCCTCTTCTCGCAGCCTGTCTTCCTCCTTCTTCGCCCGTCTGTCCGCCATCTTCTTGGCAAACCATCCCATGCCGAGTCCCCCAAGGATGCCCTTGGCGAACCCACCACCGCCTCCCTTGCCGTCAACTGGGCGGCGCGACGGGCTCACGTAGGATGAATAATCTGAATCCTCAAAGTCGTGACCCGAGTGCCCGCGGGCGTGCATTGGTCGAGGGGTCGTCGGTCGTCGGGGGTCTCTGCTGTCAACGGCGCTCCTGCCAGCTGCCATGCCAGCTGTCATGCCGCCTCGGTTCGCCGAGGGAGGCAGAAGAGAGGTTTGCGTAGCGTCTCGCGGATCCCTCGTGTAGTCGTCGGTGACCTCACTGCTCAATTCCGTCATCGTCGGCGCCCCTCGTCCCGATCGATAACGTCTGGGAGTCTCGGTCGAAACGGCCGAGTACTCTTCGTCACGCCTGTCGCGCCGTCGGTTCATGAATCCTGACACAAGCTTGCCCGCCCCAATGGCAGCTGCCGCACCGCCCAAGACCTTCATGAAGCCGCCGCCACCGCTTTTCTCTGGCGGAAGCTCAGAATACTTCTCGGTTAGATAGGTGCCGGAGCCGCGTCGTGAAGACATGACCTCTGGTGCTCGGCTGCGGCTAAAAGATGACCTCGATCTGCTCCGACTTCGTGAGCGGGCGCGGTCTCGGTCCTTCTTGCGTCCTCGCAGCAGAGCCCAAATGCCAGCACCAGCGGCCAGGGGCCCTAGCCACTTCGACCATCCGCCTTTGTGCTGCTTAGGATCGGCATCGGAGAAGAATTCAGACTCTGTAATGCGGGTTCGACCCCCCTCGGACCTGGCTCCGCCCATGTAAAGCTCGCGGCGACCTGCAGACCTCCAGCTCAGGAAGAAGTACACGACAAGAAGAAAGGTCATCCACAAGGCGTAGAGGATGAAGAGGTATTTCGGCGAGCCGTAGAGTGTAAGCCCCAGAGGCACCTGAACGATGCCGAGGAGGGCAATGGCACGCCCAGACCATTGATGAATCATGATGCGAAGCGATCGGAGCTTGGTGATGTGGCGGACGAGTCGACCGCCAACAAGCTGGAGGATGAACATGACGAAAATGGCGACGCCGATACCGTGGTGCGGGTTCGTCAGGTTGCGCTCTGGGCCCACGGCGAAGAAGCCCAGAATGAATACGACGAGGACCATCAAGCCGGCAAAGACATGTATCTGCGCGTGATATGCGATTGCGTAGCCCGGCCGGCTTGAGTAGAAGCGCGCCATCATGACGGATACCGGGACGAGGAGGAGGAAGACGATTGCCGCCATGATACCGTGCGCGAGAACGATGCGGTGGTACTGATCCAGGGTCCTGAATCTGTTTGCCATGCCTGGGAGCAATATGAGCTGTGGAAAACACGATGCTGCCGGACCAGCAGCAACAATGGGTATCGCCGCCCAACTAACCATTATAACGCATGGTCTCAAAGTTGAGGCCTTGTAAGTTGGGCAGCAGAAAGCTGTTCTTGGTGAAGTCCCATGTGCCATCGCCGACGCTCATTGTGTTGGAGTCGTAGCTCACGGCGCCAGGCGCCGAGAGCTCGTCGGGAGTCGGCGCCATGACGGCGACGACTGTGCCGGTTGTAGTTCAGTCCGGCCGATACTGTGAGACTATTTGCGACCGAGATATCGATTCGGTTTGTCTGCCCGTAGGGCTGAGGGTTCGAGTGGCTCGCCGACTGGAATGCGGCCCCGGATCGCTTCGTTGGAATGCGGCAGCAACGACGGCGTGGGATCGAAGGTGGGCGTGACCGCTATCTGCTGGTGGTTGAAACGGATAGACCCGCTGGCGTCCCGTTTCCAAAGTTTACGTCGGTATGTGCCGCGTCCAGAGAACGATGGGCAAGTATGTATCGCAGAACAGTTTGCCAAGTCGGAGAGACAGGCACGAGATGTCTTCAGGAGAAAGATGTTTTCCGGCCGCGCCTGTGAGACGTATGACGAATCCCACCAGCCGACAGGCAGGTGGCCCCGGGCTGCCGCTCCTCTCCCAGGCGCTGAGGTGCTTGTCCAGCTGCACTGGCGCGGTTGCGCGGGGTGACGAGCCAGACCCTGGTCAATCCGCCAATGATGACGCCCGCGCCCGCCGCCTTGTGGGGCCCTGTTGTGCGTTGGCAAGGGCCCCGCCAACCGAAAAGGGCAATTGTCGATTTGGCTAAGTCAGCACGCGCAAACAGCTCCACCACCGCTTTAAACTGAGCTACCCTGAGCCTCAGATCTTGTGGCCGTTGTTTTTATCTCAGCCTTCTCTACACCATCGGTGCTCGCACCTTTAATGATATGATTGAGTGAGGAAGTGAGCTATTGATCATTTTGGCCATTCCTTTCTAAAAGCTTCATTCCGTCTTTCGGCATTCAATCACAGCGACATCCGACCCAAGCGCAGGGTGCACTTTTACAATGGCCAGCCCAGCGCGAGTCGCAATCTCACCAAAGCCCTGCAGTGTCCTCTCCTTACCTCCAATTGTCGCCATATAAATGTCCGTGGCAGCAGCCATTGGCAGCGGCGGATCGCTCAAAACCTGCTCTACAATGAGCACTCGGCTATCCTCGACCATGGCATCACGAAGCTGCTGCAGGATCTCCACGCAGACGTCGTCGCCGTAATCATGGAGACACCTGCGGATGTAATAGATGCAGGCGCCTGACGAGGTCAGCAACTCGACAACACTCCTAATGATACTACGTGGTAAAAACGTCGATGACATACCTTTTACGGGCTGTTCCGAGTGGAAGTCCATGGAAACATATTGTGCGTCTGCGAGCTCACCAGTAGCCGTCTTTTTGGCTTCATCGACAACCGCCTGCAGGTCCTCGACGACACAGCGACTCATGGGCAGGCCTGGCGTGACCTTCTGGATAGCCTGCAGCGCATGGCCCTTACCGCCCCCGACGTCGACGACCAGAGCCCTGTCAGGCGCCTCGTGCATCTTGTCGAGGACCCAGGCGAAGTTGTATGAACCGGTCGTGGGCATCCGGCTGGCCATGGCCATCATGGCTGTCATGAAGTAGGACTTCTTCACCGGGTCTCGGTTCGTATGCTCCCAGACTGTGAGCTTCGGGTCACCAGCAGCAAATGCGTGGATCGTGTCGTATCTCCCCGTGGGTTCCTTGCGCCCGTACTGATCGAAGTAGGCCGGCGTCGAATGCAGCGCCTTCAGGTGGTCGTCGAAGCTTGTTTGACTCTGGTCAACGAGGTTCAACTTGGCACTCGACTCGAGCTTACTCACCCCATCATGATGAGGGCGCTGAGGGGACTAGACGAAACAAAGGACGTGCTGGCCGGCGTCATCGACAAGCTGTCGTTGTCGAGTTGCTTCAGGACCCCGGTGGATGTGAGAATGCCAGTGAGGCGACCTGAACTCCCGTAAGTTCTTGTTGAACAACTTGGACGAAGGGCGCCTACGAATGAGGGACACGTCTGCGTCGAGCTTTCCCGCAAGGTCTGCGACAGAAATGGTCCCAGCAGAGGCCATAATGTCAAACGCTTTCCAACCGACGAAAAGACGGATGGCCGTGAATTGAACCATGGATATCATGGAAGTCATGACGGGATCCGCCGGGTTGATGTCCTTGAGTAGCGCCTCTGCTGCGTTTACAACACGGGCGCGCTCATCGTCGAGGTCATCTAGCGATGTGGTACAGCTGCGGATGGCTTCGGCTGTGGCGTTGAGCTGCTGCGCAAGTGCATCGAGGCTGTCTCCAAGGGACCTCGCCTCCTGGCTTGAATTGTTGATGGGCATGATGATTTAACGGTACGGCTGTTGAATCTTGATATCATCAACGCCAACATGGTCAACGGCTGGATCTTTTATACTGTTCTGAACGCCTACGGCCATGCAAAAATCGGTGCTCCTATCCCCGACTCCGCGGGCGATTTGGCCGAACAATCAACAACGGCATTGGCGCCGAAGCTTGCACGCTCCGCCAAATCAGTGTCCGGCCGCTGACCAGTGAGACAAGACAGTGGAGCAAGACTGGGGAAGGAGCTGGTGAGACCGCCCCACTAGTGTTTTCGGGGTCGGGGACACAAAGCCCGGACTCGGAAAATTAACGCGATTTTCGGCTTATTCCCAATTTCCCGACCTTCTCACAACTAAAGCCTTCTTCTACTGTCTGAGCCCATCATGTCGTCGAGCAATGCAAAACGATCGGCGGAGCGACTACACGGCCGCACGGACTCGCCTCGCAAGCGCAGACGCCCAGCCACGTCGTGCGAGGCATGCCGGACGCGCAAGGTCCGCTGCGACCAGGGCCTCCCGTGTGGACCGTGTAAACGGTCGAGGAGTAAAGTCGACTGCGTCTACCGATCAGAGGAAAACAACGGCAGCCTCAATGCGAGATCCGCAGTAAGTTTGGAAAGCGATACCGAGTTCCATCCGAACCAAGCACGTGTCAGCACCAGCGTTCTCACTGGTGATGGTGCGGATAACCTGGCCGCACGCATCGACAGGCTGGAGCGCCTGTTGGACCGACGAGAGACTGGCCATCAGTACGTCCCAATAGAGCCCAGCCCTGTACGGCCTAGGCTGTTGTTGAGGAGCACTCCGGACAAGACTCGGCTCTTTGGGCCCGGCCATTGGATGTACATTGCCCAGGCATTGGTACGTCTGCGAGACCTCTTCACATCGCAAGCAGCAAGGATGCTAACCGCCAGCTTCATTGAGCAGCCCACCGAAGGAATGTTTGACGGCAATGGTGCAGACTTTGAGCTTCGCGGTAATGGGGCTGCCGTGCCAGACATCATGAAACTGTTCCTCAGACTGAGAACAATGCGAAAAGCCGTCAAGGCACGAAGTGCCCAAAACGAACCCAGCGGTGCCGGTGACTTGCGATCAGACTTTCTGCAATCGCTCCCGCCATGGACTGGGTGCGAAAAACTACTCAACCGCTACTGGGACTTCTTCGATCCCCTGTACAGGATTGTGCAGGGACAGGAGTCAATATGGGCCGAGGCGAAGAATCTGCATATTCGCCTTCATGAGACGCATTCAGCGACCGGTGCGGCAAAGGATCTACCCGACTCGTTCTTGATGAAGCTGGGACTGATGCTGGCTCTCGGCGGTGCCCTTAGCCCGAATATCTGCGACGAATTGCACGTGGAGGAAGCCTCGCAATATTGGATCCGCCTCGCCCAAAGTTGGCTCACGGGGCAGCGAGAAAAAGAGACGATGAGCCTAGAAGGGCTCCGAGTCTTTTGCTTGCTGCTATTAGCCAAACAGACCACGCGTCACGCGGCTGGCCTGACATGGATATCAGCGGGGTCGCTCGTGTCTGCTGCAATGTCCATGGGCCTACATCGCGATCCTGCCAAGTTGCAAGGGATCACACCGTCGGAAGGGGAGGCTCGCAAGAGGCTCTGGGCGGCGACACTCGAGCTCACTGTCCAAGCCCACCTCGACACCGCGACCCCGATCTTGGTTTCCACAGAGGACTTTGACGCTCCCGCACCGCGGCCGCCCGGGGAAGCAGGAGAAGATCTGCAGAGTAGACTTTTCGAATCGCTGCCGCTCCGCCTCCGAGTGGCACGCTTGGTGAACGGCATCAAGGGCCCAAGCTATGACGAAGCGATACTGCTCGCGAACGAGCTAAGGGCCGAGGCTCGTGACGTGGTAGCTTTTACGCAAGGACTGAGCAAGCCACGGTCTAACAGACGCGAGAGCTTCCACTCGTGTTATGTGGACATGGTCTTCCACAGGTACATACTTATGCTCCTGCAGCCGTGGATGGTCAAGTCTCGGGTCGACTCACGGTACTACCTGGCGCGCAAGATGTGCACAGAATCTGCGCTCGTCATTGCCTCGTACGCTACTGAACATGGCTCGATCGAGTTGCAACTTCTTGCAGAGAAAGGGCGAGGCTCCTTCAGAGGCCCGATCTCGCTACCTGTCGTGCTCGTTCTTTGCTTGGAAACGTTCCTGGTGTTGGAAGAGGAGGGGCCGACGGGGCGAGGTGTCGGCGGCTTGGACGAGCTGCTGGCAGCGTCGAGAGCGCGGGTGGCCTCAGTGCTAGGGAACATCATGGAGCTGACGCGCGGGCATATCCGCGACGGGAGCGTCAGCCTCAAGAGCTTCAACTTCATGGCGTCATTCCTGGCCCAATTTCGCGCCATCGAGGAGGGACGAGATCCGAAGAGAGCCGTCTTTAATGCGCTCAGCGAGAGCCTGCAGGAATGCGCACGACTTGTCCAGGAGGCGCATCCCTGGCTTGCTGGTATGGATGAGAACGGCCATGCAGAGGAAAATCGCCAGGAGGAAGCCGCGCCCTCGGCCGTCGACTCAATATCTCTGGTGAGTCTTATTCACCTTCGTGATTCTCCAGGTGCTTCGTGTGGCTAGAACACGCGTGCTGATGAGAAAGCTGCAGGACGACTTTCTGAACTGGGATATAGCCAGCATCCTCAACATTCCGAGTCTTGAGTAGGAGGATGCATCGGCAGTCGCAACGTTAATACGGTTTCTTATGCATAGTTGCGAGCCGACTCCGAAGTAGCACCAATCCCGCAGGTTTTCTCCGCGATGGACCTCGTATCTACAACAACATACTTTGCGCCTGCAGGCCACCATACGCAGTAGCTTGTCGTCCCTTCGGGGTATTGGCGAGACGGCTGCAGTACGGACCTCGTGGATAGTAATCGGACTGCGCATTCGTGCGCGGCTCTCGTGTCATTGAATCCACAGCAGCAACCACTGAATGCGTCACCGAGACTCGAATCTAGTGACCTCATTCGGCACGACGCCACCAGAGAAGGGGCGTTCTCCGAGGGATGATACACGCTCCGGGAGACGACTCGCACCGTGCCTTGCCTTTGAAGGGGAACTTCCCGCGAGCCTCTGTCTGCATCGCCAATCGTTCCCGCCGGCCCTCCCCTGCGCCACGGACACCACCAACCCATAGCACGCACGGCGCGACAGCCATCCATCGCAATCAAACGCCTGCAGCTAATCACGGCCGCTGGAGAGCACGACAGCACAGCACAGCGCAGCGCAGCAGCAGCCAAGGGCCCTGCAACGCATTGCACAGCCTCGCCGCGGGCGCGCCGTGCCTGACGGGAAGTGCCCGTGCCTTGCCGTGCCCCGGCCATAGGTGTAAGTCGAAGCGCCAGGGGCCCGGAAAAGCGGGATGACGCCAGGGCGCAATGAGGAAAGGGGTGAGGCGTTGCCGATGCCGATGTTCCGAGAGCAGTGGGCCTCGTTGGCAGCGGTGGGCACTGGGCACCTACGCAGGTAGAGGCGGAGCGGGCGGTGGGGGTTTGCATGAAATGGATGATGGACAACAAAGACGATTGCTGAAGGCGCTCATTCAGTCTCTTCCAAGATTCCCATGGGTGCCGCGGCAGAGCAGAAAATTCATGTACACATCGCCCTTGTGTATGACTGGATAGATGAGTGAATGTGCTGTGAATGTGATCAAGAGCGAGAGACAAGGGCATGGACTCGTGATGCCTCACTTTCAAGAATCCAGACCACGGACCTACCGCAGCAGTTGGGCCACAGGGGCCCTGTGACATGCCGCGCGCAGCCCTCCCGTGTCAGCCAGCACCGACCGTACCTCACGGCCGCCACCATCATCCGTTCCTGAGCCCAAGAAACCGCCCGGTCCCGTTTCGTCCGGTGACACCCAGACGGCGCGGCTGGCAGCAAGCCTGCGTCGACTAGCGACTGCAAAGACCATCAGCAGCGATATCATCAGCAGCCACAGCACCAAGCACGTCCCAACAGCCGCTGACATGGCACACGAAGCAGACACGCACGCCCACATTCACACACACACACACCTCGACACGCACCACCCCTCCACCAAAGAACCCCAGCCCGCTCGGCTGTCCCGTGCCGGGCGCCACAACACTTGCGACCGCCGACCACACAACGACGAGGCCCAGCCCGGCCCGCCGCGGACGGGGGGACCCCTGAGGCCCTGTGGCCCTGGGCACTGGTGCGCTCGCATTTGTGCCTCTCTTCCCTCCCATGTGTTGTCGTCCACCCTCGGCCGGCGCCCGCGTATCAAGCTGCGAGTACAGTACGTAGGTATTAGATGGGTAGGTACTCATGTACGTACGTATGTACATCCATGCCGTGATCTACTGCCACCCAGGAGCGTGCCGTGACGTCGCACTCCAGCCGTGCGACGTCCATTCTTATAAGTGACCCGGCCCAGCTCTGCTCTGCGCGCTTGCCCGTCCCTGGTCCTCCTCCTCCTCTTTCCCCCTTCCCACCCTTTTCTCCCCCTCTCTCTCTTTGCTCAGTGCTTTCTGTGATACCCCAAAACACGCGCGCACCCATAATACTCCGCTGCAACCCTGTCCATCTATCCTCTTTCCTCCTCTCGTCCGCGAAACGCAAGGAAACGCTCGCAACAGCCATCATGCCCGTCGAGCAGCAGCAGATGCCCCAGGAGCCGGCCCCGGCCGCCGCTCTCCCGACCACGACGGAATCCCGAACCAGCTCCGAGCAACCGGTACGCGAAGACCCTCGTTTTCCGTTCTATCCTCCTACAGTTCAGCACCCGTTTGAGGTCGTCTATCTCGGAACAAGGGCGGGTTGGGAATTGCCTTGGCTGCGGCGGCGTAGCGTCATGCCGATGCTTGGCGTGGAACGGCCCGGCCGGACGGTCGCCGGCCTCGCCGGCCCCATCGCCGGCACCAACCGCGCTGCCATCGTCCCCAGCTCGCCTACCAGCCCCCCCTTGAGAGCAACACAAACCCTACCCCGAAACTTCGCTTCTTCTTTTTTGTTTATTTTTGTTTTGACGCCAACTGACTGGTTTCGACCTGTAGCGTCCCGTCGAGCCCATGAAGGCCGACGACTCGGTGCGCCTGCGCGGCGGCGGCGAAGGCGAGGTGAGTCGCACCCTGTTTATACCCACGGGCGCGCGCCCACACGCCCCTTGAGGATGTGATGCTGCTGCTGCTGCTGCAAGAAAAGAGTCGTTGCTGACAAAACTGAATAGGCCGTCTGCTGCGGCATGTGCGCGGGCCTGTGCTGCTTCGAGTGCCTCGAGTGCTGCTGCTAAGCGGCGGGGTCGGCTGGGACGACGACGACGAACTGCGCGAGCACCACGGGCGAGGATTTCAGACGAATTTGAGTTGGTGGACGTTGTATGGCGTTGAAGGCACGATTGCAGAGAAGGTGACGGCATGAGAGACTCGGAGGACAGAGCCAGTTGCATCAATATAACAACCGCGCTTACACGGCGACCAGTGCTTTTTCCATGTTGTGCCACGTTGTGATGGACACATACTGCTGACTTACACTGAGACTCAGCTCGCTCGCATTCTATACAACGATGCTGCCCAGCTTTTTGACCACGTCCTCGTAATATCTCATCGATAGCCGCTCCGCGACTTCGTCGTCCGTCTCGTCGTCTCCTTCTCTGAGTCCAAGCGCCTCCCCTCCCGCCAGGCACGCCCGTGTCGCCTCCTCGTACTTCTCGCCCATCTCCGCGCCCAAGTCAGCGATGCGCCCCCCTTCCAGCAGCCGTTGGCGAACCCTCCGTACAACCTCCTTGTCGCCTCGCGCTCGGCGCATATCAATGGCAAGCACCTCGTCCACTGTCCGCCAGTGTGCCAGCTCCACCAGGACGACGCCCAGGCTGTACACGTCGAAGCTCTTCTTGGACCGCTCGCGCTCTTCCTCCTTGTCGCCATTCTTGCCACCGCGTCGGTTCGACTGCGTGCGCGGGTGCCGGTAGAGGTCGTGCTCGGCGTCGTCGCCTGGGGCGTCGGTCATTTCGTCCGCGCCGCCTGGTCGCGAAAAGTCGAATCCAGACAGGTACGGCCGGCTGTAGTCGACACCTCCTCCGCCGCGGGCGCGGAAGAAGAGCACGTTGTGGCTGCGAAGGCCCTTGTGCAGCCAGTTCACGGCATGCAGATAGAGTACGCAGTTGCTAAGCGCGTGGGCAAGCTGTACGCGCTCCGTCACGCGCGGCTTGCGAACCGACGTGTCCCGCAGCAGGTCATGCAGCGATACTGGCGGGAGGGAGGCATGCAGCTGGTCGTCATGAGGGCGCTCGAAGATGAGTCCAAGCCGCCGATCGATAATATCGACGTCTTCGTCAGGCGTGTCCGGGTCGGCCTTGTCGAAGAAACCAAGGCAGTGTGGCGTGCGGAATGCCTCAGGCTTGGGGCTGTGGTTCAGGAGACAGGCCAGCTTGCGGACGCGGTCGACAATGTCCTTTTTTGATAGTGAGTCCGGATGCAGCCCGGCACTGTCGTAGTCTTTCCACTCTATCCAGACCTTCTTCTTGGTGCCATCGGACGTCGTCAACAGTGCCTCACATCGGGGCGTCTCCCAGTCGTCTACCTCCGGATCCAGCTCGATGAGGCTTCGCGGAACCTGTACGTCGCGCGGCTGCGCTGGGCTCGCAAGGTCGAGGAACTGGTATGCTGCAATATCCACCTTGGTCGGTGCCAGCCCAGACCTGGGGTCAATTGTTTCGTTGAAGGCCTTGAACTTGGCCAAATTTGAGAGCTGCAGGAGAGCTTTCAGGCTGGCTTCGCGCTCCAGCTTAGACATGGGCGTCGAAGACACAGGGACGCCTAGCTGGCTGGCGGTGCGCTGGATGCCCGGGCCCCCCGCTTCGAGCTGTGACTTGAGGGCTAGGACAAGGTGGCTCAAGTCGGCGACCTTGTGGTGCAGGAGGAGGACGCCGCGGTTGGTGTCCTGCACGGTGTGGCGAATCTCGACCTGGAGGGAGTGGTCGAGGATGTTGGTCATGTTGTCATTGAGAGCCGAGAACTTGGCGAGCAGCTTCTCAAAAGCTTCCTTGTCGAATGAGACCCAGCGCAGTCGCATCCAGCCGCCTTCTGACTTGAGCTTCAGGCCGGCCATGGCCTTTTTGATGAAGTCGCGCTTGCGAGGCGACATGGGGAAGCTCGCCTGGCGGGCATCCTTGTCGGGTGAAGCGAGGACATTGTCGTCATCGCGGACGGGCTTGAGGTTGTTGTGACGGCGTTGATGGGCGGTGAACTCATCAAACAGACATTGGACCTGGACGAGCAGGTCGAGCACGGTCTGGCGGTGCAAGTTGAAGATGTTGGAGTCTAAGATCTTGTCGTGGTTGTTGGCGTCAAGGTCAAGCAGGCCCGATGTCTCGCTCCAGGCGAAGAGGCGCTGCTGCTCCATGCGCAGGCGCAGGTTGAGGTACTTGCACTCTTCATCGTAGCCGAGGGCCGTGACGAGCAGCTGGATGCCTGGGAGAGGAGTGTCAGCGTGCGCGCGTCGCCGGAGCGGGTGGACGTCGGTGAGGCGTGCCCTGGATGCAGCCCGTGTAGACCTGGAGGCCGAGCGAGGCGACGCCGATGGCCAGCCCCGTGAGCGAGACGGGGTCCATTGCCTGCCAGGCAGCAAGTGCCGCGGCTTGGCAGCGCGACCGAGGGTGCCCAAACGATTACTCGATTCGGCCTCGGTAGTTGGTCCGGACAGGACTGTCACTGCGGCGGTGGGAGTGCGAGTGAGAGCACGGGAATTGGGAGTGGGAGAGACAGATGACAGCGGCCAAGTAGACTGGCAGTGGGTGAAAGTGACGATGGCGCACGGGCGTCAGGGGTCTCAGGGGCCAATGGCGGCGCCGCCCGTGCGGGCAGGTTGGGGTACACGGGCGTCATCAGTGAGCGGAGAAGGAGTGGAGGGCGCGTCAAGCACTCCTGGGCGCCTGCAGCAATACTGCACCACAGGTAGCACAGCGCCCTACCTTAGTCCGCCCCGATAGCCTCAATTGTCGCTCTCGTCACAGTGGGTTCCAACACTGCCTCGGAGCCGTATCCCGCCGTCTGTGCAACCTGGGCTGGCCAGCACAATGCAGCATCCAGCGCAGGGCTGATGAATTGGCAACGCGGCGGACGTGGTCTAGGCCTTGGAGAGACGCGTGCAAGCCATTGATGCATTGCATACGGAGGACGAGGCGCCGATGGCCGGGGTCCAACGAACGAGGTGGTTGGCCGCTGCACTTTGCCGTCACCAGAGACGTGAACAATTGAAACTAATTGTCGGGTGCCTTGACATGCATAAACGTGAACTGGGCCGTCAGGACGTGGGTGACGGGACTTGCCAGTTGCATCCCCAGCTTATTGATCGCCAAACATTGACCGAGAATCCATCATGGCCGTCTTGGTGGTGAAAGACGAGCCGCCGAGCCAACCCCGAAATAATGCATCCACTCGAAGCCCCGGCATATAAAGTCGTTGGCAGCTGCCGCCGCCTGTGCGTCTTGGCCAAGGCTGTTGTCATGGAAGCCTGTCAGGCCGCTCGGTGATACCTCCGTGCCGTCCTACAGGCGGACTATAGCGCCGCGCGGACTAATTTCAAGGAGCCTAACGTCTGCGGGTGCGCGCTGGACGGGGCGGACCCAACCCGCCGGCGCCGGCTCTGAACCCTGCCCGGAGGACCACTGGGCACCGCACCACCACTCGCTCCAGCACCCCATCCCCCAGCAACGACGCCGTGCAAGCCAGAGGCGCCCAAGCGCAGCCACTGAAGGAAAAAGCGCCCGCGGCGCGCCACCCCTGGCTGAGCTGTGCAAGGCGAGATGAGATGAGATGAGACGAGACGAGACGAGATGAGACCAGGCGACAATGAGCTGGGACGCGTAAAGAATCCGCTCACAACTGCCGCCAAAATGACGAGACTGCCGCGGCACGCCATATCCAGTTGGCGCTAACCGGGGCAGTACCTAGCGGTACGGCCGTGCGGGCCAGGACCCAGGCGCGGAGGCTGGTATGTGTGAGGTACCCATTTTATCGCGACCTGCCTTCACCTCACTTTACTCGAGCAGCATCCGTACGTCCGGACGACACGAGTAATATGCTTGAACCTGACAGCCTGTATCACAGCGACGGCGACGGCAAGCAGCGCCGTGAATCGCGCATCAGCTGAGACAGCAAGCAAGGGAAAAAAGAAAGGAAAATGGGTGGCCACCGCTCTGACATCTCCGATCTGGGCGGCCAGGGTCTGCGGCTGTATCCGAGGGCTTTTTTTTCCTCTACTATTCCAATCTGTCGTGTCACAAGAGAGTGGAGCAATTGCGCGTTACGCTCATCAATGACAATCTTTCATTGCTCCATCCACGGTCAAGTCAACCGAGCAGGGCCCCGAGGCCCGCCGGACTGACGGCTCGGCAAGGAAGGGTCTGGTCTTTGAGAGTTGGAAGTGGGCACGGAGCTTGTCGCCCAGTGGCCCGCTCACGAGGCCCGATGGACGCGGCGGCCCCGTCGAGCAACTCAATCTGGGCCGCCCGCATTCCATCTGCCAGAAGGGACAGGCTTGACAGGATGCTTTCCCGCGGGCTGACTGGGACGTCGTCTCGTTTGCTTCAAGGGCCGTTTGATACGTTACTTAGGTAGGTACTGGCTCAGCACTTATTGGGCTGCTCCATTGTATGACATACATCACACATTGCATTGCATGCATACGCACCATACACAAGCTTCGTCCTTACATGGGCTGGCTCGTCGTGCTAGCGACAGGCCGCTTGCCTTGTTCGTCTGGGGCCTCACTCACCCCCGCCGCCGCCGCCGCCGTTGGCCACCAAGCTTGGGCATGGGCCAGTACATACGGCATGGCGCAATGGGATATGGGTGTCGAGTCAAAGTCTCAACGGGCTGCTGGACCCCCCCCACCGGCTGCATCGCGTTGCACCAGCCCGACGTGCTAAGTTACCAACGGGGAAATGCCAGCCAGCCTCAACGGCGCGGGTCCCCCGCCACACACACATGCACACACGCACACGGGCGCACACACTCGCACACACACACCCCTCACTGCCAATGATGCATGGTATCAAGATTGAGCTGGGGCGGCGGCCGGCTGTTGTTGCTGTTGTTGCTGCTGGCTGATTACGTGACTGCCCAGCCCGCCGCCGCCGCCGCCGCCTGTGCTTTGCTGATGTGTAGGTACACACGTCGTCTGGGCCGCGGAGTTAGTACACAATACAGTGCGTTAGTGCTAAAGCCAACCTCCATCACCCGGCCAGGACCACTAAAAGTGACGGGACTGACTGCCCGCGCGCCCTCTCCCCCTCCTCGAGGGGCCCATGGCAACTTGGAAGTCGTTGGGCTGCCCGCCTGCCCCCGGTCTCCTCTCCACCTCATCTGTGCGGAGCAGCAGCAGCAGCAGCTGTTAGGTTAGGTTGGCCTGGCCTGCCTTTCGCTCCGTCCGGTCCGCCGCCACCAAATGCACAACCGCCTGCGCCTGCACCTGCACAAGCACCCTGCCTGCACCGTCCGCCTTCCTTCCCCACCCCCCACCACGTCGTCCTAGTTGCATGGCTGGCTGTCTGTGTGTCTGTCAGTCTGTCGCCTCGTCGTGCGCCTCCGTCTCCCACATCCCACATCCGGCACCAAGAAGGGGGCCCCAAGGCAGACCTGGCCGGCCAACCAACGGCAGACCCTCCAAACCTTTTTCTTGTCGTTTACATCTTACCTTCTCGCAGCACAGCACTGCAACCGAGTGTCGTCCTTGCAGTGTCTGGACTCTCCTCTGCTCGGCGCATCTGCTTTTCGTGATACCCAGCGCCTCGACGGCGTCCAGAGCAGAAGCCTCGACATCTTGCGCCGCGCCGCGCCGCGCCGACCCGGGAACCGGGTACTGAGCCCCCGTCTCCCTCCGCGTTCCTCAGCTCGAGTTGCATTACTAAACACACATTCGTACTGCATCGATACCACTACGACTGCTGCGACCCAAGGCACACGTTCACCGACCAGCCGGGGCGCCCGCCATGATCTCCCCCGAGAACATCCCCCTCCCGCCAGACGACCCCGTGTCGCCTCAGTCGGCCCATCCGCTCACCTCATCCACCAGCGGCTCTGCGGGGACGTCGCCCAGCTCCATCTTCCAGCATGGCTCGTCGACGGGCAATCCGTCGTCGGGCAGCCAGACGCCCGTCCAGATGGACACGGACTCCAACGGCAACAAGAACCGCGACTCGACCGTCCCCGCCGCATGTCTAGCCTGCGTGAGTGGCCCTTTTTGCCCGACCCCGAGTGCCGATGCCATCCGCTTGGCCGAGAGCACCCTTCACTGACCTGTATTACCCACACAGCGGAGCAAGCATCTCAAGTGCGATGGCCAGAACCCTTGCGCCCGCTGCCTCTCGTCTCAGAGCGAGTGCGTCTACGTCGCATCGCGCCGCGGCTACAAGGGGCCTCGGCGTGGCACGGCGCAAAACCCGAACAAGCGGCAGGCGACGTCGCCACCCGACGCCAACGGCGGCGCGCCGTCCGACTGCCCCATGCTGTTGGGATCGCGGTCCGGCGCTGCCGCCATGGAAGGCAACGGCTATCCCGCCGTCACCATGATGCCCGGTGCTCTTCCGCCGCAGCAGGCCCAGCAGCAGTACACGCCCGGCCCCTCAGGCATGCAGTTGTACAAGTCCTACTGCTCCGTCAATGGCATCGATCCCGTCGCCTTTGCCGTCTCCCATCACAATGTCGGCCAGCCCATCCCCGTCAAGAGCGTACCCGAGCGCTGCCTTGATGCCTATTACCACTACTTCTTCGGCTCGCACCCCTTCGTCCTGCCGCGCGAGCACCTCCTGCGCCTATCCAAGAGCGGCGTCATGGAGGTGGTACTTGCGGCGATACGCTGGGTCGGCTCCATCTTCATCGACGTCGGACCAGCCGTCCGCGAGAGTCTGTTTGAGGAGGCGTACCGGCTCATTTACGACCCGTCCACGCCTCGCGATGGCTTCATGGTGCAGGCCATGATGCTGCTCATCGTCGGCCTCGACGGCTGCTGCAAGCAGGAAAAGGCGCGCGCCATCCTGAGCGACGTAGAGCGCCTGGCTCTCGAAATTGACCTCAACACGCGGCCGTTTGCGACGCTCCACGGCCAGGGCATCCCCGTGCTCGAGGAGAGTTGGCGACGGACGTGGTGGGACCTGTTCATCATCGACGGCATGATTGCCGGCGTCCACCGCGTCACCAACTTCCTTCTCTTTGACGTGCCCGCCGACGTTGCCCTGCCGTGCGAGGAGCACCAATATCTCTCTTCTGTGAGTACTTGCTCTTTCCTCGACAGATGCGCTTTCGCAAGCTAACCTCTGCTAGAATATCCCCATCCCCCTCTATCTCGAAGACCTCGAAGACCGCGACTTTTCCGACGAGGACCGCGAATTCTCCTCGTTTGCCTACCGCATCCTTTGTGGCCGCAACCTGGGCAAGTTTATGCGCACGCCGCCCATCTTCGGCCCCGAAGACGAAAACATGGCGCGCATCGAGGCGCTGCTGACCAACTGGCGGCTGCATCTGCCCAAGACGAAGCGCGACGCGCTGCAGAGGGACGGCAAGCTCGACGAGATGATGTTCCAGGCGCACATGATGATGCACGCCACGTCCATCCTCCTGCACCAGCCGCACTCGCAGCTCGACACGACACCGACGCAAAACATCAACTCGTGCGCGCCGCACCAGATGGTGCCGGCGGGCGACCTCTTCAACACGCACACCAAGCACACCATCGAGTCGGCGTCGGCCATCAGCGAAATGATTACGCACCGCGTGCCGCTGCTGTCGCACACGCACTTCTTCACGTGCGTCATCACGCTCTCGTCAATTGTGCACCTCAGCCGCTGGGCGCTCTTCTTCATCCCGCATGACGATGACGACCTGCGCCAGCAGGTGCGCCTCAACATCGGCGCGCTTAACCGGCTCGCCGAGGTGTGGGGCGCCGCGGACCGGGCGCGGGGGCAGGTCAAGGCCGTGGCGCAGGAGATTTACCAGGCCAAGAAGCAGCAACGCCTCAACTCGCAGTTCTGGGTTGGGCTCACGCAGGAAGACATGCTCAACACGATTGCCACCGACGACTCCATCATTAGCGAGATTGAGAGCTTCCAGGTGCCGCCCAACCTGTTGGGCTAGCGGCTGCCACCGGGGCCCCGGGCCCACGCCCGGTTGAGAGTTTGGCGTTTTACGGATCTTGAATATCTGGGTGTGTTTTGCGGCCACTGTCCGTCAGTCGGCGTCGACTTATATATAGTGCAGCGTTAAACCGAAAAGGTGTTGAGTGTAGGTTGTTCGTGCGATATGCTAGCGCGGCTCGTCTTACATACATACTTGGCTCTACTACTAAGTTACTATTTACCCACTGCGGATCTCATACTTGATTTTGCCTCAATGGCCGTGATCCCGGGCATGCACATGCCCCGTGTCACTCTTTGTCTTGTTGCGGAGCCTCAACGCGACGCGGTGTCGCAAAGCATTACAGCAGACGTCGTCCCGCGACCTTCTCGGACGTCGTTGAAGAGATCCACCTCAGCCCTACGAGGCACCATGCAGGTCCTGCCCCCCCTCTCCTCGTCCTCGGATACCCGGGGGGAGGGGGAGGGGGGTGGTAGGTGGTTGCATGATCCGATAAGCGAGACGCCGTGCGCACGGGAGGCTGCTTCACGTCTCTTCTTACCCCCTGGGTGGTGTGCGCAGGGGAGGGCCGCAGGACGGCCGGCCGAGTCGGGGACCACCGAGGTTCCTGGGCGGGAAAAGGGGAGGAGGGCGAACGGGAATCGGGGAGCTCAGGGGCGTCAGGGTAAGGGGGGGGGAAGTGTGAGTATAAAACCAAGGTACGTACGTACGTACGAGGACGGCATATAGATGGCGTCCATTATAGACACACCGGGCGAGTGAAGCTATTGTATTACATCAGTGCGATCCTTCAAGACGTCGCCGACCTCGAAGGGGGGGTGGGCGCGGGACAGCAACACGACCTGCTGCGCGGTGCGAGTTTCTCTCCAAGTTTGCTCGGCCACCACGACGGACGGGGCGTGTGCGTGCGCGCGGGCTTTTGCGCAGGTCGGCGACCGCCCAGAGGGGGCTCAGCGGGCTCGGCGTGCGTGCGTGAGACGCAGCCCTGTAAAGGAAAGGTAAGTCAGCGGGCGGCGGGCGGTCCCGCTGCCCGCATGCACGTAATCGGGGATCTGAAATCCTCAAAACCATTGAACGCCGCAAAGTGTGCACTGCACTGCAACTGCGCTGCACTGTAAGTCTGCAGCAAAAGACGGAGTAAAAAAAAAAAACGGAGGAAAGATGGCCAATGAGATGAGTGGTACTGCGAGCGCGGCAGACCGGCTGGCGGGAGCTACTGAGTCGCATCGCCGCGCGGGGAGGTACCTGTCTTCCTCCGGACGTAGGTTGTTGGCGGCACACGTGGCGATGGTCGCCGAAGCCTGGGGAGGCGCCCGGCGAGCTGGTGGGTCCCGCGCCGGAGGGCCGCAGGGGTCCATGAGGACGCCGAGTAAAAGTGGGGCCTTCGGGAACCATATTCGAAGGGGGCGCTTGCTTATCAACGTTTCTGGAACGAGTGCCCGGGTTGTTTGTTTTAGGTAGTTCTGTCTCGGGACGTCGCCGCAGCCCTGCGGCGACCCGCGAGCGGACTACATACGTAGCTAGCAGGAGCCCACATTTGACGTGCGGCAGGGGGGGCTTGATGTTTTGGAATCCTGCTGTACGTATTCCAAAGTCGCCGATGGACTGCACGAGGGCCTCGGCGAAGGGCGGCCAGGCAGAGACTCAGAAACATGGTCACCGTCCGGGGGGAATGCTAGATGACAAACCATGCCTCTGTGATACCAAAGTTTCAGCGACGTAGGGTGCAGAGTGAGCGACGAACGCAGTGTAAGAGTCATGACCGCATCGTTGCACATACTCTGCGAGCTCTCTGCCGTTGGTCCGTCCACACCACCCACGTCGAAATCCCGCGCGAATCCCGCGCACACCTGCGATCGGGGACGCGGCCCCCCCTTATGCGGGACGTTCCCGAACCAGCAGGCCGACAGCCGATGGAGGGCATCTCGTTCCAGTGTGCGTTTCACAAAGGATAGGGGCTTTGCTACTACTACCACTTCTACATGCGGGACGCCGTCCCCCCACCCGCGCGGCGGCGCAGTCGCCTTGCAGCCCGGTAGCCGTGAATAGTAATAATATCGGCCCCCGGGGATGCGGCGTGGCCAGCCCGACCCATTGGTCGCCGATGTCAGACTGGACGCAACCCGCCCGGACCGGCACCGTTTCGATAATAAAAGCGCCTCAGCCGCTCTCTCGTGCGGATCATGTGGGGTTTCGTGTGTCTTGTACGACAGCTCTTCTCATAACTAACCATCGACACTTGAGAGAAATCCTCCGCTTAGTTCTCTCTCTGCGATTTCGAGACTTTAAAGATCCGACTCGTCTATCGTCCCGAGTGCGTAAACCCCCAGGGGGAAACATCGCCGACATGTCGGACAAGGAATCTCGTAGCGACCCCGAGTCCTGTGCCACCGACGCTCACCTTTACAACTCGACCATCGAGCACTTGACGTGGCGTGGCGTCACCGTTACCGTCAAGGACCGCGAGACCAAGCAACCGCGAAATATTGTTGACGATGCCTTCGGCATAGTTCGGGCCGGTGCGTCTATACCCCCTCAGAGTGCGGACCTCGCGTCGATCATTCTTGTTGACATTGCGTTGCTAGGCGAGATGTGCGCCCTCATGGGCCCGTCGGGATGCGGCAAGACAACACTGCTGAATGTCCTCGCCGGCCGCCCGACCAACGCGAGCAAAGTGGAATCGGATATTCTGGTTAACGGGAAGCACGTCTCCAAATCCGACTTTCGACAAATCTCGTGCTTCGTCGAGCAGGAAGACGCCCTCATCGGGTCCCTCACAGTCCGCGAGACGCTCGACTTCTCATCGCGGCTCTCCAGTGGCAGGTAAGACAGCCGTCCGTCCGTCCTGTAGTTTATTCGGGTGATTGACTAAAGGAAACAGCCTCGACCGCAAACAGCGCATCCGCCGCATCGACGCCCTCCTCCACTCTTTTGGCCTCACCGAGCAGGCCGGCACCCTCATCGGCACACCCATCCGCAAGGGCATCTCGGGTGGGCAGAAGCGCCGCGTCGGCGTCGCGAGCCAGCTGCTCATGAGCCCGAAGCTGCTCTTCCTCGACGAGCCGACCAGCGGACTGGACTCGGCCGCCAGCTGGGAGGTGGTCAACTACCTGCGCGACGTCGCCCGCCGCAACAATCTCATCGTCGTTTGCTCCATCCACCAGCCCTCGACAGCCACCTACAACCTGTTTGACAAGCTCTTGCTGCTCTCGGGTGGCAAGACGCAGTACTTTGGCTCCGTCGAGACCGTCGTGCCGCACTTTGAGCAGATCGGGGTCCAGGTTCCCAATCAAGTCAACCCCGCCGAGTTCTTGTTAGAGCTGGTCAACATTGACTTTGCCCGGGATAAGGAGGCTGCGGCGATACGACTGGGCGAGCTCCAAGAGGCCTGGGAGACGTCACCAACTTGCAAGAGTGGACGCGACGAGGTCGAGGTGGCCGCGCGGTCAAGTAGCGGGCTCACGCTGGATTCGGTCGAAAAGAGGCCGGGATCGCCGAGTCTCGTCTTGACGCTGCTTCATCGCAGCTTCATCAAGAGCTACCGCGACGTCGTGGCGTATGGCATTCGGATAGCCATGTATCTGGGCCTGGCCATCATGGTGGGCACGGTGTGGGTGCGCCTCTCGGCAACGCAGACGTCGATCCAACCACTTATCAACGCCCTCTTCTTCGGGTCTGCCTTCATGTCCTTCATGGCCGTCGCGTACGTGCCGGCCTTCCTCGAGGACCGCTTCCAGTACGTCAAGGAGCACCAGAACGGGCTGTACGGCGCCGCCGAGTTCATCGTGTCCAACTTCATCATCGGCGTGCCTTACCTTTTCCTCATCTCGGTCCTCTTCTCCATCATCTCGTACTGGCTTGTCAACTTCCAGCCGACGGCGGTGGCCTTCTTCACGTGGGTCATGTGGCTGTTTCTGGACCTGCTGGCGGCCGAGTCGCTCGTCATCTTCATATCGTCGCTGGTCCCCAGCTTCGTCATCTCGCTGGCGCTCGTCGCCTTCGCCAACGGGCTGTGGATGGCAGTGGGCGGCTTCATGGTGCCGCCGACGATCCTCAACGTCTTCTACAAGTACGTCTTCCACTACTGGGACTACCAGAAGTACGTCTTCCAGGGCATGATGGTCAACGAGTTTGCCGACCGCGTGTACTCGTGCGGCAGCGGGTGCCGGTGCATGTACGACTCGCCACTCGCGGATCAGTGCGAGATTGCTGGGCAGGCGGTTCTGGACCAGTACGGGTACGCGACGGACGAGCTCGGGCAGAACGTCGGAATCATGGTTGCCATTATTTTTGGGTATCGTCTGGCAGCTTGGATCGTGCTCAAGCTGCGCAGATAGCCGGCGACACGGCGTTGGAACGGCGGACGGCGGTAAAGATATCCTTTGTATTGAACTGGGGGGAACGGAAAATTGCAACTAGACGTGATGGTGTTAATGCGTACCTGGGCTGGCATAAGATTGGGTCTCGTCAGCACGTTAATTTGTCTTGATGGACGTTGGAAGACGCGATGTGATGCGAGGCACTTGCAACCCGGACCATAACGGTGAGATGGCGGGTGTGCTTCCATGTGGAGAAGGTGATGAGATGGCTGGCTTGGCCATCAGTTTTCCTCCCCCAAGCCGGTCGGCGGGCATTTTTCAGTTCATTGAATTGAGTCGTTGGCCTGTGCCTCAGGCGCCTCGGGCAGGCGGTGTGGGCATGTGGCGCCGGCGGTCCCCCCGTGGGTTGGCACTCCCCACTGCACTGCCTGGCTCGGCTGCCAGGTCGGGCTTGGCTCAGGTCGTCAGACCAGCACCACCTGGGCAGTGTTCAGGGGACGGAACTGCGCCGCCACTGCTTCGAGCCTACTAGGTACGAGACGCTGGTGGGGCTCCAGCGAGACGGGAGCGACGCAGCAGCCTGGAGGAGGCTCCCGTCTCCCCGTCCAGGCTCAATCTGACGGTGCCGTCACTCGGGTCACGCAGTTGGTCGCGGGGCTGAAACCTCCTTCGCATGCCAACTCCCGTCCTCCAACTCCCGCCCGCCGACCAGCACTCGCGTCGCATCACCACCCCCCTCTGTCCCAACCAGCCAGCCCTCCGCCCGGGACGGCCAGAGGCGACATGTCCGCGTATGGACACCAGCAGATGGCGTCCCACCCGGGCCAGCGACACCATCACGTCGGCGGCCACGGGCCCGTCATGGCCGCGCCCGGTGTCGTGGCCCCCGCGGGCACCTTCTCGCCCGGCACCAAGATCCAGGTCGGCAGCCACCGCGTCGTCATCCAGAAGTATCTCTCCGAGGGCGGCTTCGCCCACGTCTACGTCGTCAAGCTGCCCAAGCCCGTCGACGGCACCGATGTCGCTGTCCTCAAGCGCGTCGCCGTCCCCGACAAGGAGGCCCTTCGCAGCATGCGCACCGAGGTCGAGACCATGAAGCGCCTCAAGGGCCACCGCCCCATCGTCACCTACATCGACTCGCACGCCTCCGAGATGCGCGGCGGCGGCTACGAGGTCTTTCTCCTCATGGAATACTGCAATGGCGGTGGCCTCATCGACTTCATGAACACGCGCCTCCAGCATCGCCTGACCGAGCCCGAGATCATCAACATCTTTGCGGACATTGCCGAGGGTGTCGCCTGCATGCACTACCTCAAGCCCCCGCTGCTGCACCGCGACATCAAGGTCGAAAACGTCCTCATCACCTCCAAGGGTTCGTCGAAGCGTTTCAAGCTCTGCGACTTTGGCTCCGCCGCCCCTCCGCGCCCCGCGCCGACCACCGTCGTCGAATGCCGTCAGATGGATGAGGACGTCCAGAAGCACACGACGCTGCAGTATCGCAGCCCCGAGATGATAGACGTCTACAGGAAGCAACCGCTCAACGAAAAGTCGGACATTTGGGCGCTGGGTGTCCTTTTGTACAAGCTCTGCTACTACACGACCCCTTTTGAGGACCAGGGCCAGCTCGCGATCCTCAATGCCAGCTTTCGATACCCCAGCCATCCCATCTTTTCCGACAGGATGAAGAAACTCATTGGTAAGTGGTGTTCGAAAGCTGTTACTGTCTTGGCCGCAAGCGCGCTGACTTCTATAGCCTCAATGCTGCGCGAAAAGTTGGACGACCGACCGACGATATACCAGGTTCTCAAGGAAGCATGCTCCATGCAAGGCAGACAGATCCCCATACAAGATGTAAGCCAGCCTCCGTCAAAGGAAAAGCTCGGCGTGCTGACCAATCTTGCAGATTTATGCCGGACGATCTCATACGGAGTCGCGATCCAGCGAGCGGACGTCGGCGGAGCCGAAGCCAAAGTCCCAAGCCGTGGGTGCTGTCTATTCACCGCCGGTGCAGGAGCAGCAGGCCATTCCAAACGTCGTGCCCATGAGGAGAGGTCGTCCAACACCGTCACCAGGGCCCGCGAGTAGCACGCAGAAGCCCAACTCATCGTCGCACAAGGTTACCGAGGGCGATCCTTTCGCGGCTCTGGACGCAAAGACGGCCCGCAAGTTCGAAGGCGATGAGCTTTCGTCAAAATTTCCGACTCTGGATCAGTTCTCTTTGCTCCACGATCATGGAAGCCAGTTCAACTTTGACTCTTCTACGACGTCACCTCCACCGCCAGTGCCGGCCAAGGACTCGAACAATAAGCTGGCCGAGAAGCTTGCTGATGCTGCTTTTGCGTCGTCGCGCAATAGTCCAGCAAATACGAACCCAACCATGAGGCCTCATTCCGTTACGCCTACAGTTCCACGTCAAGCTCTTACCTCACCTCCAATTGACAGACCACCGTCGAGCTCTTCCACAGCCAGGCAGCAGGCCGACATGAGCAAAGCACAGTCCATAATCAGCAGCAACCCGGATCTTCAAGCCATCTCCGGACAAGCTGCCTCGAAATATGTCTCAACAGGCACCATGACAACTGATCTGTCACCGACGTCTTCAAGGCCGGCCGAGTTTGGGACTACGCAGCGTGCTAATGAAGGGGCGCAACCGTCAATCTCCCACCGCCCCGCACATCTTCGTCAGCCGTCGCTATCATCTAGACCATCGTTGGAGGACAACAGGGCGCAAGCCACAAAGGCCGAGTCAACGGCGCGATCCACTGCGTTTGCAGGTCGGCCGAGACCGGCCAGTACCAACTTCGAATCTAGCACGCTCGAATTCTTGCGTGAGAGAGAGGCTTCCAAGGCTTCTGGAAAGATGGATCGGACGCCATCTAATGGATCGCTGCACAAGCCAACTCCGAGCCTGTCGACAATCACACGTTCGAGTAATGATTACAAAGTCGCAACTCGCTCGGGGCTGTTGATCGATACAGATGGTTCGGATTCGGACGGGCCACGAACGGATGTGGTCTCCAAACGCTCCAGCCTGCCGCCGGGCGTGGCTCCGAAGAAGCTGGCTGGTAAATTCGGTGATGCCTTCCAGCGGTTCGAGAACACTTCTCCCGCGGACAATGGTGTAGGCCGAAGAGCGCCCTCTCCGCTCAAGGAGGCTGCGAGGAGAGGCCTGACTCCTATCGCTGGCTCCGAGGTAACGGATGATCGCAGCGAAGACGGCCTTATCGACCTCGGCGATGACAACATGACGCCAGAGATGAGGCGTGAAGCTGAACGGCGCAAGCTGGAGGACGAAGAGCGGCGGGTTGCCGCAGCACAGCGGGAGTACAAGAACCGCGTTGCAGGCGGGAGCTCCAAGCCGGTCCCAGGACCAAAGAAGTCTAGCATCCAGAGCCGCGTTCAAAGCTTATTAGATGAGGATCAACGACCCTCACACGTGGCAAGGACCGCGGAGGGCTATGGGAAGTACTCGGACGCGGCAACGGCAGCCAGCAAGGCGGACAAGACGGACAAGCCAACGCCCACGGTGCCCCGGAAGCCGCTGGCGGTATCGAGGGCAGCGATCGATGCGAGAGCGCATGAGTCAGGGTCCGCACCTTTGTCGCGGGTGCAGTCTGCCGGTGCGGCGTCTGCCCCAGCCGCGCTTGATTCAAAGCCAACGGGCAGCAAGCCAGCGGCACCAAGAAAGCCCGTCCACCTGAACAAGTTCGCGACAGGGGCGAGGCCTCCATCGCCAGCGAAAGGTACCCATTCATCGCAGCTGGAACGCTTGATAGCGGCCGATTTGCCCGGGCAACCGGTGCTGGAGATGTCTGCGCAGGAAAAGGACGACTACATTGAGGACTTTACGAAGCGGTTCCCGAGCTTGAGCTCGATGGAGATGGACGCCGTCAGAGGCGGCGGCAGCGGCGCAGTTCGGCGATGAGCAATCTTGCCAACACATAGACCATGTCATAAACAACGTTTCATAGCCAATGCGACAATGAGACATGTATAAATGGATTTTTGGGGGATTTTTTTGGCTCTTCGCTCTCTCACCAAACACTGGTCGCCGCTGCTCCAGGCGATGAGCCCGCGACCACCATGTGCTCCGTCTTTGTTAGCGCCAGTGGGGTGCTGCACCGCCAGTGACTTCATGGCGTTATCTTATCGCGACCGGGCCAATTTTTTTCTCGCCGCCAGCGACACCGCAGAAAGGCCAATTTCAGACCAACTCCAACTTGGCATCCTCAACTCCCTGCAAACATGGCCAAACGAAAGAGACACGGCGCCAATGGCGGCGAGGCTGTCGCCGATGCCGTGCCCAAAAAGAAGTCGAAGGCTACAAAGTCTGCAAAGTCAACGACGAAGGAGCTCTTGGTGCCCGAGACGATACAGCTCGTCGCGGGGTCCTACGACCAAGTGCTCCATGGCATGACGGCGGCGATCGGGCCCAAGCAGGACGTCGACTTTGCCGACACGTTCCTCTTCAACGCACACACCTCGGCCGTCCGCTGCGTCGCCGTGTCGCCGGCGTCGGCGCCCGTCCCGGGCCAGACGCAAAAGGTGCTCCTCGCCTCGGGCAGCACCGACGAGCGAATCAACATCTACAACCTGTCGGCGCACCCGCCCAGCAAGAAGAACCAGGACGTGCTGGCCAGGGTGGCGCCGCGGCCGATCCTCGAGAACCCCAAGAACCGCGAGCTCGGGACGCTGCTGCACCACTCGTCGACGGTGACGGCGCTGCACTTCCCCACGCGCTCCAAGCTGCTGTCCGCGAGCGAGGACTCGACCATTGCGGTGACAAGGACGCGCGACTGGTCGGTGCTGAGCAACATCAAGGTACCCAAGGCGAAGGCGCATGGCCGCCCGAGCGGCGACACGGCGGCTTTCGGATCCACACCGGCGGGCGTCAACGAGTTTGCGATTCACCCGAGCATGAAGGTCATGATTAGCGTGAGCAAGGGCGAGCGGTGTATACGACTGTGGAATCTCGTCACGGGAAAGAAGGCCGGCGTGCTGGGCTTCTCGAGGGAGATGCTGCAGGAGGCTGGGGAGGGCAAGCACTCGTCGGGTGAAGGCCGGACGGTGGTTTGGGGGTCTGCGGACGGCGCGGACGAGTACGCCGTCGGGTTTGACCGCGGCGCGGTGGTATTCGGCATGGACAGCGTGCCCAAGTGCATAGTCATGCCCTCGCCATCGACCAAAATTCACCAACTACGCTACGTCACGATCGACGAGGAGGCCGGGCTATCGCTGCTGGCCGTGTCGACCGAGAACGGACGCATCGCATTCTTCTCGACCAGAGACGACGACCTCTCGGAACCCAAGGAACAGAACGACAAGACCCAGCCGCTCAAGCTGGCGAAGCTGGTGGGCTACGTGGGAGGCAGAGACGCGGGTGTCACAGGCCGCATCAAGGACTTTGTCGCGCTGCCGAGCGAGGCGAACAAGGGGACGCTGTACGTCGCGGGCGCGAGCAGCGAGGGCAAAGTCCGGCTATGGACGCTGCAGGCGGAGGAGCTCGCGGCCGCGGTGAAGGAGCCGAAGACCGAGGGGCCGATGGGCAAGCTGCTGGCCACGTACGAGACGCAGAACCGCATTACGTGTCTGGCTGGGTTCATGATGATTCCTCGGCCAGAGGGCGCGGAGGACAGCGAGGACGAAGTGGACGACGCGGAGAGTGATGAGTCGGAGGATGCGTCTGACGAGGAGTGATGGGAGGCTCACGCCGGCGTTCGGTCAAAACATAATTGAAGCATCATCCACTGCATACTGAGATACGTATACCCAGCCAGGTGTTCAAATAACGGGCCTTTGATACGGCTCTGATGTGCATGTGTGTTGTATGTGAACAGCAGCGAATGTGCAATGCAAGGTTGATCGTTGGAGTGCGCATCGGTCTATTCCAAGTTAAGTGCACAGCTGCGAGACCGTGCAGGGCGTCTCGTCCGCTTTGAGCGCGGCGCGACAGCCGTCCAGAGCTGAACACGCCGCCTTCAGGTTGTCAATGCAGCGCCAGCAATACGAAGCACCGCGCGCTTGTCAATTCTCGTAGCGCCCGCCACCCGCGCTCAGCGGGCATGCACGTCCACGGGGCTAGCGAATTCGATCGACGACGGGGGCGGCTGGTGCTGCTCAGGCGACGCATATCGAGCCGCTCCTTGCACCTGACCGCGTACGTAGTACGTATGTACTGAGGGCTATTCTCATAGACGCAGATCTCGCAACGTGGTGTGCCAGAGACATGTGGCGGCCTTGGGGTAGCACTTGGCAGCAGCAGCAGCAGCTCTCTCGTCACTTCCGGCGATCGCTCGGGAGAGAGAGAAGGAGGTCGGGAGAGAAGCTGCCGAAGAGTACGGGTGCACAAGGCGGCTGCTACAGCAGAAAGAAAGCCGAGATGTCTCGCAGCGACGGCTCGGCAAGGCAGGGTGGCACGGCCGCCGTCGAGGGTGGGCATGCAGGCGGGCCGATTGACGCGCGCGGGCGGGCAGAGGAAGGAGATGCCACCACGTAGGTACGATCCATGACTTGCATCATGTACTGTATGTAGAGCATGCGGCACAGGGTGGTGGTGAGTGCGCCGTGCATTCATGGGGTGCAACAGTGCGACATGGACCGGGCCTGCCTCGCACCCGCGCAGCGGGAAACAAGCTGGCTGGCATGTGAGTGAGGAGACAGTAAATACATACAGTACCTGCATCCCCATCGTCGTCGGCGGTGAGGTGAAGGATCCGACTCTCAACCGCTTAATATCCCACGTTCGGTGTGGATTACCTCGCAAGCGGGCAATGATGTGGAGATGGACGGACAGACGTCGTCTGCGTACGTGTCGCGTTGCGCGGCTTAGACCGACCTGCCGCAGATCAGTCTGAACTGTCCCTCCAGGGTTGGAGGGGTCGTGGTGGCCCTCGTGGGGTCGGTCGGTCGTGTGCGGGAACCAGGCAGCTCGCCCGCCCGCCCGTCCGCCCATCGCCCGTCGTTGGGTTGCAGCGCGATGGTGATCAAGGGTGAGGTGGGAATTTCGTATGCGAAAAGTGGCATCGAGAGCGGGCAGTTCACAGATCACATGTCCCACTACCAAGATGCGCTAGCAGCGCGGGCGCGCGGGCGGCACTGGTGGTCTTCAGCGGGCTGGGCTGGCCTGGAAGTGGAAGAGAGCAGCCGCTACCTGGCGTCGCCGGCCAGTGAGGCGGCAGCCATTTGTCGACTTCAACACCAACCTGGAGTCCGAAGGCGCTAAACGCACGGCATGCACGAGGCTGTCGCGCTAGATTTACAGCGTGGTGGTGGAACACCTAGCAGCATGACGGGTGAGGCAGGTTGGTGGGTGGTGGATGGATGGATGGGCGGCCGGGCGGGCCAGCCAGCCGGCCAGCCAGGGGCGGAGCCTCCTCTGCGTCCACTGCCGCCGCAGAATGCGGAGGTGCCACACCCCCCCGGGGACGGCGCAGGCAGGCATGGCAGGCATGGCATGGCTCAGCGCCCAACGTCAGTCTGCGACTGGACGTGCAGCGCGCGGCGAGTGCATCTGCGCATAAACTGCAACGCTGGAGCCGGGGCCAACCTGGATACGCTCACGCGCCTCGCAGGAGCAAGTCATCACAACGTTGGCCCGTGGGCGCAAAAAGGCGGAGGGGAAGCGCGCCAGACGACGACAGCGCCGCCGCCACTAACGAATTCACGACGTGAAGGGCGGCCGGCAAACGCGACGGGCAATCGTCAAAGGCTACGCTGAGCCTGGAGGTGCGTTAATAATGCATGTCAAGGCAGGGGCGCCACCACCACCACCGTGGACAACGCCCCCAGCTTACCTGCCTACCCCCCGGCTTACCCCCAGCTGCCCGCCCGCTCAACAAAACGCAGGCGCTGATTCGCGTTGCACCGTAGCACAACTGGGGAACAACCCGCCCGTCAAGCATGTGAAAAGAGGACAGGGCAGTCGCAGTCCGAACACGATGCATTGAGACCCGCTCCACCGCCCGCCCCGTTTCCCCAAGTCCCGCGCCAAGCCCTGGGCGAACCTCTCAGTCTCCAGTCTCCACGGCAAGAGGCGCCTTTCTCAACCACGGCTGATCTCGTGCCGCCTTCTCCTCCTCCTCCGCCTCCTCTGTCTGACTCCTCGTCTTCTCACCTCCTCTCTTCACTGCATATCATCCCCCGCCGCATGCTTCATATCCATCTCGCGGGGCCCCTTCGTCCATTATCGACTTCATCTGCTTCGACGCGACGCCCAGCCTGCAACCATTGCGACAAGTCATTTCTCTTTCCTTTCCGCCGCCGAGGGCCGCGAGCGACTCCCCCTCGCGACCTTGACCTAATTCGCCTTAGCACCAACGTTTGACTAGACCTCGAGCTTCCGCCAGGACACGGCCTTCCCATCGAATTCTGCTCGCGTGCCTCTTTGCTTTGTGTGCATTGAGGAAGCGCCCCGTGTCGACGCTCGAAATCTCTGCTCCCGAGCATCCGTTCGTTCAAACATACTCAGCACCGCGCGATCCCGTTCGACCAACAGACCTTCGCGTCACCCGCGACACGCGATTCGACCCAGCTTCGTCGCAACCATGTCCGACGACGGTCCCCAGCTTCTGCGACCCGTTCCGCGACGCCCCTTTAACCTCAACTTGACGAGCGCGACACCCCCAGACGACGATGACCAAGACTCGCCTCAAACCGGCTTCGGCCTGCGCGACCAAGACTTTTCCGCCCCGCGCTTCCTCAATGGGGGCCTGACACCTGTCGAGTCGGGCACCTCCATCAGTCGACCCCAGTCCTTCATGAACTTGACCTCGTCGACGCTCATGGGCATCTATTCCCAAGCCACGGGCTCCTCCAACCGACTCATCGACCGCGAAGATCTCGACACGCCCTGGGGCACGGGCGCCCAGACGCCCATCAAGAGGCCGTCCATCGACGAGGCCACGTACGAGCTGATGCGCGACAGATCGCACCTCCCGCGCCGACGATCGTCATACCGTCCCGCCGAAACCTCAAGCTCGTCAAGCGCCGGGAGCCTCGCCGCCCGTACCTTGCGCGCAAGCCTGTTGTTCCTGTTGGGCGTGGGCTACGGCATGATCGTGACGCGCCTCCACAACGAGCAGCAGTATCTCGCGGATCTGGCTGAGGGTATTATCAAGCCCGGTGCCAACTGGAAGTACCTCGCCTTCTGGGGTGTCTCTGGTGTTGTCTTGGGATCGCTGCTGCCGTGGTTTGATCGGGTGTGGGAAGATATGTTTGGCGATGAGGCTGTCGACGAGGCGGTTGTCATAGCCGATGCCGACGGCTCCACGGACAAGGAGCTCGGCCCCGGGACCGACTGGGCGCTGGTGATGCGGGCCATTGGTGCTTTTGTGGGAATAATATTTGCCATTGTGAGTTGCAACGCAGAAAAACGCACCGCGACGTCGCGTCATGCAAAGGCTAACCTGATCCCCTGCAGCGCAAGCTACCTTGGGCGTCCTCTTTCCAAGTGTCGGCGACGCTCGCGCTGGTTAACCCCCTTCTGTGGTGGCTCATTGACCGGAGTAAGCCCGGCTTTGTCCTTTCCGCAGGAGTCGGGTTGATCGGGTCTATCCTTCTGCTCGGCCTCAACCCAGAGATGATGCCCGCTCCATCGAGCCGACTCTCGCCCCTGGGTCAGGCCTCACAGAATGCGTCGGTCGACGCCGACGTCACGGGTGCCGGCGCGGCTCAACACGCCCTTCTGGGAGGCCTGGCGGAACAGGAGACGATCGAGACCGGCGTCTGGATGCTTAGCGTGCTGTTTTGCAGCTGCTTGTGCTTCGGCAACATTGGCAGGCGGCTGGCGTGGAGCCGCGGCGCCGGTGGCAGAGGAAGATGGGGAGGCGTCAGGTGAAGCACCGCAGGCCAGCGGATATCATGAAGCCGCCATGCTTTGTGTCTGTTTTTCTTCACGTCTCGCCGGATCGCGTCAAGGGGCTTTGGTTTTCGTGGATTTGGATCGATGGTGATACCCGCGGGACGGTTGCTCTCGGTAGAAGGTCGGGCATAGCGGCTGTCTCGACGCCAGCGTACGAATTGATGTTACACTTGTGCGCGACCACATTGGTCTCGTGTCACTGCGGCCGTCGTGAGGTGTGCAAGGGGCAGAGCCGTGAGAGGCCCGAGGCAGAAGAGTACGAGGGTACATGATACATAAGCCCGGGCGTCGGTGGTGCGACACAAGATCCGTAGGTACGCCTTCCAGGGAAGCGGTCACCGCCTCCCCCGCTTATTATTGTGAGTCGCTAGAGTAGTACGAAGTACCTGCGTTGCTGCGGGCGGCGTCATATGATTTCGGAGAGGCAGTCGCTCCACACCGTCCCTCTTGCACAGGGGGTGGACGGGAACAGCATCACGAGCCCATGTGTATTCGGGACCCGGGAATATCAAGAGCAGCCAAGAAGAACAAAATGGCGTTCTTCATGTGCGGCGCACTCGGCCTCTCCCGCATCGTTGACGACACGATTTCCCCTTGGCGCAACGTGATTGTCAGGGCGAGGCGGGCAGAAATTGTCAGATGCGCAGATGCTCGCGATGACGGCGATGGCGGCGATGACGTCGGCCAGCGGGGGATCGATTCGGCCGCTGGGGCATCGACGTTGCTGCTGGTGCAGTTCCACGGCAGGGCGATGGAAGGCCCCCCACCTCAGTGTGGGACATCCGTTGGCAGCGGCGGCGGCGCAACCGTGGCATGGGAATGGCATGGCATGGCACGCCAGGGTCCCCGCCGGCTCGATGGGGTTGAGCTGCAGGCTGTCAAGCTGGCTCTCAGGGCCACGGCCACGACTCCCTTCCGCGGGGCGATTCATAGCTTCACACTCTCCGCAAGAGCCGGATTGACCTTTTCCGGGCTCTTGCCAGAGAGGCATCATAGATGATGGCGTTCTGCCTGCCATAGAAACTGGCAGGGCGTAAAATGTACCTCGTCAACGCTTACATGTATGTATGACGCCGCATGGCCCGCCAAAGCGCACAAGGTTCTCCCCCCCTGCGCTGGTCGAACGGATGCGAAAGCCTAAAAAACAACAGCGTCATGGACCCTGAAACAAAAGGCCCAGAAGCAGGCGCTGCTGGCATGGCCTCCGAGCTTGCCCAGCACCCGCCAGCACCGCCAGCGGTCGCTTCCATGGCAAAGTGATTGGTCCGCCCGTACGCCAATGCCGGATGACTGAGGTGCCGTGGCCCGTTGGTCCTTCCTCGCTGAGCGACACGGCCGTTGATTCGATAGGAGCTGACCAAGGGCTCTTGGTGCTCTGGACCGCGCCTGCCTGGTCGGCGTCTCTCAGCTGGTCGCTACTGCTCTTTGTGTGCATCCATGCTGCTGCTGCTGCTAACACTGCATCATTTACCAGGTATGTATGACGACCTTCGGAGCCAAGGAGGAGCCACCCACTCGCACCCGTTCCCGCGACCCGCACCGGCGCTGGCTCCGAAGCGGCGCAGACTGGCAGGCGGTCACCCACTGACAAGAAACGTCGTCAGTCCGTCCGTCCCTCCGTCCGTCCCTCTACGCACGTCTTGCACCTCGACTCCATCCCCACCGGTTCTGCAATCAACGCTCTCTCTTGCATCGAGCTGCATTGCAGGCACGCAAGCTCCTCGACCGATTTTGGACTTGCATGCTATTCCCAGTCACGGACGCCGGCGTCCCGCAACATTCATCAACCCTCCGCAATTTGTACGAGAAGCAATCCTACTGCGAAGTAGCCGTCGTCTTCTCGAACCGTGCCAGTCGATGCCCCGAACCCCGCCACCGAGGTTAACGACATCGACAGCTCAACGGCGACGTTTACACACCCGGTTCTAGACCGTTCGTACTGTTTAGTTCCCAGCATCAAGCGCAGCGACCGTTGGATTCGGCCCACCGCTTCGAAGTCTGCCGCGGCGACGTATTACGCCCCGAGTCCGCTCATGCCCGACGCGCACCAGAACCGCTCTTCAATGTGAGCGCCATACGAGATACAAAAGTGCACAGCTTGCTGCTCTAGGGGCACACATAAAAGCTTTGCCAACGCACGACTCCAGCAACGAGATGCAAACAGACGCGGCGCAAAGCCTAGTCGCTGCGCCTGCAGACGACGACCTGGAGCCGATATGGAACCCGACACCGTCCCCAGATCAAGTGCGGGGCATTGTGCGACTCTTCCAATGTCGCCAATGCAACCTCCTTTACACCAACGCCGTAACTCTCCCGTGCGGGAGAAGCATCTGCAAAACGTGCTTGCCTGAGACGTACTCCCGCACCACAGCCATCACGTACCCAGCAAATCCGGATCGAGTGCCGGCGTTCAAATGTCCTTTCCAGGACTGCGACAGAGAACATGTTCTCAACGATTGTAGTATCGATGTTGTTCTCAACAAGGCAGCGCAGATCATGGCCAGCGAAATCGCAGAGAGGGAGGTTGAGGCTACTTGCAAGGGCATCGCAACGAATATCCACATCACGCAAACCCGGCCGACCGCACGCGAAACTGCTTCCAGCGATAACGACATGCACCAGGTGCGTGGTGACGGGCAGCTATTGCTTGGTGACAGGCTTGTTGTCACTTGGTCATTGGCTTCAAAGGGGGGATTGGACTACGAGGCAGACATCGAATATTCCGACGGTGGAGCGCCAGCCGCTTCCGATGAGGCAACGGCGTTCAATACGTTGACGCTGAGCAAGGTCCAGGAGGCCATGCGAAGCGAGGTGGACTGCCAAATCTGCTACGCCATCCTTTACGATCCGCTGACCACGGGGTGTGGCCACACGTTCTGCCGGGCCTGCCTTCATCGCATCCTCGACCACTCGCAACTTTGTCCCGCCTGTAGGCGAAGGCTGTTCATGAGTCCACTTTTCCACCGAAACTTGTGTCCCTCGAATTCGACTATCCTCAACATGACCCAGATCTTCTGGAAGAACGAACTACTCCATCGGGAGCAGAGCAACGCCGCACAACGCCAGAGGGAGCTTGATAGTGCCCACATGCCCTTGTTTGTCTGTACTCTATCATTTCCCACCATGCCGACTATTCTCCACGTCTTCGAGCCGCGTTACCGCCTGATGATACGTCGGGTCCTGGACGGAAATAAGACTTTCGGAATGGTTCTTCCCAAACCACACCCACGCCCCGGCGAGATGCCCTTTTTCCCAATCGGCACCCTTCTACGCATTGAGAACACAGAAAGGTACAGGGACGGTCGCTATCTGATCGAAACTGTGGGGGTGCACAGGTTTCGCGTCACTCGACATGGCGAGCTAGACGGCTATGCCGTCGGAGAGGTAGAGAGGATTCCCGACGCACCATTGGAAGAAGAGGAAGCCCAGGAAGCGGCCGAGGTACGGTCCGACGAAGACGGTCGGGGAATGTCGCCTGCCAGAGAAGGCGGCGCGCACGGGGAAACATCCGGCACCACAAACGGTATGAATGGAACCGGGACATCCAATGGCGAACCCGGAATCAACGGCTCAACACAGAGCAATATCCAAGGCGAGCAGCACAGTGATACAGAAATGCCCTCGGGGCATTCTCAGTTATCCCAGGATACGGAGGATTGGGTCCCAAGAACGACAGCGGAATTAAACTGGATGACGACACAGGAGCTTTTCCGATTTGTGCATGATTTTGTGTCACGCACGCAAGACAGGAGCCTTCCGTGGTTGACAGACCAGATGCTCAGGATCTATGGCCCTCCGCCCCAGGATCCGGCTAATTTCCCCTGGTGGCTCGCCAGCATCCTTCCTATCATCAACGAAGAGAAATATCGACTGCTGGGAACTTCGAACGTAAGAGAGAGGTTGAAGATATGCGGCGCTTGGATCCTGGCGACGCAGAAGGTGCCCTGGTAAGTGCTAACTTCAACCCTGTCACGTTGCGCCCTGATCCGTGCCGTCCGAGAAGGATCGTTAACCAAATCCCGATCCTTGCAGGGCTGATCCTCAGAGCTGACCGACACCCAGGTCCATTAATGACTGTGTTATACTTTGAGCGCTGGCTCACATTAATGACGAGCGTCGTGATACCGACGACGCGTTCTTACGACATTGACGTATGTGCGATGCGAACGATGTGTTGAGAGAGATGGGGTTTCACATTTGTACTCGCACCATGGGAAAGGAGTTGACATTGGGGACTGACCCCACGACACGTTTGCATCGCGCGTCTAGAAGCATAGATAGTCCCGCCGGGGCAAGCCACCGGGCCAGGCATGAGGGCATATGGCGTCGCAGACTCCTCGCAGGCATATCATGAGAAGGTATATTCATCCAGCAGGAAACTCCAACTTGTCAAGGTGACTTGCGCACTCATATGAAACCCACCGATTTGTTGCTGCATGCGCCCTTCTCCTGCTCGTACTACCATGACGCATTGGAGTGGTCTCAATACCTGGAGGCCATGGCCAGGGATATCGCGACACAGCCGACTTAGCAAACAGATATGTCGACTCCTCACGAAATGGGGACTTGCATTACATCGGTACTTGGTACCTATACCCAGGATTGCAGGAACTTAACGCCGGGCAGATTCACCGATATTCCCGTACAAAACTCCATCGTCCGCTCCTCGTGCTCGCTTCCCATGACAGGGCCCCTACAACGCGACCAAGGCAGCAACAGCCAGCGCAAGGCCACCGACGCCCGCGACGGCGCCGGTCAGCTGGCCAGCGCCGCCGGGCTGGCTGCCGCTCGTCGTGGTGGGCGAGGCGGAGGCAGCCGTGCCGGTGCCGGAGCCCGTTGCCGAACCAGTCGTCGCTTTGGTGGCCGTGCCGCTGGCGGAGGCACCGCTCGCCGACGAGGACGCGCCGCCACTGGGGGAGGGGCCGTTGGTGCCGCCGTAGGCGTTGGCCGGGGCGCTGCTGCTGTCGGTGTTGGCGGCGGCGGACTTGTAGGCCGAAAGCTTGTCGCTGCCCTCGTTGATGACGCCGACCATGCCGCCCTGGCAGTGGCCGTCGATGGCGCAGTAGAAGAAGATGGGGTCCGTGTTGTTGATGGGGACGCTGAAGATTCCCTGCGTGAGACGAACGGGGTCAGCATCTCACACGTAGATATACGATGTCAAGTAGCCCGGGGAGGGATGGGGCCGGCAGCAGCGGGCTTACCTTGCTCTGCATCTGGCCCGAGTAGAAACCAGTCGTGGCGGGACTGCAGGGCTTGCTGAAGTCGCCGGAGACGGCCGTGTGCTCGCCGAAGAAGTGGAACTCGACGTGGTCGCCGGCTACTGCCTTGATGTTGTTGGGCGAGTAGGTGAAGCCGCCTTGGCCGACGTTGACAACGATCACCTTTGCGGCGGCCGAGGCCGCGAGGAGCGCCAGAGCGGCGACCTTGATGCTCGAGCAGTACATCTTGGACGGACGGGATCTGGCGGGGGGCGGGGAGGTGTGCAGCGAGAGTGAGTGCGGTCGTGTGTAAGTGACAGGAACCGTTGTCTGGCAGAAGAGCTGTGTACACCTGGAGGCGCGATAGTGACAGACACCGGGCGGCAAGGCCCCTGGCTCCCTACTTATACGAAACCCTCGTTCCCATGTCGAAAGACGCGACGGGCCCGGAGGTGCCACGGATGGCGCGCGTATCGTAAGTGCCGCTGGTGGCTGGCATCTTCCCACGCCGTGGCGCCTCAGCCCATCTCCCGAGACCAGCGGGCACCTACCCAGCCGTGTGAGTGGGCAGACCCGGCTGCCTCTTCCACGCCTTCTCCCGGGGCGTGATGACAGTTTCCAGTCTCGACATCACGCGTCCAGGGTTCTTGCTTGCAATGGCTCGGCTGAACGGGTTAGGGATAAGCTAGTCGAACGCCTTTCTACTGCGAGCTACAGCCCGTCAGCAGAAAGGTCAAGGTGAGAAAGAAGGGCCCAAGCCCAATTGAGAGAGAGACTGTACCGGAGGAAGCTATCCCCGCAGGGGGCGCGCGGGAGACGCGTTGCCGAAAAGGAAGGACGGCGTCGTTGCAGCGGGCTGTGTATCTGAGAGAACGTGGAAGCTCGCGATGAAGGCATGCAGGCGAAATCAACAGCCGGTCAACAGCCACGGCCCCCATCAAGCGCGACCATCGCTTCAACCCTTGCTTCTGCCCGCTAGCCCAGGAAGCGCCGGGAGAGAGAGACGCCGAAGCATGGCGTCGAGGCCGTGTGGACGGAGTGTCTGTCTGCCGGGCGTATCGGTCGGCGGCATCAGACGGGCCGGTCGGCACACGACTTCAGCCTCATTCTGGAAGTGAGCGAGGCTGTGCTGAGCGGCTGTTGATGCTGGTGCCGGGAGGGGGGCGGTCTAATCGTGTGTGCGGGGAGTGGCTTGTTGGTGTGTCGCGGGAGAGGTGCATTGTGGACTGAGTTGGAGACTGGAAGGGTCCAAGGCTCCAAGTTGCTGGAGGTGGCGCGGGGCGCGTTGCTTCCCCAACTCCAACTCCAAGCTTCCTTCCCTTCCTCCCTCCACTCACCTCCAAGCTCTCCACACCAGCTCGTGGCACGACACGAACGCGCCGGCGGGAGAACCGACGTATCGTCGTCGCCCAAGAGCGCCCAGTTCTATTCTAAACCCAGGCAAGCATGAGGCGATCGTGAGTCTGGAATGGCACGCCAGCGGTAGGGCTGAGTTGTCCCTCCGTCGCACGCCAACAAGTGACTGCATGTCTGGCTACCCGCCGTCGACGGCACGCCGCGGAGCAGCCCGCCCGCACGCACCTTTTTCTTCGGCTGCGCTCCCGGTCCCTGACGGACAAGATGGAGGCCACCTTACCCCTTATCCGTGGGTCCATCTCCTTGCAGGACGCGCTGCTCGAAGACGACGACATCCTCCAGAAGCTGTCCTCCCGGAGAAGCGGCTTCAGTTCTGGTATCAGCTGTATCAGTCACGGCCTGAAATCGAGGACCTGGTGGCGTGGCACCTGAACCTAGCGAGGACGGATGTGCGAGTCGGAGACGTGACGCAATGGCTTCACGGCGGCTTCAATGCCTCCATCCCGGTGTACGTCGAACCGCAATACCGCTCCGCGAGCCTGCCCCAGCGTGTAATGCTTCGCCTACCGCTACCTTATATGAATGGCGAAGCACACGGCTTGGCCAGCGCCGATGAGAAGCTCCGTTGCGAGGCTGCCACGTACCTGTGGCTCCAGCAACACTGTCCCAACATCCCGATTCCCAAGCTTCTCGCCTTTGGCCTACCCTGTCTACAATCAGTATTTCAGATCTGATCTCCATTGCTAGTATTATACCCTCTGACTCTTCCTAGTTCACCGGTCTGGAAAATGTGTCATTTTGGAACCGACTTATCTGGCAGTTTCGCCGCGCTCTCGCTTGGGTTCGAGGGCGAACGCTCCCGCGCTACCTTTCACATCGGCGGCGGCACCTTTCCGGGCTTGGATACCTTTTGTTGGAGTATGTTGAGGATGGCGAAATGCTCAGCGCTTCCTGGCAGCAGCACTGCGATGATCCGAAGCGACGAACGAATATGTTCCGCGGTCTCGCGGGCGTCATGACGCGACTCGCGAAACTGCCGCTTCCACGGATTGGCTCGTGGACAATCGACAACGAAGGAGTCCTCAGTTTAACAAACCGGCCTCTCTCTATACACATTCACATGATAGAGAACACGGGCATTCGCAGTGGGATACCCAGAGACCGCACGTACACCTCGACAGAGCAATACATGCTCGACCTGCTAGCATGTCAGGACAACCGCATCAGACACCAGCCAAACTCGATACACAATACCGAAGACGGCTACGACCAGCTCGCCGCGCTGACAGCCATGCGCGCCTGCCTCCCCACCTTCACGAAAAACTCCCGCGACGGGCCCTTCGCCCTCTCCCTCACCGACCTCAGCCGCGACAACATCTTCGTCGACAAAGACTGGAACATCGCCAAGATCATCGACCTGGAGTGGGCGTGCGTCCGGCCTATCGAGATGATCACGCCGCCGTCCTGGCTGTCGGGCCAGCACCTCGACGATGTAGCCCTCGACCCCGACGAATACACGCAGGTGGTCCAGGAGTTTTTCGAGGCTTCCGCGGCGGAGGAGCAAGCCCGCTACGAGACGTATTCCTTCACGCACACCATGCGGGACGCCTGGGAGACGGGAAGCTTTTGGTACACACATGCCGTCAGCTCTCCGAGCCTCCTGGCAGCCGTCTTTCCGTATCGTATTCAGCCATTGTTTTCGCAGCCTCCAGGCTCAGACGGGGCGGCGTTCGAGAGCGCCGTTGCGCCGTTCTGGGATCGCGACGTGCCGCAGTTTATTGCAAACAATCTCGCAGAGAAGGAACTTTATGCTGAGCGACTTCGTAGGCTGTTCGCTGAGGCTGTACCCCCAGACGAGGGCGAGTCTGCCCATGGGACCGGGCCAGGAAACTCAACGTGACTAGTTGAGAGAGACGGTAACATTTCGATCACATGGGAACTGAATCTTTCTGTGACGCCTTTGGTTTTTTCTCGCGACTGTGCCAAGATCTCCTCTTGGGTGAATGTTGATTGTCAAACGTACAGCTTGCGAAACACCAAACCCCCTGTCGCCTCTCCTGCGGAAATTTCAAGCTATCCTGCCTCGCTAGTCGCCATATCCGCCCATCGAACAATCTCAGTCAACTAGCTCGGATCCCGCCTCGGTAATCGCCATGTACGCTCGCCAAACACTCTCAGCCAACGAGCTCAGGCCCTTTCAGTGCCGTTCTCCTCCCCATCGTGTGGGGTTTCTGTCGACAGAAGCCTGCCTGGCCGCTTCACTGGCGGCCGTAAATGTGAGGATGCAATTCGATCCGCACCAATCTGTCGTGGCGCTCCTCGCCAAGATAAATGAGACCCGTCTTTCGGTTAGCAGACTGTAGGAACTCCTCGTCGACCTCGTGATGCAGGTCGCGTCTCTTTTTAAAGGTTTCCCACGCCACCTCCAAATGACGCTCCCCGCGGCGTGACGGCAGTTCCTGAACGTCGCTACCCTCCTCAGTCCACGAAAAGTTGTATCCGTCCTCCTTGATTTTGTAGTAGAGGTCGAAGGTCACGCCCTCTTCGAAGTCGTCGCTCGGGTCGAAGAAGAACTCCGCGTGTCCCCTCATTGTGAGGACTCGCAGGTCACGCACGGTGTAGACGAGACTAGCCGCAACCTCGGCCACGAGCTCTTCAGCCTCGGCGTGGTCGTCTGCATCCACCCAAAAGTGCCTGATATGGACGACTTGGAGCCTGTGGCACTGGCCAAGGACAGCCAAAAGCTCGAGATGCTGCTCCAGGTTGCGTCTCGAGTAGTAAAAGTTGCAAAGGCGAATGGTCCTGAGGGCCTGGCGACGGTCAGGGGTTATGGCTGCGATGTAATGAAGCGCCATGTATCTGCTGGAAAACACGAAAGTGTTGTGCTGCAGGTCGCGTTAGAGGCAAGAGTACACGGCGCAGCCTCCCCGAGAGAACACGGGGGAAATGGCTGTTTGGCAGCAACTCACGCGGTACATTGTCTTGAAGAATTTCAGATCGTTCCAGAACAGGCGGCAGGTCTTGACGAGCTGGGTCGCCAGGCTCAAGTTGCGTCTTGCAGTGGCGTTGGCATCCGTATGGTTCAGGTTCAGGATGAACGTGTTCTGAAGATACTCGTCATCGTGGTAAGGGATCCGCGCGTTTCGGCTCGGCGAGAGGTCGTCCCGCAACTCCGAGTCCAGGATAATCGGAACGATGCCTTCATCCACATGGAACACGTAGTACCAGATCTTGGCTCTGATCTTGAGTGGCGTTAGCGAGGCGCGGTCGGGAGCAGGGACAAGGACGCTGCAAAATCGTAGCCGCTGGGCTTGTCGTGTTTCTGGGGCGGACCTCGGGAGGGAGCCGGTTGAAGAGCCGGTTTCCCGTCATGGGAACGTCCGCCGAAGCAGCCATCTGCAAGCCATGAGGTGTCTGGCTCAGAAGCGTCACGTCGACTTGAATGACGGCGCCGCCGACCTCCACCAGCATGCGCTGTCCGACCCGCGTTGGCTCCATTGTCCCAGGCAGTGGTGCAGGGCGACGAAACCGGATAGAGGGTTTGACGTGAATATGCAGATGAAGGTGAAAGCGGTTGAGTGAAGGAGCAAGCCGCAGAAAGTGCGATGGAACGGTCGGTGTGGAAGGTGAAGCAGCTATAGGAGGTGAAGAGGGTGAAGGGAGCTAAGGAATCGAACAAGGCGGGCAGCTGTGCGGGGGGGGAGAGGGGCTGCCTGCCAGCTGGGCACCAGCTGCCACCAGCCTGCCTGGCCGTTCAGGCAGTGGCAGAAGTCAACAGAACCTTTCCGAACGCGCCACCCGGAACCCCTTCATTCACTTCTCTGCCACCTCTGTGACTCGCCCAAGCACCTAGTACGACTGCCACTGCTCGAGGTGCTCCCCGAGGTACGAGCCTATTCGCACCACGCCGCTCTGCTCACGTGCATCCTCTCCTCTGACAAGTTCCCTCGGCGGCCCTTGATACTCTGTGGATCAATCTGCGTCTGCGTACTTTCACTGATTCTCGAAGCAGAAGAGAAGCCTCGCTGCGTTGTTCCTGAGGCTGCACGCTCACGTGCTCGGGAACATTCACTTCAAGGCCTTCATGATTTCCGCAGAGGCTGTGGCCTGCATCCACTTCACCCTTCGTCTCGCCTTCACATCTCTCTCTGCTACCTTTTCCCCGCGCCATCTCAGCCATCTTGTCTCAATACTCGGGCCAGCTCTCCTGGAACTCTCCAACTCTCCGACGAGTCGCCATCGGCGAACCTACGGGCAGCCACCTCGAGCGAAACGGCAAACATGTGCGAGACACCTGTCTGCTCGGGAAATGAGCTGTTTGCTCGACTCCCCTTGGAGGTAATAGTCATTCCTCACGTTCACGGGACTGCACGAGGATGGGATCCTGCGCTTTCCATTTCACATCGTCTCGGTGTGCCTGAATCCCTATGCACCACTTACGCCCAGATTTATTAAGAGTCATCACAGCATCGCTATGGAACGCCGCTAACGTGTGTTGACTTATAGGTACGAGAGATGATATGGAGAAACGTGCTGGTCTCAGAGCATGAAATTCAGCCCTGTGGTCTCCGCGAAGCCAGGCACATGTTCCGCATGGAGACACTGTCAGCGGCAGACACCAAGTTTCAACGTGGGAAGCCAGATCTCCCTTCCTTGATGGGAACATGTCGCCTCTTTAGGGAGGACCAACGTATCTTGCAGACGTTTTATGTGGTAAGCTGCCTCTTGTCCTGACCGCACAGATACTTGTGCTAACCCGGGCCACACGAGCAAGTATTCCAAATTTTCTTTCTACGCGTTGGACAACATGGCGAGTTACTTGGCTGCTATAACCCCTGATCGCCGAGCAGCCATCACCCAGATCACGGTTTCAGGGGGGATTCTCAGAGCCCATCAGCCGCCCAGAACCGATCCCTGGAATCCCTGCCTCGCCATTCTAGGTCAATGCACAAGTCTTCAGATCGTTGTTCTCCAGCGCTTCCATGTCCAGAGAACACGTTTTGAAAGTTTAAATTACCCAGACGCGGAGAGTGCTATTGCAGCCCTAACTAAACGATTCATCCAATCGGTGCATCGCCTGCGCAGTATCGCCGTCCTTGGAGTCGCCAGGCTGGGGTGTACACGCCGCCATGGCTTCAAATTTGAGCTAGACCGGGCTGGATACAAGTTTGAATGGCATCCGGATGGTGCCACGAGGGACGTCTACCTACCAGCAAGCTTCCAACCATTCCAAATTGACGGTGTCAACCGTACCTTGAGCATGGAGGGGCGACAACAGCTCGATTCCGCATGGCGCAGTCTTTGTAGCCCGGAAGAGGTGCAAATGCCTGTCAATCCGATTCACCTTCGAGAGTTTTACCAACAGAGCGATCTTCGTGCCTTTGGAGAGTCACGGCTCGATCCCGAGCAGGGCCACTTCGTGTCTGGGCGGACTCGCAGCCAACGCCGCAAGCTGGCTGATCCAGCCCAGTTCAACTCCGCATTCTTCGAATATCGGAGCCCACCCCCATACGTCTCGGTGGACTTCGCAAAAATGAGACTTCAGGGCGATGGTGTGACAATTGAAGTCTGCATTCGCACTTGGGAGGACCTGTCCCCCTGGATGACGCTCGACTCTTGTCTTCGCCGCCATCAGGAAGAAAGCGAGGCGACAGTCCTGAACCGCCTCATTGCACGTATTGGTCACTGGTGTTCCGAGGGTTCATATGACATGTTGACGGTGCAGCCTCATTTGCTGCTTGACTTCGTCAAAGATCGGGCGTGGGCGGATCGGGCGTTGGAAAGAGACACTGTCAAGCGGATCAACAAACTGGAACCCAAGTTTGCCCTCGCTATGGCACGCGCACAGGCACAGCGCTCTATGAGGGAAGTTGTTGGAGCAAGCCCGAGTGGTGATACGCCCTAGCCAACACTCGAGGCAATCTGGGGCGTGGGGGCCACCATCTTGAAAACGAGGGGCCAGTTGAGTGACAGAGCCTCAGCAAAGTTGGACTGCAGAGAGGCTATTGATAGAGGGATTCCGTGGAGAGTCTGGGGACCATGAGGCGACATCTGTTGCTCGTGCAAAAAAGGTGGCAGGACGGGAATTGCCGATCATGCGGGCAACATCAACGCAGAACAATGGAGAACCGCAAAGAAGGACGACACACTGACGGGGCAGGAAGTGATCTTGGAGACATGGTAGTTCGAGGTCCATGGTCGGGTGACTCCGTTAAGGGCACATATTGGAATTCCTGAGTGTCGACCATCATCGACATTGCTATATGCTCCGCAGTCTGACCTGCAATGTTGGAGGTCTCTTGAAGGCGATTATGTCTCCTTAACGGCAAACAAGTGCTACGTGCTCTGTGTTGATACAATGTGCCATCTCCCCGAAGTTCCCAGCACTGCAATGCCCCAAATCGGCCAAGCCCCAAACTCCAAAGCCAGCCACCATTGTTCTCCATGCTTTAGCTACTACTTGCCCTGCTGAAGATTCTCGAGACCTCGAAAGGTAGAATGTCAGACTCCTACCAGCCAGGTGCGTCAACCTTGCCATTCGTGCTTGCGGCCATGCTCGTGTCACCCCAAGCTGGCGCAGCCGCCGGAGCGTCCCAGGATCCGGGCATGACATTGTTGTTGTTGACCACGCTTGGTGCGGAGTTGTCTGTCTCTCCCGAGTCTCCCCACTGGGAAGCTGGCTCCGTGGGAGCATCTCCCGCCTGGGCGTCACCGTCCCAGCCGCTGGTGTTGTTGGCCTTGTTGCTCTCGTTGTCCCAGCCGCCTTTCGTCTTGGACACGTCTTTGCCACTGTCGCCCCAGCCGCTGTTCCCATTCGTCTCCCCATTCCCGCCGTTGGAGGCGCTTCCCCAGCCTCCGTTGTCGCCCGTGCCGTTGGTCTGCTGTGAGTCCCAGCCTTGATTCTGGTCCTCGTTCGAGCCCCACTGGCCCTGTTCCTGGCTCTGTGCATTGTTGTCCCATGTGCCCTCAGAAGGCTGGCCGGTGCCGGTGTCGTTTGTTCCATCATTGCGCGGGACGGCTGCCTTGGCGTTAGCCGCCCTACTGGCATGGCTGGCATTGGATGGGACTCGACTGCCGTAGGTGCTGAATGTTGACCTGTCTCGCTTGGGAAGATAAGGGTTGTCGTGACCCTTGAAGTCCTGATTCGGTTAGTAGAGGTGATACAGTAGCCCCAGGGGAGAGTTCGCACCTTGATGCTGCCGGGGGTGACATTGTTCTGCCCGTCCTTATCTTTGAAGTTGCTCGACGTTGTTCCGCTCTTGTCCTCCACCAGACTAAAGACGCCCCTTGTTCCGGTCACATTGGCGTCGGCAGCGGCGTTGTTGGCAGCGTTCGTGTTATGGGCATTGATGTCAGGCTGCCACGGCCCAAACGGACCGGCTTGATAACCCGTCATATAGCCATGCGGAGGGTACACGGCACCCCAAGCTGGCATCGGCATGCCTTGCGTTACAGGCTCATTGCCATTACCCTCTCGAGGCGGCACCTGGTTGAAACCATAATAGTATGGGTTATGCAGGGGATGGGGCATGCCAACGGGTAGTGGACGGGCAGATGCATCGCGCCGTGGGTATAGGGGCTGAGAGTAGTGGTTTCCGTACACGGGTCCATGATAGACACGCAGGACGCCGTGCTCGGCATCGTAGTAGGCATTTGGCGGAGGATCCTCAGGGCCCTCGACCACTTTCTCGGTCTGTACAACTTCTGCGCGGATCGGCTCAATAAGGTGCGGACGACGGGGATGTGGCGCGAGGTACGCCTCGGGGTAGTCACCCTTCTTGTTGTCATGTCGATGTTTACCGGCCTCGGCCTTCTTCTCAGAACTCTTTTGCTTCTTGGTGGGCACAGTCTTTGTAGCGTTGGACGCCTGTGCCTTGTCATGCTGAGATTCCTGTTTCTTTTGAGCTTTTTGTCCCTTGTCGCCGCTTCCCTGTGGCTGTTTTCCACTGCCCTTCTTGTTTCCTTGCTGCTTATTCTTCGCGTTACTTTTCTTCGCAGGGGCGTCTGCTTCGTCTGCAGTCGTCTTGCCAGAGTCAGAAGCCTCATCATCGGCCTCAGACGCATCATTTCTCTCCTTAGCCGCGGTGGCTGCGTCCTTGTTGGACTTTGCTTGCTTGCCATGTTTCTTGCCTTTGGGAGCGCTGTCAGTGCTTGACTGAGATCCTTCCGAATCACTCGCACATTGCTTCTCTCCGTCTTTAGTGCTCACGCCGACCTTCTTGCGGCGTTGTGCACATTTGGCGCACTTGGCGGAGCCTTCTGTATCAGAACCGGCTTCGGATGTCGATTCATCCTGTCCGTTCTTTTTGGTGTTGGACGTCTTCTCTGGCGCCGTGTCGGAACTCTCACTGTCGGCGGCGCCGTCCTTTGAGGACAGATCGGAATCAGATTCGGTTGCGTTGGTGGTCGCCTTCTTTAGGGCAGATTTCTTCGGGGTGTCCTCGAAGCGGACCTTTTTGACGACGATATCCGACTCTTGGCGCGTTGAGGCTCGGCTGGTGCGGGGGTACGTGACTTTGAGACTGTCCTCCTCCGTCTCGTCGTCGGTGGTGATCTCAACCCTGACGACCTTGCGTTGCGGCTGGGGCTGAGCTGGGGTTCGAGGGCCAAGAGCATCCTCGACACTGATTCCGCACACCCACTCAGAAAAGGTGGCGGGATACTTGCGCCGGAGGCCCTTGCGCTGCGTCATTGTGTGTAAGACGATGCTGGACTTTCATCTGCTTGGCTGTTTTGGCTGAAATATCAGGCGGTGGTGAAGTGCGTTCGGATCGGAAGACCTCGATTCGGTGCTCGGTGCTGAAAGAGTGCGCAGGCTGAGGATGAGGATGTCCACCAGTCTCCCCGGCCGGTCACAGACTGCATTGAGTCAGTGACACAACGATATGAGGCGATGATGGTGTGGCATAGGAGAGGAAAGAAGCGCTGTAGGCGAGGCTGAGGTGAGAGGTAGGCGTGCGGCGAGAGGGGTAAACAAAGTAGAGGGGAGGAGGGGGAGAGCTTGCAAGAAGGAGGCGAGAGGGTGGCTAGGCAACGTGGACGGGCATTCAGTCACTCGCTGTGCGTTTGGCACGGCACAGCGCACAGCACAGCACGGGTGGTCAGGAGGGCACCGAGGCTACGGGACCTCGGGAGGGTAGAACATTCGAGTTCAGTGGACGGGAAGTTGGTATAATAAGAAGATTGGCGGCCTGTGAAAATCGTGCTCAGGCGGCCCAGACGCTGAAGCGACATAAAGAGAAGGCGTGACTCTGCTGCTCCTGCCGCTCCTGCCGCTCACAGCTTGCCCTTGACTTCGGCCCTCTGCGAAGCCTCCCAGCGCTTGCTAATCTGCACATTCTGCCAGAACCTCCACGCGGCAACGACGAGAGCCAGCGGCGGACACCCCAGCAGCGCCCATGACCACCACTCGGGGCTTGCCTTGTGCATCTTGGCAATCTCCTCCTCAAGGCTCTTTGCCAGCTCCTCCCTGGGCCCGTCGTTCCACAGCACCACGCCCTTGCCCTCGCCGCGGGCCTCGCAGCGCTTCGCCTTGACGCGCACGTCGGTCTGGCTGAGGACGCGGTTCTCGGCGTCCTCCCGGCTGAGATGGGCGTCGCGGGCCATGAGGCGGCTCATCTGGGTGTCGGCCTCGGAGACGGCAACGACCATGGTGACGCCGCAGAAGCGATCCAGCCCACTCTCGAACAGCAGCGGGATGTCGAGCACCACGGCCCAGTGGCCGCGCAGGTAGCAGCCGAGGACCGACTTGAACATCTCCTTGCGCACCGCCGGGTGGACGATGCCGTTGAGCACGGTGCGGTCCTTTTTGCGTTCGTCGCTGTCGCCAAAGACGCGCTTGCCCAGCGCGGGCCGGTTCAGCGGCCGTCCCTTGCCGTCGGGGCCATTCTCGGGCATGGAGTCCGACGGCTCGACCAGGAGATCGGGTGTAGTTGGGCCAAAGTACTTGACGATGGCGTTGTAGCCGCTGGTGCCGGGCTCGACCACCTTGCGCGCCAGGATGTCGGCGTCAACAATGGGTAAGGAATGTGGCGGCGACGAGAGCAGCGACGAAACGGTCGACTTGCCCGTCGCGATGGAGCCGGTCAGGCCGATGAGGAGCATTGTGTCGGCTCTGGCAGCGCAAGGGACGGCGAGGGCGAGCTGTGAGGTTGACGGTTTGACGTCGCAGGCCGTGACGCAGGTTGGGGTGGAAATGGCATGAGCCGAGAGCCGACTGTCATTGGCCAGCGATTAGCTTTCCGTTCGCGACAGGAACGTCCACATGTGAAGGGATGTCAGCTGTCGCACGCCATTGTCATCGGGGTTTGGTACCAGAAACTCGATATTTTGTCCAATTGTGACTTTTCCATGACGGCTCTGGCATCAGGTGTTTTGCTGGCAACGCCTCGGAAGGGGATGGCAACTCCACAGTTGGTAGCACAACGGGCGGGCATTTGCTCTCACAACGGGATGCGGCATCCCAGCTAAAACTCCGAGACAAAGGAAAATAATGTCAGACTCGGAAACGGCATCGGCACGACCACGCAGCATTGAAGGTTGCTAGTTGGGCATGAAAATACCACCAATTTGTCCAGCGCGACGCTGTAACAAGCAGCGAAAGGGTGATGGTATTCAAGGGCCAGCAACTGATCCTGTACGGAATTCCCCATGGGCCGCCCTCCACGGACCCCGGTTCAAACTTTCCCAAGTACACGTGCGTCCACGTTTCGGAAGTCAAGGCACCTGTCCCAGCTGATGTGCTTCGTCCGGCTCGATAAAAAACCATTACACGATGGATTTCGGGGAGTACAGAGACACTTCCAGTATTGAGACTTGGGCAACACACATCCGGCTGGTCCCTTTTCGCCTCACATCACGAACCTAGAATTAATTATGGTTCGCCGAGCCGATCGGTCCTGTTGGCGTCGCCGCCCCTGAAGAGCTTTCCCCGCTCAAACGCAGCGGGACAGCAGCGCCCCTCCCCGCCGGCCCGCCGACTAAACAGTGAGGTGGCCGCCCTCCGCCGTCTTAGCTTCCCAACAAGGGAGAGAGAGACCGGGAGGCTTGTGGAGGCTCCCAGGGCGCGGGTCGCCCCTGACGTCCGCGCCGTTCGCCAGTCAGGGCTGCAGCCGACCCCCGACCGACAGACGGCACCACCAGCGCCTCCCCGCCCCGGATCCTGGCGCGCGTTAGCTCCAGGTTTGTAACGAAGGTTGGGTGTTGCTCGGCGCGCCGCACCAAGTCTGCGCCTGTCACCAACCGCCCGTCTCGAGTTCGCTGTTGTCCCCTGCTGTTCGTCGGCGTCGCTCCTTTCGTCGTCCCCTCGCGCGCAGCCAATGCTCCGTCTTGTTCGCTGTCGTCGTCGTCGCCGCCGCCGCCGTCCCGATCGTTGCACGCCATGGCCGCCATGCCGCGCAGGATCTCGCGCCTGGTCCTCCTGACGGGCCTCGTCCTGACCGTCATCGTCGTCCTGCACTTGATGCCCTCGTCGCCGTCGCAGTCGTCCCCGCTGTCCCGCTTGTCGTCCGACCCCAAGAAGTTCACCCCGTCCATCGACTGGACCACCGTCGCGCAGTTCCATCCCCCGTCCTCCATCAAGCCGCTGCCGACCGGCGCCCCCAGGAAACTGCCCCGCGTGCAGGCGCCGCCCGACGCCTTCAAGAGCTCGCGCCAGGCGGACGAGCGCAGGGCCGCCGTCCGCAAGGCGTTCAAGCGCAGCTATGACGCCTACAAGAAGCATGCCTGGCTGCGGGACGAGCTGATGCCCGTCTCGGGCGGCTTCAAGGACCCCTTTGGGGGCTGGGCCGCCACCCTCGTCGACTCGCTCGACACCCTCCATATCATGGGCTTCGAGGAGGAGTTTGCAGAGGCGTCGACCGCCGTCTGCGACATCAATTGGTCCGACACGCGCGCCGGCGCGGCCAACATGTTCGAGACGACCATCCGCCATCTCGGCGGCCTGCTGAGCGCCTACGACCTCAGCGGCCGCCAGGACCTGCTCGACAAGGCCCGCGAGCTCGGCGAGATGCTGTACCACGGCTTCGACACGCCGAACCGCATGCCGGGCTTCTGGTTCAACTTCCAGGAGGCCCTCAGCGGGCAGCTCGTCGCCGGCATCAACGACCCGTCGGCCTCGCCCGCCTCCCTGTGCGTCGAGTTCACGCGCCTGTCGCAGCTCACCGGCGACCCCAAGTTCTACGACGCCACCGACCGAATCACCCGATTCCTCGAGCGCACCCAAAACGATACCCTCCTGCCGGGCATGTGGCCCACGGTGCTCGACTTCCAGAACCAGCGCGCCCGCGACAGCAGGTTCACGCTCGGCGCCCTCGCCGACTCGCTCTACGAGTACCTGCCCAAGATGCACGCCCTGCTCGGCGGCGTCGACGACACGTACGAGCGCCTCTACCGCGCCGCTATGGACACGGCCGCCTCGCACCTGCTCTTCCGCCCCATGCTGCCCGACCAGCGCGACGTGCTCTTCAGCGGCGACTGGCACGCCAACGCGGCCGAGAAGCTCATCCCCGAGAGCCAGCACCTCACGTGCTTCGTCGGCGGCATGTTCGGGCTCGGCGGCCGCCTCTTCGAGATCGACGAGCACGTCTCCCTCGGCGAGCGCCTCGCCCGCGGCTGCGGCTGGGCCTACTCGAGCTTCCCCACGGGCGTCATGCCCGAGATCTTCAACCTCATCCCCTGCAAGACGCTCGAGCCCTGCGAGTGGGACGAGGAGCGCTGGCGCAAGAACGCAGACACCTCCCTGGCCAAGGGCTTCGCCAACGCGCGCGACCCCCAGTACCAGCTCCGCCCGGAGGCCATCGAGAGCATCTTCATCCTCTACCGCATCACGGGCAAGACGGAGCTTCAGGACATTGCCTGGCAGATGTTCCAGGCCATCATGCGCTCCACCGAGACGGACCTGGCCAACTCGGCCATTGCCGACGTAAGGGCCAAGGGCGAGACCAAGAAGGTGGACTCCATGGAGGTGAATCTTGTCCCCGCCCCTCTCCCGTCCCAACCATCCCCACAATTCCGTGAGCATGACCCCCGTGTACTGACAAAAGAAACCCCCGACAGAGCTTCTGGATGGCCGAGACGCTCAAGTACTTTTACCTCATCTTCTCCCCGCCCGACGTCATCGGCCTGGACGACTACGTGCTCAACACGGAGGCGCACCCCCTGCGACGACCGACCTGAGAGGGTCAGCCCTGGTCTGAGGGCCATATCGTAACCCTGCGGTTCAGGGCCACGAGCGCCCCTGTTTGTCTGCGAGGCGCGATGCCAACCCGCTCGAATCCAGAAACGGATGGATGAGCGACGGCATGCCCGAGGCGGAATCCCCAGCCACCGTCGTCCTTGCTTTGCGTGACGCGCTGCGCAAGAACGGGATGAGCAAAGGGGACTAGCTAGTATCGGTCTTGCGATGATGTAGTGATGATATCCTGACGGGCCCCGTCTCCCTTATTGGATAGAAGTATGAGCTATCATGTACCTTAGACGATCGAGGGTGCTAGAGTAACCCTGGCGTTTTGGATGACGCGAATAATTGGGACAATTGACCGCGCAGGCGCTGCCTTTGTCTACGGATGCCATGAATTGCAAATCTCCTCACGAATCAGTGCACAGATGAAGGTTGCGTCGTCGGACGTTTGGTGACCAGTTTGTGCATTTTGTCTCAGGGTGCTCAGCTCTGCCCCCGTCTCGACCAAGAAGCAAGAAAGAAGCGGAACAACAGGACACTAGAAACAACCCATGGGTATCTCTCACGCACTCCCAAACTTGCCTCCAATCCATGCCCTCCGTGTCCTCCATGTCCAGATCCCAAGGCCCAGTCCAATATCCTTCCCTGGCTCGTTCACCAGCATTACAACGAAGCCCAGGGAAACCGCATCGACCTGGCCCAGGTACGCTTTCAGCCGCTTCATCCTGTTTCTTGGTTCTCGTCTTGCTGGCAGGTCAACTTCGCGGGGGCTCATCGTCAGCAGCCCTGAGACGACATATCAAAGCTGGACGGAAGAAGTGTTAACGGACAAGAACCTTTGCGACAGGACATCACTCCATACACATACCGAGGTTTCTGGTCATTGAGCACGATTTTTGGCGGTGCCGCCTACGAGGGAGGCACTTTGGCTGTTAAGGGGGGTTGGGCGCTTTGAGGAAGAACATGTCAACCACGCGGTCCATGCTAACGTGAACACGAGGGCGCGAATTCAAGACCAAACTCACAGCTCTCGGAGATCTCTTCACAACACCCCCATGGCCGGCACGTACGCTCAGTCGGGCAGGCGCACGGCGTAGAACCAGCCCTCGTCGGTCACGTACCAGCGGCACGGAATCTGGTCAATGGAATAGCGGCTGCGCTGAGTCCAGTTACCGTCAAGCTCGCGCACATAGTAGAAACGGCTGGGGTCGTCGTCGCCAGGCTTCATGTCCTGGGGCTCAAAGAGCTTGTTGTTGTAGGCAAACTGCACCTGATGCAGCACCTCCTCCTGCGGCGTGCGACCCAGGCCCGGAACCTCGTGGGGGACGGGGACAGGGGCAGCGGCCGTACCTGCGATCAGGGTCGCGGGCGCCACGGCGGGGGCAGCCTGCATAATGGCGGGCATCGGCTGGCCGGCCGGGGTCGCTGCGATCGGGTAGTACGTCTGGCCGCTGATCATGACGGGCTGGCCGGGCAGCTGCGGCTGGGCCGCGGGGACGGGGGCCACGAGCTGCTGAGGTATGCCCTGGTAGACGACGTAACCGGGCTGACCGACGGGAACCGTGCCGGGAACAGGGTGCGGCTGTAGGCGAATGTTAGCCGACATTCTCTGACGTTGTCTGAGTCTGAACATTGTGTGTTTGCTTGGCAGGGCAGGCCAAGATGTAAACGATGCACGCCTCGGACGACGACTGGGCCTACGATCGCTCGAGGGGCGCCAGACGCGGGGTCGGGGATGCCACACGGGCGGCAAACGGGCAGAGGCACTTGCATAATAGGGGACGCCGTTGACGAGCACCGTCCCATGCCGATAAGCACCAACCACCGCAGCAGCAGAAGCGACAGGGAGGACATGGTGGTTGGGATAGATGATGGAAACGGGAGGGATCTGGTGACCGACATGAACAGCAGGCTGAACGTGGACGGCACCGCCCACAACGCCAGGAGCGGCATCGTAACGAGGCACGTAGAGGTGCTGCATTGGGCCGTTGCTATTGTCCGGGACGGGGGGCTGGAAATTGAGGCCCTCGGTGGGCGGCGCAGGGCCCGTGGCGGCAAGGTAGGGGATGCTCATGTTGGTGGTGGCCGGCAGCTGCTGCTGCTGGACCTGAACAGGCTGGCCGTTGACGTATGAGGCTCCAGCAAAACCACCAGTGCCAGTGGCGAGCTGGTGAGGTTGATACTGGGGGTACTGGGGGTACTGGTGGTACTGGGCGTAGGGTCCCGGGCCGCTCAGGCTGCGAGTCGGGTCGGCAGAAGTGTACCACTGCTGGGGGAGGACAGCGGGAGCCGCGTAGCCAGAGCCAGGAGGCGGGCCAACGGCAGGAAAGCTGGTCGGCTGGCAGTCTCTGGCTGGCTCGCTCTTGGCCTGGGGCGCGTTGACGGCAGTGCCGCTGACGCTGCCAGTCGTGGCCTGAGGGGTAGTATTGGTGGTGGTGTTGCCGCTGACCGTGGCACCCAACGTGCACTCGTCGGCGAAGCGAACGTGGGCAGGGCGCGCAGGAGTAGCAACGGCCTCGACGTGGGGAGGGACGTAGTTGAAGGAGCGAACGCGGCGGATGCGCTTGGGGGGGTCGGTGGCGGCGTCTCCTCCAGCTCCGGCTGCTGCCTCGGGCATGACTGGCGGCGGCGAGACCAAGCGGGTGATGAAAGTCGCCTTTTGTAGGAAGTCGCGCTGTGTCCTTCTTTCCCGCGAGACGGGAGGGTGGCTGCCGCTGTGTGTGGGGGCCCTCTGACGATAAGACGAGAGAGAGTGAGAGTGAGGAGTGAATGTGGATATGAAGGTGCAGGTGAATGTGATGCGCGCTGCGCCTGCTGAAACAGGAGCCTGCGTGCAAGACGAGAGGCGGGTTCGCGATGCCGCTGCGTTGCCTTCTGTGCGGTGGTGTGTGAAGGATAGAAAACAAACGCCTGCGGACGGGAGATAGAGAAAGATAGGTAAGGAAATGGTGTGCGGCGCGTGGAGGCACGCTTGGCAGCCAGTTGCCCTGGGCACGGGCAGCTGGCAGCCAGGTGTCGGGGCTGTTCGTTCTCGCACGCCCAGCAGGCAAGGGAACCCGAATCCGACCACGGCCGTTCACGTCTGGTTGTTGGGGCTGCTCAGGCCTGGCAACGCCGCAATAGCAGGACACTGCCCTCGACCTATCCGCCGGCACAGCCCATAGCCGGCGTGGTACCAGCAAACGCGAAAACGCACAAGGTGGCGTGGACAAAACGAGAGAAAGGGGGGGAAAGTTGGTGCCCGACTCACAATCCGCTGCAGCGCCCACGCGTTTCCGTCGTACGCCCACGTCGAGTGCTCGGGCATCGAGTCGAGCGGGTCGTCGTACTGCGTCCACGTCCACGGGAAGCACGGCAGGCACATCGTGGCTTTGCCTTTGGTAGTCCCGTGCGTCTTTCGTTGGCGAGTCGAGCTATCGAGGATGGGAGGGTCGGGAAGATTTTAGGTAGAGGCCCCTTCGTTGTTCGAACCGTCCGGTACAGGTTGGCGGTAGGATGCAAACGCGCAGAAACAGTTTCCCGTCTGGCCTGGTGCTGGTTGAGCAGCAGCAGGCCTAGGGGTGTTGCGCGTTCATGGCTCCATTCACTGGCCATGCGTCCGTCCCGTACTCCAGGCTACCCGGAGCCGTGCCTGGCACCTAGACCACGCGTGTTCTGAGCCGCCGTGCCGTCAGCAAAGTCGTAATCGCCATGTCTTCCATCCTCTTCTCATGTTAGTCACATCATCGCAAGGCCCACCCCCACGTAGTGCCGCGCCGCGTTCAGAGCCTGCGCACACTCGGCTTCATCACCACAAGGCACAAGACAAGCCAAGCCAACCCAATGACATGATATTGCAACCCGACGCCCCGTCCTGTATGGTTTAATGCTCGCTGGCCCGTCACCTGATGTAATGTACACGTTTTGTTCATGGGAGGAGAGATCGTCCATGAGCACCGCCACCGGCGCCACCAAAATACACGCCTCCCGCTGGGCGCTCGCCCTTTTCCGTCCGACTCGAGGATACATGGTATTACAGGCTCTCGATGGGAGCCACGGGTTCGGGCACAGGGAAGAAAGTTCGTCGCGCAATCTGCACATCATGTCAGCGAATTGCCTCCAGCGGAGGATCACAAAGGGACAAGCATACCGCCCAGACGCCAGCCACAGAGCCGACAACACCGCCCGAAATCATCATGGGGCGCAGACCCCGCGTGCTCTTAAACACCATGCCGCTCAGCGCACCCGCCAGCACGCTGTTGGCGGCGTCGTGCTTGCCGCGGAGGCTGCCGACGAGGGAGTTGAGGCAGTTGTACACAATCGCAATGACACCGGCCGAGTTGCCGAGGAAGGGCCCGCGCCGGGTCACGGCGTTGAGCACCGAGTTGAGGCGCAGCTTGGGCGGCTGACCGGCGGAGCGCCGCAGGCCCTCCTGCAGGCCCCAGGCGCCGCCTATCGACAGCGCCGTCAGGTATGTGATGCCGGTGCCGTAGCAGAGGTCGTCGGTGAAGCCGCGCGACGGCAGCACCGACTGCCCGCCGGGCAGGTCCGACAGCGCCGAGTCCTCGAGCGTCAGGTACTCGAGCGTGTCCTTGTTGAGGCCCGCGAGCGGGTGTAGTTGTGACGGGTCGGCAAAGGTAGAGCTCTGGAGGAAGGACTCGACGCCCTGGCCCTGCGACGGGTCGAAGGTGGACGGCGTGGCGTACGACGTCGACGACGCCGTCGGCTGCGGCTCCTGGTAGTGCTGCTGCTGTTGCTGCTGCTGCTGGGGGTGCGCAGGCTTGTTGCCGCCCGTGAGGGCGTTCCAGAGCGACGACATGATGGGCGGCGTGGAAGGGGTCGCTGCCAGTGGGACGGGGTATAGGAGGAGGGAGGGTCTGGCGACTCGAGAGCGCAGCTCGGATAAGGATGGCCGGACGTCAAGAAAAAATTCGGGAGCCGCGACGGATGGTCCGTGCACTAATACTCGTCGCTCGCCAACGCCGGGCCACGGCTGCTCGGCAGTCACGTGGCCTCCCACAGTGGCGCTCCCACCCACCACAACCCGATGCCGGCGAGAGCCGCTTGTCACCGTCGAGTTGATGGAGGAAATTCGAAGCAGAATCTTCGTGAATTGACATGGAGAGAGAGACAGATATTATTGGAATTGGGCATGCCTTGGCTGCCAGGGAAGTGGTAGACGCCTGGTTGCGCGCAACGAAACCCGATGCCCCTTACTCGCGGTGCCAAGTTTGCTCAGCACATTCATGCAGAATTCTTCACGCAACATGCCGGCACGGGCACCTGGTCGCTCCTGTCGCTGCGCCATGTAGCACGACGTCGGCTGTTGAACAGGCGGCGGCGACTTGAGGCGGTACACGATACGAGGCCTGGCTGATTTCAGGCGCATTTTTACGTGGCACGTCTAGGCGACGACGTCCATCACTTCCTCAGAAGCAAGCCCCCGTCGCCAATATTCCCCCGGCAGTCTCTCACAATCTCAATTCTAACCCCAAAAATTCTTGCATCAAGGCAAAAAGAATGTCGGAACCACCCCACAGTCACGAACCTGTCGAGTCGACGTATCGCGGCTGGTAGGAAAGGCGGTGACAATTTCTCTGGGAGGCCGGGAACGGAAGGAAACCCACGGTGAATAGTAGGATAACCCTCAGCAAGCCGCATAGCGGAGCCGCCGTAAGATTATTAAAACACTTGACGGTGTAGAAATAACCCTGACTGATGATGAAGAAGAAAGGGAAAGGAAAAGTTGAAATGCACGGCGGTGCGGAAGACTTTTATTGTCCTGCAGCAGCAAAGTGCGCTAGTCTAAAATTGGCTTAGCTTGTATGCGGCGCGGCCTTTGCTTTTTTCCGTGGGCAGCTTGCACACCAGCAGAACATCCAGCTGCCAGCTGCCTCCACTTCGCAGCAGCATGGCCCATTCAAGTCCCAGCTTCGAGTCCTGCCAGATGCACCGCATCACCGTGTGATTGCACCTTTTATGACGAGCTCAGGCTTGCCAGCGGGGTAAATGTTCTCCGTACAAGAGGATGGCAGCGAAGGACGTGTTTCTTGAGAGATTTTCCTTGAACGCTTCCCTCAGCAGGAGGATCTGACTCTGCTCAACGGACACGAAATATGCCGAGGCGTCATGGGCTCAGCGCATTTGGGTTCGAAGATTTAATCACTGATGACACCGTCAAGTCTTGTGGTATTCGCATCATCGCAACACCAGATATTCCCAGGATTTTAATGCGTGATTCGTGCTAAATATATCATGATACGCCCCCCCTGACACCGAATGAGTGGTCTAGATCCCGTTCTCTCTATCCCAACTGCGCCAATTCAGACAACGCCGCTCAGTATAATCAAGATCTCCTGCCATCGGTTCTGTTGATACCCAGATTCCTCAGAAAACGCCAACCAGATATGACCGCCATGAATGAACCAATCCCACGTTTATGAATAAGTGAATGCCGTCCGTCTGGGGACGGCGTGTGCGCCTCCTCTCACATGCCCGAGTCGCCGCGCTGAAGCAAGGGACGGTTATCCCACTGCTGCTGCTCCTCAGAGCCACGCCTCGAGACTGGCCACGCCGTCTCCTCAAACACGTCCCGCGACAACTCCTCCTCCTCCTCCGTCTGATAGATAAAGTATTGCACAAAGACGCCAATGTCCATGAGCAGGGTGACGAGGCTGCCAGCCAGCCAGCTCAGGTTGACCAGGATGTACCGTCCGTAGATGCGGCTTGCCTCGCCGGGTTCGCACGTGCCGCCGGGGCACTTGGGGTCGTAGGCGAAGATCGACAGGACGTATGTGATGTTGCCGAGGCAGGCGAAGAGGAAGAAGAGCATGCTCAGGCCCTCGGTCGTCTTGCGGCGCCAGTTGAGGATCAGTTGGGGCATGCGCGAAGCAATGTACGCGACGGCGCACAGATAGCCGAAGAACTGGCCCCAGACGTTGAACTCGAGCGAGGCGCCGGCGTCGTCGTGAGGCTTCTCCTTGCCGCTCGTGGCCTTTTCGCCGAGGAACCAGCCCAGCACGCCCGCGGCGCACACCATGACGACGACAAGCGTGTTCCAGGCGATGGTCTGCAGAGCAGTCGGGGGCGGGGGCGGGACGGGAGACTCGGCCACATGCGGCACGGCGGGCGACAGGCCGGTCCAGTCGGAGCCGCGCCGGTCGTGATGGTGGTGGTAGTAGTCGGGGTTGTATGGGTGGTGGTGCTCGTGGTGCTCGTGGTGCTGCTCATGTTGATGCGGCAGCAACGAGGTGCGTTCGGTCGGCTCGCCGACGTTGTTGGCAGCCGTCTTCGGTGGCGGCGTCAGCTCGTCGCGCCAGGTGAAGCCCCGGTAGTAGAAGCACTGGGCCAGCAGGACAATGTCGGCTATCGTGTAATAGACAGCCAGGATGATCTGCGAGGTCCAAGTCAGCCCGCGGGAACAAGCAATGGAGGAGCACGTGCCACCTACCATGGTGGGAAGGACGCCCTGCAGCACGGCGCCGAGAATGTTAAAGACATCGCCCAGCAGCCAGATGATGATGAACTGTATGGAGAGGCCGTCGGCATTGCCTTGCTGGAACTGCTGGATGATCTGCGGTGAGAACACGACAACTGGCAAAAGGTCAGCTCGGCGGTCCCGTGAAGTCGTGGAAAGAAGCAAGCTGTGCAAAACGCACCCCAGCAGGCAATGGACACCGAGCTATGAAGAAGTCAGCTTTCAGGACGACACAGCGAGTGACGAAATCTTCTGCAGAGGAACGCACCCGCAAATTCCTGATATGGCCTCGACATCGAGGTGGAAGGTGCCCGTCGGAGGGGCGACGGTGGGCGGTGGCGCGCTCATGGCGTTGACGAATCCCGTTTTCCCGCGATCGTCGCTGGCAGATCCCCGTTCTCGTCAGAAGTCTATGCGGTACCAACGTACGTCTGCTGTCTGCGAGTACAAAGGAAAAAGAGAGGGAGAAGAGGTCGCTCGGGGGGACTAGCGGAAGCAGGATCGAAGTTTCGAAGAATCTGGGGAGCAATTGACAAAGTATGGAGGGAGAAAAGGCGGCCGGCCGTCGGGAGGCAAAGGTGGCGGCACGAACCAAGAGAGTCATTCACGAGGAAAAGACTTTTTATGGCGTCACGAAAATTGTCGACGGCCGTCTGAGGTGCATGCAAAACCGCCAGGATTGCCCGAAACGGACGGGCGGCGCCACCGAGCAGGGCGCCGCACCGCCAGCCTTGGGAAGCCATTGGGCGCTTCGGCGTTGCCTGTGGGTGTCGCCGCAGCGGACGGGAGCCGCAGCCCGGCCTGCCGAGGCGCTGAGAATGCGGGGGAGCGGTCCACTGAACTGGCTGCCCAGGTGGTGGTGAGCGCGCGGAGATCCCGCCTGGCTGGGCTAACCTCCGCGCCGCCTGGCAGCCCGTGGCAATGGGCGAGGCACCACCCCTCCCGGCCGGTGGCAGACGTTCCCATGCCTGCTTGGGTCCGTTTCACGGGATCGAGCTTTTCCTGGCAATCAATCGATCTGCCGCCGCCGAGCCGTGGCCCCTGCCACCAAGCCTTTGCCCTTGATCTGACGTTTGCTCCCGTCAATCGCGGTATGGCTCCGTTGTCAGGTCGCTCTGAGGTTTCTTTCTTCGACGGTCATATGCGCAAGTCAGTCAACACTATTCCGTTCTTCGTATTTTGTAGTTCGCAGCATCAACGAGCGGGCTGCAAAACCACACCTGCTCAGGTCAGCTCAGGCCCCTGCTTGCTCGCTCCGGAGCCGGCCTGCCCCTCCGGCCGCCTACAGTGTCCAGCTGTCAGCACCCGACAACGTAACACCAGGGGCCGGCGTCGGCAGCCGCCCCGGCGACCACGGCGACCACGGGGACGGCGCAATTACTCATCCACCACCGTTAGCGACCCAGTCAACCCCGTCATCTCTGGACAAAGCCATTGTCACCACCCCATACTACTAGAACTATCCCATATCGCGCCGTGTATTTTCATTCTCCCCGCTGTGAACTCATATATCTCATCATACCGCCCCCTCCTTCACATTCCACGCCGGGAACCTATAAACCTCCTCCCCTCCCGGAGCTTTGTCCCCGTCCCAATGTCCACCACCCCCCCGTTGATGCCCGAGCTGCCCGTGCTCAACAACGACGCCTCCATGCTCACCAAGCGCTTCGGCAAGGAGGTCATAAACTACTACGCCGGCAGCCGCCTCAACCGCTACTCATTCCTGCGCTCCGACTCGCTCCTCCTGCGCGCCGCCGTCGCCAGCCCCTCGGCCCGCTTCCTGGCCCTGCATAATCTCGCGCCCCTCGTCGCTGACAAGCGCACCCTCGCCCTCCTCACCTACGACGACGTCAAGCCCCTGATAGGCACAGATCTCTACAGCGTAAGCGATGCGGACGCCATAAAGCAGTTTGACTCGGCCGTGAGGCGGCCACAGGTCATCTTCCTCGGCACCCTCGAGAGCGGCGACCAGGATCCCGAGTTTGAGACGGAGAAGCACGGCGGCGTCAGGGGCCAGCCTTTCTTCGCGGTTGATGTGACTCCCAAGGGGGACTACGCCGACGCCGCGACGGCGCTCCTGAAGCAGCAGGAGGAAAAGGGCATGAAGCTGCAAACCGATTCGCGCAGCATGACGCTACACGCAGAGGCCGGTGAGTCTCATGTCCCATGGCTCACTATCCCATCGTGAACTTTGGTCTGACGCACATGTGTAGCTTCCATGTACGCCCAGGCGAGATCCATGATGGACTGGAACGCCCGCCATCCCTTCTGCGCCGGCTGCGGTACCCCCAACCTGTCCATCGAGGCCGGCTACAAGCGCACCTGCCCGCCCTCCGATCTCAGGGGCACCTCCGAGGCCCACGCCCGCGAGGACTGCCCGACCCGCCACGGCGTGTCCAACGTTTGCTTCCCGCGCTCCGACCCGACCATGATCGCCGCCGTTGTGTCCGCCGACGGCCAGCGCATCCTGCTCGGCCGCCAGTCCCGTTACCCGCCGCACTGGTACAGCACCCTCGCCGGCTTCCTCGAGCCCGGCGAGTCCGTCGAGGAGGCCGTCCGCCGCGAGGTCTGGGAAGAGGCCGGCGTGCGCGTCGGCAGGGTCGTCATCCACTCAACCCAGCCCTGGCCGTATCCCTCCACGCTCATGCTCGGCGCCATCGCCCAGGCGCTGCCGGGCCAGGAGGAGATCTCCCGCAACGATCAGGAGCTGGAGGACGCGAGGTGGTTTACTGTGGAAGAGGTGCGCGACGCACTCAGCAAGGGAACAAGCGCTCTGAGCGGCCCGACGCCGGAGGGATACAAGGAGGGCAGCCTGCGAGTCCCGCCGCCTCAAGCCATTGCCAACCGTCTCATGACCGCCGTGGTTGAGGGTTACGTATCAGGCACGCCCAAGATATAGACAAGCGGTGTGCCCACGTAGAACCTGTCATATAAATAGCGCTTGTGTTCATTGACCCTAGACACTACCGTCGCGGCATCTGCATCATCTCTTCAAACTCAAACCCGTCGACCTTTGGCGTGGGCATCGGCGCAATGTATCCCCGCTCATACCGTGCTAGCCAGACTGCGTCTGCGTTGATCGTTTCGAGTGCGTCCATTACATCCCGATCCCTCTCCATGACATCAGACAGCAGGTCCAATATGTCATCAAACATCTGGCTGTCGATGCTCACATAAGACACAATTGCAGCCAACAACTGTACCACAGCCTCCCAGACCCTGGCCGGCGATGCGTGTTGCCCAAGACTGCCAGACGTCTTGGAGCGAATCTCCAGCACCGATTCATTGACGCCCGGCCCGTCACCAGACCGGATGGGAATGAGGATTCCTTCGCCCCGACCTTGGGCCGAGACCGTGCTGGAGTTGGAGACTCGAGCCCTTTGAGCGCCGGTCGTCGCCCTCTCCTTGGCCTTGCGGCACCAATCGCGCAGACCGTCACCCCATTCTGTTCTGAATCTCGAACTTAGAAAGTCTCCAGCGGCCTTGCAGAGCCCTGACAACGCATGGCAGGCTTCGATGGTGACAAAGGTCTCGGAATCGTACAGCCTGCCAACCACCACGGGCCACACGGCGTTGACAAGTGGCAAGAAAGAATCTTCGTCTCCGGCCAGAACTGAAGAGGCGGTCGTGAGAAGCTCCAACAGTGATCTCCTGAGCTTCGGCGTGGGCGACGTGAGATAGTGTTGCGTCAGCGTTGCGATCCGAAGCAGAAGCTGATATGTGGGAGAGCTAGACGGCTTTTCCTCGCTTGGCGGGGGCCCTGCGTCGTCCTCCTCGCCATCCTTGCTGGCTTCCTCTGCCCAGGGTACTTTGGGATGGCCCTCGATTGGCTTCCCGGTTGCACGCTCCGCTTCGTCGCGAGCCCTTCGTTCCGCTCTTTTGTCCAAAAAATCCAGAAGGCTATCTGTGTCATTCTCCGTTGGCCGCTTCTTCTTGTGGTCCACCACGGTACGTTCCGTGTCGGTCAGTAAGCGTTGCTCCGTTCCGGACGCTTGGTCGACGACCTCTTTCAGGACTGAAAACAGGCTTTCCACGAAGAATGTGTATCCGTGGTAATTCTCCAGGGCTGCGAATATCGAGTCCACCACGTCGTCCATGAAGGGTATCAGCCGTGCGCCGGCAAGTCGTATCATCATGAGCAACACCTGCATCGATGCTGGTGAGACATCGAGCGTGTTCAGCCGCAGAGCCACCGAGTTGACCATGTAGTCAACGTTGTCGACGATTAGATCAGACACGCTCGAGTATTGAGATGACGTGGCTATACTGTTGAGCGTTGCAATTGCGTGTTCTCGCAGGTTCTGATTGTCGGATCCAAGGAAAGTGGCGACAGGAAAGAGAACATCGATGAGCTCCGGCCGAAATGATATCCCACTCCTATGCGCGGCATACGCAGTGACTTCCATAGAAAGTGCTTCCAAGCGCCAGTCACCGTCGTTAGACTCTGTGTGGCTGTCGAGAACCTGAACAGAAAATGTGTAGAGGTCGTGGAACACCGCCTCTGGATCATCCGACGATGGCTCAACAAATGAAGACAAGTCTAGGAACGCTTCGGCTTCAGCGGAAGATGCATTGGAGGCCTTGATCAGCTCGTAGCAGAGCCACATTGCAGCAAGTTGGTCTGCCCCTGATGACTCGCGCACAGACTCCATCAGGTTTTCTGCAATCGCGGCTTTCTGAGCCACAGAGCCGAGCTTGTCAAGGAGACCTAGAACTTCCCCCCGTAGTTCCTTTTGGCTCTGACGAGCCAGAAGAACTTGTTCAAAGTCGGGCTTCCCAGTGCTGCTTTCTGGTGCTGGGCCCTCAAGGAGTTGGAGGTTCGTGGTAGGGTTGGTTTCCAGTGGAGACGACTGGACAAGTGCTACCATACTGTCCTTTAATGAAGCTGTGATCGAGTCCTCCAGCGTCCCTGACTCGACGCCAAGGCTCTGGAGTAGACCTATGCCCTTGGACAAGTTGTGCACCGCGGTAACTCTCGAATCATCGTCGCTGACTTGCATTATCCGTGGCAGGCTTGACATCCAGTTGTATACTGTCGTTTTGATGACCTCCCCAAGCTCTGGGTAAATGTTTGCCAAATACCGGAGCGTTGTTTGTTGAGCGAGTATCGTATCGTCTCCACTGTCGAGTATAATGGCAGTCTCTATAAGGATGTTCGTGCAATTCGCCAAGGTCGTGTGGCATTCGTCAAGTAAGGTGATGCAGAGCCGCTCGAGAGCCTCCCGGACCTTGAGGGCGTCCTGCGTGCGGAGCTTTACTACCGTAGACAGGGCCAGTTTTGCCTGGGATGTGGTAGCTTGAAGCCATGCAGGTGTCAGCACCTTGCCCTTGTCGTCCCTTTCGTCTGCTGATTGACCCTGTTCTTGAGCGAGAATGCTTCGCGTCCTCAGATCACCGAGCACCTTCGTCAAGACCAGCTGCACCGTTTCTAGACAGGTTGACAGGACGTGTGTTTTATACCTGTTCGGAGTAGATAGAACCTTGGTAAGGGATGAGACGATTCCTGGCAGGAAGCTTGCCAGAGCTTCCTGCTCTTTGAGAGCCGAGTAGACACCCTGCAAGCTCCGTAAAGCCTCACTCTGTATCTGGGGGTTGGCACCGTCCGTGACTCCTTGGAGCATGACAGTGATGGCATGGCCCAAAATGGGGATCGACTCTTGATCCGCCAGACCCGACACTGCGTCCAGCGAGGTTGCGGCGGTGTTGAACAAGGCGGTCTGGGCGCGAAAGGTTTCCAGGATCGTCTCCTCGGGAACCTCCCGCGTTGCTTGCGACCCGGGCACTCCATCAATGATAAAGACAAGGAGGCTCAGTATCTGCTGCGCGAGCTTGGATGAGATTTTGGATTTCCAGCCGAAGGTGATGAGGATGTGAAGGCACTTGACGCATTTCTCAACCAATAACATAGGGTACTGGTCCATTTGGCGGAAGATGTGGTAAAGCGGAAAGAAGATGTACTCGGCGAGCTTCTCATCTAGAGAAAGTGGATGGTTCTGCATCTGCTCCTCGAGAATGGCCAGGAGCTCATTGGTCGCATCGAGCAGCTCGTGAGATGCCGCAGGAACCGGTCCCTCGCGGATCGCGATCTGGCTTATCCGAACACAACATGGTTTCAGCTGCTGAGGCGTCAGTAGGTGGCACAGGAATACAATGCAGCGCTCCTCACCTTCTGGAACAGCTCGTTCCTGTCTTGGGATTCTCGTGTTGCGGCCATGTCCTGCTGTGAGCCGAAAAGCTTCAGGCCGCGCTGGCCACGCGTTGCATTTTTAGGCTGTGCCAGCCGGGCAGACGACCGGATGCAAGCGTCAAATGCAATACCGTACAGCCCTTGCTTCCCGGGTCGACGAGCTTTGGGTGACACTCGTGTGCTTCTGAGGCCCGGTGCGCAGTGATTGGTGCTGGAGTCGGTTGGACGGGCAGTCCTGTGTGTTCGGTGCGTTTGGGCCGGCCGGGGACCGTCTAAGGTGTTTTCGCGCACGGCGATGGCGCGCCAAAAAGTGTGCTCCACAGGCCGTGCTTGGTCCACCGGGGCTGCCCAGTAGCCCTTGTGAGGTCCGCCGTGGTACGGAGATCCACGGTCTCGCTACTCGCACTGTACGCCTGACCTGCAGCGTCGCAGCGGCCTGACTCGACCGGCATGAGGTAAATGGTGAGGTTTCGACGCGACACGCATACAATACGGACAATAGCCTTCGACTTTCGATTATTCACGCGTGTACCTCGTGCATATCATCGAGGCCCCAGCACGACTACTGCTCGTTTGCAAAACTTGTCGTACTCGGAGGGCCCCATACGTCATCTGAAAAGCAATGCCTCAAGAACTTGCTCCGTACCAGGTGCTGGTTCACCCGTACCGCGCGCCCGAACGAGGGACTTGCGCCTACGAACGGGGAAATTCGACGGCGAAGAATGCAGTCATATTTATCGGCGGCCTCGGAGACGGACCCCACAGCGTTTCATACGTCGGGGCCGTGGCTTCGCGTCTCTCAACCGAGAGGAGCCTCGACTACTCGCTGTTTGAGATGCGCTTGCGAAGCTCCTTCAACGGCTACGGGACTTCGAGCTTAGCAGCGGACGTCGAGGACATCTCGGCCCTCGTCAAGTACCTACGAAGTATAGGTAGAGAGAGGGTTGTGCTGTTTGGCCATTCAACTGGTTGCCAGGTACATTGACCATTTGCGCCCCGATTCTCCTGCCCATCGTGTATTCACATCCCCGTCACAGGATTGCATGGAATATGCGGACTACGCCAAGCATAACAATGAGCCAGTTGACGCGTTTATTCTCCAAGCCCCAGTCTCCGACAGAGAGGCCCTTGAGGAGGTCTATCCAGAGTTTCAAGAGAGTCTCGACCTGGCGACGCAGTGGATCGCTGAAGGCAGGGCGAACGACTGCCTCCCAAGCGACAAGGTCCCTCCCATGCTTGCGGCACCAATGTCGGCCTATAGGCAGCATTCGCTTTGCGCTAAAGGGTGAGATCGAATATCGCGTGCGACATTGACCCGATGTTAACGTCTCGTAGTGGCGACGACGACTACTTCTCATCTGATCTAGATCCCGAAACGGTTTCGCGATTCTGGGGACGGTTCGAGAAGCCTGTTTTGGTTCTTCCTTCTGGAGAGGATGAGTTCGTCCCCAGCCACATCGACCAGGAAGTGCTCCTCAAGACCTATCGCGACGCCAACCCGATAGTGAGCTCGATGTCGGGACTGATTCCGGGGGCAGGCCATACTATTCGGGCAAGCGAAGCTCGGGAATGGCTTGCTGGGAGAGTCAGTGAGTTTCTTTCCACCATATAATTGAGGGGGGAGTAAGCCTGTAGAGCTTATACAGGCGTCGCGGGCCGTCCGCGACGTCCCTTGGAACGAGCACGATCGCGCTATAGTGTTGGATAGAAAGACAGACACGTGTATATGCTTTGCCTGGTCGGACGTCAGGAGCGCGTAGGGGTACAAAAGAGTGTGCCTGTCGATACGGCCACTTTGTTCGGGAGAGCTGTGGCATCTGTGGCGCAACGCCTCTCCCAGCCTGGTGCCGCACCAGATGGTGAATCTTCTCTTACACGTACATGTCGACTTACAGCGCAGAAGCTTGTGACTTTAACACTCGGGTAGCTCTTGATTGCGCCTCTGTATACCACCTCTCCGCGTCGACAGCGACCACGCTTCGGCCGGTTCCTTCGTGTGTCATTTGCAGCACTTGCCCACGCATGCCATTTTCTCGGTCGCTGTGTGCGATCTGCGGCCGATACATCTCCCGGGCTGATACATCGTGTACCCACCTCTTGTCGTCTTGAACCCTGCCAGGCCCTTGCCTTGCGCGCGAGCTGTGTCCAACCTGCGTAAGCATCGGCCATAATTTGACCGGAACGTCGGCACCACCATCAAAAAGATTCTCTACCGGGATGAAGTGTCACGTCGCTGCAGGTGATGATGGCCGGGCGAGTCGTTCGCCCCCAGGGTAGCACGTCCCGTGTTGCGGCCAATGACATGATGCGTAATTGGGTGGAGGTACAGCCACAACTCCGATAAACCCGAACCCCACTGGCAGCGAGTTAGCGGGGACCTCGCCGCCCCAGAAAGCCGCCAGAATGCAGGGCGTCATCGGCGAGACGAACGGATCCAGCTGCCTGCAGCGGTGGGGCCATGCATTGAAGCGGCTTGCGCTCGCTGCGTTTAGCGTCTTCGCTGACAAAGCTTCGCCGTTCACAGCATGAATCTGCTTTCGCGGTCAGCGGACTTGCAGAATTAAGTATAATATTCACGGCAGTCTCTGTTCCTGGATCGGTGCTGCTCCTTCGTCTGTCTCGAGCCCGAGTGCCGAAACTCCGACAGCTACAGCGCCCGCCGCGCCCCCCGTGCCGTCGCCGCCTCGCAGACTCTCGCCGACGCCGCTCCGAGCGCAAGACCCCAGCTGCCCGCCGCCCGACCGCCGACGACCCGAACCCTGGAGCATGTCGTGACCCCGTGCGACTTCCGATCGTGTCGACCCTGGGATAATAGGACCAGGCCATGGATCCGTACGGCGCCCAGCAGGTTCTCCTGCACACCGGCTCCTTCACGGGGCTGAGGCCGGTCCAGCAGCTTGGGAGTGGTTACCTCACCGCCACCTCTTCGTTCAAGCAGCCGCTCTGCGGCAACGAGGAGGGCTGGGGACCGTTAAGCCCGTACCGCTACGACTTCACACCATGCTTCATAGACGTCTGGGTCGCGACCGTGGCCGTGTATGGACTATTGTTCGGACCCATCGCCATCTGGTGGCTACTCAAGAAGAAGCAGCAGCTTGAGCATGGAGCCACCAAGAACCTGCACTTCTGGATCAAGCAGGTTGGTTGAGCATATATCCTTTAGTGGCCAGCGCACAGAAGCTGATGGTCTTTGCGTCTCTAGATCCTTCTTGCGGTGATCATCGCAGACGTTGCTGTACAATTAGCGTTCCAGATCATCGAGTATCGCAACATATGGGCTGGCGACTTCCGTGTCTGGACTACTGTCTTGACTATCTTCTCCCTGGGCGTTATCTTTGCGATACAGTGGCTTGAACATTCACGCTTAAGGAATGCCAACGGAGTTGTCTTGTTCTACTGGCTTCTGCTCATCATCGCTCTTGCCGTCAAGCTGCGCTCTCTGATTTCACAGCAACTCTACGCTACCAATCTGCCTTACTTCATCACCTACTGCATCGGTTTCGGCCTCTCCGTGGTCGAGTTTTTGGTGGAGTGGCTTTGGCCACGGAGCTCGACGCCTCGCGGATACGAGGCCATCTCCGAGGATGAGGAGTGCCCCGTGGAATATGCCACCGTCTTCTCGAAGCTGACCTTCTCATGGATGACCCCCATGATGAAGTATGGCTACAAGGTGTTCCTGACGGAGAATGACCTTTGGGGCTTGGCGAAATCGGACCAGACCAAGAACACTGGAGAAGCATTCGAGGACGCTTGGCAACACGAGCTCAAGAACCGGTCCAACTCGCCCTCTCTGTGGATTGCTCTGTTCCGGGCATATGGTGGCCCGTATATCATCGCTGCCTTCTTCAAAGTCGGCAACGATGTCGCGCAATACATTCAGCCCCAGCTCCTCCGAATTCTCATCAACTTTGTCAAGTCCTACGAGGGTGGTGCCGAGCCGCAGCCAGTCATTAAAGGTGCCTCCATTGCCCTGGCTATGTTCGCCTGTGCTGTGTTCCAGACCACTATGGTGGTGAGTATCACCGTCCTTTGTGACGCGAGAATCAGGCTGACAGTACCCCAAGCACCAATACTTCCAGCGGGCTTTCGAAACGGGCATGCGAATCAAGGGTGGCCTTGGTTCGACCATCTATCGCAAGTCCCTGCGACTGTCCAACGAAGGTCGGTCGTCAAAGACCACTGGCGACATTGTGAACTACATGGCTGTGGATGCCCAACGTCTGCAAGACCTTACGCAGTTCGCTCAGCAAGCTTGGTCCGCCCCCTTTCAGATCATCATTTGCATGGTGTCACTGTACAACTTGGTTGGATGGTCCATGATGGCCGGCATCGTCGTCATGATCATCATGATGCCTGTTCAGGGATTCGTCGCCCGGATCATGAAGAATCTGCAAAAGGACCAGATGAAAAACAAAGACGCCAGAAGCCGCTTGATTAACGAGATCATCAACAACATGAAGAGCATCAAGCTCTACGCCTGGGGCTCCGCCTTCATGAACAAGCTCAACTACGTCCGAAATGAGCAAGAGCTGAAGAATCTGCGGAGAATTGGCGCCACGCAGGCATTCGCCAACTTCACGTGGAACACTGCCCCGTTCTTCGTGTCCTGCTCAACCTTCACCGTCTTTGTTCTCACGCAGGACAAGCCTCTATCCACAGACATTGTCTTCCCTGCTCTTGGTATGCTTTCTGCCCGCCTATGATATATCGGGTTTATGCTGACCCCGTGTAGCTCTCTTCAATCTCCTGACCTTCCCCCTTGCTGTCTTGCCCATGGTCATTACCTCGATTGTCGAGGCATCAGTGGCCGTCGGTCGTCTGACGTCATTCCTGGCTGCCGAGGAGCTTCAGCCAAATGCCATCACTATTAAGCCCGCCCCAGAGGAGATGGGAGAGGAGACCGTCATTGTTCGCGACGCAACCTTCTCTTGGAACCGCCACGAGAACAAGCATGCCCTTAAGGAGATCGACTATACTGCCTACAAGGGCGAACTTTCCTGCGTTGTCGGCAGAGTCGGTGCTGGCAAGTCGTCATTCCTGTCCAGTATTCTTGGTGATCTTTGGAAGGTCAAGGGCGAGGTCGAAGTCCGTGGAACCATTGCGTATGCCAGCCAACAGAGTTGGATCCTGAACGCCACCGTAAAGGAGAACATTGTGTTTGGATACCGCTACGATTCTGAGTTCTACGAACGGACGGTCAAGGCCTGCGCCCTGATAGACGACTTCGCCCAACTTCCGGATGGCGACGAGACAGTCGTTGGCGAACGAGGCATCTCATTGAGTGGAGGCCAGAAAGCTCGCGTTGCGCTTGCTCGTGCCGTCTACGCCCGCGCCGATATCTATCTACTGGATGACGTCCTGTCGGCGGTCGATTCTCACGTCGGCAGACATATTATTGACAACGTCCTCGGTCCCCGCGGTCTCTTGTCTACCAAGACCAGAATTCTCGCCACCAATGCTATCGCCGTCCTTCGCCAAGCCAGCTACATTACTCTTCTCAAGGACGGCGAAGTCGTCGAAAAGGGTACATATAACCAACTGGTGTCGCGGAAGGGGCTTGTCGCAGACCTGTTGCGGACTGCTGGCCATGACTCCAATGGCAGCGGATCGAGCAGTGCCAGCCCGCCATCGAGTGAGACTTCGACTGTCATCGAGCCTGAAACCGTGCAAGACAAGGAGGAAATGGAAGAAGCTCTGGAAGATGTCCCTGAGATGGCACCTATCAAGTCCGCATCCATGGCCGTCAAGCCGCGATCTAGCAGCATGGCGACCCTTCGGCGCGCCAGCACTGCCAGCTTCAAGGGTCCCCGCGGCAAGCTCACAGACGAAGAGGTTGCCGGAAACACAAGAACTAAGCAAGCAAAGGAATTCGTCGAGCAGGGCAAAGTCAAGTGGTCTGTATATGGCGAGTACGCCAAGGAGAACAATCTGTTCGCTGTCAGCATCTACCTCCTGGCTCTGCTTGCGTCACAGTCAGCCAACATCGGTAAGTCATGTCATCAGCCTCTCAGACGCTCTCTCTAACCACCATCTAGGTGCCTCCGTTTGGCTGAAGGAATGGTCTGATGAAAACCAGAAAAATGGGACGAATGACCATATCGGAAAGTTCATTGGCATCTACTTCGTCTTCGGTATCGGATCTTCAGCTCTCACCGTCGTCCAAACTTTGATTCTTTGGATCTTCTGCTCGATCGAGGTTTGCAGGCTCCGCGACCGTTTTACACGATATCTGTTCTGACACACGGCTTAGGCGTCTCGAAAGCTTCACGAGCGAATGGCCAATGCCATCTTCAGGTCACCTATGTCGTTCTTCGATACCACGCCGACGGGGCGGATCTTGAACAGGTTCTCGAGGTAGGTATCCCTGTCGACATGTCCCGGAAGAAGCTATATTGACTGGGAATCAGTGACATCTACCGCGTTGATGAGGTGCTGGCGCGGACGTTTAACATGCTTTTCGTAAATTTGGCCAAGTCCGGCTTTACATTGGCCGTGATCTCAGTTTCGACTCCGGCATTCGTCAGCTTCATCATCCCGCTCAGTCTGACGTACTATTTCATTCAGCGGTATTACTTGCGGACGTCTCGCGAGCTCAAGAGATTGGACAGCGTGAGCCGCAGCCCGATCTACGCTCACTTCCAAGAGTCGCTCGGCGGCGTTACCACTATCCGCGCCTATCGGCAGCAGCAACGATTCGAGCTCGAGAACGAGTGGCGAGTCGATGCCAACCTCCGAGCCTACTACCCGTCAATCAGCGCCAATCGCTGGCTCGCCGTCAGGTTGGAATTCATCGGAGCCGTCGTCATCCTGGCCGCCGCTGGCCTCGCCATTATCTCTGTGACAAATCACACCGGGCTCAAGGCTGGATGGGTCGGTCTCGCCATGTCGTATGCGCTGCAGATCACTACCTCGCTCAACTGGATCGTTCGCCAGACGGTCGAGGTCGAGACGAATATTGTCTCGGTGGAGCGTGTTCTGGAGTACGCCAGACTACCCAGCGAGGCACCCGAGATCATTCCGGGTAAGCGCCCGCCGGTCGCCTGGCCTGCTAAGGGCGAGGTGGACTTCAAGAACTACAGCACCCGCTATCGTGAGGGGCTGGACCTGGTCCTCAAGAACATTAGCTTGGACATCAAGTCTCATGAGAAGATTGGCGTCGTTGGCCGAACCGGTGCTGGCAAGTCGTCTCTGACACTTGCCCTGTTTCGACTCATCGAGCCAGTCACTGGCAACATCGACATCGACGATCTCAACACATCGTCCATCGGCCTGCTGGATCTTCGCCGCCGGCTCGCCATCATCCCGCAAGATGCCGCTCTGTTCGAGGGCAGTGTTCGCGACAATCTCGACCCCGGCCATGTCCACGACGACACAGAGCTCTGGAGCGTTCTCGGTAAGTCCCACGGCTGAAGAATTGTCCCCCCAGCGCGCCCGAAGGCTTGCATGCTAATTTGCGCCCCAGACCATGCCCGGCTCAAAGACCACGTTGCCAATATGGACGGTGGCTTGGAGGCAAAGATCAATGAAGGAGGTGAGTCGAGATCCGAGCACTACCCCATGCCCCCTTCTCCCACCCAACCCACAACATGTTGTGCGGCTGCACCGTCAGAGGCTGTCGGTCCCCCTGCCCATGCCGTGGCCCGTGTGTCCGTGTTCCGCGCTCTTGCACGGCATAGAGAGGCTCCACCCTCGGCTCTCGCTGGCAGCAGCCCTTTTCACGTCATGGTGAACGGAGCGCTCCCCCCGGAGAGGGGCCCAAAGGACACATGGGGGCCCCCTGGGGCGGGATACCCGCCTGGCCCTTTTTTTTTCGATTTTACGAGCGAGTTTAATTTGGCCGAAAACGTGCTAACAAGCAACCTTTTTTTTTCTTCGCATTAGGATCCAACCTCTCGCAAGGCCAACGGCAGCTCGTCTCGCTCGCCCGTGCGATGCTCACGCCGTCCAACATCCTCGTCCTGGACGAGGCCACCGCGGCAGTTGACATTGAGACAGACGCAATGCTCCAGGCGACCCTGCGCTCCCCCCTCTTCTCCAACCGGACCATCATCACCGTCGCACACCGCCTCAACACCATCCTGGACAGCGACCGCGTCGTCGTCCTCGACAAGGGCGAGGTCGTCGAGTTCGACACGCCCGCCGAGCTGTTCAAGAAGCAGGGTGTCTTTTACGGCCTGATGAAGCAGGCCGGCTTGGAGCTGGAATAGGGACGGACGGCTCCCTCCGCGAGCTGGACGTGCCTGGTGTAGAAATTTGTCATCGCGGGGAGGCGTTTAAAATTAAGATGCATCAACGTTGTATAAAAAAATATCTTTGTGTTCTAATATTGAAACATCATCAGCGGCCGTACGTACAGGGTATCGAGCCGCTGGCCTAGACTGCAAATGCCAAACAAAGAATTTCAATAGTCGCATCGAGCAATGCACTCTCCTGTAGCGACTCCTCGTCGGGCACCCGCGGCCACCCACGCTCTCCGCTCTCGCTGTTCTGCCCCCCACGCTGGCGATGCAAGCGGCCCTTGCGCCTCGCCTGCGGTCACGAGAGCTCTGCCTCCTGTACGGGGGGGCGCATTTACCCCGGATTCCACGCGGTGGCCCCCCGCAGCCCTGCTCTGCCGATCACTGCGGTCCTTGGGGCTTCCGGGTGGCACTTGCTGATATCGTGGCAAAGGACAAACCGAGGTCGGCTCCGGGCGTTCACGGCCGGGCCTATGGAGCGGCCCGCGACGTGCATCCCACGGATGGCCCCCTCTTGCACCTCCGAGCCACGGCCGCGAGAGCCCAGAAGCGCCATTGCACCACCCTGTTGGGACACCGAGGGACGTCCTCGACCGAGCCTGGGCTCTCTTCTCCCATCACGGCATTCGAGGGTTCAGCCCAACACACACTATCGGCCGGTGATCGTGGTCTGTACTCCAGGAGCTCGAGCCAGCGGCTAAGCCACTTTCTTCGAAGCACAGGCATGGCGGCTCGCTGCGGCTTTTCCTTGCTGATGGCGGCATAAGAGGTCTGGGCTCAAGAGCTGCAACCATCGATTGTTGTTTGCGGGCAAGGCCCGAACCCTCCCCTATGTAGGGGAAGGGGCGCATAGGCGCGGAGACCTCTAGGATAGAAGCCCCCCCGCGAGCCGTGATACCCGGCGCCTGGCGGCTGGACGAGAGGTTGCGGGAGTTGCATGCCCACCGCCACTGGTGTACGTTGGTGCAGGCTTCAGGCGGTCAGGCACACAACCCGATCACGGCGAGGCAGTGACGCCCCGTCGGGTATTCAGGAGACAGCCTCTCGCTTGTTGTAGGTGCCTCACGGCCAACGGGTATTGTACCGTATAGTATTTGCGAATTTCTTCGTTTCGTATGGTCCGAGAAAGGTTTGGCAGGCGGTGACATAGCTGCGCGAACAACTACTCCGTGCCACCACGGAAAGAGCAACGAGCGGCCCCAACGACGGAGGAGAAGTAGAGACGGTCCAACGTAAGATGGCGCCCGGAACTGCAGTGATATCGCCATGTAGCGCGAGCCGGCACGAAGGCCAAGCCTCCCTCTCTGAAATTGCCAAGGCGTGCCGTCGCATAAATCGTCATTGTGTCGCGGAACAGTGGCGCTTCTGCGACGCGAATGCTTGGGAAAATGCCGTATTAGTCTTCACGAGACTTGTCACGAAGCCCTTCAAGCGCTTTGGTGAGCAAGCAAAGGACAACAGCACCTTCAGACACGCCCCCTGCTACCGAAATTTTTACAGTACAGCACCAGGGGCGAAGACCGTGATTTACGCCACTGTTGACTGTAGTCTCGGCTTCTCGTTCGCGCGGGAGCACCGGGTGGAGGTTGGCAAGTCAGAAGAGGGCCAATCCCGTAGAAAGGACACGGAGAGTGTGTTGGTTCCTTTTCCGTGGCGCTTTGATAGGACATTAAAGGCGCCCAACGAGCATTCTGAACCTGTGGTAAATTTGGCCAGCGGCAGGTCGCGGTGATGTGGGTTCATACTGGGCAGATTTTCACGTCGTAAGTGCAGGAAGTACGGAGCACTCCGTACAGTAGTTGTGTTACGTTGACAGGATGCTCGATGAAAAGGCTTCATGGCTGGAGAATGCTGTTGACCACACCGGAGGCTGGTCGTGTAGAATGGCAGAAGAGCCTAAACGCCTTTGTCGCCAGCCTGCTCCTCGGCGCCAAGATCGATCCCCAAAAACCTGCCACTCGCCGCAATTGTGCGGACGAACTCGAGTGACATCCCTGACCCAGGCGATTGGGGGTTCAAAGTCGGCTGGCGAACGCGGGACGGTGGCATTACGCCTCCCGAACAGGGGTCAAAAGCTGACGAGTGCCCAGTGTTACCGACAGGGCGGCTCGTATGCAGTCGGGTCCAGTAAGCGAGCGCACCTTTTGATCAGTGAGAACCAAGGCGCGAGCCACGCCGTGGCCAACATGATGGTGGCACGTTACCGCCATCGTGGACTCGGGCTGCGGAGGCGGGGACGCATAAGGAGAGGAGGGCGGGCCAAGTCCTTCGCAGTTCAGGTCATGCTCGAACGACCAGGTCACAACAACGCGTCTGCCACCGTCTCTCACAGTATCCGCCTGTGCGCGCTGGGCGAGTCGGGATACTTATGCGCACGAGACGGGGCGCAAGCGTTTCCCCTTCACTGATGCGAGGATCCCGCTTTCCGGCTGGTCATAAATGCAGCCTAATTACTCTACGACGAGCTGCTCCGTCGATGGTCGAGACGGCTCTCGCGGATCTCAAGGCTCAACGACCGGGTACCGAGAGTTTGGAAATGGACCACATCTCGGCCAGCGGGTCGCAACCAACAAGGCTGGGTGCGCGCCCAACGTGGATGCCGGGGCACTCGCGAGGACGGAGACAAGCAGCACCGGCGTCGCGCAGTTGGTGTCGTCCCGCGAGGAGATCGCCTGGCGACTGCCAGTGTGTCGATTCGGGCAAGTGGCCTTGATCAGTTGGGTATGCTTGAACGATGCTGTGCCAGCTTTGCAGACGGGACCACCGGGAAAATGCCCGGTTCGCGCCACCTGCTAGTTTGGAGATGCGTGAGCATGGATAGCACCCAGATTCGGGACCAATCATGGTTTGAGACCCGGTCCAGCTCACTGAAAGACAGGGTTCCAGCTTCTGGAGGGTGTGGTGTGCCCTGAAGCCTCGCAATCTTGGAAGGTGAGGCGTGAATGATCGACAAGGTGGCAGTCGGCAGAGCTCCATGCATATTTGGGAGCTGTTAGGGGGTTGGCTCAGTTCGAAGTGGAGGCATCCTCGGTCCAGCACGGGTCTCGTCGAGCCAACCTGCCCCAGACAAACAGGTTAGATCGATAAGAGGGCTTTCGTTTTGGTAGTTCTCAGTAGATGCGATGTGCCAACTGGGCGACGCTCGAGCACCTCGTGTTGCGCCGGCGCCGGCGCCGAGCTGGCCTCGCGTCTAGATAAGGAGAGGGCGGTTGAGAGAAGAGCAGCAGGCATCCTAAAGGGGACACTCCGTATCCCAGACACTGAATTCCAGACTGAACTCTTTGTGGAAGCGGGGGCGCGGCACACCCCAATCAGTGGAAGCAGGCTCGCCTTTCCGCGCCGTCGCTGCATTTGCCGTTGCTAGTCTAGTTTCCTCGAGGAATCAATAATTGCTTCTGTTTGCCCTGGCTCCCGAAGCGTGGCATGTTGAAGCACTAACATTGAAGATGCGAATCCGTCGAATGTACTGAGAGGTCCGTTCGGGATGATGACTTCATCGCACTGGTTTCGTCTGTGCCGGATGTTGGCCGATCCGGGTTTGGGGTTTAGGCTGTCCTGGTATGTGCACGGCATACTTTTTTCCGCTGCTCGAAGACGTGCGGTAAGCACGGGTTACCGTATGAACGTACCTAGCGGAACCAACAAGTTGCTTCTGCAGACGAGAGACTGCCCGATGCTGCGTCGTGATGAAGACGACGTGCAAATAGTGCTCCTTCACTTTTTGCTAGACGCCAAATTTTGTCTAGAGGCATGGTGACCTCGAGGATGCTGGACACGAGTGTGCGCCAAAGTCGACACGACTTGGCCCAGTCACACGGCTTCTCAGCGGCATCTCCAACGAGTTGCGGTAGCATTAGCCGATAGGGTTCAGCGAGCGGAGCAGGTCGAGGAGCTAGGGACCCGACCCGAGCCGCCGGCCCACCAGAAACACTGAAGTCTCTTGAGTCTTGCCCAAGCGCTGAGGAGCTCACCGTGCGTGTCGTGGACCGGTACCTACTAACTTAGGTGTGACATGTTGAGGAGGGGTAAGTCCAGGGGCTCGCGGTGTTGGCAGCGTCCGCGATGGTTTGCACGTCATGCAGTCCGTTCGGCGAGCCTCGCACCTCGTACTCCATTCAGGATGGCATGCCATGTACACCATCGTAGCGCCAAGTTCAAATCGGTCGATCCCTTCCTGGCGATTGTCCGGCTCCGCGGTTGACGACACTCGGCAGTCGATAGATCGCATCGTGCTGTACCCGGACACTTGCCAACTGAGGAGAGCGGCGTCCCGAAGATGGTAGAAAAGATTTCCACTTACGGCCATCGCAGCATGCAATGCACACGGGGCGGAAGGCCGGACACAGCCATGTGCTGCAGAGGTGCACTGGCCGATAGGCATGAAGCGAGCCGAAGGCTGTCATGACGGACGGCACTGACGCCTTGCCGTTGCACTCGTTCGTGCGCGTGTGAGACAGCAGACGATGTAGGCGAAGGCGAGCATTCACCCGGGAGCGGAGAATGGCCTTGCGTACGTGAGAACAAAAAAAAACGTGAAGCCTCACGGCATTGGACCATCGAAGCACTGCTGCATGATTGCTCCTGCCGTCTTGACAGGAACATGAACACCGGCAAGTCCGATCAAGTTACAGCCGGCAACCACGACCGGGGCTCCTGCCGCTGAGAGGTTCACTGGACCGCAGCAAACCACGACGACAGCACGTCACAGCAAACTGAGCAAAACACGGCAGGCACCAAAGGTACCTGCGCGTGCACTGTGGAGATGCACTGTCATGATCTGGCGGCATCCAGTTGCCGGAGTGCCTGGTCCGTACAGCCTCACCCTCCCCAGACGGCGCATCGTATCAATCGCTTCGCGACGCTCTTCTTTGTTTGCGCCCACCGACACATTGCCTCGTCGCTTGGGCCTCCACCCCCCAACGCGGACTGCTGAGCGTCCTGGTCTTGCCCCCGTTCCTGGAGCACCAGCCGAACCCCGCTGAGTTCCCGTGCGCCGCTGTCTGGCGGTTCCGTACCTGCGTCTTGCCCGCCCGAGGCCGCCAGGGCCCGTCGACGAGAAAACGTGCCGCTGGAGCCAGAGAACGGGATCGTGCCTCGCGCTCCTGCTGCGCGGCGGCCTGGGCTGTCTCTGGTTCCAACTTCTGGCCGGGACTTCGGCCAAGCGGGGACGCGTTGGTCCCCCGTCTTCATGGACCATGGCACCAGCACTCCAGCCGCCATGCCGCCCTTTTCACGCAGCTCTGGGCGCCTGGTGCACACGCAAAAAGGGCCAGGCTCGTTTTCCTCCCATGATACAGTGCCAACCAACGTCCGGAGCATGTTGGAGTGCGGAGTCGCTTGAGCACGACATGGCCCCAGGTACACTTTCCGGATTCGCTGCGCTTCGATGCCATGGCGTCCACAACGGGGTTCGCCAGCCAGCTCCCACGACGCCAATGCACATCAGCGCTGTCCCGGTAATGTCTCAACCAGAAACCAGGCAGGAGATCGCCCCAGGGTCATCGTCGTCTTCGGAGTCTAACTTGACTAAGAGCGCGGCCGAGTTGCCTGATGCTGACGTATCGCGTGCAAATGACCACGCGTGTCGAGGGGAGCAAAAGGAACTGGGACAAAAAGCAACCAAGCGTGAGGCAAAACGAGAGCGGGCCGCCGCTTGGCTTCGCGACCTTGTCGAGGTTGCGGCAAAACGCCATGGCCACCAGCAACCAAATACGGCGCCCACGGCACGAGTCCCTTCAACGTACCGACATGGTTGTTCTTGTCACCGCTCAACCGACAGACCCAGAGGCACTTTGGAGCTGGTCGGCTCTCTCCATCTCGCAGGGCCCGGCGATGATCCGTGAGGAGGTAGAAACCCCCAGAAGAGCTGGCGACGCCGGTCCTCCCCCACGCCCAGCCACGGCGACCCAGGAGTCCCACATTCCTTTCTTTTTTGCAGAGCCCGTGGTCGCTTCGTTCCACTGGGCCGCCCGTCCGGCCCGTCATCCACGAGAATCCCGTCTTGCCCCTCAGGTCGTGGCGGCGCCTCCCACGAACCGGCCTGGAACTTTGTACGTACTCCCTAGGCTTGGCACTCCAGCATGCAAAACCTGAGAGTCAAAGACCCTGGCTTCGTGATGGCGACACGCCCTTCCCCGACTGGAGCCCCGGCAAGGGAGAGTGAAGAAGGGAGCGCCGTTCCCACTCCCAAGTATTCAAGTCACGCCGGATGCGCAGCCACAGCGCGCCTCCCACCATCATCCTCACCAGCAGGACATCTGGTCCAGGCTAACGCTCTGATCAGGGTGCGCCACGCCAAAGGAGCTGAACCAGGTGCCCTGGGGCGTCCAACGGTGTTGATGGGCTCCAGGGCAAACATACACCAACATCACTGCTGTCGCTGTTGGCAGCGTGGGCCGAGTATGCGTGGTCACGACGCCGGTCTCCAGGACAGCCGGCCTCTCCGTCTGGACTGGCCAGCAGTGGGGTGAAATTTGCGCCAAACTCACAGCAAGGCAATGCATCGGCCGTTCATCGATGCTCGACAGACCAGACGAACTCGCCTTGGCACTGAAAGTGCCCCAGTCATCCAGTCAACCCGTGCACCAAATGCCCCGAGCACCGCTACTAAAGTCCTCGGCGGTTTTGTTGGCGGCGGCTAAATCGCTGATCTTGAAGCCAAGTGCTGAGTTACGGAGACGCAGCGGTACGGTACGCTGTGGAAGCTCCCGCGTTTAGTCACCGTGCTAACAGTGGCGGGCGCGCTCCTCTCTCGCGGACGGCCAAAGTCTCCTATCATCGCGGCCTACAGAGAACAGCCGGAGCCCAGCACAGGTCGGGCAATCGGAGTTTACTGGCTCCATGGCCATGAGGTGCTACCGCGCTGCAAATGCTGGCATGTGCCCTCACAGAGGCGAGACCGCAGAAGGATGCGCCCCATACTACAACATATCTCGACGGCTCTGCCATTCCAGATCCTCTCTGTGTGTACGTGTACGTACGGAGGAGGGAGTGCTGCGTACAGTGGACGCCGAGCCTGTTCGTACTGCCTCTCCCGCCACCAGATCCCTGCCGGTGCCATCCGTAAATCCACAAATTAATCAGCGGCGGCGCCGACCATAATGCCAACTCTACCACGAGCCCGACAAGGTCATGGTCTCGAGCGTAACTCTGGATCGCCGCGAACGACGTGGTACGGTCGTCACCTCGCGCGTCTTGGGCACGGTGTTGCGGCACCGCGGCCGGCCAGGGCACTTGCTTCAGCAGACAGCCGACGAGAGCGCACTACTGGTGGCTACTGCAGCTACGGTGACTGCATCCACTGCTCCAACGGACCGACGCGGCTGCCCGCTGTCGCCCGTCTCCACTGTGATCTCACACACCACCCCAGGCACCGGGAGGGGGTGGAGGCACTGGAGGGCTGCTGGGGGAGGGAGGGAGGGAGGGAGAGAGAGAAGAGCGCGACCCCCGACGGCAACGGCCGGTTCCTCCAGGGACAGGGCTCATGGGAAGAGGCTCTTTCACCAAGAAGAACGGCCGAGAAGCTGGCCAACAGGCCCTTTTGGCTTTGATGACCCAGGGAACCTTGTCGGCCAGGCTCGCTCGACGTTGCGGACAAGCAGACGTGCCGCCAGACCGTGGACCGCGAAGCACTCGGCCAGGGCCAGGTCCAAGGCCGACGCTTGTCCCTCAAGTCCGAAACTCTTCTCTCCTCCAGCTCCCTCGCCCGCGGCTGCGCAGGGCTCGGATCCCAGCAGGGGTGTGTGCTCGGGTGGAAACCCCGGCCACCACCATGCGCGAGGCGCCCCATTGGCCCATTTGGTGATCACAAACCCCTGTACACCCTCTCGCGACCTGCAACTAAATGCTAGTAGTTGTGGCTACGGATGGGGACTTGAGCTGGACAGGACGGTCGGGTGCGGCTTTGCGTCTGATGATCCCCCAACTGCCACAGCGCGCAAGTACTGGACTGTACCGTCCCGCGCTGCAGGTATTCCCACTGTTGGACGGCCCTGTTGGGCAGTGTTGCGGCCGCGCGGAGTGCGTGCGCACAGTACTTCTGCACGCCCTCAGGCCTGCACTTACACGAACCCTCTCCCTCTCCGCCGCCCTCTGTTCTCCCTCGTCCTCCACGCTTGCCGACGTCGATTCGACTCGCCTCGACTATCGCCTTCGTCGTCCTCATCACCGCCCGCCGGAGCCCGCTGGAGCTCTCGCTGCCGTCAGCCCCGTGCTGTCCGTGATCCTGGAGAGGGAGCAACCGTCGTCACGCTCGGCCGAAGGGCGCCGCGAGTAGGACGGCGAGAAGAGAGACATCCACCAAGTCCCGTGCGGGGGTTGGTCTCATTGACTGCACTGGCCAGACCGGACGGATTGATTGATTCAACCAACCCGTCCCGGCCTTCTGGCGCGCGAGCCTACTCGTCCTGTGCAGGGCTGTCCGCCTCGACCATTTGAGGCCCTCATCGCCCCGTCCCTACGCTTCCAACTTCCAAGGCTCATCCGCTTCATTGCACTACGTCCTGGTACGCCGGTCGTCAGCTCACAAGAAGGCAAGCGCTGCCTGCTTGCTCATACCTCAACTTATCAGCGCATGTTGCATTACTTGTAATCTGTTTTGGCGCACGCCTGTCACCCGCACCCTGCTGGTCCCGAATCTTGCCTCTCACCTCGACGGACGTCTTCCATCACGAAACACTGCGGCTGCCGTGGTCTTGCCGTTCCGCTACAACTGCGAGAGGAACCTCAGGTCACCGTGCCGATCCTGTTCGCTTGAGACGCAATCATCAAGCGAAGCAACAAAGGAGAACACTCTGGTCTCGCGCGACAAACCGTGACTCCCCGCCACGGGTTTACATCGCTCCCGCCGGTGCAGCAACCAACTATCGACACGAAAGCAAGGCACAAAACCCTTTAGCACGGAACGTCGCAGGCTCCCAAATCGCACACCAACCGCGGCGACCTGTGCCTACGGGTTGCTCAATCCCATCTGTGTAAACAACCCCGAGCGCAGACGCTGCGGCCGATAACGAGTCGCCCGTCAGCCCTCCGCGCTGTTGCCTTTTCAAGCACCGCGAATCTCGTTCTCTATCATTCATCCCAGGCCTAGGCCCTCGAGAATCAATTGAAATCTGGCTGCTGTTACACAGCCTCTGATCTCGAGCACGAAACCTGGTCAGGTCAACACGCACCCTCGCACAACGCCCTCGGCCCCTGTCAGCCACGACTATTTGGGCTACGCCTTGCACGACATGCAATAGGGTTCCCGTCTCCCGAGCACCCCAATCATCTCACGCAGAGAAGACAACCACTCGGCCGCCATTGATCTTGGGGATACTGCGTTCATCTTTCCGCTTGGCAGCCCATCCTACGGAATCTGTCCTGCCGCTGTGAGTCTACGAGCATACCTAGATATGTCAGCGTCGTTCATGAACATGCCGGCTAACATGCAGATCAAGCGACTTGCCCTATATCAAGCCTAGGCAGAGCCGGCTAGCCGCGACTTGCAGTGATTCGACCCCCTCCTAAAGGTTTGGACAGTCCTACAAGCTTCCCTGCCTGGCATCTGCTTCCTGAGTACGGGAGCACCGCGAGACATGGTGCGAGACTGGCCGCGGGATTCATTCCCCCGGCAGCAGTCGTTCCAGCAGCAATGCTACCCTCCGACTGGCCGTCCATCATTTCAACATGAGCGATATGGTCAGGATGCCGTGCCTCGGCAAGACTCATTCCAGCAGGAGCGGTATCAGATCGATGGAAGCGACACTGCCCGCTTCCAGGATCAGTATGACCTGCACCGTAGAGCCCCTCCGATGGTGAGTCGCCAAAGCAGGACCCCTACGATTGCCACAGGTATCCTGACTCACGAACAACAGCAGATCGACGAGGCTCTCCGGTCACATTGTGGCATAGCAGCTAAGCAGTACTTTGTCGCTGCCATTAACGATGATGGATTGCCCATTACATTCTTCAGCCCCGGGCAGAAGCTCCACGACAATGCAATTCGCCAATTCTTCGACGCGAGCAAGTTTCAGCAAGTGATGCGGAGAATTGAGTCGGGTGAGTAACCTACGAAGTTTGCACATTTGGGCGTGCGTACGGGGGCTGATCAGGCGGGATGCAGGTGCCGACCCTATGCTGGACGACGGCTTCGGCTTCGAGGATCCCATGTACGGGCGCTCGGACAGTTTCGGGAGGTTACGAGCGATCGACCGTCGCCGGAATTCCGTCTTTGACGACTGGGGTAGCCCTGCGAGGCAAGGCCGGAAGCGGCCACGAGCTCGTCATGCCGCCAACGACGACGACGTCCCGATGACGGTATCATCGCGAAGAGGCATCAAGGTTGGGGACTCGGAGGCGGTATGGAATTTTTACGAACAGCGATTCAAGAACTGCCAGCAGACAGCTTGCAAGCTCATCGCCAAGGCTTGGGTCAAAGCAGTAGAGCCGAAGAAACAGTCGACCCATCCCTATACCGGGAGCGATGAGAAGGCTCCGGACTGGTGGCCGAAGCCGTGGGGGCCCACCAAGGACGACAAGGTGAGGCACAAGGAGCCCGATCACCTTTACAAGCGAGGTAAGATTTTGAATTTTCCCCCTTCTTTCATGTCTGGCTATGACCTCCGTTGCTGACGCTCGTTTCAGAACGTGTGCATCTCCTGGCGCACATTCTACGGCTTGTCGTGGAGCCGAACGGAAAGCAGCATCCAGATATTCAGAAGCTCTGTCTGAACGTCAAGAAACTAGAAGAGACGACGAATGAGGCCCTCTCGGCCTTTTTCATGGACAATGACGCCAACGCCAAGAAGCGACCGTACCTGAATGAGATCTTTAAGATGGCACGCCAGGAGGAGCGATTCAAGAATGGCGAAATCGGTACGTGCACCCATCAAGACAGGGAGCTAGCCCTGCTAACGCGGTGTTGAAAGATGACTCGACCGAGGTCTACGTGATGGCAGAAGATAAAGTACCCGAGAGCTACACGTCGGACAATGACGACGGATCCTTCAACATCAAGGAAGAGGACGAGCATGACGTGCAGCGCTCCAAGCCGACGGTGGCGCACCCCATGGCACACACCCCAACCACGACGGCAACCAACGGACACAGCCTCCACTGCGGCCCGAGCCCCTTCATGGGCGATCTACCAGTTAGAGGCACACCCTTCCACCCGCCCATGATACAGACGGACATTGCACCGCAACAGCACTCTTTCGTCGAGAGCAACGGACTGCCGGTCAGCGACCAGAGCACAGTCAGCACTGGGAGCGGCGGCCTCACCATGGACCTGGTGGCCAGCCCGCACGACGGCAGCCGGCGGCCGTCGGTGTTCAGCGAGTACGCCAGCCCCGGGGGCGGGAGCATGTACCACCAGCCGTGGCAGCAAGGGTCAGCTGGTCCCAACTCATCGTCCATGTACGCGTACACGGCGCAGCAGACAACGCCCCAGCAGCCGGCTTTTGTCAGCCAAGCAGTCACACTGAACGCCGGACAGCCATTCCTGACGAGCTCATTTGAGAGCTCGCCGCGGCCCGAATATGATGCCAACGGGAACGCCATCTTCAGGGGTGGCGACATGGCAGCGGCGCCCGTCAGCCAGCAGCCGGGGTACTACGTGCCGAGTGATGGGCGCGGAAGCCTGAGGGTCATGACTCAGGTCGTGGATGCGGTGCCGAGAAACGCGGTACAGTAGTTATGGCGGAAAGGCTTGGGAACTTGTGCTCCATCAGTCGCGACGATGAGGGACTGCGTGACTTGTCGACGTGAGCAGGTCGAGGAAGGGGAGGTGGGCGTTGATGTTGATGTCATTGGGCACTGTTTTGGATGCCCATCATCTCTGCTGTTGCAGAGCTCTTTCAGTTCGCGCGCGCGATACCCCTACGGCAACATAGAATCTCGCTCGGCGGGTGGTCTTTTGGATGGTCTTTGGAATGTTTCGGTTTTGCCGCCCGACCATTATGTCGGTGCGTGGTTGGTTTGCTTAGCCTCGCCTCACCTCTCGCTGTGTGAGCTGCAGAGCAGGATTTTACGGCAGAGCGTGCATACTGTCTTTCTTGTTGTTTTATTCACGGCCTGCTTGTCTGGGTCAACCCGAGATATGCGTGTCCCCTGTTGAGGGGCCTACACGATGAGCATGTATACCCAAGCGTCGAATATGGTAAGCATCATGAGCTGTTGAGGCCTCTTTTTCTTTTCCCCTCGAGACAAAATACAGTTGAGGAGCATCTTGATTCGTCTCTGCCTGTTCATACACACGCGCGCGCAAACCAGGGTCTTCTGACGTCAACCATGTGAACCCGTGAGATGACACTGGGCTGCTGGCGACAAGCCCAACGCAGGGGCATGCTCGAGGATGGCCTCGCCCTCCCACCTCGACATTCCCTGGCCGCCGCTGGGCCGATGCTGGCTGAGTTACCAAGACCAGACCAATGGCCGGGTCGCACGTCGTGGTGGGAGCACAGGATGGATGACTTTCCGGAGCAGCACAATCAACTCAGCATTCAATCAATCAATCAATCAATCAATCACCCCCCGCCCGGGTCGGGAACTCATGCAAGCCCCCTTCTCGTCTCTTCCCTCGCCGCCTGCCTCGCCGACCAGTCGTGTCTGAGCGCGGCCCGAGTTGTGGCTTGCATTGGGGGGG